TATTTAATAGGGCTTTTTAAAGCTTAAATTTATCTTTTAGCTAATTATCTTTAAAATACTTCTAAAGCTCTTTAAGCTCTAGTTAAAAAAGAATATAAATAAAGCTATAAGAGGTAATTAGTTAATAAAAAATTAATAGTATAATTAGCCTTATAATATTATAGTAGGATACTAAAGCTATTAGTATTAAAAATATTAAGAAAGTTATATAATTAACTAAAACTCTATTATTTACTTAAGATTACTATTATTTTACTTAAAAAAGTAATTCTTAAATACTAAAAGAATATTTATAGTTAAGCTTTATTTTTATATAGCTATATAAATTATATATTAAAATAATCTTTATAATCTTCTTAAATAGTAAAATTACTATTAATTTTCTATAAAATAAAAATAAATTTACTTATTAATAATAGTTAAATTTAATAGAAAAAGAGAGATTTTAATAGAATTTAAATTACTTTTAATATAATATAAATCTACTTAATTAATATATATATCTATAAAAATTAGTTATTATAATAGAAATAACTATTATATAATAATTTTAAAAGAATTTCCTCTATAATTATTAATCTAGAATAAAATATTATAATAAATTTAAGATCTTAGCTAATAGTAAACTTCTTACTAATAAAATTAGAAGCTATATAAAATTTAAGAGATATATATATCTTAATAGAATTTCAGCTTTATATAGTAATTAAAATAGTAAAATATAGCTTAATTTAAATTTAAAGGAGATATAGCTACTATTAAAATTTTATAATAGCTATAAGCTATTTTCTAAGTTAGTAGAATTATTAAATTAGAACTTTTATAATTTAAAGTATATCCTACTAATATAGCCTATCTTATTATAATTATAATAATAATAAAGCTACTACTCTTATATAAAGTTATATAAAAGGCCTAATATATAAAAGCTTATTTTATAAATTACTTTTATAATTCTATTAAATTATTAGAATTTCCTTAGAGTTACTTAAATACTAGCTTATCTTTATATTAATTACTTATCTTTTTCTCTAGTTTTATATTAAGTTCTAATATTAAGTTATAAGAGTAATAATCTTAGTATATATCTCTAGAATCTATATAAACTATATTAATATTTAATTTTAAAGAGAAAATAATAGCTTAATATAGAAAAAAAAACCCTTTGCTTTTTATTATATTTTAGGAATTATTTCTCTAGAAAATTAAGATATTTATAAAATTTTAGAGTAACTATAATTCTTTTATATATTTATTTAAATTATCTTATTAAAAAGAGTTTCTAATTAGTAGAATTCTTAAAAAAGATAAGAGTCTATTTTTTAAAGATATTCTAAATATTTTCTATATTTAAATAATTACTTAGAGTTATTTTATTAAGATATTAATTCTATTTTATTCTTTTTTTAAAAATTAAATTATTAAAAGCTAGAAAAATCTTTTTATAACTCTAGTTATATTATTACTAGGTTTTTTAAAAGCCTATTAGAAATTCTAAAGCTAGTTATCTTATTTCTAAATAGTAATAATAGTATAAAATAGATATATTATATATTTAGATTTTCTTTTATTATTAATAAAAAGCTAAATAAATATTATTAGTATTTATAGAGTTTATTATTAAATTTTAATTAGTAATTTAATAATAAATTAGTAAAATTTAATTTATATTCTTAAAGCTTTTATAGTTTCTTAAGCTAGATAATATACTTATAAATTACTACTTCTTATTAGTAAATATTAAAAAGATTATTTTAATCTTCTTAAACTTAATATTAAAAATTAAAGTAAATTAGCTACTATTAGTATTAAAATTAGTAGTAATTTCTTTTTATTAGTATAAGCTATTATTTTATACTTAAATAGCTATAAAAAAAAGCTTTAAAATTATAAAGAGATTATATATAGATAGATATATAGCTGGATAAGTATAAAAGATACTATAGAAATTATATTAAAACTAAAGCTTATAGATTTAATTATACTAGCTCTCTACTTTATATATAGTATATCTATAGTAAAACTCTAATACTAAATTAGTATAATTCTTAGAGGCTAATATTAAGTTATCCTACTATATAGAGATTGATATTAAGTTAGTTTAATATACTAAGGAGGCCTAGGCTTTATTTATATTATAAAAATAATTACTTTTTAATTAATTAGCTTTTTAACTAATTATTTAATAAAATTTATAATTAAACTTTTATTAATCTTTCTTATTATAAAAAGTATATATTTTTTAATTATAAAAAAACTATTTTTAAAAAAATTAGTATTTTAACTAATTATCTTTATTTAATTTACTATTTAATTCTTATTAATATCTCTTATTATATAAAAATATAATAAATTTATTTAATAGATTTCTTAATTAAAAAATATTAATATCTATAAATATTTTTATTTATTTATTATTTTTTTAATATCTTTATAATTTTTTTTTAATTAATATATTAAATATATTTTCTAATTTAATTTTTACTTTTTATATAATTTCTTTTAATATATTTTAAAATTAAAATTAAAATTTATTACTAGTATTTATATTAAAGTAGCAGAATAATAATTAAACTAAAAAATAAAAGAGTAAATAAATTAGTAGAGAGCTTATTATAATTTATACTCTCTATATAATATACTTAATAAGTAAGTAAGCTAGATAAGTAAGTAAGCTAAAAATCCTAACCTTCCTACTAGAAATTACAATAAAAACACCACAAATTATTTAATTAATTAAAATTACTTACTATATTCTTCCCTAGATATCTTAATTACTACCTAATAAATCCTTATATTATACCCAGGCTTGCTACAAATACTATAGCGCCAAATACCCAGTCCAACTGACCTTCCTCGACTACTACTCCTCGAAGATTCGACCACTACCTGCGCATCTACATCCATTTAATTAATTACTTGCCTTCCCTCTTCTACTATTATAACCCCTCTTTTCTACAGTCTAGTCCTTTTTACCCTCTAGTACCAGCTTAGTATCTTATTCGCCTCTTAAAGGTCTTTATTCTTAGCTATTAATAAGGTAACCTTATATATAACTGCCTTTATTCCCTTTATAAGGGACTGTATAGCTTTAAGAATTGACTCTGGGGAGCTACTCTTATACCTTCTAATTTGTCTCTTAAGAAATTGAGACTGAGATCTAGCCTTAATAATTATCTTTAGGGTTCTTAATGCCTAAGGGGTTGATAGTTTAGCTACCTCCTTAGTAGGCGTTGGAGTCTGTAGCTGTATATTAAGCTTTGAGATTATAACTTCTGGGTTAAGGAGAATAAAGCTAGTTTCTTTAAAAGCCCTCTTAATATTTCTTTTTATTATAGTAGTTTTATATATTATATAGAAGGCTGGGAAGAATTCGATCTTTAAAATATAGGTTATAGAATATCTAATTAATTATTCTATTTCTTAATTATAAGCTTACTTTAATATATTAAAGTATCCAATATTAAGGGGCTAAAGTAAGTAAGAGGAATAAGATAATATATAAAGCTAGATAATTTTCTTTTTCTTATAATATCTCTTAAATTTAATTAATTAGTAACTTTTATAGCTATTAAAAATTAAAAGATAATAAAAATTAATTAATTAATTAGTTATATACTAATTAAAATATTTTAATTACTTAAAATTAATTTTATTATTAATCTAGCTATTTTAGGTTATTATAATAGCCTAATTATCTAGGAGGTTACTTTTTTAATATTAATTAATAAGATAATATTAGCCTATATTAATAATAAATAGCTAGATTACTTAGCCTTTTATATTAATTGCTTAAATAACTATAATTTATTTTTAATTTTTAAGCTATATTAATTTTAACTTTAAATATCTTTTTATATTTATAATAACTATTCTACTTATAATTATATCTATAAAAAAGCCAGTCTTATTAAAATTATAAATATTATTTAATTAGATATTATACTTTATAATTATATTTATTATAAGCTAAAATTAATTATAGATAATAATTAGATCTTTATATTTAGCTCTCTAATAATTATACTTATAAAAGAAATATATCTTAAGATTTAAGTATTACTTAATAAAATTATAAGCCTAATATATATTAATTAATAGCATATTACAGTTAGCAAGTAATTAATTAGCTATTTCTTTTATACTATATAGCTATAGGGGAAATCCTCATAAATCTAAATTAAAAATAAAATAAATAAGAATCTCTTCTTCTAGATTGGATAGCTTATGTAAATTTGGAATAGTATCGCGTCGAGACTAGATGCCCTTTTGCCAGCGACCTAAAGTATAACAATTAACTGTATAGATCTCTGCAGCGCGTCGGATATATAGGTTTGGGTTATTTTGAAGGGCCTGAAGGGTAAGGAGCATTCTAGCTTCATAATTAGACTGTAATATATTGGGTGGTTAAGAATCAATTAATTAAATAGAGATGATATAGGTTGAGGGATTTTTGGCTTACTTGCTTGTCTGGCTCACTCGCTTATCAAGTACGTTATATTAAGATCTATCTTCTAAAAGACTTAAGAACAGCCTGCTTTAACAGTAAACGCCCAGCTGCCGGACGCGTCGGCAGTTGTTATAGCGTTGAGTTTCCGAATACTCGGTAGCGAGATTACTGACTGGGGCCCATCAACAGGCATATCCTAGTTATTCTATTACATTGTTGGGATTGTCGGAACCCCCGGAGACCTTCACAGCCCCAAAGCCGCTGTCGTAATTAACCGGTGTAAAGTCATTTGAGTGAATTACATCATTTTAAGCTTTTTTTAGTTTCTTAAGCGCAGTTTCAGACCTCCAACAGCATCGCCGCTACAATATCGTCACGGAGAAACTCCATCTCACCAATCACTTGCTGAGGGGATGTTGTAATACGTGTAGCTTCGACTGGATGGTTTGTGCCAAGGGCTATTGCCGTGACTAACCCGTTGTAATTTTATGGAGATGACATATATAGAGCGCGGTTCCCCTGAAAACAATATTGTATCTCGAACTCTTCTCTAGCTTGAGTTTATTCCATTCTTCCATTTCTATCGTTCATATTCCTTCATTTGTGTGTACTTTGACTATCATTCACTATGCATCGTTCAACGATTTTCGCCCTCCTGTCATCCGTGGCGTTGGCTACTCCTCATCATCCCTACCGCCAAACGAACAAGTCCTGTCCCGTCATCTTTGACGGTCGCATTCCCTCGACAGCCTCCCTTACCGACTTCGACACAGCCAATGGGGGCGACTGGAACCCTTTCAACCCCGGCTACGTCAAGGGAAACGACCTTGCATGGTCTGACATACTCCTCTTCCCCGAGTCGGCTCCACTATCGCGCTTCGATGCTGCTACTGGCTCTATCCCGGTCGAGGTGACAATTAGTGACAAAAGCATCTTCCAGAAGCAGAATGGCTTCAGGCGTGCGGGGCTGCAGTTCAGCGAGGACAACAACGAGGACAGCCCTGGCTCGGAAGGTGTTGTAACTCTTCATTTTAGCACGCTGCAAGACGAGAGCCGGCCTCTCAACTTGACTCATGAGTACTTGGTAAAAAACCTCACCATCTGGGAATTTGCAGGATGTGTATTGACTGGAACAGAACGTCTGGCACGAGGCGGCAGACTACTCTGCCAACCAGTTCAACTTTGAGGCCGGTACCTTGATTGGTCAAGAGAGTCTACCCAAAGACACCTACAAACTCCTCGACCGAAATAATAAGGAGATCTGGTCCACGCCTATTCTGGCTGGCGTGTGGCAGAACTTTGCCATTACTCTTGACTTTGACAACAAGTACGTTTCTTGCCGATTACACCATTATTTTACAAAAGGCTAACAGGAACAGCACGATCCGGGCCTGGTACTCGGCTGGCAATAAGCCTCTTCGGCCGGCGACTAAGCCTATCGCAAACGACAACTCGGGTCGGGGACAATACCAGATTGGCATCCTGAAGAAACCTACCGGCACTGACGACGTGGTTAACTCGGGTTACCAAGAGAGCGGATTGGACGAGGGTTTGATCTACAGCGGGATCTTCATCGAGAACAGCAGCAATGGCTGTATCTCTAGATAACTTGGAAAATTAGTATAGTGCCTTCAGGACCTATTATAGGGGCAACAATAGACTCGCTGAGCGGATCAATATTACCGAGGGTGATAGGGTTAGACATTGATGTCTCGAGTCTATCATGTACCTCCAAACTAGAAAATCACTCTCCATTACCTCGCCAGCGTGTTCGTATTCGACATCTTGTAGGTATTTTTCTCGGCTTGGAGACAGTTCATTATCTCCAAGTCTTTCATCCTCGATGTTGCTGTAATCGGCATTGCGGCATCTATACCTGGTTTTCGCCTACCCTGCGAACAACGTTGCGAAGGATGAGAAAAGCGATATTCCTTACCAACTTCCACACAAATTCATACTTTGAATAAGAATTACCCCCAAGGACTGCGAATTTTCCAGCCTAAAACAACGAGCCCCCAGCCGAGACCCCCAGTGCATGCCCAGACCATGACCCGTCAACTACAGGATTGTATCCTCTCTACAATATAGCCAGTCTATAGAACATGATTCGTTCGCTTGACTTTTAGATATATTTGTATGAAATTTGGCAAGAACTCCTTCTAAGTCGATATGAAATGGGATTATGATCTGTCGCCCATTGTCATTTCGGGGAAGTAACTGTTCTGTACGTGAAGACTGTCCTTTTGTCATACGTGTGCAAACCGTCATGACACTCAACCACCAAGCCCGATGCACTACTTCTGCCATCATTAGATATCGTACTATTTATATCCTTCCTGTCGCTTGCTACTGTCGCTAACTCGGGCGTGCTATGCAGTAACGATGTAACGCGGACGGATATGGATGTCCTCTTAGCCGGGTGCGAAACCCATAATGCTGATAGTATTATCCAATTTAATAATGGAAAGTTTGAGGAAATTTTGGTTAGTCCGCTTGCAGTGTCTTGCCTCAAGGCCGCGGCAAGTCTAATACCCTCCACTATATGCTATTTAACTCCTTAAAGGAGTATTGCTATTACACACACTTAAAATACTACTTGTATATTTAAGTATTTAAACTACTTTTATTAAAAAGTCTTAAGAATATATTTATTAATAAATTTAACTAAAGAAAAATAAATAATTTTTATTTTAAGTATTTATTTTTTAAATTTTAATATAATTTTTTTTTAAAATTTTTTAAAATAAAAATTAAAGCTTTCTTAAAATAAAATAGTTAAAGTATATATACAGGCTGGGTATATTACTGTATTCTAAACTTAGATATAAGAGTTTATATCTGTATATAATTAGTATTTTAAATATAACGTACTTGATAAGTGAGTGGGCCAAACAAGTGAGTGGGACACTTTGAAATTTCCTAGCATTTACACCTTAAATTAAAATATCTTTAAAATATTCTCTAAAATTGAAATTAAGAGTAAAACAGTTAATGTTATGGAAATGACTCTATTATATATTAAAAAATAATATAAAATTTTCTTAGACTTTTTAAAAAATTACTTAATAAGCTATATTAAAAATGCTTATTCGCACTGTATACCTAGCTATTTCTCTATAAAGGAATTTTTTTAAAAATTTTAAAAAATTATTATATAGTTTTCTTTTTAATTAAATAATTAAAATTATTTTTATTTTATTTTTAATAATTAGATAGCTAGTTTTAAAAATTTAAAGTTTAGCTCTTTTTAGTGCACAGTATTCGTGGCCCACTCGCTTGTTTGGCCCACTCACTTATCAAGTACGTTATACGAATAGCAATACTCCCTTAAAAAGGTCGATAACTACTATATGGATAGTTGCCACGGCAGCTGTATGGTTCGCTGCCTAGAGAAGAAGTACCAATAATCGCAACCACCCTTAGCTCTTTGTGAATGTGATGCAGGCGAGGATCTGCCTGATGTTGGGTTTGCCCATAGGAAGCACTAGCTCTTCCTTACATTTGTACTCGTTACTTATACAGAGAACCCAAAAATTTTGCGTACCGTTGGCTGGTAGTGGTCCTTGAAGTGAAGAGAGGAAGTGAATGACTCCTCAAATCAAGCCGTCACGTTCACAAAGGAAGGAGCCGGCTAATGGAAAACCTTGTGCTCTTCGCCCGGCTGGGCCTTGAAAAGTTGAAATGCTTGCGGCATGGCCTAGAAGATTAACCCATGCCCAAATATCCTCACCCACGGCTCTTTGTATTTGAAGCCCAACTCATGCCCAGGATGCCATGTCAGCCCATAGATAACCAAGTCCATCTAGGAGTAGGATACAAGAGAAAGAAGGAGTGAATATGTTCAACAATAGTGGTGAGATTCCGTGGTATAACACACAGATGCTATGCAGGTGCCCATGATCCCCTTGACATCTTATGCCTCCTTTTTACTCCTCCGTCTTTCCGCCGTTCCATCATTTATGACCTGGGCCCTTTCCAGATCTAACTAAGCTTCCATTTTGCTGTAATCCCGCCGTATTACTCCGATTGCTATCGTATGATAGACTTGCCATCGCATGTCCAAAGATAAAAACCATAGAAGAAGAAAAGTGCCAATGTAAAAAAGGAGAATATGTGGTGAGAGAGGGGAGGGGAAATCATGACACAATCGGAAGTAAAGAAATTTGGAGAAGAGACGTAGCATTCCTCATACTTAGCGTCTCTCTCCCCCTTCCTTGAAGAACGTTCATGATCAAGCCATCACTAGTAAACATATTACAAGAGATGCTCGCCAGGGGAGAGCCTGCCCCCTACCGAAAGGTGGCCCGAAAAGGGCCTTCAACTTTGACATCCTTGATTCCTTCGGGCATCAGGCGCAACCACTCGTTCCAGCTATCAACATCGACATTGTCGTCGTTGAGTCGGATCGAAAGATGCAACTGAGGACTGTTCTCATATGAGAGGCTGTTTCGCATTGGGCTGCTCTGATACAAGGGTGAAAGAAAGATGGACGGGAGCCTCGAGTTACCCGACATCATCATGTGCAAGGGTGAGGGGTAACTCGTAACAACCTCCTTTTCCGGGTTTTTCTCCTGAAACATCCTAGGATAATGCGCGAATAAATGCGAGTGTAGTTCGGCGGCTGAGAGCGGGCTTAGACGGGTCGCCCGTGTTCGAAGCTGCTCCGCGAGTGCGCGGGTGAAGGCGCACCTGTCGAGGGAGTAAAAATGTTCATCTGATACTGACGCTGCAACTAACTCGAGGACGCCTTGCTGGCGGACCATTCTCGCTGATGGGTAATAGGCGGAATCCATAATAATTAGGGTGTCGGCGCAAGCCTCCTCAAGGATTTGCTGGATGCCACCCCACCGAATCGTGGAGGCCCGTTCATGATCTCTTGAGCTTTTGATGAGTCAGTGGCAGTTTACTTGTAAAAAAAAGGGTTAAGCTTAGTACCTTGACAACATCATCTCCCGATTGCCATCGAGGTACGTATGTCCGGCGTAGTAGACAATCTTCAACACATCTCGCTGGTCATGGTCTTCGGCAAAGTCGTTGAGCTGCCGTGACAACCATCTCCAAGAGCTTTTACAGCTCTCTGAAGAGGATGGTATGGGTTGGATCTGGAATGTGTAATGGTAATACTTATCAAATACATCGGCAAGCTCCCGGACGGCCGACTGAACATTTGCCACCTCCTCGTCGTCCTGCCAGAACAGTAGGAGAGCCTGGACGCTAGTGTACCGGTCACGGCTTGGGGTAGAGAGCATACGCCCGACATTTGTTTGCAGGTCGTTCTTGAGGCTCTCAATGCCTGGGAGGGACAAAGATTTTTCGAGGCGGGGGCCGGAGGGAAGAGGGGTGCGGATACGGGTTTCGCTCAACGGGGGTCGCCCCGGCTGGTGAGATGTGGATGTGTTGGAGTCGATGTCCATTTCCTGAGGGTCATGGGTGAACATGGGCTGTACATTTGTGATGGCGGGGGCGGGGCTAAGAGGTCGGCCTGCGGCGGCGAGTGACGGCGCAATATCCTGGATGGTTGGGCTGTGGGAGCGGTGGAACTTGTTGACAACATCCTCCCAAGTCATATTATGGTGACTCGGGTGGCACTGTTGGTGGAGAGAAAGAGAGGAGTGTTAGCATGTAAGTCGGGCGCTAGAACGTAAGGAGGGTTTGCGAAACACGCTCGCAATGGAGGATGCGTGGGACAAGGGAAGACTTACAGCAACTCTCCTTCTCCTGCAGTCATTACAGGCGCCGAGTTTCCTGATGAGGGCGGCGCGCTCTCTGGACTGCTGGGAAAGGGGTCCGGTACGTCTCCTGCTCGTGCGGCGGTTGTTAGAGACGTCGGAGCCATCCTTTACAGAGAAAATAGACTGGTGCAGGTTAGGAGAGGTTTCGGCACTGTACGATGTGTTGTTGGTCTCCGTGGAGGCCAGTGTGGCGGTAGTGGCCTGTGTCGAGATGGAGGAACTTGTGTCCTTTCTCAAAGGCGGTGATGCTGGGTGCAGGTGGTGGTGGGAGTGTTGATTCTGGTGCTGTTGCTGGTGTTGCTCGAAGGAGTAATGCGCTGGGGAGCTGGGGGACGGTTGTCGCAGTGGGGGGAGCTCATCGGGGTTTGGCGCAAGCGAGTGCGCTGAAGCGGAAACGGAGAGGACAGCCGGTAGGGAGGTATGAGGAGCGGATGGCGATGAGATTGGTGGCAAGAGGGGCGTGGGCGCCGTTTCGAAGGTGGAGGGAGGTTGTGAAGGGGACGGTGATAGCGGCGGCTGGGGTTGTTGCTGGGGGTTTTGGCGTTGTTGGTTGATATGCGCGGGCGACGGCGCGGCAACGGGTGGAGGAGCCTCGGCCAGGCTATGGGCGATGGAATTCATGGCTGGAGCAGAGGAACGAACAGGCGCGTAGAGTGTCAAAGGCCCATTATCTCGAAAAGGCGACAGCGGGAGGATTGTTGGAGGAAGGCGATTCGGAGCAGGGTGGACTGGGACCGTCGCGGGCTGCGCAGGAGGGCGAATTGATTTTGGGCGACGCCGCGGTTTGTTGCAGCGATAGCTGGTTGTGTGCGCAGGTAGGCAAGGCAGGTATGCGGGTGTATGTAGGTGTATGTAGGTGTGTAAGAAGGTAGGTAGTAGAGGTGTAGTGCAGTAATAGGCGTCGGGTCGGGTGTGAGAGTTGGGTGAGCGGGAAGGTGCGAGTGGGTGTTTGACCCCACCAATAATCTGAGGCAGGCGCGTCCCACTCGAGTCCCGGAGGATGAGAGAGCGGCGGCGGCGGGGGGGAGGGGGGTCGGATTAGGCTAGGTAGGTACCCGTGACGTAGCGTAGCGTAGTGGGATACAGGGAGCCGATGCGTGAGGGTTGTGGGTGCGGGAGAGAACAGCGAGTGACTCGATGGCAGATACAATGAGCTTGAGAGTGGGATTGCTAATAGAGAGGGAGAGAACCCGAATTGATTTGATTAAGGAACACGAGCGGTCCGACTCGCGGCGCGAGGAACAGGAAAGTAGATGGATGGACGGGGATGGATGGATGGATGACGGATGGAGGGGTTGAGTGCCGTCGGACTTGTCTCGCTGTTTCTGTCTGCGCTATGTGATGCTAGCTGCGCTGTGGCACTGTGCTGTCTCTTGAGCGGCGGGGAACGGACAACGGACAACGGGCAACTGGTAGCGGGCAGCGGATAGCACAGTAGCTCCAATGCGCAAAAGCACAAAACGGGGGCCGCACGGCTAGAAGCAGAAGCAGAAGCAGGAGTAATGCGTGCAAAGGCGTTGTCCAATTCCGTTGCCTGGATTTGGGTCGCAGAAATAAGAGCGGGTTTGCTCAGGCGTCTTGGGTGATTGGACGGGTGCAGCCGGTGCAGCCCTGCGTTGCGGGCCGGAGCACAGAGACTGGGAGGATTATATTATCGTATATACATACAACAACCAGGGCGGATGCAAGTTGGATGCTGGGGCTGTTGATGGACTCTTTGGTATAAAATTGAACATCAAATCTTGTCCTTGTCGTAGCACAATTGCAGACAGCAACAACCTCTGCCAAGGTGGGAAATGGAGCAGGTACTGGGGGAGGCTGTGAGGACCGGAGAATAGAGGTGCGAATTCCTGTTGCAGAGCAAGGTAAGAAGGGAAGGTAAGACAGGTGAGGTGCGGGAGTGGGCGTGTGGTTGTGGGTTGGGTGTGGGTGCGAGCAAAGTGGGCAAAGCTGGGCTGGTAAACGAGAGAGCACAACAAGCAGCTGGCCGAGCCCAGGTCAAAAGCAGAGAATGGAGGACGGAGAGATGGAGAGACGGGGTTTGACTGGAGTCGCGTGGCGTGTGGCGTGTGGAAGCCGAAGGAGAAGCAGAAGTAGAAGCAGAGGCAGAAGCACCAGCGGTAGCAAGTGGACTTGCAAGTGGACTTGGAGGTGGAAGTGAATGTGCGAGACGGGGGGAGTGCGCCGAGTGAGCAACGAGCATCCACGGTCCACCACCCCCGGAATACAGAGAGTGAACCGGGCCGGGACTTGGGGGCGACATGCTGGGACTTGGGGCGGCGGGGGTGCCTGGGTGGGCGCTGGGCAGAAAGGGTCTGGTCTGGTGTGGTGGACATCAGCCCAAGGTGCGGCCAAGGTCAGTCGAGGTCAACGGCCGGCCCACAGTCCGGGTTCGGTCGGGATCGTGGGAAATGTATTTACCTGCAACGGGTCAGGTGTTGGTGTGGGTGCCGTAGTCCGCGATGGTACCAGGCTTGCGGTACCAGGCTTTTACATGCCTAGGTAGGTAGGTAGGTAGTTGCGGCAGCGGAATCGATCAAGGCCTACCCGGAGTCATCTGTCAGGTCAATCAGTCAACTAGATCGGGATATGGGGCATGGGACATTAGACAGACGGTCACGGCACCACTGTTCGATGGTGGTCGAATGAATGAATGAGTGAAGTAAGTGGAATGGAGGACGAGTGGATGATGGGACGGGCAAAGCAGGCGGACTTTTTCAAGGTGAGACGATTTAGGCTTAGACCGGATGCGAATCCCGGCCGACTGAATTAGCACTGAGGGGACGCAATCACACTCTGCTCAAGCACTCACCCAGAAACCCAAGGTTACCTCGCAGCAACCAAACCCCTACCCGTCGTCAACCGGCGCACCGGGCGGCGAGTGGCGGCTCTGGCGGCAATCTTGCTAACAAGGCTCTGGGCTGGTTGGATCAACCAACGCTGTCACTGCGGATGATGTGAATGACAGAGGCCCTTTTCTTCTTTTCTCGAGTTCGTCCCTTGGGCTTCAGCCTCCCGTTCCCCATTCCCTCCCTATCCCCCATTTCCTGCTTGGATTACGGAGTGCGCAGTCCATCTTTTCTTTTCTTTTTCCTCCTCCGTCTTCGTTTCTAGTCTCCGATGCCGATGTCCCACTTTTTGCACAGACCCGACCCGCGCGCGGCCTTGTTTGCTGCGCGTGCTTTCGGGAGGTGGCATTGGCGTTGGGGGACAAACAGGCAAACCACGGCACGAGATATCTCAGGATGGGGGCTTCCCCTCCCCCCAAACACGGATTGGAAATGAAGCAATGGCCTCGATGTCAGCGGTAGGTCATGATCGAATGAGGGAGAAGCAGGGGTGTGTGCCCAGATGTCTTGAATCAGACGGTCGCTTCGTTCGATCGGGAGGCATAGACAGATATGGAGGGACGGCACCCAAATCCCCGTTTCCGCCCCAGAATTAGGTGCCCCAGTCATGACACCCATGTCCATTATCCGCGACTCGTCACTCCGCAGCTCTCGGTCAGGTCGGTTGAGTCGGCGTCGAGTCAACGTCGAGTCGACCTACACTCTCCGCAGTCGATTGCGCGATATGCGTTGACGACGGACTCGATGCACCATGTACTGAATATCTCGTCTAGCATGCATCACGTACGTGCAGCGCAGCGAGTGGATTGGACCTGCGTGGACATGAAATCTGCGTAGGTGTGTGTATGTGCGTGCGGCCAGCACAACGGTGTGCTCCAGACCTGGTCCCTGTTCAGCGCGTGGCCGAACAAGCACAGGAGCAAGATGACAGGCCTTGTCTCTCTGGGGTTGCGCACAGAGGGGTCCTGGAGAGTTGCGAGCATCTCTAGAAGCTATCCATGGAAGCCTTTCTGTACGAGGCATCCCGAAGTGGCCAGAGCTCGGGTGTCCCAGCAGCTCCGCCATGCTGTCACTTTCTCACCTGGTGTTGTATTTCCGATCTTCCATGACCCAACCCATGTTCCCGCACTCTGACTACTTGACGATGTGCCTCCAACCCTACCCCATCCCATGTCATTTCTGCCTCAAACTAGACTACCTACTCTCGCTCTTTCACGCTGCCTCCTTTTCGTCTACCCCCATCACTCACCTTTCACCGGCAGACCGCTGCAGCCAGCATCACCGCCGCCTGCACCTCCTATAGGCTGACCGGCCCCAGGTCTCTTGTTGCTGGATGCCGTCTTGGCCGGACTTCGGTGGCTGGCATGCACCCCCTCGTCGTCTTTGCCCTTGACCTCTCTAATTTTCCTTTCACTCACTTCACTTGAACTACCTACTACGTGGTAGATATGTGTTTGTATTGCGTGCGGGAACAGGTACCCGTGATCGAGAGACCAGTCCAGACCGTCCGATACCATGCATAAAACGCAACACATACAAGCCCTCGTTTGGAGTCTCTGGCTGCTTACTCTAGGGACTGAGTGGTTACATATGTGCGACGGCAACATGTGAAGAAGTGACACCACCACTAGCTATCCCTCACACTCCCACACTCTGCCTTTTTGCATCCGCCTGTCAATCCCCCACCCACGGACTGGAAACCTGTCACCGATCCTGGACCAACACGTGCACCGGTACCGTAGATTTACACAGCACATACCTGCCTACGCACCCACAATCTGCGGCACCACGGACAAGCAACGAACGAGATAACCAGCAAGCCAGACACATCTGCGCATCGTTGAATTGGCAGCCCAATGGCTAACGGAGGCTCCGCTTTCCCAAGCCGTCATCAAGATTTATCCGCGGCTAAGCAATTGGCTCTCGCAATCTATACGACTATTCCAGCTTCGCTCTAGCTTCAGGACCGAGACCCATCAGGCCCCCTGGTCCCCATGCCATCCCACACCATCCCTGAATTCCTTTGCGTCCATAGGCGCGCCTCCGGGGGGGGTGGACGCCCCACGCTCCATGTCTCCCCTTCCATCCGTCCATTCCCATATAAAAAGGAAAAAAAAAAGGACCAGAAAAACCACTCAGAAATAAGTCGCGACAATCAAGACGTGGGCTCGGTGAGAAGGGCGAAGCACACCAGCGGCTCCAACCACCGGCCGGGGCTCGCCACGGCTCGGGACCGGGCAATTGAACTATGTCGTGCTACTGCGACTAACTGACTATTGTTTAGTCCTACTACAGCAGGTAAGTAATAGGTTCGGCAACATCCCGAAGTCCCAGGTGAGGGGTTTCAAGAAAAAAAAGCAAAAGCAACAAGCAAAGCAAGCGAACGATGGAGGCTTTGTTTGTGACAGATGCGGTGGCCAGGGCGACAGAAGAACCGGAGCATGGCATGGCTTGCAATGCCTCGCCCTCCAGTATCCGTCTGCCTTTCCGTCCCTTCTCTTTTTCGTCTTCCTCTTTGTTCTCCATCCTTTGCAACGAGCAACCCCCTCGCTTCTTTAGTTACGCTTCCAACCTTGTTCATCTGTAAGTTACAGTACTCCGTATGCATGACAGACTTGCACGCCGCCGCCACCACCGCTTGAGGCGACTAGACCCAACCCTCCCGGTCTCCCACCAGTAATCTCCATTGTGAGGTCGGCACTGTAAAAAGTATGTGCTGCAAAGTTGTTGTATGTCAGCCCTCCTGTTTTTTAGGCAGTGCTTGCTGTCTTGCAGCTCGTGATTGTTGTGCCTGTGTGGTCCGTCCAACACATGTCTCGAGTCTCGAGACTGAACTCACTATCGTGACGCGACGAGGACCGGGCGGACATGTATGTCCATGACATCGGCTTACTCGCTCACCTGCCCCTCACCCAAGAAGGGTCTGAGCAAAGCCCACTTGTCGCGACGCTGAGCAACCCGGTCACTGGCTGCTCTTTTTCCGACCCCGTACCTCATCCCCGGCTTCATCCAGGTCGGTTTCACCGAGGTTAAGACGCGGTGGACTGTGCGGCGGTGGCCGCAACCCTCCATTTCTCGGGCAAACAGGCCGGATGGTCCATGCCACCGTCGATGGTACCGGTATCCATAATCCATCTCCATGTCCATCATCAGCCGCCACATGGAACTGAACTGATCTGATGGGAGAGCCCATGGCACGATGCCGTCCCCCTCCCCTCTCCTCCCCTCCTCCCACAGCGCCAGACCAAGCCAAGCCCATGCATGATGCCATTGTTCAGTGCCTCCGTCGCATGTCCCTTCGTCGCATGTCCCTCTGTTACAAATCCCTCGCCCAACCCCCGGACCTTCACCGAGATCCTCGCGGGATAATCAATCGATTAACTACCAGGGGACCCCCCAGACTCAGTATGGAGTACGTAGAGTATCATCAGATGCCGCCTCAGCCTCGCATCCCCACCCCCACTCACCCCACTGGGCCGCTACGCATTCCTCGGTGGACTCTTCAGTGGACTCTTCAGTAGACATTATCGGCTTGGAGCGGGTGCTGACGGTGAAGGGCTGCGGCGGAAGACAAAGACCGATGTCGCTGGTATTTCCATACCGCATGGTCTCACCATCCGGTCCGGCTCACCATTGATTGCACTCATCTTTTCCTACCCTAGGAACGCACCCCAGCTTGTACTCGCATACGCATACGAAATACTCCAGTAAAAATAAGCCCAGGACCTCGGCTCCTCGCCTTTGTCCCGTCTGGCCTAGTCTGGGTATTGCTGCTCGGGTCTACTTCCATCCATCCATCCTATCTACCTATAACTATCCATAGCGCACCTGGTCTACCCCATAATATCCAGGCAATTAGGTAGGCGTCCCCGAGGAACCGTTCGATCGGGATATTCCAAGCCGAGCTTGACCCTCCATCTTTCTCCTTGCCGGCCCAGCTCCCCGACACACCCTGCCGAAACGCACCGGCACTCATCCAATGAATTACACATACATAACACAAACCCTAACACTTCGGCCCTCGGGTCCTGCGAGTCACCTCATCTTCCTGCACTGCGCTGCACTGCATTGGCTATTAAATATGTGTGTTAGAGCTAGGTTCCTCCACCGTCCGTATCCTCGAGACGGAATTCCTTGGGACCAGCCTGGTACCACCCTCCCTGTCCACCAGGGAGTACAACAACTGTATCGAAGAAGGAATCGCATAAAACCAGCCCACTTTATACACAAGAGAATCTACAGCAATCTTCTCCCTATTAAAACAGCTGCTCTGCTTGGGTGTTAAACAACGTCGGAGATTTTGTCCTTCTTATTCCTCTTGATCTCGAAATAGTAATCACACTTTCGATATCGGCCTGCACTACTTTCGGTCCAGCAGGCGGGGCTACCCCACAGGCAACAACGATGCATCTGCGATGGGGCGAATTTTTGATGTTCTTCGTCGAGCTGCTTCTTGCTCTTTTCGTACATCCCTCGTGGTATTTCTTGCCCCTTGTGAACTTTTTTGTGTTGATAGCAAGTAAGGCAATACTGTTTCCACAATTGTCCTATAGAGGGTAGAAGGATGGCACAGTTTGGATTGGCACATTGTTTCCCCTGAACAGGCGGAGGGTGAAGAGGTTCTGCGTCTCTTCTGCGATGCCTTTCGCGAACTTCCTCTCTTCGGCGGTCCCCGTAATCATTCCAGCTGCTTTCGCACCTGTTTTGCCCAGCCATTCTGGAATCGCCGCAATCTTTACACGTATGCTCTTTCCGTTTTCCCCAATACCTAGCGCGAGTGTAAGCCTTATGGCAGCTGTCGCATCTTGGATAAGGAGGTATCACAACCAAGATACGTAAGCGCGAGCTTTTGCTCTTTCCCGTTCTTCGCGCATTGCCGCCGCCAATTGAGCGGGATTGACAGCAATGAAGCTGCTGCTGCATGTTGGTTGAGCAGGCTTGTTGAACCACCGCATTCAACACACGTAGGCCCTGTCTCTTCTTGCAGAGGGGCTTCTTTCGTGTCTCCTTCGTGATCGCGCGTGGAACTTTGGAGTTCACGCAATTTGAGCACTTCCATGAATTCAAAAGTCTCGGTCGGCCAGACTCCACACATACGAATGGAACTTGTAGCAATTGAAACCGAACACGTTTCCGGTGAATATGGCCGTCGATCGTAAACTGACCATGAACTCCGCAAAAATTCCACGCAACCGGTGTCTCCAGATGACATCTGTGGCATCGGCTTTTGGTGCTCCTCGTGGGAACTCCGCAGTCAACGCAGTGGCGATTTCAATATAGCATCTCGCACTTACAACATCGCTGCTTCCACTTGCATAGTATCGACACACTGCACAAAGATTTCGCGGGGCCATTCTGCAAAGCCAATAGCGCAAGATCAATGTCTCGGCTAGATAAGCTCGGGTCGGGCCCAGCGAGAGCATGTGCTCGTTGGTGGTATCGAGACCACTATGTACCTCCAGGATGGGGTCCTGCGACGCTCTTCAATTTATAGAAGGCAGCTTCGACTATATCTCATGCTGGCCTTTCAACTGCAGGAGGAGGAATTGCCGAGTAATGACTTGTACCTGGGGCTCTAAAGTGCCTTTCAGATATGTGTCATTATATCTATATTTTCATCCTAAGTAATGGTAAATTTCGGTTCCAACTGCCGTCGAAGTACTGTCGACTCTGAGTGTGCTTAAATAGAGCAAACTGACTCAAAGTACCCTTCCCTCAGTAGGTAGTAGTTAGCTACACTCAGAAGACTCTGTTGTTTGATGTGGCCATTCTGCTGAAGTGTATTTTCGATCTAAGTATAGTATTTCTTTTGCTCGTTAGTAGTGATTTGTCAGAAGAATCCGATGCACAGGAGAACGCTCCAAACCTTTTTGAGTGTTCCACTTTGAACCGGCAATGACAATCATGAGATCGTGATGGAACTAACGTGTTCTCCCGACTTTTGCATTAAGGCGTTTGAATCACGAGATGACGCGATGCGACACATAAGATGCCCAGCTTCGTCTAGTCGTTCTGCAGTAGTTGAGCCAGAACCGGTCCTCCAGAAGTAGCCAACACGAGTGTGTGAATACTGCTCTGAGTCATTTGTGTTAGTTTCCACCCAACAACCAGATCTGCTAACTCAGAGATTGCTCAGGGGGGACTAAGCAATGCACAGGCTGGGCTTTGAACGCCCACGACATTTTGGAACATGCAGGGATGTCGTTCAATTGCCCCTTCCCCGCCGTGCCGGTTTCGAAGCCAAGTTGCCACTTCCTCGGGCAGACACGAATGGTGGTTGAACACCTGAGCACTCATCACTCCCTTGTGACAGCGTCTTTTCACTCCTTCCTAGAATTCAATCTTCAGGAAGTATGAGGTCGACAAAGTATGATAGATCAAAACCTCACCTGTTTCGACCTGCTTTCTTCTGTAGACATGCATGCTAGTACTACCACCCTTTTCCACTTCCTGCCGCCATCGTCGACGATCATCCAGCAGGAGGGGCCTGCTGAGCCCCATCGTACGACTGCACCCAGGTCGATCAGAAGGTACACTTATCTCAAGAAAGACTTGATATTCATATTGCTAACATATCTAGCTGGCTCTTAACTCAATTTCGAGGGACAGCTATAATATCTGTAACTATAACATGTCAAAACAGACGTCAGTCTCCCTTATATCCTATTGCTTGGAATAAGGTTACTATCTCAAGGTTGTTGACTGCAGACAGCAAGGTCGTTGAATGCAGATAATAGGGTTGAAGTCAGAGGGGTTGAATGGAAGCTTCAGGCAGAGACCAGTGGGCAATAACCTTATTGTTCAGCTACTGTTTCTTCTGGTGCTGGGTGTAGCACTTATTGTTTATTCCTACTGTTTGAGATTACTGTATGGTTTTGATCTATCTGATGATATTGAGTAGAGCTAAAAAAAAAAAAAAGATTACATGTCAAAACTCAGTAAGCTAAGCCCTTGCTCAGAAGATCATAATATATACTTACTTATACCTAATAGAATCCATAACCTACATTAGTACCTTACAGTATCGAGATGGCGTTCGATGGGTCGAGGAAACCAAATTCCCCAGTTGTCCCTTCGATAACACTACCTCATTAGAGAACACCATGATCGAATGCCTAGTTAGAGTAGATGACTATGGCTTTCACCAACCTATTATCAACCTGCCTCCATTATAAGACATACAAGGGTATAAGACAGTTCGTGAATTTGATGTTTACTTCAGGCTGATAGTATCTGCCTGAAGTAGAACATTACGATAAAAAGTGCAATACTTTAGACTGTCAATGACGGACGTATCTAGGAACACAGCTCTGTGAGCAACATCCGCTGTCTATTGTAGAGGATCTTTGCTCATGTACAACGTAACAGGAAGGAATTAAGGGTACTTTGAATTGAGGTTCGAATTTTGTAATTCGCACCCCTAAAAATGTCACCGAATTCTTCGCAAATCCCGAGGCGTGCTATACAAAACCGACAGACGAAGAAACCGAATTTCTTGACAATCTCCGGAAGCATCGACAAACCTTTGTGACAATATAGAGTGCGTTGGGTCTACTTCTTATTCAAGCCGCGGTTATCGATTTGTGACGAAATATCGTTTTCGGGCTACATCAACTATAACTGTCCTACAATAGAGGATCTTTGGGCCTTGGCCGCAAAATTATTCCAGCGGATAGATCTCGTTTGGAGATATTATGATGCTCTTGTAGACAGTTTCATGCTATTTGATATCCTGTTGACGTATAAAAGAAAAGTCCACAGGCGTGCCGTGATACTTCCCCTAATACATCGATATCTTCAGCTTTTCTTACAATGTAGAAACCATAGAGAGTTAAAGTCAGTGTATTCGAAACGCTAGCTTACCAAACTCGGATTCTGAAGTGTATCTTGGACTTTGAAGTCATTTCAACCATCGTGCTTTAGCGTACGGTTAGTCTCGCTCGACTACAGAATACCGAGTCTAATGCGGGATGGAATACACAAAGTGATTTCAGTGTGACCTTCGCGCCGTGGGCGAGAAGGAGTTCATGGGCGACGTCAGACTGTGATACTGTGATTGCCACAACGCGTTGGCTTAGCTTTGAGAAATGACGAGGTTACCAACCTAAAAATGAAAGAAGTGAGGTTGGAGAAACTGCCTGGAGGTGAAAAGCGAAGTGGTGCCGAGTTACCTGACTGAGATAGGTCCGAAGTAGGCTAGCTCGACTGGGTCCCAGCCTCTGCTGTCCTGACCTCTAAAAGCAGCTTTGTATTCGACAACATCTGGCGGCTTTAATTACATTGCTTTCTTGACCGATGAAACAAAAGTACACCATCCCCCACTATTACAGCCCCCCACTACATACCTCACCCCACCAGATGCCATGCTTTAGCTAAATCGCTATAACCGGATCTACCCTAGTAAAGGAGCAGCCAATGTGTCCACATCCCTAAGCTGTCCATCGACATCGCATCCCGACATCCATTCACCGCGTCAGCTAACGATTGCAACAACAATACCCAGCGACGGTAGGAACTGTGTCAATACTATCGCGTCCGCATAGCCCGCGCGGAGGCAAGAACAGGCCGTTACCCCGTCGACACCCGTTTCCCTCAGTACTTTACCGTCAACCACATCGAGACCACGGCACACGATGGCCACAATGGATTACGAAGCGCTCAAGGAGCAATGGAGTGAGGTGGAGGATCGTGATGGTGTTCGCTTGAGCTGGAATGTTTTCCCCAGCTCCCGCATGGTGAGACGATAACACCGATCAAGTTTGCGGTCGCTCATGTTCTCGATAGGAAGCATCCAGATTGGTCGTCCCGATTGGAGCTCTCTACACACCCTTGAAGGAGAAGCCTGATACCCCCCTTCTCCAGTTTGAGCCTGTGACATGCAAGCAGCCCTGTCGCTCAGTTCTGAACCCTTTCTGGTATGAATACCACCCGAAGCCTGCTTGAACCTACCGAAGTTAACACCATTTTCAGCCAGGTTGATGTTCGTGCGAGAGTTTGGATCTGTCCCTTCTGCCTTTCCAGGAACCAGCTTCCACCTCACTACAAAGACATTACAGCCAACGCTATTCCTCCTGAACTTCACCCTGCCAACACAACAATCGAGTATCGCCTATCTAGGCCTGCTCCCGCCCCTCCCATTTTCCTCTATGTTGTCGATATGTGCCAGGAAGCGGATAGCTTGTCGTCTCTCAAGGAGTCATTGGTCATGAGTTTGAGCTTGTTGCCAGAGAATGCACTTGTTGGCCTTATTACATATGGCACTATGGTACTTGGCCCCTGTGACACCCTGGGAGTACCACACTGACGAACTTCAAGGCCCACGTACACGAGATTGGCTATGAAGAATGCGCAAAGTCTTATGTGTTCCGAGGCAACAAGGATTATTCTGCCAAACAAGTTCAAGAGATGCTTGGCCTCTCATCCGCCGGTCTACGACCAGGCATGCAGCCTCAGCCTGGTCGACCTCTGCCTGCTGGCCCAGCTTCCCGGTTCCTCTTGCCTGTCCAGCAGGCTGAATTTCAACTCACCAAAGCGCTCGAGTCGCTCCAAAAGGACCCGTGGCCTGTCGCCAACGACCATCGCAGTCTCCGATGCACTGGCGTCGCTCTCAGTGTAGCTGTTGGACTCATGGAGTCATCTTTCCAGAATGCTGGTGGGCGTGTCATGCTCTTTGCTGGCGGTCCAGCAACCGAGGGACCAGGCATGGTTGTCGGCCCGGAGTTGAGGGAACCCATTCGATCGCACCACGACATCGACCGAGATAATGTTAAGTATTACAAGAAGGCGTTGAAGGTGAGACTCACCATAGTACACGCTCGTCTCGCAGGTGCTGATAATGCCACATTAGTTTTACGAGAATCTGGCTAAACGGACTGCACACAACGGCCACATCATTGACATCTTTGCTGGCTGCCTCGACCAGGTTGGCTTACTGGAGATGAAAGGGCTTTGCAATTCGACGGGTGGACATATGATCCTTACTGACAGTTTCACATCCTCGATGTTCAAGCAATCATTTGTGCGAATATTTGAAAAGGATGGTGATGAGAATCTATTGATGGGATTCAACGCAGTTCTGGAGGTGCTCACTACCAAGGAGCTCAAAGTTACCGGGCTTATTGGACATGCCGTCTCTCTCAACAAGAAGTCGATTTCTGTGGGCGAAACCGAATGCGGCATTGGCAACACTTGTTCTTGGAAGATGTGCGGCATTGACCCGAAGTCAAGCTACGGGATCTACTTCGAAATTGCTGGTCAAGGCCCAGCAACACATCAACAGGCGCCTCAGAAGGGCATGATGCAATTCCTGACCTACTACCAGCATTCCTCTGGGCAATTCCACCTACGAGTAACCACGATAGCCCGGAATCTTAGCAGCCCGGCAGGCGACCCGGCAATCGCTCAATCCTTCGACCAGGAGGCGGCAGCTGTTCTCATGTCGAGGATTGCAGTATTCAAGGCAGAAGTAGACGATGGCCCAGACGTTTTGCGTTGGGTTGACAGAATGTTGATTCGTCTCTGTTCGAGGTTCGCGGACTATCGAAAGGACGACCCCTCATCCTTCCGGTTGGAGAAGAACTTCACCCTGTACCCGCAGTTCATGTTCCACCTTCGACGAAGCCAGTTTCTACAGGTTTTCAACAATTCTCCGGATGAAACTGCATTTTACCGCCATGTGCTGAATCACGAAGACGTCAGCAACTCTCTGGTTATGATCCAACCGACACTGGACTCATACACCTTTGACCAGGAGGGTGGCCAGCCGGTTCTTTTGGACTCGGCATCGATCCAGCCCACCCACATTTTGCTCCTGGATACCTTTTTCCACATTCTCATCTTCCACGGAGAGACGATTGCGGAGTGGAGAAAGGCAGGCTATCAGGAACAGGAGGGCTACGAGAACTTTGGCTCTCTTTTGGAGCAGCCTAAGGAGGATGCAAGGGTCAGTTTGAATCTGAACACATTTTGAGGGCCGCACTAACTCGCAGTAGGACCTTATCACGGATAGATTCCCTCTTCCTCGATTCATCGTCTGTGACGCTGGCGGGTCGCAAGCTCGATTTCTGCTGTCTAAGCTTAACCCATCGACAACTCACACCACCGGCCCTTACGGCGGTGTAGGAGCCACAACAGCTCAAACGATCTTCACCGACGATGTCTCCTTGCAAACCTTTATGGACCATCTGATGAAGTATGACCCCGCACCCAGTGGCAGCGTGCAACATGGCCTTGACACTAACCCATTTTTCTTTAGGCTTGCTGTGAGCGGAACCAATTAATTCCAATTGACCAGTGGCCCGGTGTGACGGAAGACATCCGCTGGCTTTCCTTTTGAAAAGCTTCATAGGAGCCAAGTCTCACCCGTTTTGGGTCGTGCTTAATGAATGAGACCACTTTTAACCAGACACTTTGGGAGCGAGAAGATTGATGGACCAAAAGGATACCCCGCCAGATGATTACAGTGTGCGCACTTCATTGAGGATCGGGCAGGGTCTAAATAGCAGCAGCTCGTTGTGCTAATCGGCCATCTCTGCTTGATTTCTGTGACGGCTTCGTATAGAGCCCAGTAGACGAATAGATTTGGGCTAGTTGACTTCCTCTTGACAACTAAGGTACATGGTTCGGTGCACTCCGAGTTCCAACAAGTGAATTGACAGTCACGTGCTCGGACCTCATGCCTGAGGCATGAATATTCGCGCCTTGCAGATTTGGCGATTAGGGCAGGTTGGTGGGGCACACAGCTTTTTTTTTATTTCCTTCGACAAACATTGTTCCCCCTCCCTCCCTCTCACAACTTCACCTCTCTCGATACTCGGCACGCAAACCACGAGCCTCTGCCAATTTCAAACACGTCAAAATGCGTATGTTTTATGACCTCCAACTCTCTGAAGCTTTCTGACCTCCTTTCCAGCTCCTAAGTTGGATCCCAATGAGGTGAAGGTCATGTAAGTTTGAGGCGATCAGGTCGGATTTTAGAGGACTGGACTGACTGGACCAGCCACCTTCGAGCCACTGGTGGCGAGGTCGGTGCATCCTCTGCTCTCGCTCCTAAGATCGGTCCCCTGGGTCTTTCGCCCAAGAAGGTCGGAGAAGACATTGCTAAGGCAACTGGTGACTGGGTATGCCATTGAACCCGAGATCTGCGTGGGGCTGAATTAACACGATAATAGAAAGGCTTGCGCGTAACTGTCAAGCTCACCATCCAGAACCGTCAAGCCGCTGTTTCTGTCGTCCCTACTGCCTCGTCCCTCATTATCAAGGCCCTGAAGGAGCCCCCTCGCGACCGCAAGAAGGAGAAGAACATCAAGCACAACAAGTCTGTCAGCCTCGACGAGATTATCGAGATTGCTCGCACCATGCGCTACAAGTCTTTCGCCAAGGAGCTGTCTGGCACTGTTAAGGAGATCTTGGGTACTGCTTACAGTGTGGGATGCCAGGTCGATGGCAAGCCCCCACAGTCTATCATTGAAGCCATTGACAGCGGCGACATCGACAGTAAGCCCCCTCATATCTTGTCCACCATTTCCAAGCTAACCTCAATTACAGTTCCGGAAGAGTAAATCATGGCACTTAGATTAGACAATCAGGTGCTAACCTTCTGAATTGAAGAAATATTTCCAATGCAAACGAACAGCAGCGTGGCGCGCATGTGTGTGTATGTGTGGGTGACATGAAGCCAAACAAGCTTGACCTTGTCTGAAATATGCCAACCTACTCTGTGGTCTATTTCTATTTTTTGTTCAAGGAATACCAACCTAACTACTCGTGGAACGGCCCCATAATCACCGCGACACCGGCAATACTGCCGTCGTGGATGTTGAGGTCCACTAACTGGGCCTACCGCCCTTCCCAATATTCCAGGAGATGGTTGCGACTCCGACTACCTGGTCGCAAATGCATGATTGTCCAGTTTGGTGCACAGCTTGCTGCGCTGAAGAAACGCGCGCGGCTGAGGATTCATGGCAATTATCCCTGACGCGTTCCAACACAGCTGACCCCAGCTCTAAGCGCGTGGCTAGGACTCAACAATCAAGGATGAGGGAAGCTTGAGAGCAATGCTTCCTAGTGTTTAATGACTCGGCATTCAAATAAATCTTTGATGACCGACGAAAAAATGAGGTATGACCACCTTTGCATAATTTATTTCCTCGTCACCCACCAGGTGTGACATGGTCGCGGTGATGATGTCGCGAGGCAGATGTGCATGAGGCACTGTGGTGAGTGTGACGCCGCAACACGCGCTTATTGGCCAGAGCGTTAAGCGTTGGCATGCAACCTGGCCTGACGAGCCCGGCAGGCAGACACCTTACCTCAGCGGCCTCATCCTTCTAGGGTGGAGCCTTGCCCGCCTCCATCATACCGGCCGATTCTCGTGCTTTCAACCTCCACTTATCGGCCTAAGGTACCACCTTGCACTACGAATCCCACCTCCAGATAATGGCGTCCCGCCTCTGATGCGCAACTTAAGATCCACTCCACCTACCGTCGCAACGCTCCTCTTCAACCACAACAGACGCCTACACCTGCGCTGGCCTCGTCAGATCTACTAGAGTCGGCCTGCCAGGTTGAGACGGGCAGATTCCTCACGGCGCTGGTGCTAGTTTTTCGGCGTTGGCGTGGTCCTCGCCCGCACAGCCAGCCCCAAATGCCCGTCAGCTACTTGATCAGCGACTCGATCAACGACTCGATCAGTGACTTCATCTCCCAGCGCCGAACCCCCTCGCCATGCTCTTTGACTAGCAGGCCATGAACGACCGTTATCTGTCAGCGTCGTCATCTTTGAATTCCCCGCTTTTGCCATTTGTTCGCCCAGATACCCCGTTGTCATGTTGCCTCTCCTTCAGAGGCCCCCTCATGCGGTGACGCCGCCACCCTCGAACCGCGATGCCTTCACCCCCTTCCCAGGCAACGATGCCTCGTCGGTCAACGGCCATTACCCTCGAGACGTTTCCCTCGCGTATCAGCGCTCGTTTCCCATCCGCACCTCCCAATCACATCGTCGACCCTCCACACCCGCAAGCTCACTCTACCGCTCTTATCCCGAGTACCATCTCCGCCGGAAGACACCCAACGGCACTATCGATGCTGGCTACGACGGATCGCCCACTCCTCTCTCCCATGGCCCGCCACCTTTGAAGCACCTGGGTCTACCTAGGTCCGCGACATCCACGGCATTTCCTCCGACAGCCCCGGCGGCACTGCCACTCCGTAGCCACAACCTGGTCACTGACCATCGCCAGTCCTCTTTGCCTGGCAACCAAGGCGTCGACGATGATGGTAGGCACATTCATATGGGCTCTGCGCCGTGGCCGTTTACCAGTGACATGTCAGGGCTTCCAGGCGCATTCCTTGAAAGCCCCCAGACTCTTATTCCTCCTGGACGGCAGCATCAATCTGTCGCCTACCTCGATGCCTCGGGGATGTTCCCCAGCATTTATCAACCACTTTTGAGGGCTAATGAGTATAATGTTCGCGCTTTTTGCCCACCCCCGGTGGTTATGAATGACTCTTTGCCACTCGGCCAAATACCCTTGCATGCTACTCCTTCACCTTGGAATCATGGAAACTACGTCCAACCGTGTGAATCGAGCCTATTGGGATCTGCACAACAGGATATCGGACCCAAGTCTCACAAGCTGGTGCCAGAATTTATGCACCACCCGTCGTTTGACGGCTCTATTGAACAAGACGTCACATTCAATACCCCACACCCTCGGCACAGCGACATCGAGAATTTAGGGCTTGATTCGAGGAGGAGTATTCAACACCATTCTTACTCTCTAGAGTTCCGAGGTCAACAAGGATTTCGAGAAAAGGTGCTGGTACAAGCTCATAGGAGCTATATGGATCTTCTTACCTACCTCCAGACGTCGAGAAGATCGCAACCTGGGAAGGCCAATTCTGGTCTCGGCACTGTCCCGAAGCTGCTAGTATATCCCAAACCCCCGAGGCCTTCTTTGAAGATTCTGGAAACTGGGGAAAGGGGTGTATCAACGAGTTTTTCTGAGAGAGATCGTGGGCGAAATTACCACGTTCGGGGCTATTCATCGACGCATCCGCTAGGATCTTTCAACAATTCCTTTTCCGGAGGAAAGATGTCAACCCTTTCCACGGCGAAGTCTTCGCTCGAAATGCTGAATAGCCTATGTGAGCAGAGCGGATGGAATTGGATTGATGGGATTTTGGTTGGGGGGTGTCTCCATTATGGAATGGAACAATACGAAGAGGCATTGGAATGGTTCTCGAGGATCATCACTCTTGACTCGAGGTAAAGACTTGTCCCTAGCGAACTGTCAAGTGGCTGTTCCATGGTGTCTGACTCTTTCGCAGTCACGTCGAGGCTATCACAAACATGGCTGCCACGTTATACTGCCTCAATCGCCAAGACGAGGCCGAGCAGCACTGGATCAGAGCCGTGAAGGTGCAACCTAGCTATTTAGAAGCTGTCGAGCACCTTGTCGGACTCTTGTATAAGCAGCGCAGTAAGGAAGCTGTCGACATCATCAACTACGTGCAGCAGGCGCTGACCTTGTCATCCTCCGGATCCATACGGCCGGCGCGAGTACCTGCTGGCGGACCCACTCCGCAGGGGGCCTTTCCTGGCACTACCATGCCTCACAGTTTCCAAATTGCTGACTTGAAGCAGGCGCAGCATCATGGGGTTGCACCTCAACCAGGTGACACAAAGACACCAGGTTTTGGATCGAGCGGCTATGCCATACCCGGAAGAGAGAATGGGCGAATCCTTGCCCTGATCCACGCGAAGGGGACTATGCTGTACAGCCTAAAAGAAGTAAACGGGGCCTCGGCCGCCTTTGAAGAAGCGGTGCTGATTAGCGTCGGTCGTCATATGACGGGTATACCAGACCTGGTGCGTCGAATCCAAACAGTCCTGTCTCCTACAGAACCAAGACCAGCCCCGCGTGGCCAGATTTCACATCCCCTCCGGCCCCTGTTATTGCCTCCCGAAAGAGCTCGACATACCGCCCATCTTGTGTTTGGCGGCAGCGGAGACCTCCCAGGTCTTCGATATGTGACTGAGGGCACGACAAAGCGTGCTGCAGTGCAAACAACCAGTAATTCGCTACTTTCGCTAGCCAAGATTTTTCAGGATGGTCTGTCAAGTGGGCATGCTTCCCCTGATGTCCCCCGACGTTCCTCAGGAGTCGAAGATATTCTAGCCCTCTACTACCTTTCCCTGTCTCTTCAGGAAAGCCCCTCAACCGCAAATAATGTCGGGATTCTTCTCGCAGGAGTACAGCAATCCACTTCGAGCTCTTACGGCGCCAGCATCGACATGTTTCCCCAGCCCAATATTCCAGGGATCATACCGGGAAGCGGTCTAGCTCTCGCTTTAGCGTACTATCATTATGGATTACGCTTGGATCCTAAACACGTTCACCTTCATACAAACCTCGGCAGTCTTCTGAAAGACATTGGCCAACTCGACTTGGCAATCCAAATGTATGAACAGGCTGTGTCGTGTGACGGTACTTTCGATATTGCCCTGACGAATTTGGCCAATGCAGTCAAGGACAGAGGTCGTATTAGCGACGCCATAATGTACTACAAACGCGCCGTCACTTCAAATCCTGACTTTGCCGAGGCTGTTTGTGGTCTATCAACAGCCTTGAATTCTGTCTGCGACTGGCGAGGTCGGGGTGGGGTCATGCTTCAGTCTGGAAAGTACGACCGCTGGCATGTTGATGAACGAGGGTTGCTCGTTGACGCCCGCTCTTTGGGGCAGGAGAACGGCCTCACTAGCCGAGTTGTCCGCATCATCAGCAAGCAGCTGAATGAAGCGTCACAATGGGGACGGGGCATCCTCGAGGACAAAGCTATCATGGCCTTGGCCGGACAAGTTCGCGATCTGGGCTCGACAAGCTCTTTTCAGCCCGAGAAAGCCCTACGCGACTGGGCTGGCAAGCCCTGGGAAGGATCACGTCTCATACGCCTAGTGGAACGCACCACTCGGGCAACGCAATGGAAGTGGTACCGTGATCGTTACGTTTCCCGCTCCAAGTCAACTTCGCGTTATTTACGGCTCCGATTACCTCCTAGCCTCACTGTTCCGTCGGCGCCAACTGTCCTCCCGTTCCATACATTCACGTGCCCCCTCACCGCAAGAGACATTCGCATCATCTCACAGCGAAATGCGATCCGAATCTCCTGTTCAACTCTGCGACTGCCTTGGATACCGGCCACAGTCTACCCACCACCCCCACCCCCTAACCCTCAACTGAATGTGGGCTACGTGTCATCCGATTTCAACAACCACCCCTTGGCCCATCTGTATGACCCCATTTACTTGTGCTAGAAGTCGATGCTGAAGAGGCTAACCCATGTGGTAGAATGCAATCCGTCTTTGGTCTTCACAATCCTCAACGGACCCGGGCCGTTTGCTACGCTACAACGGCAAGCGACAGATCAGTCCATCGCAATCAAATTGAACGGGAAGCCCCTGTGTTCCGGGATGTCAGCAACTGGCCTTCAGAGAAGCTGGTAGAGCAGATTGTTCGAGATGAGATCCACATCTTGATCAATCTAAATGGCTATACCAGAGGAGCCCGAAACGAGATATTCGCGGCCCGCCCTGTCCCGGTGCAAATGTCCTTCATGGGATTTGCAGGAACCATGGGCGCTGAATGGTGTGACTACATTCTTGCAGACAGCACTGCGATCCCACCAGGGACACTTCGCCCTTGGCGGGCCAATGTTGGGGTTGAGGATATCTTCCACGATGACACCGAGGGTAATGGGGGCGATTGGATGTACTCTGAGAACATCATTTTCTGTCGCGATACCTTTTTTTGTTGCGACCATGCCCAGTCTTGCGACGCGAGTGAGAGGCAAGTGACGTGGGAGGAGGAGCAACAGCGCCGATGGCAGATGCGCAAGGAGCTGTTTCCAACCCTTCCCGATGATGCCATCATTTTGGGAAATTTCAATCAACTATACAAGGTGAGTGTTGTTGGCCGATTGAACATCTCAGACATTGACCATATCCAGATTGAGCCAACGACCTTCAGATCCTGGCTGCGGATACTGGCGCAGGTACCGAAGGCGATTCTCTGGCTTCTACGATTTCCAGAACTTGGCGAAGTAAATCTACGGCGCACTGCCAAGGCATGGGCAGGAACTGAGGTTGCTAGCCGCATCGTATTCACAGATGTTGCGCCCAAGAGCCAACATATCTCACGTGCGCGGGTGTGTGATCTCTTCCTCGACACCCCCGAATGCAATGCACACACAACGGCGGCAGACGTCCTGTGGTCAAGTACGCCTTTGCTCACGCTCCCGCGGTACCCTTACAAAATGTGCTCCCGAATGGCGGCGTCAATCCTGAAGGGAGCACTCCCCAAGTCGGCTGAGGGCCGGCAGGTTGCTTCGGAACTGATTGCTGGAAGCGAAGCAGAATATGAACAGCGGGCGGTCCGACTAGCCAGCGGGCTCAGTTACGACATGACGGATAGCAGATTTGGGGAAGGACATGGGCGACTGGCAGAGATGCGCAAGTTACTCTGGGATGGGAAGTGGAATTGTGGACTGTTTGATACCCGCCGGTGGGTTGACGACCTGGAAACGGCGTATGAAGAGGCTTGGCGACGCTGGGTTGCAGGAGAGAGCGGAGACATCTGCCTCTAAAAACGAGGTCAGGGACACATGAGGACAGCCATATGAGAGTGGACGAGGTTGGTCAGTTGACCCCAACGAGCTGGCTTGTAGACGAAGTTGAGCGCCTCGCTACCCTATGACATCCTAGACGGGCAAGTCTAGGGCTGGGGGAACGGCGAAGGAGCCCTGGACGAGGCTACTGGGGAAGGGAAGGGACTTGCGTCTTCTTCCCTCCCTCTTTCTCTCGGCATGTTTTGATTAAGCTGGTCTTTGTATGCTGGGACGGGACGGGATGGATAGCTTCCTTGATTTATTGCTTGCTTCGTTGTTGTCCAGTTGGTCGGCCCAGGTAGAGCGAGCGGGTGGATAGAAAATCCCTGCATGATCGAACAGCACGTTGGGTCGGGAGTTTGAAGTGCAACGATTGCCATCTTATCCCGTCCCATAACTGCCTATCTTACCCAGATACGGAGTGTGAGGCGGTAAAAGAGGTATGTAGACAGGCAGTTGGGTCGATAGAGATCTCGTCGGCGCTGGCAGACACTCTCACACTCACTCACAACACATCACTACATCACGACATCACGATACAGCCTACTGAAACTAGCGAAGTCGTCTGTCAACCAACCAACTTACCAAGGGTACTTGTCTACCTGCCTATCTGACTCCGTGCTACACACCCACTCATCTGGTGCGCATGCATTATCGTCTACTTATACTATGTATGGACTGCCAGGCACCACCGGTCGCTTTGAGGGCTATGAGGACTCCCAGGAGAGTTAGAAGTGTCTTGGACCTGGCGCCAACGACGACTGCCAGCTGACGAGGAAAGCAGGGGACAACGGGATGGGATTGGCCCATGGGCGACGGCCGAGCAGGACCCAGGGGACGCAGCGAGCTGAGCTGAGCTGAAAAACCGTTGCCCGGCTCGCTTGGTCTGTCCCGGGAGGGTTTAGGGCAAGAGGGAAGCCTGACGCCACAACGGTTTTTGCTTTTAGTGGCCGAAGGGCCATTCGGGTAGGGGGGGCTCCATTACCGCCGGGGCGGAGATGCAGACTATTGGCAGCAGCGCCATCTGGTCGCCCGGCGATCCCTGCGGTTGACTTGTGCCCACCGGGGGGCGTGTCGCCGCGCGGTGAGGGAGAAGATGGTGCGTGAGGGGGCAGCTGAGAGCCAGCGAACCAGCCTGCGAGACCTGAAGGGGGGTGGTGTGTCGTGTGTCGAGTGTCGAGGTGTGCTTGTGCGTCGTGTGTCTATGCAGTAGGCATGGGCGTGGGCGAGGGCGTGCAAGACAACATCCGTCCATGTGTTGCATATTCGGGCAATTTGTCAGTGTCGTCGATGGTGATTCGCCCACATACAAGTGTTTCATTCGATCGCGCCGAGCTTGGACTTGGGTCGCATCTCAAGATGTCGGTCTCTTCCGGGCACCATACTCTGGAAACGACCCGGAAGAAAAGAAAAGAAAAGAAAAAAGACACAAACTCGCTGCACGGTGTTCTAGTGTGTGAACAAAGGGACACATCCCCGCTATGGTCTCGTTCAAAGACCAGCCATCAGCAGGTCTGTCTTGCTCTTTTCTAAGCTTTGCAGTCGCTGGTATGTTTGTTGTAGTAGCAAGGCCTCCAAAGCCCGTGTTTACCTACCTCTAGACAGATACCGGCAGTTGAGTCACCTAGGCGGTGCAACGGGGCGAGTCAGGTGTACCATGGAGCCTCAGGCTTGATCGCGGGTAGCCTGGTACCTGGAGTCAAGTACTGCATACTATTCTTCCTGTACCGATCTTGCGCCCTATTTGCGCAAGCCCTCAATCCAAAGTCGAGAGGATACTCAGAGACAGGGGGTTATCCGCTTCAGTGACCTAGCTGATAAGTCCAGTCACCACCAACCGGTACCTCGGGGCACAGTACGTATCGAAGCGGAAGCGGAAGCGGAAGCGCCTCCACCGATCCAACTGAAAACACGACGATCCCAACCAGGTGGCTCAGGCCAGCAGCCACCCGTTGTCGATGATCGCCCTGCCTCAACCCCCGGCCCCGGCAAAATCCCCAGCTAGCTTGCTGCTGCGCGATGGCGCTGGCGCTGACGGCGATGGTGACGGTGACTGTGACTGGGAGCCTGCAACAGCAACACTGGGCCTGAGAACAGCTCCTCCACACGCTTGCTCAACCGCCCTGTGCATTAGCTGCTAAACGCACCAACCTGTCTCTCTCCAAGAACGATAACTAGCTTTGGGCGTGGCAGTACCACCCAAGAACCGGAAGCAGACAAGCAGACGAAACTCGAAAGCCACGCAAAGAGTCAATTGCGACGGCTACGGCGAGGGTTTTTTTTTTTTCGTTGCGGCTTGACTAGAGGCCCTGCCCGCCCGCCCGTAGGCCGACGGATGGACCGACGAACAGATGGACCGACGGATCAAGCAAGAGAGGGCGGCGGGCGGCGTTGTCAACGAGACCAGATCAAACTCTGCTTGGATATTCATTGCCTGATGCGACTCGGGGTTGACGAGAGCAGCCAGAGAGGTTAGAGGTTAGAGGCTAGAGGCTTGAGCTGGCGCTGGGCTCTGGTGGCTTGGTTGACGGCAAGGTCCGGCCAGGATGGACCGACGACAGCAATCTGCCACTCCACCACGGCGATGTGAGGGGTTCTGGATTCGACGACGGTGATTCTCTCGTCCAAGGGCCCACACACTAACACTAACCCCCTCCTAGATGCAGCTCGACATCACCCAGAGAACGTAGTACATGAGCACGTCGGCAAACGACTTGGGACTGGCGCCGAAGGACAGCGTTGAGACACCTCGCCGGTGAACTTGATGAGCGGCCTTGGGAACCTTCAACCGGCGGGATCATGTGGAACAACTGCCCAGGACGTCTCCGCATCGATCCGCAGGTAGGTTGGCATTGCAGCTTGGCACACTCCCTCGTCTCCCTCGTCTCCCCGGCTCGCCTGAGCGCCCGACCTGGAGCCCGGGAAGCCCGCCTGGCCGCCGTCTCCTGTGCGCTCGCACCATCCCATCCTTCTGAACGTGCAGCTCCAGCTCCAGCTCCAGCTCCGTCCGTGGTGAGCGAGCCCTCTGTCCTGGTGGCTTGTCCGTCACACTAGTCTCACTGCATCCGGGGCAGCGAGCCGCCGGGGGCAATCCTCGATGGAGGCGGCCCCGACTGGGTGGAAGCAGGGCAGGGAGAGACACTGGGCCGAGGGAGCTGGATGCGAGATGATGATGGGTCGTCAACCACAGCGGAGAACATCGCATCCGGCGAACGTGCCCACCCAAGTGACCCAACCACCCACCCACGAACAAGCCCAGTCAGCCTGTCAATTGCCTTGCCCACAGACTGGACGCAGCCCAATACTTTTGCTGGCTTGCATCACCTTGGTTAAAACCACCACCTTGACACCCGCCCCTATTCACACCCCCGTCACACACCCCTATTTGATGCCTCCACCCCCCCTCCAGCGCCGCTGCCCCATCCATGGCCCGCCCATCTATCAACAGCGGCATCCTAGTAGCAGATCGAGAAAGTTTGTCGTCAGGGTGGTTAAGTTGGGGCCTCACCCCCCCCCATTACGACTTGCTTTTCCCCATACATTACGCTTCATGCCAAAGACTGGCCCCATCAGCCCCATCCAGCCCTCACGGATATTTCATCACTCACCTCCCTCTCGTCTGGACATACCATATCTCTCCAGATTATATCTGCATCACTTCCGTGCTTCGACTTGTATTAGACCTCATCAACGCCCTTCTATTTTCAATCATCTCTACCCCAATCAGCGCCTTAATATCACAACATCATCCCACCCACGCCCACTTCACCGTCCATCAAGAACAATCACCACCGGCCGTCGTCATCCGCCTACTGCTTTATTGCCAGCACCCCCGAACTATTCCTGGTACTCCCCCCGCCATCATGACTGCCCACAGGAGAGGTCCGTGGTCCAATGCCGAAGACTCTTACCTGATGCAACTGGTTCAAACACACGGCCCCCTCAACTGGGTGCGGATTGCCCAAACCTTGGGCTCACGAACGCCCAAGCAGTGCCGTGAACGCTACCATCAGAACCTAAAGCCAACGCTCAACCACGACCCCATCACACCCGAGGAAGGCCTTCAGATCGAGCGTTTGGTGCATGAAATTGGAAAGCGATGGGCCGAGATCGCCCGTCGGCTCCATGGACGGAGTGACAACGCTGTTAAGAACTGGTGGAACGGTAGCCAGAACCGCCGCAAGAGGCTGGACCGCCGACGCGCAGTCCAAACCTATGACGAACACTACAGTCGGACAGCACTCTCTATTTCAACGCCAACACTTCCCCTGCCGAGGACACAGTCATCCACACAGTCCACCCAGGGCCACCGGCACCCTATGCCATGGGTGGAAGCACCTCTCCCGTCTCCTTGCTCATCTGAATCCGCCGAGTCAGATTCAGGCTCCAACTACACAACATCGCCGGGCCGGCATCCATTATCGCTGCATATGCCGGTTGAGTTGCCCCCACTCCGCACCGCCGCGGTGCCGTCTGGTGATCCCAAGCTTCCCAGCCTAAGCTCGCTGGCCTCGCCCACCTTTGGAGACCGACGCGAATCTCAGTCTCGACTACCTCCACTGGCACCCCAGAACCAGCTGCCTACAGCACCAAACTCCCCCGCCCAACAGCACCTTCAACTACGACAACAGCCGCAGGCGCTCTCGGACAAGGACTCGCGGATGAATGTGGCTGCTCTCCTGGGGTGAAAATCCGTGTATACTAGCACTGCGATGAACATTGCCAAGGCAGCCGTACCCCAGCACCCGAAAACCCGAAAGAGAAAGAAAAAAAAAGCAGCACACACTCGCACAACGCCTGCGTATACACACCATGGTTAGGGCCAAGCCGCAAGGGGGGTATGACAAGGACGACGTATGCTGAGGGTTAGATTTCTGACATCAGAGTCTAACCATAATTCTCACCAACGCGGGCCTGCCTACCGTTGCCGAGCACACGTTGGCTGCGAAGTCAGGCAGGTATCCCAGCGCCAACCCCAATTGAAGGCCAGGGTAATGAAACTTGCAGTGGCATTATGAATGTCACGCACATAACAGGGCTTCGAGCCACGATGCCACGACTGCAGAGAGGGTGCACCAAAGCCAAGCCGTGTTTAAGACACACGGTGCTTGGAAGGACGATGGCAAAAAGCAAGTAGGGCCCAGGATTTGTGGCGCTCATAGTTAATAGCAGGGAGAGGCTTGTAAATTACGTGAACAGACGGACGTTACATAGAGATTGAGGAAGATTGAGATGAAGTACATAGATCGAATTGACATGTGTCGACTTCATTGAAGGGACGGTGAACGAATGTGCATGAACAAAGTCTTGAGGTTATCAATGTCTACAGCCTACTCTGGGGCGTGTGAGACCCGAGACAAGACAACCCGGCCGAGCGACGTGCGAATACGGTTTCGCAGCGACAGCGTGGATGGCAAGCCCGCCCAGTGTACGGGAGGCTCTGCCTGATGATGCATCACGGATGGCGTACACATTGGGTGGGAGACGACAGCAGTAGACCCCTGGCTTCCGATGGCAGTGGGCATACAGAATCCGCACCGCACAGCAGCGCCTGGGAGGTTCCCTTATTAGATCCGTTCCAGAGAGTTGCCAGGCCAAGTCAGCAAAGCACTTTGGTTTCGGATAGAGAACATATGCTGCGGTGTGGTAGTGGGAGTTAACTAGTGGATAACCAGCCAGACCATGAGACATTAGTGGTGCCTGTGAGCCAGCAACATGCAGGATCTCCAGTCCTCTCTTGCTGTGAGGGATGGGTGCAGTGGACAGGATCCCACGGTATTGGGCGGCATGCAATTCTTTTCGCCTTGCTTATTAGAGGAGCCCCTCACCTCGCCTCGCCTTGCCTTGCCTTGCTTTGCTTTGCCTTGCTTTTTGCCTTGCGTGCCATCGGATCCGCTGAAGCCCGTGTTGGTGCCGGCCAACCAGGCCCTTGTTGGCACCGTGGGGGGGGGGGGGGGATCCTACTGCACATGTGCCACCAGGCAATCGAGCTGGGGCCCATGCGCTCTGCTTGGACAGAAGCGTCGACTTGGCGTTGACTGGAATGCTGCGGCCGAGGGTGGTGTTGTTTTGGTCGAGGTTTGATTTGATGGCTACAGTGCGTGGCACAGTATCCAAGATTTGGTTTGGCGACTACCCGTTGGACATTTTGTGATTTATTTTTTATACTTCTGCCTCCCGAGCCTGGTGTGTAATTCGTGTGTAGTGATCGTGTGTAGTGACGAGACGATGGGTGTTGATAATGGGCAACTAACCCACGATGGGTGACGGAGAATGGAGGGATTGGGGGCATCGGGAGGGGGTTTCGGCAGGATCGACGTCGATCTGCAAGGTCTGGACTGCATTGTCATATCCGATCCAGATGCCCATATCTCGATTGCCTCCATGCCCTATCCGACGACCCCCTCCCCTTGTCTCCTTGTCCCCTTGTTCCTTGTCCCTTGTCTCCACCTCTTGTCCCTCGGCCCCCCAAAACGGCTCCGGGTCGCTTGTCTCACACTGCTACTGGCTGGTTGGGGTAGGGGTCTGGAGGTGGAGTATTCCCGGCAAGTGCGTGCTTTGTACGAAGTACAGTGCTCCGTACCTACCTTACCTAACTTACCTACCTACCTAGGTACTGCACAGTGAAATACCTGGGAGGCGGGGCCCAATAGGACTCCTTCCTGGGGGGGGAGGCGCGCCGCGGGTTGGCGCCTCCATCGTTAGAGCCTTTGAAGCGCAGCTCGGGACAGAAGCTTCCCGGGACACCTGGCGCCGCCGTTTATTGCTTTCATCACCGGCCAGCGCCCAAACCAGCCAACCCAACGTCGCCAACAAGGGTCTTACTGCCTCTTGGCCCCGTCGCCCGCCGCCCCGTCGCCCCGTCGCCCGTTTTGGGCTGGTGCTTCGGGCTTAGCCTTGTCTTGGCTGCTTTTTCCGGCTGCCTGACCTGAAAGGAGACTGGCCTGGGCTGAACGAAACGAAACGAATGGGGAAGACGGCTGGCTGGGGTTTTCCCAGTCTGGACCTAGCATCTGGGACCACCACCTGGGGACACAATTGTTTGTGTCTACGGCAGCCAACCAGTCGGCTTATTGTTACCCAACAACTGACCATGTGCTGCAAAGTACCGACCCAGGTATCTATTCGCCTCCCCACTACGGAGTACCTACGTAGCAAGTATCTATTTTCCCCCCCTACCTGCCTTTCCCACTCCGGCATCAGCTCGCTACACACTGACCATTGGGGTGCGGGTGAAAGCCAATTGGCAACAGAGTCCGGAGTGCCCAAGGCCAAAGCTCCCGTCGCTGGTTCGCACGCCAAAACACCAACGTTGAGACCGTCGTTGCTGGGCCCTGTCCTCACCCGCATCTTGGCCCGATCCGCTCGGTGGCCCTTGGACCGTTCCCGACGGCGCCAACGCCAAATCAAAGGGAATTGGGATTGGGAATATCCACGCCCCCCCTCCCCCTCCTTCAAGCCCCAAGCCTCTAACTAATCCTAAATTCCAAATTCCTAATTCCAACCGTCGTCCAGTGTCTTCACTAGAGTGGTGGTCTGCTAGGCCCCCTTCCCCCGCCCATCTTGATCCATCTACCTCAAGAACCATGATCCATGGCTTTGGCAGGGGCCTCAGCTCATCCACCGTCATGTCGATCCTGCTTCTGGGATTGCATCAGGGCCACTAGAATCATAGAACAGCCTTTCAACCCAGCGAACAATCTCGGCCCCAATTTACTTGCAAGCATCTGCAAGGGACGTACTCTGTACATGTACCGATACACACACGCGCTGGGATCTGTACTGGTTACTGTAGTGTCACTCGAGTCAGGCAAATACGGGCCGCGAGCACGAGAACGATGACTCTCTCCGTACATTGTCAACACTGTACGTACTGGTAGATTGACGCTGACCAGCTCGTGAGTGCCTGTGTTGCCACTACCGATCTTTTACTGGGTGTCGGACTCGCGGGTGCGTCACCCCCTGCCTGAGCTTGCGTGCATGCACGTCCCGAGCGAGAGATATGTGACGTGTAGCCTCTACATCGTTCACATCCGTAACGACCACCAGGGCAAATAATGCCAGATCCTTGATGTTGACTTGACAAGCTTGGGGCTGGCTTGGAGTCCCTGCAGAGAAGAGGGATGCAACTGCAACCCCGTGCACTATCCACCAGTGAGAGAGGGTATAACATCCCTGTTAGGATACGAACACATGCATCGATTGGATCCCCACGAGGAGCTGAAAACCTGGAGTTGCAAATCGAGAAAGTGAAGGAACCGCAACCAAAGAAAAAAGCAAGTATTGGGAAGGGAACCCCATCTTCATTGCGGAGCGTCTTGAAATGAAGAAAGAGTGATGAGGGCAAAGGAAAGGAATTCGCCAAAGCAAAAGAAACCAATGTCGAGCAAACAAAAGAGAGAGAGAGAGAGAGATGGAGAACGCTCTGGAGAGTACTGGAGACCAAGACACCCAGAGATCCTCGGCTGCAATTGGTCAGGTCAAGGCGCAACCATCCTCGACAGAAAGGCCAACGGAAGGCCTGTCATCCGGTTCTGAGGCTGGCTGACTACCCTCCTGGTAACGTAGATGGCTCGTGTTGGATGGAGCTGCTGAAGCCCGCAGCTGAAGTTGCAGCTTGCAGGGGGCAGGGATAGAAATGCCCTCGCAAGTTGCTAACGCTCTCCAACAAAGGCATGACGCAGATTCTGGCGACCGGCGCGTAGCCTATGGGTGCCGTATCCATCCCGTCGGGCGGTAAGGCAAGGTACCTTGCTTGGCCGTTATTTTCCATCTTGTTTCTTTTCTGGCACAAGACACCAGATCATGGTGCGAGACACAGAGCCGGGTTTCGCATGGGTTAGGTGGGCGGGTGTGGGTGTGAGAGTGGGTATGTGGGCGTTGAGATTTTTGTGGAATTCTTTGGTCCCGATGGTGATGGTTGTTGTGTTCACTCGCAATCGACCGCGCCAGCATCGCATCGCATCCCCATCATTGGTGTCGGCGATGGCGCCGGCGTCGGCGCCGACGTCGTCATCCACCTCAACCGCAGCATCATCGTCATGGCCCTCACCATGGCTCTCATCACCCGACTCTGGTCGCGCGTGCAGATCGTCTTGGCGGAGAATGGCCTGGATAGGGGTTTGGGGGGGCCAGACAGCTTTGTGAGGGCGAACATCGAGTCCGTTTCTGCTGCCGAGCTCACGAAAGAGTCTTGAACGATAGCGTGGTGCAATCTCCAATTCGGTCCCGCCCCGGGGCACCGGGTACCCGGACAGCCCTGCTGAGCTGACACCAACACATGCCACACACGACACAACGGTCACTACTCCAGCCGCTATCGCAACTAACCAGTGGACTAACCAGTGGACTACCGAGACTGACAGTCTCGCCGCTTTCTCCCTGTTTGGCTTCTAGGTACGGAGTCCTCCCTAGGTTGTTCCTTTGTGTCCTTCTTCTTTTCATCGTCTCGAACATCATCTGGCGTACCTGCGGTGCATCAATATATTTTCCCTCCCGAGCCGAGGCACACCCCTTCGATTCGGTGAGAACCAGTTGGGGGATCTTCGCCAAGATCTTCGCCCAGAGGATATTGCATCAATCAATTCATTCCCTTTCTGAGGGTCCCGAGGCATGACGGATTAGTGATCGCCAGGGGGTCAGGGTCGCATCTGTTTCGGCCATGTCGGTGTTGGCGTCGGCGTCGGCTTCGAGTGTCACGTCACGTCATGAGCGTCTCTGGTGTCTCTGCTCTGGTAACAGTGTCAGCGAGGGGCGACGACGGTCGACCGAAATTTTTCGGGCACCGTTGTGATCGGCCGGCGTCTCTTGCTCCCTGTACCCTGTGCTTGTTGAGATCCCTGGGCTCTGTTTGGCCCCTGGAATGATCATCCACCCGCTCCCCTCCCTTCCTACCCGCCAATGCCCCCGGTCCGCCGGGGCTCCTGGACGTCTGGTGCGTACTGCGTAGGTACTGGCCGTGCTGTGTAGGTACTGGCCGTGCTGTGTAGGTACTGGCCGTGCTGCCAACACTCGCTCGCTCGCGGCAGTGGCTGGTGGCGAGGGTAAGGAGCTGGGAGGGGTCCGGGTTCCAGTGTCTCTCCACTATCCCGCTCCCGCTCTGCATTTTCCCACCGTTGGCTAGGCGCACGCCTCCTGTCACCAGCGTCATTCTCCATCTCCCAGGGTCCCCAGCTCCAGCTCCAGCTCCAGCTCTGGCGCCCACCTGGTTGCACCCCCCGATGTTCCACCCCCCGACCCACCGGACAATGGTCGTCGACTCTGTGTCGCTTTGTGCGCCCCCGTTTACCCTCGAGGCCCGTGGTTCGAGGTTTCAGTCTCGGGTCTTGGGTCTTGGGTCTTGTGTTTTGGTATTGGTATTGGTATTGGCATTGGCATTGGTCTTGGTCTTGGTCTTGGATCCTAGGGCTCTGGGCCTAGCCGCCGTTGCAGGGTGTCGAGCGTCTCAGACCGCATCGTTTCGTCGCACCTCATCTCAACATCCATATATCCCGATGTCACCTCATATCAATCAGCGCGCAAGCCACCACCTCTTGCGTTACCGTCCAGACCACCCCGGTCCCTGTCTTCGCTTCCGTCCCTCGCCCGAAGGCCCTTTCCCTGGATTACATGGGGGTCCAAGCAGCTGGATTCCGCACTAGCCTTGGCATGTTGCTTTCGCGTCGACAAAAGGAATTGGAACTGCCTGGATGGAAAGACTAGGAGACGAGAGGGCGCATCGGGCGGTCGGACAGTGGCCATGTTGACTCACAGGAATGTCTCGGGATTCCACCCCGCGGTGACGACCAATTCCAGCTGCCTTGGGTACTTTTGCAGGCGGATGTTCACTCATACCCTAGGTACCGTACCCATATCGCAAGCTAGCGACAGCGGAGATCATCATGACTGAGGGGGAAGGGAAAGAAACAATAAGAGAAACAAGCCAACATTTTGTGACCAACTGTGCGTGCCAGGATAGGGGGCAACGTAGGCGGGGTGGAGATGATACACTCGTCCCCTCATGTATGCAGACTAGCACCGCAGGCAGGTGGATAGGTAAACAGGCTGGTGCGGTGCTGTTGCCGGTATTCTTTCCCATTTCCCTCTCGGATTTGTCACTCGGGCAGGCGGGGCAGGCATTGTTTTGTTTTGTCTTCGCTGTGTACGTGCCCATTCGCTCGCCATCATTCACATGGCGTCCTCGGGTGCATCTCAGCTACAGCGGCGAGGACAGGGTCGAAGACACGGTCGAGGGCACGCCGACACGGACACGAACACAGCTGCATCTGTTCCACTGCCTGGCACACGCTCATGTGTATCCATCGTTGTCGGCCTGCCGATGTACCGGTCTCAGCTACCGTACGGCAAACATGAAAGCAAAGACGCATCCTGTACGATACAGTGCCAGACACATCTGTGGTTTCCCCCCCGACGCTCCCCGCGCACAGTACGGTTGCATGACTGGAGACCCGAGGATCTGGGTTCATCGAGGCTCGCTTATCGCCGTCCAGGGGGGGTGGGGAAGTCACTCCCTCACTACCTCACTACCTGCGACTGCCACAACTGCCACAACTCGGCCGCGACTGCCAACCACTTGCTGCGGTGCCAGACCACTCACCTATCACCTCCTCGTTTCTTCTTTTCTCGCCCCCGCCTTCGCCTTCGCCCTCGCCCTCGCCCTTGGCCCTCACTCTCGCTTCTCACCACTCCGTGCATGACGGCTCCACCATATCTTGCCCCGTAATGACACCCATTTGGCTGGATCTTACCGGGCACACCCCCTGTAGTTACACAGCGCAGCACGCCCGCCCACTCTCGGTAACTTTCTTTGCTTGCATTACTGTGCCTTTGTCGACGGTGCTGTTTGCGAGTGTAAGGGAAATCAAGGAGGCTGGGCGGCTGGGCGGTTGTCGCCGAAAACACTGCTTATATCCGATCATCTGTCAATCAATCGGCCTATATCGGCCTCTTTGTCGGTAAATTGCTAGGCATCCAACCTCAAAACCAACTCAATGATAGTGAACGACAAAAAAACGCAAAACCTTAAACACCATGACAGAGTAAGCGAAGCCGGATTTCACGGACAATGAATCGAGACCATCGCATCTTCCCGTTACCCGAATGCAGCATGAATCATTCATGTTTTGTGCTGCTCTGAACTAACTCGGTCCCCATCTGGCCTCTAGGGTAGCAAAAGTAGTTGCCAGGGTAGGCGTATCACTATCACAATGTTAACCACCGCCATCCGACCTTGCCATGATAGTCTCAGTCACATTCCTCACCATCTGGTCCCGAGCTAAGCATCACCATCGTGCCCCATCCCCGACTGCATTCCAACCACCGTCTTGTGTCGCCCAAACCAAACTCTAACTGCGACGTTTTGTCTCATCTAGAGTTCGGCACCGTCTATCGTGCTCTCAAGGCAAGCTTCCGCTGCCAAACTCCTGCGTAGAAACTAGATCCCGTGTCACATCATACAACCTCTCAAACTCAACTCCCACGCCATGCTTGTTCCGTCTGTGCCTCATCAACCGCTGAAGCCTAGCTTGCCGGCCGGTCACCCCAACCTCCTGTCTCTAACCGCCCTTTTCGGCTCCGTCCCCCGTCCGATTAACTTTGACAAGAACAAGTCGTCCGACGCCACGCGAGAGTGAACTTTTTCGGCCTCAAACCATCAAACTTCAGCCGTTGTAAGTTTGACCCAACTTTACTCTTGGCACCGCTTCATCCGACGAGTCTCGCCTGATCTGCCAAGACACCCCCAAGACACTCCCAAGACTCTCCAGTCCTAGCCGCACGCCTTCCACCTCAGGGTAGGACTTACAAGTTCCCAACCCACACTCATCGGTCACTGGCTGCTCCGCTCTGCCGTTCCTTCGCCGTCAAGAGGCTTACTAGTGTCCGTATTGTTCTCGGTAGCCGGCCTCCCCTCCGATGGCCTGGACTTATGCAGCCGTCCGTGGTTGCGTTTATGGTTGCGTCCGGACGCCGCTTGTGTCTCATCCCCCCTGTGACGTCCTTTCGGGGTTGTACTGGCCGCCGTGAGGCCTGGCACTGCCGACATGTCATCCCCTGGCACGAACGAGAACTGTCGGCGATGGCGAGCACGCGGCGCCTTGGCTTCTTGTCTATCGTTCAGACTTTCCGAACATGACCGCGAATCAGAACGGCCTCGGTGGTCTAGAGGTGCACCCAAGTTGCTTGAATCTTTGATATCCTCACTGCCTTCATGCAGAGACATGTCTCCAGCGCTTAACGAGGCCGATAATGGGGTATCTTCAAATGCTTCGACATGAATGCTTGTTTTTGTGCTTGCACACTCCTCACTGTGATGGGCATGACGTTGTCCCTGAGAAACTGCGGTCATATGCCGCCTGAGTCGCCTACTCAGTCTGATATCGCTGTTGGCATCCACGATTCGTGGCCGCGAAACTGTACGATTTGCGATTAGCTTCAAGTCAAACATGGCAGAGGCAGACTCATACGAATGGAACTGTGGTGCCCAAGCATTTGGCCATGCAATGATAACTTTTCATCATCACCGTCGTCTAGGTCGCCTGATATCGTCATCACTGTCAGCTCAACAACCACATGCAAAATATGTACACATGAGCCTGGTTCATCAGGTCAAGGAGCTCCCCAAAGACACCGTTCTCACCTTTAAACTCTGCTGAGATATTCCTCTCAGCCCTGAGGAGGCTGCCAGATCTGGCCAGTGCCACAGCCTCAAGGCCAGTATCCGATGTCTGATGGATAAACACCTCAAGGCGTTTGACCTCAGCCTTGTACCTGGCTTCTCGGATCATCCAATCCTCCTGCTTTGACCTGTATTCATCATACTCCTCTTGACGTAGGGCTTTCGTCTCTACTAGCTCCCTCTCGACTGCCTTTGTTTTCTCCTTGATGATGCTATACCCCTCAATAAGATGCATAATGTGCGAGCAATATTCGATGGGTAACCGCTCGACGACTGATTTTGTCATCATGGCGACACGCAAGGCCTCTGTCATCTGATCAATAGACGGGTTATGCCAGACCATTTCCTCTTCTCCGGTAACGTGGTTGCTCGGCTCGTCATTCCCCTTTGCGGTCACAGAGGTGGCTACCATTAGACCATGCCAGCTTGACAGACGGGAGATAGCCTTGCGCTGTTGACCATGCGAATCATCGGCAACTTGGCTGTTCTGATGGAGCAAGCGAAGGGCAGGTTCCGAGCGAGGCGAAGCAAGAGTTCTGGATGTACGAGCCCGAGTACCGCCCAGAAACCGCAGCCAGCCAGAGTCGGCCATGTTGTTGCCGTTGTTGTTGTTGTGATCCAGCTGAAGGTGTTGCTCAAAAAAGTCGTACGAGGAGATGGTTGAGGCTGGTGTTAGGGACGCCCCAAGATTCTGCCGGTGTTGTCGTCGTCGTCGTCGTCGTCGTCGTCGTCGTCGTCGTCGTTGTTGTTGTTGTTGTTGTTGTTGTCGAAGCGTAGGCAGGCAGGCACGCTCTGTGACTGTCTGCTAACCGGCTGCAGCACAAACGGGATGTCACCACAGCCAATGACACTGGCACCGAAACATCTCCCTCGGCCACTGTCTACCACTACGTTAAAAACTCGCATTTAACAAGGAGACCACGAAGATCCTTTCGCGAGTTTCTTATGCCAATTCTAAGCACACAAAACCACCGAAGCACGCGTTTTAGCTTTGTCTCAAACTCTTGTTTGTGCGAAACTTCTGCACGTTAACCAACGAGCAGTGGTTCTGGCTGAGAAAGAACAGGTTTCCATGCACTGATGACAAACGGCATTCAATATTGAAGATACATCAGATGACACTAGATTCAACTACCAGAACTTTCCTCAACTACCTCGACTACATACACATATGATGGACCGTCATCTACTTGCCAGCACAAAGTTAAGCTTGCTCTCTGACCTTCTGGCCAGAGTTCCGCAATCATCAATCAAATCCAGTCCGCCAGACGACGTTCCTCTAACCCGAGAGAGCCATCGCCACGGCTTAGACGTCTAGTCAAGGCCTGACCTGCCTTCCCCTCTTGAGCATTCTTCGTGTTTGAGATATCATCAATGTCCGGGTGGTTTATGGCTCGCGTGCTCTTTACCGATGGGTTCTCGACACCGTGGGCGGACGAAGCCAGGACTGCTTGGCTAAGTTTGGGAGGGCTACCCTTCATCCATTCACTCTCGTTCAACCATAGACTGGTTTGTGAAGGGAGAGCTGTTTCCACAGCCACCAAAGTCTCATCCACCGTAGCGTCTTCGTGTATTCGACATTCGCGCTTTTCTAGTGCGCCGGTTGCTAGTGATGGATGTTGAGACCGAGACACATGAACTGCCAGTTCCCCGTCTCGACTATCATCACCCAGTGGCCAAGCACAAGGCGAAGAGGCAGAGTTATAATATTCGGATTGGTGTTCCCGTGACTTCGAGGTTTGAGATTTCCCTCCAACAAGCGAATTGGATCGGATTGGTATCTGAGTGGCCATGCCAAACTCGGCCTCCTCAGCTTCCATCGACTCTTCCTCAATGTAAGGAAGTAGAGAAGGCGCGATCGAAGGCGTGTAGGATTCGTATGATTTCCTCGAGGCTGCACCTACCTCAGGAATTTCAGGAAGGGGGCGATAGGTAGATGCATGAGGCAAAGACTTGATTATCGTCTTCGTTTTCAATGATGGTAGGTATGTTGGAGCTGGTAGTTGCAGCAGGTTCAAGAGCCTCGCTACGAGATCTTCCTCATTTTTATCCTCCAATGTATTCCCACCTAGGGCGAGAGCAGAGCCGGAGTTGTCTGTGTGCTCTTCCCGAGAGGAAACGGGGGTGTTATTGTGTGACTTGACGTGGTCGTCATCAGTGTCGGAGCCATTGAGAATTGCATGTGCCGGGACCAGACTCAACTGGCGAAGGTTTGTCCATGAGCGGTAGTGGAAGCGGAAGGAAACAAACGGGAATTCCCTAGGGTCGATCAACAGCCAATCGTAATAGTAGGCATTTTCTGGACTCTCCAAGAGACCTCCGGATGGCGAGCTTCCTACAGTGTCAATAAATGCCAAGACGAGATAGCTAGAAGGTCAAGGACTTACGCTATGCCGTACGATTCCTGGCCTCGGTGCTGGCCCAATACCGGAGCCCGTCGCTTGCGACCCTTGGATCGAAAGACTTGAACCTCAATTAGGCCTCCGTCCTCTGCTACTGAAGCCCTGCTGGAATTGGGCAAAAAGTAGAAGCAGCGGGCCTCGATGCCCTCTCTCCGGTGAAGGACTCCGTCCTCTTTGTAGTGCCAGCGATCATCCGGTTCAAAAAGGGCACGTGTAACGGAGCCGGATGACTGAACAGCAGGGTTGATTCCCCAGCTTGCGATGCTCCTTCCGTTCAGAAAGATCTTGAAGTAGAGTTGGCATGGGGGTTCTGGTATCCGATTGATCGAGTAGTGAACCCCGAACTGGGAGCCTGCAGAATCTGAGCTTATGAATCGAAGACGCATAGACAGAGAGAACAACGGTAGCGTACCTGGTGCAGATGGGATGTATACAGAAACTAGTGGGTTCACCTTTTGGATTCGGGACGAATCTACGTTCGAACCGCCTGCTTCAGACTCCCAGGAGCTCGATGTGCATCTAGTCGGCGGGAGGATCCGGACAGACGAGGCGTCAGAATGAGGAAACTCGGGGAGTTTCTTGGTACCAGGATGCGTGACAATGGAGACGTCGAGTCCCCGAAAGCAAGGCATATCGAAGGCGGGCTGCAACCCAACTTGGTCGTCAAGTTAGAGGAAGTTGCATGGAGTGTGGTTTGGTCTGCCGTTTCGGGGCAGGCTTGCGAGTAGACCAACAGTCAAGTTTAACAATAGGAGTCACCGTCACATGTTGACGCTCTTGCCGCCTGTGGCTATTGGAGAGAAATTTTGATGCTGTGCGTTGGTACTGGCAGGGACAGACAGCTGCTCGCAGCTGGCCGAGAGCCCCTAGCAACCGACCTACCTTCCGAGTACCTACCCAACCACAATACTGGACATCATCCGTACGGCAGGCTAAGGCATTTGATGCACAGAACCACGTTGTTTCTTGCAACCCGTGTTTGGGTATTCAAACCACCTTGGCAGTCGAACTCTCCAACATAACATACACACATCCTCCGGCGAGGCTATTCCTGAATGCCGGAGTTCACGGCTTAAAGGCAGGTTCGGATGCCATCGGCGATGAAGCAGATGGACATGAAATATGGTCAACGGACATCTATTCCTTCGTCATATACAGTCGGCGCCGGTGTAACAACGCATATGCCATCCGGCCCTTCATTGCACTCGCCGATGCGCCAGCCGCCTAGCTCTGCCCCAGCACCTTTTTGGTGTCCTCCTCCTTATCTAGAAGTCCCAGGTTGCGTATTTGCTTCGCGCTCGGCGCATTGTCTCGTGCCGTCGAGGTTTCGGCTCGCGCGTACGCGGCCTGGATCGCCAGGACTCTCGCATGCTGTTTGACTGTCAGTGCCGAACCTAACGTGCCGTGGCTCATGTGGTGGCACGGGCGTCTCTGAGGTGTCGGAACCCACCTCCTTCTTGTGGTGCAGGCACTCGTAGTAGTCCTCGAGAACTGGAGAGCATTTCTTCTTGCCCGAGTCGTCATCGGCCGAGGTGTTGACGACGTAGCAGGCCATGACCTCCTGCCAGAAGGGAAAGCAACGGCCGGGGCCTAGAAACCGTGGTGTTGCTGTCAGCCTGTGGCTGCCGGGGAGGGTCTCTGGTTGAACTCACCGCCATGCATGCCGTATCCCGACGCCATCTTGAGCCAATTGGTGCGTGTCGAGGCGTTTAGGTGGTCAAGAAGGTGTAAGCTCTTTCGCTCGTTGAGTTGCGCGGGTCCGTCCGACGTTTGAATTGGCAATGAGATGGCTCCGGGCGTGAGTTGACCCGTACATGGGCCGAGTAGCAAATCGCTGCACAGGGATTGGCTATGGCGACGGGGCGGGTTGACACTAATCAATGGTACATCCAGAATCGGAGAACAACAAGCTGTTAGTAATGTTCCAACTGTTAGGGACATGACATTGACCACCTCGACATATAATTGCGATAGGTGAATGTAACGCATAGATGCATAATCCATGCCCCTCTGTGGATGAGCACGTACCTCTAAGCTCGGTGGGTGATGGTGGGCGGGCCTTGGGAGCTACTGCGACCTACGTACTAGCTGGCATCTGTTAGTCGACCATCCACATGGCGAAACCTCCACGACGAGACTCAACGATTCCGAGCTACGGTCACAACAGCACGACAACTCGACAGCGCGACATAAGCCAAGGTCTAGAAGCCACTACTGATTGACGGGCTCGTCTCGTGGAAGCTCCCACCATGGCTGCCCCTCTTCCTTTAGGCCCAGCCAAGGTGGTCCTCCTTGCTGTCCACTTTGCGACGCAAGCCGACATCAACAGCCTGTCATCTCTGACCGCGCAACATGCCGCCGTCTTGCGCCAGGACCTTGTGCTCCGAATTCTTCTTACACACCTCCCCGAGACGATAAAGCCGGAACTGTACGTTTCATTTGTTCTGGCCTTGACCACCGATGACGCGCAGCCGTCGCTACTGGATTGCCCCCTCGATACCACCGTGGTCGATAGCCTTTCGGACGATCAAGCTTCTAGGAAAGTCAAGAAGCTTCGACTTATACACCTATCCATCTCGGATGAAGGAGTCAATGGGCCGACTGATTCTTTGACCTCTTTTCTGCTCCTCAGAGGCTACAGGATGGACGAGGAGGCCGGCATGCTCACCCAGCTACCCGACCTGCTCACTCCCTTCCTCCAACACTCCCCAGCCATACAGACTTGGCTTGTCTCGACGGTGCTGCCTCTATTGAGGAGAAATCACGAATATTACCCCCAGAAACCAGTTCGATACTCTCTCCTCGAATTCCACAACCTGCCAGACCGAACCGCCATCGATTACCTCTTAGCCGAGACTGGACTTTTAGAGGACAGTTATGACCTCGTTGGGCGCGACTTTAGTGGCTTAGTTGGCCCTTGGCTGTATAACGATAGCCGATGGAAGCAGGAATCTTTCATGGACGCCTCGTCTACCGAGACTAGCGCCACGACAGTAATGTCGTGCCCTGGTTGGGAACAGGCTCTCGAATGGCTTGTTCTACAGGCGTCCAAGTCATGGAGAATTTCCCTTAAGGTAATCGAACAATGGGACGGTCCGGAGTATATCGATTTAATTGACGACGTCAATATGTGGTTCCAAGAGCCTCAACAACGCTACCTCGACCTTAGCTACGCCCAAGCCGCCTTGGCTTCTGCATACCTGATACCCGAGGCCACCGCAGACGCTCTGGAAGGTGCATACAAGATATGCAGCAAGATCGCGTCGCTCATGGACCAAGGTTCGAATGAAACTCTTCAATCAGCAGCGTCTGTGCTGGCTCCCATAGCCGAGCTTGACAGAAACGCTTTCCCTGGTGCCAAGACGGCCACTTACATGAGGAATGACTTGTTGAAGACCTCGAACCCCCTGACAAACCCAAATTCTTGCTCAACCAACCTTTTGATGGCGCTTGTCTTGAGCGCGTTCCTCTTGGCTCGCGCTGGCGTACCCTGCACCGTGAGAAGAGCCGGTGACCTCGTCTTCATACAAGACCCGGGGGAGCAAAAGGGTGAACTTACGAGGTTGCTACGTAATCTGTCTGCCAATCTATCAAAGACAGATGACGCCTGCTGGATTCGCGCACGGAACGAAATCTTGTGGCTTCAGAACTGGGGCAGCGCAAACAGTACAAATTCTGTCGGATCTATTCAGGGCGTGTTTGGGACCATGTCCGCGACATATATTGAGATGGAGATACTTAAAGCCCTACTCTCCAATTCGCGTACGTCTTTGTTATCGACGATTTGCGGAACAATGCTGATGACTCTAATCAGGCTATACCCTTGCACGATCTTTGTATGAAGATGCTCTAGAAAAACCTCTTCCTGCAGACGCCGTCCAGAGTACGGTACAAAACTGCGCTCTTGGCTCGTTCGATAATGCTTCCAACCCGAACCGGTCAAGGGGAGGACTCAAGAGGTGTAACGAAATGTAAGTTGGGCCTGTTGAATGTCAAGCTGTTGCTGACTCCAGGTAGAATCAACGCGTTCCCAAAGACGGTAGGAAAAGGACTTCCGAGCATTAAACGAATCGAGGCGCTACTAAAAGCGACACATGCCCTCAGCGACTATCGTCTTGTGCTTAAACAAGGCGAGCCCTTCAGCCCAGTCGTGCTTAGAGTACACTCGGACCCCATCTCGATTATTGAAAGAGTCCTGGAGCAGAACGCAAAGGCGTACACGAGATTGCAGGAGTTCTTGGAGCTTGGGAACAACATGGTCAGTGCCGGCCTGCCCACATCCAACAAACTCGGAAAGAGTCTCTCGGCCGCAGCTGGACAGGATGTGGACCGCTTGATGACGGAGAAACGGATTGTCGCTATGTGCATCGAGGCAGCATTGAGGGAGGACGATTTCGAGACGGCATACTCTTATGTGGTCAGCCGCCTGGGTACATCAACTTCCATGACGCCGGAGGGTTGTGATGATGAGTGGTCATGGAAGGCCGCTTTAGATGCCGGAAAGTCCGCCCGCACCGAGACATCTCAGAAGCCGACTCATCTTGGAACTGCCAGTGGGAACCCTGAAATTCGACACCTTGAACAGCGCATCGAGTGTCTCGCCACGGCGTTGCGTATCGCACCGGCAAACCAACTTCAAGAAGTCCTAAAGACCTTTCGCCGCTGTGAAGAGCAGCTCGACTCTGCGATCAAAGAAGAAGCTGCCAAAGAGGACGCATGGGATGCCGCCGGCGATCTTCGCAACCTCCCAGGAGCCTTCGATGGGCCCGATCCAGACAAGGCCTACCCGCCTCGGAATATCACTGCCAGCGCTGCTGCACGCCAGGCAGATGAGTCACCTATGTCGCTTTTCGATCTTTCACGGGCGACGGCTCGAGTGGCATCGAGGAATTTGACCGCATTATCCAGCTTGCAAGGGATTGCCCAAGGCACCACACAGCCCCAAAGTACTGATGAAGATGACCAAGAACAGCATCGCACGAGGAAAAGAGACCAATTAAGAGAAGCTGCAACTGGAACCTTGGTGTCTGGCGTCGGCTGGCTCATTGGTGCGAGCGTTAACCGACCTACTAATGACGACAAGTTGTGAAACCTGCCTAGGTATAGTCCGCAGGTTTGGGGGATGAGAGATTTTGAGAACAAATGAGACGGATGGCTTGGGATGTGTCACAAGGACAGTCGACGTGCATGGTATGTATACACAACGAGAGCCAGGTCATGTACCGAACGAGCGACGATTTAATTGTCTATAATGATGTATGAATACTCAATTTGAACGATTGGTTGAGCTCCTTTTGGCTACACGAGGGGCTTTTCACACCATGCAGAGCTAACTGAGCATATACTTACCTGAGGATAAGCCATAAAACAATGTGAGGTATAATCGTCACGCTTGGTAAAGGTGGTTCAGTCTTTCTTTCGTCTTCAAATAATATTACCATCTTGTCACTTGGCTCAGAGAGGCTTGTAATTAATTCAAGTAATCAATGTTCGAGACTGGCGCAACTCAAACCGGCAGATGAACATGGCTATTGAAATAGCATGCATTACTTGATGCAGCAAGTACTCATCCAAATGGTGTCGAACGTAGTTTCAGAAGGTCATAGGAAGGACAAGATCCTGGACTATATTAGCGGCGAGATAGAACATTCAAGGGTATAAGTATGCATCATGCTTGGCCCCCCCCTGGCGCTGTTGGATTGCCAACCGGGCTTGTTGTGTCAATGGCAAGGGTTCAGCCTCGACACAACCAACCGAATCAACGCGTCTATGACTTGGCTTAACGGGCCACCGCATAAAAGGCATCTGTCAACATCAGCATCGCACTTCCAACCGTATCCTTCGCTAGACGCAAGCTTCAACTGGAGAAGCAATGCGCCAAGCCGGGGCAGAGCCAGGTGGCTGTTTGGATGCCATCACCCACCCACATTGTCATAATGTAGCCATGGAAGGGGAAGATGAGAGACAAACCCATGATTCTGATCCTTGCCAACTCCGCCTCTTCTTACCCTAGTCTCTCCTCAGTGACATCGGTTGGCCCACGATCAAGAGTTGCATGGCGTCAAGGTGATTGATTACAGCGAATGGGCGATTGTTTGGCGATAGGCGACACATTTACGGACAAGTCTGGTTTAATGAGTGATGTCAGTCAAGGCGATAGCAGGAGCTGCCGAGAGCGACGGAGGCCAGCTTCGATTGGCGTGGTCGACGTCGACTCGCAAAGCCCATCGTGAGATGTGTGAAACGGTACAGGAGGCTGCGAGCAACGAGTTCCGCAGTCGATGGTGAGTATATTGATCCACAGGTTTCACCCGTCAAGGCCGACGTCGACATCTGTTGAGTGGTGTGTTGACAATGCTATCAAGGAGTCGTCGATAGACGCGATGACTGATGAAGTGTTTGATTCTGCAAAGATCCGGAAGCTGCCATACGTGGTCCATCTGTGACCTTGTCGCCGCAAACCGACCAGCAACAAGAAACTTATTGATGCAGGCCGAGTACCCTTTTTGATTCCATTCCCTTAACGTCGCAATCACACGAAACTCCTGAGTGAGCAGATCCTAATCGAGAGTCTGCTGTAGTCCATGGAAGGAAAGCAAAGAAAGAAACAGAAAAGCGAACAAGCAAAACAAGAAGTCAAGGAAAGGAGATTCGAGACTCAACCCCGGTATTCAGTTGTCGGCTCAAGACAGCTGGGGTCGACTGTACAGTCTGTACTTAGTTGCGGTCGGGGCCTAGGAGGATTAGCGGGTACTTGTAATGCGACACTCAGTAGCCCGAACCTCCATAGGGGTCGCGTGTCTCGGATCGAGAAGCAGACTCGCCATAACCAGCGGCACCACCAGCAGGAGCACCACCGGCAGGCTCTCGGGATCGGGGAGCATCACGCTCGCCTCCGCGCTCATGGCGATCGCCACGCTCATATCCGCCGGGAGCACCGCCGCGAGGACCGTAGCGATCACGGTCTTCGCGTCCAGCATATCGATCGCGTCCGTAGCCTTCCTCACGGTCACGGCGCTCGTAGCTGCGGTCATAGTCGCGGCCGTAACCTCGATCCTCGTAGCGTCGCTCTTCGCGATAGCCACGATCATAGCCGCCACCGCTGCCACCACCGCTGCCGCCGCCGCTGGCACGGTCTTGACCGCCGCCGCGCTCAGTGCCGCCACGCTCCGCGCCACCGCGCTCAGCACCACCACGGTCTTCATAACGTCGGTCGTAGTTGCGTTCGTAGCCACGGTAACGGTATGGGTCATCGCGGCCGTAGCCGCCGCCGCCACCACCTCCGTATCCGCCACGCCGGCGGTCATCATAGCGAGGGCGAGGGTCTGGGAGAAGAATAATGAGACGAGGACAAACAATGGGTTAAAGCAATTACTTACCTCGCTTGGGAGGACCAAAGTACTTGCCGGGGGTAGGGGTACGAGGGCGAGCTCGACGAGCCTTCTCGATGCTTAGCGTGCGGCCTTCGATCTGCTCACCCTGGAGTCCCTCCTTGGCAGCATCGGCCTGGTCGGCGGTGACCATCTTGACGAAACCGAAACCACGAGACTCCTTCGTGTGAGGGTCGCGCATAATCTGGCACTTCTCGACCTCACCGTACTTCTCGAACATCTTCGTCACCTCGCCCTCGGACAACTTGGGGTGAATGCCGGTGACAAAGAGGTTGGATCCGGGGTTGATGGCACCGTCATCATCATCTCTGGGTCCAGAGACGTCCTTCATGTTGCTGCAGTAGTGTATGAGCGAAACATTTTTTGCGAAAAGAAATGTTGGAGGTCGCTTACCTGTCGGGGTTACCGTTTGGCGACGCAGAGCGGCGGCGGCCGCCGTCGTTGTCGTCACGAAGAGGACGGGGAGAGGCGCTTCGGTTGTCGCGCTCATAACGGGGGCCCTCGTCTGAAGATGAAACAGTAAGTGAATTGCCAGATGGTTGGAAAGGGAGGGTGTGGTGCGGGTGGACGGAAGACGCGTCTTCGCGCGCGCGCATCCAACAGGCAGAGTGACAGGGACGAACCTTCGTAGCGATCGCCATTGGCGGCCTCGTAATCCATGCTGGTAGTCGCCATCTTGATTAATATTGCCGGGGATGAGGAAAGGCAACAAGTCAGGTTGGTGATGCGAGGTGGATGGTGTGTGATGTGATGTCTCAATCCTGAGCCGTGATGTTGAGATGAGGCTGGAGGGAAGGGAGAGAAAAAAAATCGAAGGTAGGGTTGGGGAAGGAGTGGGAGAAGAAAAGGAAGAAGGAACGGGCACGGGCACGGGTAGGTGCAGAATATAGTATCCGGCGGGTGGCAGAGGAGCTTGCCAGCTGCCTGAATGCGCGGGAGAGAACAAAGAGAAGAGGTAACAGGTGTAGACAGGTGATGACAGATGAGGACGGGTCTGGATGGGGGAAATGGAGGATGGGAATGAAGGGTTGGATGATGGCGGGCGCCGGGGAGACGAACTGTCCGTCAGCTGGCCAAGCGAGCTACGGGCGCACCATCCACAAGCAAAGTGAGGCGGAGGAGGCAAACTCTCCGGCCACAGGCACTGTAAGGTACCTACATTTTGGGCAAGGGTACCATACCAGCTTGAGCCCAGCCATCCGGTACCTCCTGTTAGGGTGCGGTACGATGGCTGGCAGCCGACGAGGCAGCCGAACAGTGGCTGGTGGCTTGTGTGGCCGTGCACGAGCCACCAATCTCTCAACTCCCTACCTAGGTACCTACCTAGTTACCTCTCGCTGGCATGGAGTACCTATAAACACAGGCCTCTTCAGTGGGAAGAGGGCTTAAGTGAGCAGTTTTAGCGGGGAGTTCTAGCAGCAAAGCGCCCTTGTACTCGCTGAACGGTCGTCAGCCTCAGGTTCCTGTACCTGAGCTTGTTTGTCCTTCCCCACAACCCCGGATTATTACACTTTTGACCGTTACGGCGGGCTCGCTCATCATCCGGTCACATAGGAGACGCAGACTCTGCACAAGGTAACTGGGTTTCTGCAACTTCGAGGAGATACCAAAATGATAGGTTTCGGAACAAACATATATGCCCAGGTGCTCTCTCAGACACGGAGTCGGTCGACTCTTTAGCTATCATTATAACCGACGTACCTAACTTTGCGGCTCACCGAGAACGTCTCAATAATCCACCGAAAAATACACATTCTCAAACCAAGACTGGTTGAAGCCTGATACCATTGCTGACGACATGTTTGATCATCCAAACCCACTTGCCGCCATCGACGAGTGGCCAATTCGGCCTCCCTGAGGCCGCGTGGGGTGGAGCTGCAAACGGGACATTATCCGCTGCAGGTCATAACTCGCATCCACTGCCTCGGGAAATTCAGCAACGGCTGACTGAGGACCTGAATTTTCATGGCCAATCTCTCAAGGGTTGGGCCGCCCAGGGTGTATTAGCGGCATTTCCATCCACCCGAAACTTGTTCAATCCACTGGGAAGCCAGCGCCTTGTTACACATTTAGATCTGAATATCCCGCCCATCTGGAAGGGTCGGTGCACAATCATGGGGCTGAGGGTGGATTTGCCCCGTGTCCGGATTCGTCTTGTGTACTCATTTATCCCCCAATCGGCTCTACTTTCAGATGCGGGGGATGTAAACTCGTCCTCCAATCCACTGATCTCCTACTTCAAACATCTACAGAGAAGACTGCAGAGATCCGTGAAATCAATATCATTTCGTTGCTACTATTTTACCTCAAAACAGGACCCTCAGTTCACCGTTGAAGGCCACCGATTGTTGCTACAAATTATGTCACTGCAGGGAAAGGTCTACGCCATCACGGGCGGTGCAAGCGGCATCGGCCTCGCAACAGCCAAAATACTCTCTCGGCGAGATGCCATTGTTTGTGTCGCAGATATTGACACCGCCGCAATGGAATCCACCGCCTCATACTTTACGGAACAGAAAGTCCCTTTCACAGTCACCCGAGTTGACGTCTCTCAGCGAGATCAGGTTGAGGGATGGTTGGATAGCATAGTGGACAAATATGGGCGACTCGATGGTGCCGCGAATGTGGCCGGCGTCATCGGCAAACACCATGGGATCCGGCCAGTCGCAGAGCTCGAAGACGACGAGTGGCACAAGATCATCGCGGTGAACCTGACAGGGACCATGTATTGCTTACGGGCAGAGCTGCGCCGAGTTGTCGATGGTGGATCTATCGTCAACGTTGCTTCCATCCACGGTATCAAGGGCACGTGCTCGTAACTCGTTTGACCATAAGGTTCCCGGTTTCTGACTAGTATGCATAGGATTCGCCAAGCATGGCGCATATGACGCCAGCAAACACGGCGTAGTCGGTTTGACCAAAGCGGCGGCCAAGGAAAACGGCAAACGAGAGGTTCGGGTTAATGCAGTTGCCCCCGGGGCAATACTCACTCCCTTAATGCAAAAGGCGTGGGACATTCATAGCCGGCCCGAGGACGCCCCGTTTGATGAGCCGAGTGCTTTCCAACGTCAGGGCACCCCGGAAGAATGCGCGAATGTGATTGCCTTCCTGCTTGGTCCGGAGAGCTCCTTTGTGAGCGGTAGCGTGTATGAGGCGGACGGAGCTTGGCTCTGACAGCAACCTAGTCACTCAATCTCGCAGGGGTGAGAACTGAAGCTGGGGAGGAGGTTTGGGGGGACAATATACGATCCAAAACACGACCTTACCAGACATCTTCTGGCTCAACTTCGTGGTTTTCTCCATCGTCCCGAATATGCTGGTGGTCCTTATCCCGCTTCATGGGCTTTCGCATGTCGAAGGCATCCTCTCCTGACTTGGTCGGGTCCATCGCATGCTCACCGTAGTAATCTTTGACTACGCGGAAAACACTGTAGCCTAGGTTCTTGTAGAAAGTGATGGCGCGGTGGTTGCTGCTTCGGACGAACAGGTCGACAAACCAAGCATTGTTCGCGTCGGCGGCAAGCTCGAGCTGCTCGGTCAAGATTTTCCCAATGCCAGATCTTCGGGCCTCGGGCGCTACAGTGAGGGCGGTGATGTGCGCATGCCACGGGAGGTAGTGTTCGGAAAACTTGTACGCATCAGGGGATGATTCCACTTTGCCCATGACTGTCGACGGAGGATCAGCACTAGGTTGACAATCTAGAACGCCCAATGGCCAGTCTCACTATATCCCATGATATTCCCATCTATATCTTCGCACACCTGGAAGAGGGAAGGCCATTTCGCATGGTACTGGAGGTAGAAGTTGAGCTCGTATGTTTCTGTGAGCGGGTCGAGGTTGCACTTGGAGAACTTGTTCACGTCGTCGGGACGAAATCGGCGAAATGTGGCCATCTTAGAGTGCTTCCGGTCGGTATTCGAGATCGCAGAGGAGCAAGGTAGATCAGTAAGGAGGCGATAGTCAAGGCAAACGATTCGAAATGACTGGGGTGGTGGGAAACTGAGGATTTGGTAGAAAAGAGTTGCGCTGTGAGGTCAGGTTGGTGGTACGTGGGGTTTTCAGCAGAGGCACACTCAATACGTGCGATTTGCGATGGTGGGCCGTGCAGCAGCCGCAGGCGGATGTGGCGGCCCAGCCACAGTAGCGAGGGGCAGGGAGGTCGTTTAGTGGAATGAAACCCGACGTGATCGGGTACCAAGAAGCAGGTACTCGGTCTACTGCATAGAGGAGGGGAAATACTTGAGCACAAGGTAGCATTATGCCGAGTTCATCATGGATCCACCTCGACTTTCGCTTCCCACTGCATCGACCGCCACGACAGCGTTGACAGTTGAACAGTCATTGCAACAACACGGCGGATGGCCTTAGTACCACTCTTATGATTAATGCACGTGTGGCACACAGGCACGCTTTCCTCGACACTAGGAGTTGACAGCATCGGCCTGCCAACCTCCAGCTTTGTTTCCGCCGGCTCCCTCACGCGTCATTAGCTGAGGCGGTGGTGCTAATAGTCAAGCCCAATATCATTTAGGAGGCACGGCTACCAGCCAAGACCAAGGCTGCGCCTACGGAGTAGATTCTCCTTCGACAACCGGACCACCCCAACCCACCCACGACACACCAGCTGCGACTGCAGCCAACGGCAGTTCTTTGACAACTTCTCGGACCACGTCAGCCGCTTCCCCTCTTCTCCCTCCCTGACTGTCGTCGCGAATCGCGGGTTTCAGCTCTGGCCGTGCCGAGCCTCGAGTTTATCGAACCCCGACAACCTTGCCCGACATCCAGATACCGATATGCCATCCTCGCCGCATACCCCGAGGCACTCTCGGAACTCCTCGGCCTTCGATAGCTACTCAGGCTCGCCTCGGAACAGACGCCTATCTAAATCCTCGGTGCAAGATTCGTCGACGCCGTACCGAAACAGCTTCAACCAAACCGATGAGTTAGATATGAGCGTGCTTGCCAGCGGGGGAGCAGCCGCCGGGAATGGCATGGGGAATTTGGCAGATGAGTTGGCAGATGCATTCTCGGACTCGGGAGATGAGGGTGAATACGATGATGGGGACCTGGATGGCGAGTCGCTGGGCCCTGACGAGGGGCATCCGGATGAGGCGAGTGGCACAAAGGGTATCAACAGCCCACAGGGACACGATAGCGATAGGGTAGCGCCTGCGAGCCTTACCTTGCTCTCGCCACGGCGGGGACATCAGAGACAAAAGAGCGAGTACGACGGGAGCGAGTATGGGTCAGAGTCGGATCTCGAGTCTCCCGGCATGCCTCCTGGTCTGGTGGCCAAGATTGATGCCGTGGAATCTTTGGCCCGGCGGGGGAATGAGAATGTCGGTGGACCAGCTGATGATGTCTTCAAGAGAGTTACGACCGGGCTGCGGGACCTCGGATCACAATCTAGCGTAGAGGCCAGCGCCTCGAGGTGAGAGTCATGACGCCGAACTTGAGGTTGACGGACTAACAAGAGTGGCAGGTTGATAACAGCACATTCAGCGCTGACGACGCATTTGACCCACCAAACTCGCCAAATACACAACCTGACGTTTCCTTTGTTATCCCCACTGGCTCCGCCTCCAGACGAGGAGACGATCGAAGAGCTTGTACCATTACTCCTGTCGCTTTCGGACAACATGCCTCGACCTTCAACATCAGCCTTCAACTCGCTGACGGCGCTGCACACGATTACGTCGGATTTGGTCCAGACTCTGAATTATCTTTCTGACACTCTACACATGTCTCGTCAGACGACAACAATGGCAACCAGGCGGTTGAGGAGTGCCAAGGAGATTGTGGCCGAGATGAGACGGGAAGAGGAGCTTAAGGAGGAAGGCGAGCGGTGGCTAACACGAGGCAACTGGGGTGAGCGACTGGAGAAGAGGGAATGCGCGGGGGTGTGCGGGGATGTGATTGGAGGATTTGAAGAAGTTTGCAATGGATGGCGAGAGAGACTGCTCGCGCAGGCAGAGTCTCAAGCGTAGGGACGAATTGAGCCGGAAACACACTCACGCGGACCTCCTATCGAAAGGCGGTGCGGGACATCACCATGCCCTTGCATTCTTTACTAGCTCTCATATGTTTCCTTGGTCTCCGCAGTTGGGAATCCTTATTGGTTGAGATGGGTCTGATGGTAGAGAGAACCAAGGTGCTGCGTAGCATGGGGCGCCGTTGCACACGTACATATAGAACTGCCATTTTCTTAGGAGCTGTATTAGAGCGGGCGAGCGATGGGATGAATGATGACAAATAGATGACCTCGAAGGCTGATTTGGCTTGAACGAGGGCACAGCCGGCCCCGCGTTGGAGGAAAGAGCCTTTTATGCACTCACCTCTCAACGTCTTCATGGCCAATTGAGCAAGTCTCATATATGCACGAAGTATGCGTCAAGCAAAGGTGTTCGCAGAACAAGAGTCCGACAGTAAGATAGAGCTCAGTAAGTCTCAATCAGTGTTGGCCTGTATGAGACACCCGAGCCTGGCGAGACGGCCGCGTTATCTCGTCTTCCATAGGTAATGTTAAACAGGCTTTGGAATTGGACGGGGAGTGGGGGAGAAAGGGGTGGGACGCGAACTGGACGCGTCTGGCGTTTTGCGGCCCATTGACGCGACCAGCCTCAAGAGTGAGTTTAATGGGCGCGGATTCGACGTGAAAAGCACAGTGTCAGTTGTATTTGACACTGTAGCCACAACGCTCCTGCGTATGACAAAAATGCAGCTTTGTAAGATATCGAAACGTCAAGTATGATTCAACGATATTCAATGATGTTCGGGTGAAACGGCCATGCTGGACTCTTACTATTTCTTAGATTAACATCTACGCAGGATACACAGTTTAACACTTCTGAAAGTATTGGTGTTGGTGGGTGGTGAACGATATCCGTCAGCCGTGTTACTTGGTTGCTGGAACGGGTGGCTAGACTGGGTCAGGTCAAGATTGCTGCTACAGTACGGGGGTATGGAGTGCTGCTACACTGCAGGCGACAGTCACGGCACGTCAAAGCACGGCAGCCAATCGAAGTAGACGGCGATCACGCTCACGACCACGCCGGCACGCGTCCAGCCCTCTCACTGATGGACGGCATATGGACTCGTCGACTACTGCCTCTGAGCGCCCAGCGCGGCAGCGCATCCGTACAGGGAAGCACCCTGCCTAGCGTTAGTGCCCTGGGTGAAAACATCAGGTAGGTACCTATTGATACGTAGCAGCACTGCCGAGTCCACGACTGACGCAGGCGCGGAACGTCCCGCCTGCCGTGTTGGAAGCGTTTCTGGAACAAAACAACAACACACGCACGTACAACAGGGCGTCGACCCACGCCAGTGTGTTTTTGGCTGGGTAGGGTGAGACGGTCAACCACGGCAGCGCACGCGTCTCTCACTCTACAAGGCCACACACGCACTGCAGCGCGCGAGGATGCACCACGCGCATAAGACGAGGACATGGCCGGATAGGATACCTAGGCATGCCCACTCACATATGCGCGCAAGACCCAACAAGCGGTGGGCCTCGTCCGGTGGGTGTAAATGCGACATAGGCCACTTAAGTTGTCTCCCGGTTATTTGAAGCATCCGTCTAACCTACCTACATATTGTAGGCCTCTGATATGTGTGTCATTGCAAACAAGGTGGACAAATAAATATACAAAGTATACCTACCAACATGGGGTTCAGCATCCAATTTCTCCCGTTGTTAGTGGACCAAAGTGCTAGACCAGGGATGGACTGGACTGGCGACGAGCCTATGTTTCCGTGGAGGAGGGGCCTGGCTTCGTGCAGGAATATTGCCATGCAAGAACACACATTTATGAAAGGGCCAGTCGCTTGGAGCTGCATAGCACATGTCGTCAATCTACTCATCGATTCACCTCCCTCCTTGGCTAGTTTTCCGAGCAGCATGTGCTTTGTTGGTAAGCCACATCCAGCAACAGTGGATATGAAGAATAAAGAACGTGACTGAGAATAGCAACGGCATTGACAACGGTGAGAGGCTTCCCTCGCGATAGGTTTAGTGGAGACACTATGGGACCGGGACGGGTGGTGTCTATGAGGCCTACCCGTCTGCGAGAGAGTGTGGGCGAGAGATGGCTTATTTTGGAAAATGGGGTGCCCGACTGGACGGGACCACCCAAGTCGTAGGACTGGAGTTGTTGTTATTGATCAGCGAACCCGCGCGTTTCCTGGCCGTCCGCGATCCCCTGTAACAATGGAGAGCCAGGTGTGCGCGCTGCCTGATTGGGTGTAGTTAAGCCCCTGTGCTTAGCGCGCCTCCAGGCCCCAGGTCAACCTCCCTCTAACATCCCTCTCAAACGGCCCTCCCGCCGCCCGCCTTTCACCCCCAAAGCCCAAAGGCCCAGCGTCCCTCCCCAAGGCGTAGACCCGGCAAAGCCCAGCCCAGCGCCTACTCTCGCACCTACACCCGCCAACGCAAACGCCAGCCAAACCTCGACTTCGTCCTCACTCAACCACATCCTCACATCCACCACAACATCGCCAGCTCTTTCTCCCTCATCCTCACCCTTTCAGCGTTAACAACCCCCCCTTTCCCCACGCCGACGACGCTCTCGTCCCCTCCCTTCTCACATACAATATCTCGCTTTCACTCTCTCTCTGACGCCCAAGCGCCCATTTCTGCTGCCGATCTGTCACCCGGCCCATGCGAGCTCGAGACGATGCGATAAACACCTCCAGTCGATTCAAGTCGAGACCTGCTGGACGGTGATTGGGATCTGCCCTCACCGTCTTGCCCGGCCTCCATCTCTCCCGACCGTCGCCGTCATCCTTCGCCCTTCCATCACCGACCTCCACCATCTTTCTCACCCTACCGACTCAGCTGCCCACCGCCAACCTACGACCTCCCGACCGCCGTCCCGAAACATCGACCAACCCATCCCCTCACGACCATGACGCTGCCGGCTGAACCTGCTGGCCTTTCTTCCGCAATCTCTCCATCCTCCAAGAGAGTCATGGACGAACCCAAAGCCCCCGCTGCCGGCCCTGTCCGCGCCGCCACTCCTCCCCCCCGCTCAGATCGCGGCCGCTTGGAGTCGAGACACAACCCTGACGGCGCCTCGAATCGATCCCTCCGAAGCAGCGCCCGAATGAGCGATGTCTCCCGCGCCAGTCCCTTTGATGTCGACGCCGTCGACCACGCTTTGCTACGCGAGTTTCAGCGACCCCAGCGCGAGAGCACTCCAGGCTCCAGTCCTCATCGCAAACGCCAGCGGATAAATGGTGATCGGTTCGTTCATGCCTCCATAGGCTCTCGCCATTTTACATGGCTCACACTTTAGTAGATTCATTCCGACTCGCTCAGGCCAGGACCTCCAGGCCAGCTTCAGCTTGCTGCACGAGGATGGGTCCCCCGCCACTCCCTCCAAACAAAAGAAGCGTACCCCCCACGGCGAACTTCACTTCCAAAAGAGTATGATACCCCCTCCCACCCCGGCAATCGATGACCGAGTCGTACTGACGTGCTGGGACAGCGGAAGAGGCAAACCGAACCTTTTCAACATTGCTACGCGCCGAGCTGTTTGAGAGCTCAGTCCCCCAAGCAACCACACCCACACTATCTCCCGATCATGCCCTACCTACCTCTTCCCATGTTCCCGCTCACGATGGCACCCGATCCCATACCCCTCCAAATAACGCCTCTGTCATCTCCCTGCCGTCCTCATTGACGCCATCAACTCCTCACAAAAACCTCTTCTCCTACATGTCCCCACGCCATCATAGCCACGTTGCCGGGCATCCAACTCCGTCAAAGACACCTCAAAGCAGGCATGGGCCGAACCTAGATACTCGGGCTGAGATCTACAGCTTATCTCCCGTTCGCTTTGGTAGTCAACAAATGCTGTTAAGTCCCCGACGTCAACCGAGAGCCGTTAGCAAGGTGCCCTACAAAGTCCTGGATGCCCCTGAACTCGCCGATGACTTCTACCTGAACCTGGTAGATTGGGGAAGCGCCAACATTCTGGGTGTCGGCCTGGGTTCCAGTGTCTACATGTGGAACGCCCAAACGAGCAAAGTGAATAAGCTTTGTACACTGGAGGACGACACAGTCACCAGCGTGTCTTGGATCCAAAAAGGTACCCACCTTGCCATTGGCACTGGCAAGGGTCTAGTACAGATATGGGACGCTGAGAAGGCCAGGAGACTCAGAACTATGACTGGTCACACGGCAAGAGTTGGATCTTTGGCGTGGAATACTCATATTCTGACTTCTGGGTCACGAGATCGATTAATCTACCACCGAGATGTCCGAGCCCCAGACCAGTGGATGAGGAAGCTCGTGGGTCATAAGCAAGAGGTGTGTGGGCTGAAGTGGAACTGCGAGGATGGGCAGTTGGCTAGTGGTGGAAACGACAACAAGCTCATGGTCTGGGATAAGCTCTCGGAAACCCCATTGTGGAAATTTTCAGACCACACCGCGGCCGTCAAGGCGATCTCATGGTCGCCACATCAACGTGGCCTACTTGCCTCGGGAGGCGGTACGGCAGATCGTCGCATCATCTTCCATGACACTGTCAAAGGTACCGTCATCAATGAGATTGATACGGGTAGCCAAGTGTGCAATCTTGCATGGTCGAAGAACTCCAATGAGATCGTCTCAACACATGGATACAGTCAGAATCAAATCGTTGTCTGGAAGTACCCGTCCATGACCCAAGTAGCCAGCTTGACTGGTCACACGTACCGAGTTCTGTATCTGGCCATGAGCCCAGATGGCCGAGTTGTTGTGACTGGCGCCGGAGACGAGACATTGAGGTTCTGGTCGGTATTCGGTCGACGTCCTGGAGCCCGGGAAGAGGGCGAAGCTGGTGGTCGACTCGCTGACTGGGGCGTCATCCGGTAAAGGTGGCATCGATTCTGTGGTGGTTGGAGGACTTACTGCACTCCATACATGATGGGATATCAGCCGGTTTGGATTTGCCGCGGTTCCCTCGATACTCTTGGCTCTGGCGAGGGCCTTATACACAAAGAAAACAAGAATTCCCCCTCTTATTCAGTAAGGAAGGGTGACTGGGAGAGCTCTATACTCACGAGTCGGATCTAATTTTCATGGAAGAAATACCCTGGTGGCTGATCATCTGCATTACACTGGCGTCGCATTTTGGTTCAGGACTTCTCTGGCTAACGGGCGGATCATGACGGGGTGTTGGTTGGACTGGGTTTGCTACTGGGTTTGGGAAGTGGGCGGCAACCCGACGATGCCGGGAATGAATCGAAGAAATTCGGCTGGAAGGGAAAGTTAGCGAGAGCTGTGTTTTTGTCAAGCGAGTTTCGGATTTTGTTTCTGTTCATCTTTGGTCAGCAAAGCGACGAGTAGCTAGAGAGAAGCCTGAGTCTACGGGCGGGTGAATGATTCCCCCCTCAATGAACACCTCAATCTTGGCACACCACTACGAGGAACTGTATCGTGATGTTCACCCGCTCGTCAACTTTAAGAACAAGCAGCCCACCACGAAGAACCCATTTACTGACGCATACTTCGCATGCCAACATCAATGATATGTTTTATTCGTTGCACTGTAGCCTTCTCCAATCTAAAGACCTGTTTGAGTCTGGAGTCATTCTAGCAAAACAAAACGGGGGGGGGGGGGGGGGTATACGTGACTAGATGGCTATCATCCCTAAAAGAACAAGATAACTCAGCCCCTACCAACACACTCCATACACCGCAGCCCAAGTAATTCAAACACGTAACCAAGCGCCAAGAAGAACCGTTACAAGATATCAGCTGCCACACAACGCTCCGACATGAGCAACTACATCTCGAATATCCGATTTATCGCCATGAGCCGTTCCAAAGAGTCGCTGAATCCAACTCATCTAAGAGGCCGCCCCACCAGTCTTCCTCTCCCTAGTAACATTCTCGTAATCTCCGTCAACTGCGGTGGAGTGGGATCCTCGCGGTTCATCCAGGAGTGGGATCTGATCCACACCGAGGTTTCGGTCAGAGTCATCCTTTGACAGCGGTATTTCGCCCATCATATCCCTCCCGCGCTCGACTTCGTCCGTAGAAACAATCTGACTAGTAGACAATGAAGCTCGGTGTGTCTTCTCGGGGCCAGCTACGTCGTCAGAGCGGGGTATCATGGAGGGAGACTGCGGCATGGTTTCCGGGGAATTCTGCCATTTCATGACCTCAGCCTTCATTGCCTCTAATTCCTTCTGGAACCGATTTCCGAAAACATCGATGTAATATGTCGCACCATTGTATATGCTCCAAACGAAAACGATGAGGAGGAATGCAGACGATGCATAACGGCTCAGGAACCAGAGTGGGCAAGGGAGCATGGTGAGCACAGCATAAGCAAACTGGATCAGCATATAGACGGCCTCTTGCCAGCCCTCGGGGCATGCCAAGACCATCTTTCCAATCCAAGTCTTGGAATATGACTTGCGCAGCCAAGTGAAAGACGTTGGTCGACCAGCGGCAATCTTCTCCTTCCGACGGATAGAAATGAAGAAAAAGTATGTGAGCTGCCAGAAAATGTAGGGAATCGTGCTCCACGCAAGCATGGAGACGACATTGGCGTAGGCGGTAGGTGACCCCGGTTCCGAGTTCCTGATGGTCCAGATGGCAGGAAAGCGAAGTTTCTGAGTCTCAGGGGGGAGAAGGTGAACAATACAATGAAGCGTCGCACAAGGCATGATGTGGATGAAAAGCGAAGTAACTTTGTCGAAGCTGTGGAAGACAAGCGAGTTACGCCACATGATAATAGCGACAGCATTATTTCCGTAGGCGAGACAGTATGCGGCCATAAAGAAGCGCTTGGACGACGGAAAGACCCAAATAGACAGCAGCAACAGGAAGTTGACGAAGTAGCAGAGGTCGGCGAGGAAGTAGTGGTAGCCACGCCGGTGGTAGGTAAAGTAGCGAATGGGCATGAAGTAGAGTAGTTGGGCAGTGTACCACAGGTGGAAGTGCTCGGGGTGGCCGCCAATGAGATATCCACTAATGAAGATGTTCAAAACGCCACAGATGAACGATATCTTCTCTCGCAAGCTGATGGCCTTGGTGTTGTTCCATTGCTTGCCAAGCTTATCGACGCGACGTCGCATCTGCTTGCGGTAGCGATCGAGCTGCTCGTCGGCCGAGGGAACGCGCCGCCTCCATTCCTCGACCATACGTTCTCGGGCAAGCTGCGTCTTGGACTTGAGGACATCTCGAGACCGGCGAACCTTGTCAGTCTGGGCGGAGATACCCTTCTGCAGCTTTTCGAGTTGCTGCGGCAAGGCAAAATTATCAAGGAGGTCGAGAACGGTCAGGCGGTCCAGTGGCGGAAGGGCATCCCAGTCCTCATGGTAGGAGCTGCTGCCGGAGAAGGATGGATTCCTTGAGAGTCGTGGGCTCTTGGGCGTAGTGGCCCCCAGGATCGGAGTGTCGAGGATGGCATGGTCGGTATGGTCGGCAGCAAACGAATTCGGAGACATAGGGGCCTCGGGATCTGGTGTCAGGACGGTATCGCTATCGGTGGAGATGGCGTCGGATTTGACACCTGGAGTGGTGGCTGTTGCAGCCAGCGAAGCTGCTCTCTGTTCGTCGTCCATGGCTCGCGTCTTAGTCGTCGACCAGTAGGCTAACGCCTTCAATAAGTGACTGAGAGGAGCTTGTCAGCCGCCGAAGCCGGAGTCACGCGTGTCTTGGGATTAGAGGGATTCTCACGAGAAAAGATTCGCTTCCTGGGGCGAAGGGTTCGCGGAATGGACAGGGCAGGGCAGGGAGGGCAGGGAGGAAGCCAGCTGCGACTGTACTTCTCCCAGGAAACAGTGTCGACGACAAGCGATGACGTGTAGACAGTGGTTTATCGGCTTCGGGAGAAATGAGAAGGATGAAGCCTTCGGATGGAATGGACCGTGGAGGGGAAAGGGATCGAAAGAAACACGGCGGTGACGAAGGCATCTATCCACGTGGGACACCGAATGTCTGAGAGTCCCGATGATGGAAGGCACGCCTGGTTCCAACTGTCCACGCCGGATTCGCTGGGAATCCGGTTTTGGCTCTTTTTGGGGTAGAGTGGGGACCCGAGCAATGGACCACCAGACGGGAGCCACACGGAGCGCCATACGGTGGAGCTTGTGCTGTACCGTAGCCACTAAAGCCCTATAACTCAAGCGATCTACCTGGTGGCAGCAACCCACCTCAGCTTATCTCTTTCATGTGCCAATGCAGGGTGACGATGTCCATCCGAGAGCTGTAGCACACATGTACTGTGCTGCACGAATACATGAGGCCATACCGAAGCAGTGGGGGTTGGGGTGCAAGATTGGTACATGTCTGATTTGTGCTTGCAGGTAGGTTAAATTGCTGTTGAGCTCCTAGAAACCTCAAGAACCCTCCCAACTGCACGAGTGCGCGTCTGCCAATGCATTGTGCCTGGGTAAATGTTCCATATACCTTTTCTTTTCTTTTGTGTCGGGGAGCAAAGTCATCCGCGTGACCCTCGCCTTTCGTCGTGTCTGAAAATGACACACGTCGTCCTTGAATCGTATGCTGCTACGCCACCAGGTGCTGCCAGAAACGCGTGTGGTTGGATGGCGGTCTAGCATTTACTCTTGGTAAGGTACGTAGTCCAGCATGATCCGCCAATTGTTGAGATCTGCCTGCTGACCCTGGCTGTTTATGAGCTTAGCCACTAGCTATTAACACTGTATTGAAAAGTACGTACCTCCTTACGTGATCTGCTCCGTGTTCCAATGTGCCCTGGTCCGTGCGGCAAGCTCTCTTCCATCTTTTTCGGCAACAGCCAGTGGAAATGGAGGGCAGGAGCAATCAGTGCTGGTCCGGGTCCAGGTCCATCTCTGTGAGGCTCGGGTCGCGCGACGCGTTTGTACGTAGGCACCGCATCTCATCTTTTCTTTGGCGTCGCAACCACAACCAATTCACTCCCTCCCACCGACACCTGCCACCGACTATGCCAGGCTGTAGCCTCGGACATGCGCCCTCTGCTACCTAACATTCCTGAATAAAAGACTCAGCCACCGCCCGTTTCCTTGCGCGACTCCCAGGTCGCACTCCTGCCCTCGGCTTTTGACGCGCTCACCGGTCGCATTCGCGATTCTCGATACCCCTCCAACCTCCAACCTCCAATCGTCGTCCTCTCCCCCAGTTACGAATCTCCGGGCTCGCGCCCAAAGTCGTCATCATGGGCAAGCTCATCCGCCTCGAGCTGTTTAGTGCGTGACCCATCCCCCGGCGGCCCTGTCCCGCCTGTCGCCAGCCGTCCGTCGCTAACTCGTCACATATAGACTTCAAGTCCTACAAGGGCCATCACACACTCCTCTTCGGTGATTCCTATTTCACCTCTATCATCGGACCCAATGGATCCGGGAAATCTAACTCGTGAGTCTGGCCTTGATCTCGGGTTACGACTTTGTCTAACCAACCTATAGCATGGACGCCATCTCCTTTGTGCTTGGCATCAAGTCCTCCCATCTCCGATCCGCGCACCTTAAAGATCTCGTCTACCGCGGTCGAGTACTGAAGACTTCAAAGATTAACGACGACGGCTCTGCAGACACCAATGGCCATACCAATGGATTTGCCGATGACGACGACAAGGCCTCCCGCGGTGACCCCAAGACCGCCTGGGTCATGGCCGTGTACGAAGACGATGCAGGCGATGAACAGAAATGGAAGCGCTCCATCACCAACCAGGGTGCCAGCGAATATCGCATCAATGAGCGCGTTGTCACCGCCCAGCAGTACAACGGAGCCCTCGAGTCGGAGAACATCCTTATCAAGGCGAGAAACTTCTTGGTATTCCAGGGTGATGTTGAGGCTATTGCTTCACAGTCCCCTCAAGATCTCACCCGCCTCATCGAGCAAATTTCTGGGAGTCTCGACCACAAAGCAGACTACGAAAGGCTCCAGGGAGAGTCGGAGCAGGCTGCTGAGAATCAAAACTTTCAGCTACACAGACGTCGTGGCATCAACTCCGAGATCAAGCAATACCGCGAGCAGAAGAAGGAGGCCGACAACTTTCAGAACAAGACGGAGGAGCGAGATGCCGCCATTGTTACCCAGAGTCTGTGGAAGCTCTTTCACTTTCAGAAGGCCATGGATGAATCGCATGCAGCAATCCAAGACCACCAGGAGGACTTGAAAGAACTCCGTCGCAACGTGGAATCTTTCGAGAAGCGACTCGAAGCTGCGCGAAAGGAGCAATCCTCCACTGGACGTCATGTTGCTCGGATAGACAAGGACATCAAGCTCAAGGAGAGAAGCATCGAGGACAAGGAGAACAGTCTTGTTCCTTTTGAGGAAAAGATCCACGAGTCCGCTCAACAAATCGAAAAGTTGCAGGGACAAGTGGCAAAGGTCTCGAAGGAGCGCGATGAGCAGGCCGACATTGTCAACAAGGTCAAGAAGGATATTGAAAATGTAGAAAAGGCTCGGGAGCTCTTCGAAAATGACTACAAGGAGCAGATGAAGAAGCAGGGCCGCGAGGTCAGTGACACGGATCGCAAGGAGTATAACACCCTCCGCGCCCAGGTCATGGCTCGTTCCGGTCCCAACCAAGCCAAACTAGAGAACCTTGAGCGACAACGAAAGGCCGATGAAGTAACTGTCAATAACCTCAAAGGCAAGGTTGACAGCATCGCTGCTGCCATCGAGAAGATCGAGGCTGAGCTCGCCAACATTAGCGAAAGGAGAACTGCCGCCGAGATCGCCTCCAAGGAACTTTCCAAGGAAATCGACGCCAAAAAGAAGGAATTCAATCAACTACAGTCAGAGCGCGTCCGAACGAACCAAAAGCGGACTGAACTAGAGGAGAAGCTCGAGGATGTAGCCAAAAGGCTCAGGGAGGCAGATGATGGTCGACGTCAAAACGACCGGGAGGCCCGACTGAAGGAGATGGTGACTTCCTTGAAGCGCATCTATCCGGGTGTCCGTGGCCGGATTGGTGATCTCTGTACTCCCAAGCAGAAGAAGTTCGATGAGGCCATCATCGTGGCTCTGGGAAGGGACTTTGACTCGGTTGTGGTTGACTCGGAGAAAATCGGTGTTGAATGTGTCCAATATCTCAAAGAGCAGAGGTTCCCTCCCATGACCTTCATCCCATTGGACAACATCAAGGTCAACGCAGTCAACACTGCTGTCAAGGGCTTCTCGGGAGCAAGGCTAACCATTGACACCATCACCTTCGATTCAACCGTGGAGCGTGCCATGTCTTATGCATGTGGGAGCTCAGTCGTGTGTGACACTCTCGATATTGCCAAGCACATTTGCTACGAAAAGAAGATTCCAGTGAAGGCCGTAACCCTGGAGGGCTACATCATCCACAAGGCAGGCCTGATGACGGGTGGCCGTGGACCCGAACAGAAGGGCGGGAAACGGCGATTCGAAGAGGCTGATGTCCAGAACTTACAACGAATGGCCGCTACGCTCAAGGAGGGCATTGAGCGCTTGCCAAAAGCCGATCGACGTGGGTCTCAGGAAGAGTCACTACAAATCGACCTCGCTGGCCTCGAACGACGCCTAGCTGCTGTCAGAGACGAGCTCACTGCCTATAACAAGAACCATTCGAGCAAAATGCGCGAGTTGGACAACCAGAAGCGGCAGCTTCGAGAGCTCCAGCCCAAATATGAGGGACAGGCATCGCAGCTTGAAAGTACCAAGGCAACGTGCCAAGAATTCAAGGATGCCATTGCCCAAGTCGAAGATCAAGTTTTCGCAGACTTCTGCAGGCGGCTCGGGTACAGTGATATTCGCGCCTACGACGCCTCCCAGGGCAAGCTGGAGCAAGAGGTGTCAGAGAAGCGAAATCAATTCGATGTTCAGAAGCAACGGTTATCAAGCCGACTCCAGTGGGAGAAGGCTCGTCACGACGAAACGGAGGGTCGGATCAGCAGAATGCAGACCCACGTACGACGGCTCAAGAGCGATACCAAGTCCTACACGAAGGAGAAAGACGCCATTCAAAATGCGATGCGCCAGGAGCAAGATGAGGCCGAGGCCCTTCAAGAGACACTCGAGGGCAGCCGAGCAGAGCTTGGAGAAAAGAATCAGAAGGTTGCAGAGGCCAGGGCCGAGGTGCAGAAGCGTAGCAAAGACATTGACGTGCGTCTGAAGGACATCAATGCCCTGGAGACGACGGTGCAGAAGAACAGCGCTAGCAAGTCTGCGCTTCTGCGACGATGCCGGCTGGAACAAATCCAGATCCCCCTCGTGGAGGGAACTCTGGACAACCTGCCCAACGAAGATGATCTGCTGCACCAAGACCCCGATGCCATGGACATCGACGAGGATGATGAGGAAATGATGGGCATTGCGCTGGATGATCACGGAATCGAAATTGATTTTGATGGCCTCGACGACGAGCTCAAGAGCGTAAGTGGTGTGCTCTCTGATCACCGGCGAGACTTTGCTAACTTTAGACAGTCGGATGAGCCCAGCCTGGAGGAATCACTTTCCGATAAAATCACAGCCCTTTCCGCTGAGTTGGAAAAACTTAACCCGAACATGCGAGCCATGGAAAGACTGGAAAGCGTCGAGTCCCGGTTGAAACTTACCGATCAGGAATACGAGGATTCGAAAGCGGCAGCCCATGCGGCTAAGGAAGCGTTCAGCGACGTCAAGGAGAGGAGGTTCGAGCTCTTCAACAAGGCATTCTCTCACATCCAGGAACAGATATCACACGTTTACAAAGATCTCACACGATCTGAGGCGTATCCCTTGGGTGGACAAGCATATCTCGACATTGAAGAGGATACGGACATGCCGTACTTGTCTGGTATCAAGTACCATGCGATGCCGCCGCTCAAGCGCTTCCGAGACATGGAGCATCTCTCAGGTGGCGAGAAGACAATGGCGGCGCTTGCGCTCTTGTTTGCCATCCACAGCTATCAGCCAAGTCCCTTCTTTGTGCTCGACGAAGTGGATGCGGCGCTGGACAATGCGAACGTGGACAAGATCAAGAAGTACATCCGGGAGCACTCTGGTCCAGGAATGCAGTTCATCGTCATCAGTCTCAAGGCGGGCTTGTTTCAGGACAGTGAGAGCCTGGTTGGAGTCTATCGCGACCAGGAGGTGAACAGTTCAAGAACTCTAACATTGGATGTAAGTTATCGCAAGACCCATTTGTCGGTACTGATTTACTAACTGCTGATCCAGCTGAGGAAATATGCGTGATAAAACATGAGGTCAAAGATGGATGTTTTCAGGGGTATGGAGGAGAGTGTCGGGTATTTGACCCAACACAGCTTGAGTGCAGTAGATTTCAACCGGCGTGAATTGGGTCTGGATTTGGAGGTTGCGTATGAAGTCACGACTTTGGCTGTATCAATTGACAGTGTAATGCATACCTGAGATTTGTATCAAATAACATCAGCACCACTAAATCACTTGGTCAGTATCCTAATGCCTATCCAGCATGTGGGAATATTTCAGAAGGGGACACTTCGTCCGCAAGTTATGTTTCGTAGGTTTTGTAGGCGCACAATACGAGCCTCAAAGATGAGGCTGAGATGCAACCTGCAAGTGGGGCTGATGCACGGTCCAGCCACAGTCTCTCGGTGCCTTGGCCTTGCGCTTCCAAAAGACCTGTGCCTCCTCGAGTCCACCCCAAACAAAGAATCTTTCTTTTCAACCAACTTTGCGCGAGTCTACCCACGGATTTGGGATCATGACCTAGCTGTATCTCGGTCCAAGGTTGCGAGCTGGAGAATACCAGAGATCATTTCACCTCTGCGGAGATCGAGAACTCACCAGCGCCCGGCTCCCGTCATGACACTTCGCCTGTGAGATGCTCGTTGCGCCTTGTGTCGTCATAACCGGCATCCATACCTAACCACATCGTCACGCCCTCACCGCGCGTCTCGGAAACAGGCCAATCGCCGAGCGCGTAGTATACTTCCACTTCAAGCACCCTTACAAAGCGAACTTGCTCGACATTCCTTCGAGCGACTCCATCCTTCCTCGGGCGCATTCTCCCACTTTCTCCTGGTCGCGCGCCACCAGCCAGACACGATGGATCTCGCAGTGACCCTCATCAAATCGGTCATGCGGGCCTTCTACCAGACACGCGATATCCTTGTGATTGATGCTCTGATTCTGCACGAAGCGTACGTGCCGTGGGACCTTTGGGTGTCCATGCCAGACTCGCTAAAGGATTTCATAAATGTAGGCTCAGAGACGATGATCTGGCGTACCTGATGGCCATCAACACCAAGGATCTCCACAAGATTTGTGGAAAGCTGCGTGAGGATAGATTCCTGACTGTGTAAGTATTACCGGCGGATCTCGACAGGGTTTATTAATGCTAACATGGCGTTCGAATAGGCATACGAGATCAGAGCTGCGAGAGGGAAACCCAAGGCCGAGCAACCGAACGTGGTACTATATCAACTACCGCCATACCATCGATGCCATTAAGTGGCGTGTCTACACGATCGACAAAGAGGTCCAGGGGACCACACAAATAGCAAATGAGAAGAAAGAATACTTTTGCTCATTCTGCAAGGCCGAGTGGACGGCAATGGAGGTCTTGGACAATGTTGGGCCGGAGGGGTTCCTCTGCCATCGCTGCAAACATACCCTCACATTTGAGGCAGATCGTAACGCGGGTGGCCATGAGCAGTCGACTCGCCTCAATGACCAGTTCAAGTTCATCAGCGAGCTCCTGCCCCAGATCGATGCAGTTCACATCCCCGAGTGCGACTTCGACCGTGCCCTGGCCAAGGCTCGCCCAGTCGTTCGAGATGCTACTCATCAACGCGCAACAACAATTCCAGTCGACAATGGGGCGAATAGGCCTATGGCAGTGAAGGGCTTGACTAACACTGGTCCTCAGTCGATTGCGGTTAACATCTCAACTTCAGACGGGCCTACTGAGGCCGAGAAGGCCGCAGAGCAAGCTCTCAAGGAGAAGATTGCTAAGCAGAATGCACTGCCTTCGTGGATGTCTAACAGTACAGTAACTGGAGCGTCTTTCACCGCAGAGAACGAGCCTGGTGCAACTGCCGCCACAAAAGCATCGGGCTCCAAAGCCTCAGCGCTCTCAAATTCGACCGACAACAATGCCAATACTCAGATCGATGACATATTTGAGAAACTCAAAGCCGAACAGGCTGCAGAGCGAGCGCGTGAGGGAGGGGGTTATGAAGAGTTCGGCTCAGAAGAAGAAGAAGACGAGGATGAGTTTGAAGACGTGCCTGCAACTGGCAACGTATCTAGTCGAGACACGCCAAACACGCCAGCCATCAAGATAGAGCCGTCAGGCCCCTCGCGAGAGGAAGATAGCCCAGAGGAAAGGCTAGCTAAGCGGGTGAAGGTTGAGCCGGAGGTCAAGAAGGAGGAGGAGGAAGATGACAGCGAGGAGGATGACGATGATATGGTGTTTGAGGACGTATAGGGGAGCGAAAATCGTCACAACAGAGGGCCTGAATATCACCCGCAAGGGGAGGGGAGGCCATGGAGGCCAAATGAGGCTGGAACACGCAAATACCCCACCAAGACGTATGTATAGAAGCTCAAATAGCATAAGAATCACATTCCGGCACTGGAAATAGTAGATCGTAGGAGTGGAGAAGCAAGCATTGAAGGTTATACAAAGAGATGGGCCCAAGATACAACAAATCTGAGGTGCAGGGTAGCTCTAGCCGTAGTGGGCTCTGTCCATTGTCCATTGTCCATTCACTTACATGAGCAGAGTTATTGAAGGAAAATCGACATAAGACGAGTACTCGGTTCGGGGCGTGGTTTGAGTGAAGGACTTGGCTTAGTGAGCAAGGTAGAATGATTCGGCTAAGGTTGGGTTGGAGGGTCGAGACTTCGTTTTAGTCGTTGTGAGAAGCAAGCCAAAAATTGAAAGCGGCCAACGAGCGTCCACCTCTTCCCGTCTGTTCGCCAGCCGACGACACATTCTTCCTCCTCACTTGGCCTCACCCGGATACCTGCAAAGTAATTGAATGCGATCATCTCCCGCTTCCCACTCCACTCCCAGACGATAAACGGTATGGACCTGCCGCCTGTTTTCCTGCTGTCAACGCACTTGCAGCCGGCAGAGCTGCACGAGCTCGAAGGCAAGATTGGGTCGCTGACCTACGACATCAACGAAGCTGAGGTTGTGGTGGGAAACATCAGCCGGCGAGAGCGAGCTATGTTTGAACTGAGGCGCGCCAAGCTGGAGACGGTGCCTCTTCAGAAGATTGCTCACGATGGCGAGCCTCACAGGCCTGCGGACATGGAAGATATCGATAACCCGCCTGAATTGAAACGCAGAAAGCTCTCTGGAACGTCTGGTCAAAATAGGAACATTGTCAAGGTTGTCAAGTTGGCATGGATAAAAGACTCGCTCGAACAGGGTGAGGTGCTACCTGTTGACCCATATCTCCTCTACGAAGCCAGAAAACCTTCACCGGATGCCGCTTCAAAACCTACCAAGACCTCTCCACCAAGCAACATTCTAGAGAGAGCCGCCGGGGATCAGCTCGAACAGTCAGCTATGTCAAGTTCTCCACCCAGGACGCGACACAGATCACGATTAGATACCCATTCCATGGCGTCACATTCGCAGCCACCGCCCAGTCTTGCTCGCCAAACCACATCGGAACATGATATATCTCTACCTTTAATCCCCGACTTCCTGACGACGACGTATTCATGCCAGCGGCCGACGCCCATCAACCCGCCCAACGATGAATTCGTCGAGGCCTTGAAACAAGTTCGGACGATTCGCCTGTTGCAGGGCGACCAGGTCGGTGTAAGAGCCTACTCTACCTCTATTGCAACTGTGGCTGCCTACCCATATCTGCTGAAGACGTCGCAAGGTGAGAAGTTTCCTAGCTCCCGTGTGGGTCACGAAGTTGACGTCCTTGAAGAAGTCTCGCGGTTGCCGGGGTGCGGTGCTAAGATTGCCGAGCTATATCAACAGTGGAAAGAGGCAGGCCATATTAGCGAGGCCCGGAAGGCCGAGTCCGAAGCCATGGTCTCGGTGCTCCAGCTATTCTACGACATCTGGGGCGTAGGAGACGCTACAGCACGGGAGTTCTACCGGAAAGGTTGGTTCCCGTCGGCCACCGGGGTGCTGAGAGCTTATAGTAGTGGACTGACGGTGGCTTGCAGGGTGGCGGGACCTGGACGACCTTGTTGAGTATGGATGGAGCTCTCTTAGCCGTTCACAGCAGATTGGCGTCAAGTACTACGACGAGCTTAAGCTCAAGATTCCGCGGGACGAGGCCGAGTCTATCGGGGCTACCGTTCTAGATCACGCACGCCAGATCGATGCCGGGTTCGAAATGGTCATCGTGGGGGGATTTCGACGGGGGAAGAAGGAGTGTGGTGATGTGGATGTCCTTCTAAGCCACCGGGACGACGACATGACGGTTAAGGCGGTCGATAATATAGTGATGAGCCTTGAGAAGGCTCAGCTCATCACACACACGCTCACTCTGTCGACTCGGAACAGTGAACGCGGACAGGCGCCGCTGCCCTGGAGAGGAGAGACAGGTATCGGGTCAGGATTTGACACGCTCGACAAGGCAATGGTGGTGTGGCAAGACTCGAGGCGTGAAGATGCACCGCACCGACGGGTAGACATAATTGTGAGCCCCTGGAAGACGGTGGGCTGCGCGGTGCTGGGATGGAGCGGCGGCACAACGTTCCAAAGGGATCTTCGGCGTTACTGCAAGAAGGAGAAGGGGTGGAAGTTTGACAGCAGCGGGATCCGGAGCAGAGCAGACGGGGCGTGGGTGGATCTGGAAGGCAGCTCCACCGGGAGTAAGGCGCCGGATATGGAGACTGCGGAGCGGAGGACGTTTGAAGGCCTTGGCCTGGCATGGCGACGGCCCGAGGAGCGGTGCACAGGATGACTGAGCACGGGGTGACTGATGAGCGACGGCCCGGGATTCGGGGTGGTGTGTGTCGCGGTACGTAAGCAATTTCCAGCCTCATCCGCCGTCGAATAGGTGTAATTAGGTACCTATGCAGTCGATCTGATGATAGGTAGTTTGCGGAGTTTGGAGTTGCGGAGTTTCGGTGTAGCCACAGCCACACGCAGGGAAGGAACCAACGACGCAGGGGCTCAGCGGCTCCGGGACCTATTTACATCCGCATTACACATCAAATAGTAATACAGAGGCAACGACGGCTCATCGGCACTGTCTGGGGCAGCGGATCTCGCAGCCAAATGCCTCGATTGCCTGGCGGCGTTGAGTCTACATCGCAGAGACGGTATTGGAGCGCCGTGCAAAAGCCTCCGGAGTGCATAGTTGGTCCGTCGGCGCATCTTGATGCCGGACCGCCGTGGTGGCAGAACGGACTTGGTCTTCAGGTGGACCGTAGAGACGACATGCAACGGCTGAGTTGCGCGTTGCGTGCGCGCCGCTACATTGGAAACTCAGATCCATTGTGCTCTATTTCCTGCCTCTGGTATAGCGCATCGCTTCGTCGGTGCCATCGAGAAACCCCGCCGGACCGTCGATACGATAATTCAGAAGGGAACTCGGCGTCTTCGCATCCCGCCCTGCCACACCACCAGAGCCAGGGGCCTAAGTATTCCAGAAGCGGTTCGGCCCCGGCACCAACCAACGAGTTGACCTGAAAAAAAAAGGCACGAGTCCGCTGCGCTACCTGCAAAGCGCACTAGTCTTGCTGCCGAATGGTGCATTCCAGGGGTCTTGGCCTGCCCGGTGCATCATGGAGTGGATCTCCGGGGGTGGTTCCGTCGCGGAGGGGCAACAAGACACGACAAACGTCCCAGGTCGCGAGTATTAATATACCGGAGGCCTAGCTGATTGTCTGCCGCCTTCATCGACCCAATTGATACCATCGATCCCTCTTCTCGACTGCTCCAACTCGTCTACGAACAGCTTTCCATCTCCAGACCCAGCGTCTTCGCCTTCGCCTTCGCCTCCCTCCCTCATCTCCCGCAGCAGACCACGTGTTAACTACACAAACAACCGCCCACGATGCCTTTCACTCTCGAGCTCCCCGACCAGTACAGGTGCGTCATCCAGCGGGCACTGACATCCATCTGCCAAGCATAAAACCACACCAGAATCCTCAGCTAACGCCGGCAATGTAGCCTCGTCCTCGTGGTTGCGACATCCACCTTCTTCATCAACTCCCTCCACGTCCAGCTCACCAGCAAGTACCGCAAGGCCAGCGGCCTCAAGTATCCCATCCCTTACGCCAGTAACGAGCTGGCCGATAAGGACCCCAAGGCCTATCAGTTCAACTGCGGTATGTTCACACCCATGCCACCCAACACCGCCGCCTCGTTGTCGCATACTAACTGTCCCGCGCAGCCCAGCGTGCCCACTCCAACTTCACCGAGAACCAGACCTCGTTCCTTGGAGCTCTCCTGGTTACCGGCCTGCGCTACCCCGTCGCCGCAGCCGCCATCGGCGCCGGCTGGGCCGTCTCTCGAGTTGTCTATGCTTTGGGTTATACCTCCGGCCAAGGCCCCAAGGGACGCATGATGTTCGTAACACCCACTCCAACTGCGCAAGACCCATCCCACTGACATGTGCGCTCAGCGGTTCCATCGGATCCTTCCTCTCCGACTCTATTCTGAAGCTCATGGCTGGTTACGTCGCCGTCATGTTTGCTCTGGGCGAGCAATAGAAACTCGGCGTGACGAAGTTTCTCCGCTACGACAGTTGGGGAGTATGATATAATATATTGTTCCATCCAAACCAGACTAGGCCACCCATTGAGTCCTGCGCCTTTTCCAATCCATATATACTCCTAGACCCTTCGACGCCAAAAGTTTTTTTTTGGCCTTCTGTATAGTAATGAAAAAAGTATGATTCATGCCGCATATTCGTCCTTCCTTTCATGTGTTGCCTTGCCCATCCAAACGCCTACTTGGCGTTGACATATTATGTTTTCTTCAACGGATTTCACCGTCGTAGCCTCCTCCTCCTTAACTCCTGCGTGAGCGGTACGTCGTCATCGCCATCAGAAGTGTGCACATCGTTTTCCTTGTCTGGAAACTCCTCGATGCCATTGTTGCCTAGCAGGTAGTCGCCATAGTACTTCATGGCATTGAAAATTTCCTCGCCTGTGGGAACGATGTGTTCTTTGGGTAGCAAGAAGCCGTAGCTGCCAGTATCCCGGAGCTTTATCTGGTAGCTGAAGTGGGCCCGCAACTCATGGTAGAACCAGTCGACTGCTGATCCCCCGCCGGATTCGATACGAGACCAAAATCGCTCGCCGCCAGATTCTCGTGCCGAGACTGCGCCTTCACATGCAGATGTGACGGTATACGACTCTCCGTTGGAAAGCCTGATGGACTTGGCGATGCCAGCAGCGAGCTCCTCCAGATTCTCTAGGTTCGGTGGGTCAACTGAGCATGTGTATGAGTAGGGGAATAGGATCTGCTGTGAGTATGAGTGAAGGTCCACCAATCCCACGAAGCGAACATTGTTCCACGTCTGGTTCCGCGCCCAATCTGCGATCTGTACGGCTTCGATGGCCTGGAACGGCTTCTCGCCACCATAGCTCTCGGAGCAAGGATCGCGCTGAACCCGCGATCCATCCCACTCGAACCCAAAGGCACGATCCAGATCTAGACCCCGGCAGAATTGGAGATTCGTTTGTTGTCGAGTCTTCCGCCACAGACGATCGATATGCCAGGTGTACTCAAAACCATCGGGGTTTGCGACGGGGATGAAGATTATATCGAACTCATCGAGAAGTTTTGTAATCATCCGTTCCTTCCCAAATGAGGTGATGAAAGACCAGGCCAAATAGTTGACGGTGCTCGTCGAGATCCATTCCCTGGCATGAGAGCCACCCATAAACACAATCGTCTTGCGCGGAGGCGCCATGGAGTCGACGACTGGAACGCCAACACGGAGGGCGGGGATATCGCGACCCTCGTAGGACTTGCCGATGGTGATGTAGTCGACATATGTAGGAAACATGGCCTCCAAGAGACGCATCCAACGGATGATAACGGGGAGAGGCTGATAGTCTTGGAAGAAGAGGTTATCGCCGGCTGAAGGGGGCGAAACAAGAACCGGGGCTCCTGTCTGGGGATCAGGCCGATGAGGATCGTTATCGGTCGGGAGTGACTGGTATACGGCGGTAGCTAGATCGGGAATGAGAGTCGACTGGGCGAAGCGAAGAGATCTGGGGAGGAGGCTCAGGAGTGGCGCAACCTCGTCGGCGTGTAGGCGAATATCGACAAATTCATCAGTGAAAGCCCATACATCGAGGAATAGGCGAGCGACGGCATCGGCAAGGGCACCCTCTTCGTCGGCAGTGGAGACGTTGAAACGCAGAACGAGCTGGTTTGCATACTGGGCGCGGAGTTGGTTGAGGACGGGCGGCCGAGCCGCTTCCTTGGTGGGATGGCGTCCAAAGACGAACTCGATGGCGCTGTCGCGGAGCTTGGTTAGGAAGGGGAAGAGACGAGCATTGTTGACGTCGGTAGAGGCAGGGTTGAATCGGTTGTTGGCATTGGCTCGCTGAGCGTCAATGTTGGCAGCGTCGGCGGCATGGAGTAGCAGCAACGACGTCGCCGCAATGCGAGCGACGGATAACCTCATCCTGGCGCACCAAGCAGTGGCGAGCGATGGAGAGACACTGGGGATTGAAATAGCGAGCGGAGCAACAGACACCCTACCCTGGGCAGGGGAAAGCCAGAGGGTGACGAGGCTTTCAGCGCGGGAAGGCCAGGTTCTGAGATATGATGATGATTGAAGTACGGAGTACGAAGTACGAGGGTTGATGAATACAGTGAATGCGAGTGCTGCGACTGGCTAGTCTTAGAGGGCAAGACGGCATCGGCAGGCACTTTGCTCGCTGCCTGGGCGCCAGTGCACCAGCCAGTGCGTGCGCACAGTGTGCACAGCAATAAGCGACTAATTATTACTCCATAGTGACTGCTGACAACGACGACGACGACGCGCACTCCTGGGAGAGCCCTGAGCGGCGCGCCCTCCCTTCTGTGAGATTCCCCTAATTGCGGACTGCCAAGCTTCTATTTTCTGTCCCTGGGCTGCCGAGAATCAGACCTACCCGGAATAGGACCATTTGATGAGTGGAGGGAGAGAGAGAGATGATGCAGGGCAGCGGGCAGCTGGCAGCTGGCATCCAGCATGGGCATGGACGGACGAGGCGGGGCTGGGCTTATCCTCTTCACACCACACCACCATTCAAGAGAGAGAGAGGGTCAGAGGCCTCTGCTAGTGTTGTAGGGGGGCCACGCTCGCTGGAACCAGGGCCTATTACGACATTACCACTCCCTGCGTACTAATTCTAGGACCTACCTTAGCGGTGGGCACGGAGGGCACGGAGGGTACGGAGGTTACGGAGCGCACCGGGGCACCGCCGCACCGGGCACCTAAAAGTAGCTGAGGGAGAAGGGGAGAAGGGGAGAGGCCAAAAGGGAGGAAACAGGGCCCCGCAAGCCCGGGAATCATGCACTGTACGCCAGCCACATCAGAACTAGCGGCCACCAGGCTTTTCCCGTGGGCCCCGAAGGTACCCCCAGCCACATGGGAGCCGGTGGGTCGGCACTGTATGACAGGCGTTGGGCCAATTGAGGCGCCAATGTGGCCCAGGCGGGACCCAGTCGGGCCCAGCCAGCCCCGTCAGCCCCTGGCCAGCCGGTGGGCAAAGCTGGAACTTTGGGACTGTACTGCGCTGCGCTGCTGCTGCATCACGGTGCCAGATCGAATCCAGACGACGACCAACTTTGGACGACCGACGTCGACCGCGACTTCATCCCATCTTCGCATCTTGGCCCGTCGCCGCTGCGGTCGCCGCCCTCAACACCCACCTCCCGCACGCTGCCTCAATGGTCTCTGCCGCGCCGATATCATCCCGTTAACTCGGTAGGTCGTGAGCCGCTGCCCTGCCACGCCGACGTCTCCGTCTACGTCTACGTCCACATTACGTCCGTCCACGTCCGTCCACATACGTCCACATCCCACGTCCACGTCCACGTCCCACGCTTTACCACGCCGCACGCCGCCCTCTCCGTCGACCTCGACCGCTCGGGCTGGCTGCGTACCATGATCAGTCGCTGCTATGCCCTTTCTTCGCCGTCGTGGCATTATGGCCAGTGAGACCGATATGCGCCGCCATACCCTCTTCGCGCCCAGTTCCCCGACCATGGACGCGCCGCCGGCCCTCCCGCTGCCCGATCTCATCAGCGACAACGAGGGCGAGACTGTCGCCCGCCAGCCCACCCGCGATTCATCCATCAGCCGCCCCGAATCCCCCCCGATCCAGGACGAGACCAGCAAGCATCGTCGCTTTTCCGTCCTGAGGTTCCGCAATGCCTCCGATTCCCAGCTGTCCCTCCGAGCCAAGCAGCAGGCCGAGAAGCCCCCTCCTGTTCCGCGACGTACCTCACCCCCTCCGCCTATCGCCCTGTGCGCCATCCATGCAGTTTGCTGACATCACCAACAGCCCCCGAAATCATCACCACCGCTCCCACAAATGACTTCAATGGTCCCCGGAAGAAGACCTCCCGGATGAGCCTGGCTTCCAAGTTTCGTCGCTCCACCGACATCTCCCGTGATGAGGTGCCGCCCAATCGTCCTGCGCCCAGGAAGACGTTCAGAAAATCATTTGCCGACGACAGGAGTAGACCCTCACTCGCCACACTTGAGGAGCCTGAATCTCCTCGCCCATCGACCCATGCCAACCACAGCAGTCCCAACGGCACTGTTCTCACACCCCCCCCGAACCGACAATCCGAGTCCTCGAGATCAGATGCTAGCTCCAATGACCGCCTTTCACACCAGAGTCCCAACACAACTCCCAAAAAGCCGACCACTCCGTTCTTCAAATTGCGACGGGTAAAGAAACCCCCGGAGCCCCTGTTTCCGCTTGCACACCTTCAACAACAGAAGAACAAGCCGCCAGCCATTTCCTCATCGTCGTCACTTGCCATTACATCCACTCCACGACCTGCATCTGCGCATACCGGGGAGTTCGTTGGCACGGTGAGAAGCGACCATGCCCCGAGGCCCCATCAGTCGCCCGCCACGGCGTTGTTCGCCCCTGCAGGATCGCATTCCGGGGCTTCCTCTCCAACGAGAGCCAATCTCCTGAGAGGGAGGTCGTCTACCATGAGCTCTATGGGCCGAGACTCAACAGACGACCATCTCCTCCCGCCAACGACTCGAACATCTTCGTCCACTGGTCGTAAGAGCTTTGGCGATCTGTTCGGGTTGAGTCGCTTGCGGCAGAATTCTGAACTGAGTCGACAGGGGACGTTGACACCTACCACACCAGGCTCAATCGGCTCCAAGAATAACTCACTTCAGCTGGCTAGGGAGTCAGTCACTCTCCCGGATCGCCGCGATGATGAGTCTGCTGCAAAGTACCTAACCCGAGTCGAGGAGGTTGCTAGCAGAGGAATCATCGCCGCCACATTGTCTAAAGGCGCGGATACTTTCATGACATCAGTCCTCAGAAGTTATATGCGCAGCTTCAGCTTCTTTGGCGACCCGATGGATATGGCTATTCGCAAACTGTTGATGGAAGCTGTACTTCCAAAAGAGACACAGCAGATTGACCGATTTCTCCAAGCGTTCGCGAATCGCTACCATGAGTGTAATCCGGGCATCTACTCCTCTCCAGACCAGGCATACTTTATTGCTTTTTCCCTTCTCATCCTCCACACCGACGTCTTCAACAAAAATAACAAGCACAAGATGCAAAAAGCGGATTACTTGAAGAACACACACGGGGAGGGCATCTTTGACGACATTTTAGAGTGCTTTTACGACAACATCACATATACCCCCTTTATTCATGTCGAGGACGACTTCGATCTCGGTGGCGATCGCTTTGCTTCTCACAAGTCCAGGCGCAAGCCGGCAATTCTCTCAGCTAATCCCAACGACCCCGCTAAACGAACAACCAAGGAGCCCATCGACCCGTATACTCTGATCATAGACGGAAGTATGGATGTTCTACGCCCGAATCTGAAGGATACTATGAACCTCGATGACCACTACAACTACATGGGTTCCGCGAGCCGCCTAGACCTAAAGGACTTGCAAAAAACATTCTTTAGAACTGGTGTTTTACAAATTGTGTCAGCCAGATCACGCCCCGACGCCTTCATGTCGGAGCAGACTGCCATAAATCCCCAGGAGGCGCATCCCGGAATTGTGGACATCAAAGTCACCAAAGTTGGGCTCTTGTGGAGGAAAGATCCCAAAAAGCGGAAGACACGCTCACCATGGCAGGAATGGGGCGCCATCCTTACCGGCGCCCAACTCTACTTCTTCCGGAATACTAGCTGGGTCAAGTCCCTGATGCATCAGTATGATAGCCATATCAAGGCAGGCCACGACGGAATCCCTTTGATATTCAACCCACCACTGGAAGAATTCAAGCCAGATGCTCTCATGTCTACTCACGGCGCCGTGGCTCTCCTTGACACAACCTACAAGAAACACAAGAACGCCTTTGTTTACGTGCGGCAAGGTGGCGTGGACGAGGTTCTCTTAGCTGACAATGAAGATGAGTTGAATGATTGGCTTGCCAAGCTCAACTATGCCGCTGCCTTCAGCACCACAGGTGTGAGGATGCGTGGCGTCGTTGGTGGCAGTTATGACGGACAAGGTCGGCGTGGAATGAGGCGACTTGAGAGCTCCGATGCTACGCAACTAGTGCAAACCCCAACGGGGCTTGTCTCTATTGCTCGCAGCCGCATCGATCACAAGATGGCTGAAGACATCTCAGTCGCTCGGCGAGATGTGATGCAAGTAAAGATCGCAGAAGCTGAAGAAAAGTTGCATGAGTGCCAGAAGCAGCTAGATGACCAACTCAGAAATGCTCGCCACCTTCAGATACTGGCACCCATCCAGCAAAAGACACGGGAACAGATCAGTGTGGCAGCAACTCGGATATCCGCGCAGCTGAAGTGGACACGCATGGGTATCTGGAAGGAGAAGTGCCATCGTGATATCTTAGTCCAAGATCTTGAAGAAGAGCACCCGACAGCGAGCACAAATTACACCCCTACCAAGCAACAATCGAACCGACACTCTCATAGGACAGGATCGCCAACACCTCGCGCACTCCATACCCGCAGAGGATCTAGGTCGACACACCACTCTGGAACCGATACGACGCCTCGAACCCCGACGACGGATCCTCAGCTGGCGCATGTTGCCAGTCCGTCCGAGGTGAGAGAAGATCTCGACTCGCCTCTCGACCAAGTGTTCCAAACACCTCCTCAGAGCGCCACACGCCACCGGCTTAGTGCTCGGGACCTCTCTTTTGCAAGACACGACGCCCCTAGTACGAGACATGGATCAATTTCAAGCCTTGCAGCATCTCCCGTGCAATCAGTCACCTCTGCTCCTCAAGTCCAACCAATGTTCCCTACAGAGGAGGGCCCCGGGAAGTCGTCGAAACGGACTGATGATAGGCATCCTGATGATCCCGATGCTGAAGAACGGAATTTGCTGGAGCAAGCGGGTCTTTTAGAATCGAGGCCAAGCAGAGACCCATCCGATAAGACTGTAACATCAACTGCCGGGGACGGAGGCGATCGTGGTGCCTCCATTGACAAGGACAAGCTTGACAGAAGCAAGATTCGACGCAGTCTTCAACGGACCCTCAGGGAGGGTGCGGGGCATCTCTCGCACCACCGAAACAGCAGGAAGGGCAAGGAAGTGGCCCCGAACGGAGTGGGTGAAGAAGAAGTACGAGATGCCAAGCTCTCAAGAGGCACAGGCAGTTTCGTGGTCCACGGCAAGAAAGCTTCTGTCATCCACTTTGGAAGTGAACTGCAAAATATGTCACAGGATGAGAAGATCCGCGCACGGAATCAGGCACTGCAACAAGAACAGCCCCCTCTTTCTCCCGCCCTGAGCGAGGACGACTTCTACTCTGTCGTGGGCATTCCTCTGGAGCCGAAAGAACGCCGGGAGTCTGCAGCAAGCGCGAGCACCGCCACGGCTCGAAGCTTCCGGGAACTCCACCGAAAGTACTCATCTGCACAGGCAGCTAGAAGCGCCTCGGCTGGTGGGAGACTGACGATCCCCTCGGATACGGAGAGCGAGGTCGCCGTCAGCTTTTCGGACGGGCGCAGGAGCCCGCTGCCGCCGATCGAGACGGAGACGGACGAGGAAATGGACGATAGCGAGAACGAAAGGGGACGCAGCGGCAAACGAGACGAACCCGAGGGCCGCGACTCAGACGAAGAATCGCTCCCAGATGTAGAGCAACTGCCCAACCGCCCCGTCCAGGCAGTGAACGCATGATGTCTAGGAGAGAACTTTTTGTGGTCATGTATTTGTGTCATTTAGCGTTTGTTGGGAATGGATCGCAACACAAGAGCTCGAGCATTTTGGCATGGTTGGTTCTGCAGAGGTTGAAAAAGGGGCAGACGCCACTGCGAGTGGTTAAAGCCCCGGACTGTGTAGTTTTCTCTCGAGACGCAGACCGCGGGCCGGCTCGATGAGGACATGTATCTAGATTTCTTTTCAGTCTCCCTCGGGCTCTTATTCCTTTATCTTGTTCTTTTGCGGGAGGAACCTCATGAGTTTGGCGGAGCACAAAAAGTAAGCGTAGAATTCATCATCGTCATTTTGCCGCACCATCTACGGCGAATCAGAGTGAACTCACGCGGTTTGAACAATGTGAATAGGCATTTTATTTCGTAAGAAGGGGTCTCCAATAAAACATGTATCGAATTTTTGCCTCCTTTGCCTTATTTCGGAGTTGACACCATGACAACCCCGTGGCCCGGTAGGAGCATGAAGCCCTATTTCTTGCCCTTCTTCTTCTTCTTGGCATTTAAAGGAGGTGCCTTTTCCACCTTGACGCCTCCTCCTCCAACCAACTCCAGCGTCTCCTCCTCCTTGACCATGCCACCCTGGGTCTCGCCGGCCTTCTTCTTTCCCTTCTTGCCCTTCGGGCGGTACGAGGAGCGGTCTCGCAGGGGTAGCCAGCGCTCCGGGTCGGGTTTTGTGCCTTCCACATAGTTCTTGGGCAGCCGGATCTTTCTACGTCGCTTGTTGGGCTTGTCGCTTGGTTCTTGAGTAGCGGATCGCTTGTTGGCCTGTGTCGGCTTAGCGGCCGTAGCTACACCGGCCTCGAGAAGCGCTGTCACGTCGACACCCTTAATCAAGGTCTCGACCGGGGGAAGCTTTGGGAGGAGGTGCTGGATGGCTGAAGAGTTCGAGGCGGCAAGAGATGCGACCAGGCCAGCGGCGGCGATGTCCGAGCCCTGTTGCTCATCAAACAACTTCTGGAAGGAAGCACCAGCCAGCTGCAAGTCTTGAGGGTTAGATGACTTCATAAGCTCAATACCAGCCTCCTCAAGGAGGGAGGAAGCAGAGCTAATAGGACGAGCTTGCCAGTGTGTCGCGGCCTTCACAAGCTCCGCCTTGGCACATGACTCTCGTCCTTGTGCTCGGTTGAGGGCCACGGCCAGGGCAACAAGTCCGGGGGAAAACCGGACATCCTGAGCTTCCGGCGCCTCGCCCTTCTCTAAACGTGCCAAGAAGGACTCCAAGATGGATAATGCTGAGCCAGTATTGTCGCTGCTAAGCTGTATTTGGATGATGGTGAGAACAAGACCGACATCGTTAGGCCTCTTGTTCGCTGCGCCTTGAAGGTTTCGGACTAACTGCTTTCCAGTGGTTCCTTCAGCACTGGCAGCCGCATTGAGGACGGAAAGGATATTGATGTTAGCAGAGGTGGTGGGATGCTCGGCCTGGCTGAGGAGAGTTGCGGTTCGAGATTTGACACCGGCGGCTTTGGATGCCTGGAGACTGACCACAAGATTGTTGCGGCGAAGGATATTTGACTGGTGGTTGAAAAGCTTGGAAGCTTTGTTGTTGTCTGCCAACGTCGCGAACTTCCTTTCGAGAACATAAGGATTCTCAACCGTGGTTTCCATTGCCAGGAGGTTGTTTTGAGCTATGACTGTGAGATCAGGGTCTTCGTCACTACGTTTGTGACAAAAGTTAGTGGTAGATTCGGGGGGATACAGGTATAGTTGAGGACAACGCACTCTGCGCTGGCCAGCGATCTGTACAATTCGAGCGCCTCCTTAAGCTTGCCCGTCTTGGCTTGGACGTATGCCTGCTGGGCGAGAATGGGACGCATCTCCGCTTCCTTATCCTCCTGGGTCAGATCGTCGGAAGCGTCGCATAGCCTGATCGCACGTTGCAGCAGGTTGGCGGCTTCGTCGAGGGAGCCACGGGCAATGCAGGCGCAGGCAGCATTGTAGCAGACCTCAAAGCCATCGGAATCTTGAATGGGCGGGGGGTTCATGAAAGAGTATCCCAGCCATTCGGACTGTGCAGCAGCAGCGCGGATGTTGATGCTGAGGTCGTTTTCCTCGTCGGCGTCGTCGTCGGCGTCGAGGAGGCGACTGTAGATTGCGCGAGCATCATCGAACCGCTCAGCACGGTATGCGACCTGGGCAGCCACGTGGCAAAAGCTCCTCTTTTCGAGACCGGCGGCCTGGAGGGCAGCAGTGGCGTCCTCGAGGTTGCTCGTCTTATAAAGCGCATATGCCTGCTCGAGGACACAGAGTGCGTTGAGCTTGGTGCCACCTTCAGCGATGGCGCGCAAGGCATCATCGAAGCGGTCGAGCTTGAGGAGGGCAACGATGCGGGTGTGCTGACTCGCTACATCCGTCTTGTCGACCTTGATAGCGGCATTGGCAGCCTTGAGGATCTCATCGTGGTCTTTGATGGAGGACGCCCGCAGCAAGGCGCTGAGGGCGGCGGCAGGGTCTTGAGGCATGATGGCGCTACTAGGGCCAATGCATGTCCAGGAGAGCCGGCGCCGATGGTAGTAACGGGATGACACGGATGTACGGCGATATCGAAGCTAACTGGCGTCGGTGTTGTGGCCGTCTGGGCCCAGCTTTGGGGAGATACGTATGGTGGTGATGATGCTGATGTCGTCTGTCGTCTGTCGTCCGTGTCTAGACGCACAGTTAATTCGTGGTAACGTGTTGGCGGGGCATGGCTGGTGGATTTTTGGACTGCGGGGCTATCAATTCGGTTTGTGCTGTGGCAGCCTGCACAGTGCCGGGCCATACGTACATTGATGTTAATTAGCACGGCCCTGCGATCTTGATCGTGTTAAGCTTCATTATCAGGATATTGGTACAACGGTGGCAGTTCCCGAGGTTATCTGCTTCAAAAGAGCTTCCACCATTTCTTCCGCCCCTTTTCCTCCTCTTGAGGATATAAGTGTACCGGATATGTGGCCCTCGCCGCAATTCCTTGCGTGGACTGTCGCCGTCTGATCTCGCCCAGTTTGGTACTGTCCGAGGACGTGGTCAATATAGAGATTCGGTTCTCATTCCCAGATGCCGCCAGAGTATGGTGACTCTGAGAAGACTTGTAAAGACGCCGACGGGGTGATTGGCTCGCACAGTTCTTGTTCTTGCTTCTCTCCGACTTGGAGCGACGCCCGTTATCAGATTTCCTCGACTTGACCTGACCTTCGGACTGCTGATGATGGCGCCTGGACCTCGGCCTCCCTCTGCTCACCATGCTACGTCGTGAGCTGATGGAGCTCGCCCTTGAACTGACCCGACTTGACAGTTCGTTGATAGTCCGGACTGCATCCAAGCTTGACCCATTTGACAGAGCCAGCAATGAGTTGAGGTCGACTGTTGGAGGCCGTCCGCCACCAAGACTGCCGATAACTTCGCCAAGCGCTGCCTTGAGCTTCCTGACAACCCGTCTCAATGCCGACCGCGAGGCAGCTATGCATACTTTTAGATCCACATCCGACGTGGCTGGGCAGATACACGTAGGCACGACTCACCGTCACCTTTCTCAAGCCGACGGCCATTCTGTGATAGTCGGGAGGAGTAAGCCCGACGCACTCTGGCTCGGTCCGACCGCAGGGAACTCCCCAGGCTCGATTGGAGATCGGCGGGCGTGCCATCTCGGTCACCGCCGCCCGAGAAGCCCTTGAGCAATGACAAACACTTGGAGTAGGTCTCGAGCAACGACACAATGGTGGCTCCAAATGTCCCCATGATGGCCGAACGAGTGTTGCAACTTGGCGGCAGAACTGCGGCAGCTCCGCCCGATTGCATTAGGATCGCGACACGACGTCAAACTGGGTCCCCGTTATCGGATTGATTGCACGTGGTCGGCGCAAGCCCTTGTTGGATTGGCATGGACGTGGGACTCCGGCTGGGGACCCTCAGTCAAAGTGTCACGGAGTCAGTCACAGCCTCTCCCGCCACTCGCCCACTGCCCAATGCCACCTTGATGGACCATGGATGGCTGGATGGATTGATGGATGGTCGTGACGTTGTGCGTGTGGCCAGGGGCGGCCAGGGTCCCACGCTCTCGTGTCCACCGCGACTCCACGCAAAATCAAAGTGCTCGCACGCACAGAGCTTGGCTCCCGCCTACATACCGCATACCGCCCGCTGCTGCGAACAAGACGAGTTGCTGCGCCCGAGTTTTGGAGATAGCGGGCGAGGTATGATAAGTCAGTCATGCAGGGACAACACCCATGTCCGCTGGACAACCCAATGCACAGGTACCCGGATGTCTGGTCTCACAGCTATCTTCCCAGAGGTCGCACAGGCGATAGGACAAGGTGCACCTTTTGAAACACCGAGATAGGCACGCAACTAAAAGACTCCGCGTCGTCAGGAGGTCGCCTCCCCCAATATTCACGACAGGGGGCTGTTACGTTGTAGCTCGAAAGAAAAAAAAAACTGGATATGCCCCGGCTTTGGTTGATGGGGTCGTCGGCGCTCCGAGGGCTACGAACAGCTATTTCGCCTTATTACGTACCTAGTGACAAAGATGGACCGGCAGCAGAAGTGTGTGTGTGTGTGTGGACCGAGAAAACGCCGCCCACACTCTGCGAGCAAGACCCAAACGGGAACAAGAGCAGGGCCACAGGGGGAGTGACGGCGGGCGTGGGAGACTACAGACTGGGGGGACTGAGGGGATGGAGGGGACAGAGGAGACAGAGGAGACAAAGGAGGGTGTGACAGCCTGACAGGGTCTATCTCCCGTCAATCAGCAGCCGCGAGGAACGGGGACTGGACCGCAAGAACCGGAGCGGCGAGGGAGTGACCGAGCAGCCCTGGGGGAGTGACTAAGTCCTGACCGAGTTTGAGCACGCACTCAGGGTGTTGGAGAGGGTGATGAGGGTGTGGGGGGTGGCCAGTGGATCGCGAGAGGGGAGAGAGGAGAGAGGGGACGGGAGACATGCGGAGGAGGACGGAGCTCGAAGGCTTCTGCTAATCAGCTCGCGGCCCGCAGAGGTGCCCACAGGCGTCGTCTCTTGTCTCAAGCCAGGTCTGGCTCCGTCTCCGTCAATCAATCAGTCAATCACCAGTGCAGTCCCGGCCACGATCAACTATCGCGAGCATGGACAGGCAGCGGGCGAGCATGAGCGTCGAACCCTGGCAGCTGTGGCTCCGGGACCGCCCCTTGCGCCCGCTGCGCCCGTGAGCCCGCCCCCAACCGCACCCCCAAGCGGCGAGAAGGCATACACTACAACACGCTGAGGGAAAATCGTGTCTGGGATGGTGCTGTGCTGTCCACTCAGTGACGGTGAAGTGCTGATAGTCGGCTGGCAAAGCAAGGAAGACGACAGATGTCTGAGATAACTGCTGGACACGGGCACCAACCACAGACGGGTCAGACACGGCAGTCAAACGACAACAAATGCACAGAGAGAGAGAGCGCGCAAAGTGCAGATGCAGCGCCATCAGTCGCACAGTCTCCCCCCAGCAAATCAAACCGGCGCTGCTATCAGGGTCCCGCGGGTTCCTGGACTCCCCTTGGTTCCTTTGGGACCCCTCCCGCGGACTATCCAAGCTTACCCGTGCGACTAACTAACCGTGGGACTAATCGTGGGACCTCCCGTGGGCTTCCCGTGGGCCTCGCTGCCCTCCCTCGCGCGCCCCCACCCTCCTCGTCGCCTGTGGTGCTTGTGGTGCCATGGCCCTGCGGGTCTCGACGTGGGAGCCGTGATGCCATCTGCCAGCCTGCGGGCGCAACCGGTCTGGGCGGCCAGGATTCGTGGGTTGCCTGTGGATGTTGATGGCGAGAGCGGATGATAACGTCGTAGCAGTGGATCCCTCCTTTCATGTCCGCTAGCCCGCTACCTTTGCGCTACCTCTTGCGCTCGCGCTCCGAACCCTTCGCGTCCCCATGTGGTCCTGCGGTTCTGCGGTTCCCGGTGCCTCTTCCGTTGTTCTTCTCTCGTTCTTCTCTCGTCCTCGCCGGCTGTATCCCACTCCCCACCGCGTACCCTCCTAACGCGGTTGGCCGGAGTCGCTAAACCCCAGCATCCCTGGGCACGAATCTCGACATCGCCCTGCCTTATGATTAGAGCCGCCCGCCTGCCCCCAGCGCAAGCGGGATCCTCTTTGCTCCATCCCATATCTCCCTCTGCCTCCGCCAACCCTTCCATGGACGAAACATCTCGCCCCCGTTGCCCATCGCCGTCTAGGTTCGAAGAACCCCAATGCCGCCCTCTCCCTCCCGTTCCCCTCCGCCGGCGTCGACGCCGAATGCCGACGAGGCTCAACTGCCGAAAGGCCAATGCCGCTACATATTGATGATTCCTGAGCTCAAGGGCCAACGCTGTGGCTGCATGGGCTTCGACCACAACAAGGCCTTACCCGGTGCGACATGTAACTGCGGTCACCTGTCGTGTTTCCACATCACCTCTGCCGATCCTCCGTCTCCCGGCAAGAACAGAGCCGAGATCGAAACCGTCAAACAGCGACTCCAAGCCCTCGAAGAAAATGCCGACCGAAGCGACCATGATCGGCTCTGCGGCGTTGTGAGCCGCATAAGCGAGCTGGAAGAGACCGTCGAAAGGAGCAAGGAAGAAGCCCTTTCCGAGATAAAGGGTTCCTATCGGAACAGCTTCGCTGCCTGGCAGTTGGTGGAGCAGCTGCAGAAGCGAATGAAGGATCTGGAGGAGCTCTACCAAGCCCAGAGCCAACAAATTGCCAAGGCTGGCAAAGAAGTCGACGACCTGCGCAACCGCCAGCTGGAGTTGCTGGACAGCGACGAAATCTTGGAGGAGAGAATCGAAAAGCTTGAAAGTTCAGAGTTATTACTCTCGCCTCCCCAGGATCCAGCCCCGACTGACTCGTCCTTTGACACCCTTCAGCTCTCCACACATGCCACCACTGAACGCCCGCGGCAGCTCAAGCCCTCCTCTTTTACTTCATCGCGATCCTCCTCATCGTCGAGATCATCGAGACCCTGGACCATCCACATCTCCCTGATGCCTTCTAAAGAGCAACCCTTCCCCTTTGAGAAGGACACCACTGCATACAAGAGGTGTCTCTCTCGTGGTCTCCATCGCATGGTGGCTGTGGAGGGTGATGATCCGCAATCATTCTCAGAAGGCGTGTCAAGGGCATTTGGGTCTCTCTTAAACGGTCGGTCGTGGATGCCGCTGCAGGCGAAGCTCTGCGATGCCGAGAAGCTTCAGGGTCTGCCCATGCTGCGACCGCTCGAGCCCCGCCTAGCTCATGGCAAATACGACAGAGACTTCATTCGACAACACTGCGCTGTCATCGATGCCAATGGGAAGCTGGACTCACTATACATCGCCATGGAACATGACACACTATCATGGAAGTTTCTCAGAAGATCACCCAAATATTTGGAAGGCTTGGAATCAAGCTGGGAGCACGACGTCTACCTCGACCAAAAGGACGAGAAGGACCCGACCGTGCTCATGGACTACTTTATTGGCAATTATGATGACCAATCACTCACAAGCAACATTACCGCCTCCTTCACATCCCTCAAGCGCAACGTATCGGAGGTCTCATGCTCCTCAGCTCTCGATGACGCTGAAGGGTCGAGAACAAAGATTCCTCGGACGTGCAAGTCCGGGCGAATGGACCTACGGCGTGGAGTCGAGACTGCGCGATAGACCAGGGGCCGACAAAGGGACTTGCTTCACACGAGAAACGGAATTTTGTTTTTAACTGGATAGAAAGGATTGGGTACACTGGGAGCGACATGGCTTGGACTTTTCGATGGGACATAATGAGGCGTTCAAACAATCTGGGAGTTGAGACCGAGGGTGCCATTTTGGCTGCCCGGGGACCCGCTCATTTCGGTAACCACGACATTAAGATTTTAGATGCATAGAAGAAAGGGCTGGTTGATATACCCCAAGATGCTGTATGTATTTTCGCAGTTTAGTAGAAAAAGCTCCGTGGTTTGGATCTTGCTGGGTAAATACTAGCAGTCACTCTGAGAAGGAAACTGATGGAATGTTGAACAAATTTCATTGATATACACAAGCGATCTGCCAACGACCACCTGCCGATGATAGTAAAAGTGACTCCTGGATTCAAAGAAATTCAATACCCTCCATTCCCCCCCATATCCGCGCCTTTGACAACATTTCCAACATCTGCACTTGTCATGGTAAATTGGTGGGAGTAGGTAATGCGGTAGAGGCGGCGCTGTTGCCCTACCGAGCTCTCCTGTCCTGATGTATCCGTCGTATTAGTCTCTGCTTGCGCTTGAGCCGCTGTAGCATGTCGCCGATAATGACTTGTATAGATGAAGAGTTTGTCGGTTCTGGTTGAGACAAGCTCTGGTTTCTTACAGTGAATGCCTTGGGTCTTATCAGTAAACGCCTGCGTGCGATCAAGTACGAGGTGGCTGATGAAGATAACTTACAAATTCAGTGTCTGGACCAGGATACCAATAGTCGATTTCTTCCGGTCAAGACAAGCCAGCAAACCGGACATTTCGCGATCCTTTCATAGGACGATAATCTTGACTCTCTAGTCTTCGCGACCAAACAGCTGCTCATACTCCTTCCTGATGCACATGACGGTGGTATGACATCCCTTGACGGCGAGGGAAAAGACGTCTTCCGGGCGATCGCGTGGGGTTCCGCTCGAATGATCCTTTGACTACCCTCAAGGCGACCTCCGTTGTTTTGCCTCATCGGCATCATCACCCATAGTCTGCGGCGCATTGCGATAATCCCCACGGTGTCTATGATGAGCACGGTGGCTTTGAAGACGGCGTTCGCCAGGGCAAGGACGCTGGTGGTGATGCTTAGCGGATCCATGGTGAAAGATGGCGATTGCCTAGACGGGCCGCGGGAGCTTGGACGAGAGCTTTACAGGGAGTACGACATAGCTAGAGTGTAAGATAAATCTGAATGAGATGAGCACTAATGGAGCCGGCATGGGCTAGCTACTTTGGCGGGACTTGAGGGAGTCTCGCAAGCGCTCTCTGTCGCTAATAGCGACGGCTGTAAGAGGTAACAGAATAACCAGTGTATATATCACCCCTACCCACTCACACGAGAGACTGAACCCGGCCATGTAAGTCTTTCCATCTTATTTTGTACTCTTGATGTCCTCTCAAAGTTTCACTTACACTTCTCTTTGAATTTGCGGGCGTTTGTGTGGGACCCTGGACATGTCATTATTCCCTTCCAAAGAGAACCGAGCTCATAATGATAGCGCCGCGAGATACGTCAGAGGTCCCAAAAGCCTACGGTTTCTTTGCCGCGTCCAAAAGTGTTCCTTTCTCCCGCTCACGATATTTTAGTTGGATCCGGTAAATCGATCCTGATGTAAGACCCCAGAGCACCCAATCTCATGACGCGTTCGACCCCCATCGTTGCTCGCAGCCCTAATTTGCCCCTAGATCAAGCATCGTCGAATATATCTGTCAAAACAAAGGCCCAAAACAGGCTGTCTCTTTCTTGTTTTGCAGATTTGACGACTGCGATAGCATGAATTCCGCTGTCATCATACGATCACTGATTCGACAAGCACTCTCTTCCTTTCCCTTCGACGAGCTCGATCCTAACCTGGCAGTGCCCCTAATAGGGTATCTCGAAGAAGTCAAAACCAATTACTTTTCCATGGACTCACTCAAGGAACTCTTTTCTAGGGTTTCGTCCCTCTTCGAAGACTGGTTCGTCGTTGTAGACGGAATCGACGAATGCCACGATTCTCATCAGCGCATATTGTATGACGTCTTTTCCAGACTTCTCAGTGATGCTGTAATCTCGCAAAGAATCAAGGTGTTGCTTTCCGGAAGAGAGACGACTATCCAAGTCATCGATCGAAATTTTGACTCTGTCACTCGCATGGTCACCGGGGCCCGAGAGACTAGCATTGACATCATAGCCTTTGCTGAAGATGTCATTCGATAAAAGCAATCCCTCAACGAGTTGGTTGTAGGAGACGAAAATCTGATTCAGGAGATTCTTGAAACCATTGCGAGCAAAGAAGAAGGGATGTAAGTACTAGCGTTTCCTCTCCCGATGTCGAAAAAGAACTTTTTCTGAATAGCCACCCACAGGTTTCTATGGGTTTTCTTGACTATCCAGGACATATGCTCTTGCAAAAGCGACAAGGATATTAAGAATTCCCTGCCAGGCATTCCTGCAAACCTGCCAGCTACTTTTAACCGTGCCCTGCAGCGTATTGAGCAGCAGCATAACCAAGAAATTGCCACGGATGTCTTTAGATGGACAGCTGCTGTACTGAAGCCTCTCTCACTCGCCCAACTTCAAGAGGCTTTATCTATCGAGATCGGGCAGCGCAACATGGGCCCAGCAAGCTTCATCAATGGCATCGAACGAATAAACGGCTGGTGTGAGAATCTGGTCCATGTTGAGGAAGCAGATAACACCATTCATTTCAGTCACCATTCGGTACGAGAATTTCTTCTACGCCCAGAAACTGGCCCATTGAAAGTGTTTCATCTGGACCGGGACGAAATGAACCACCACGTGGGAGAAATCTGCATCACGTACCTGGGCCTTGAAAACTTCAGGACGACAGTCACTCAGCGACCACAAACTGATAGGCACTCCCTTCCCGAACTCCCGCTGGCTGGTATGGCGGAGCAGGCCGTCAAAACTGGTCTGCGAGACAGTCTAGGGGCCCGCGTTGGACGCCTTGCAAATCTGGCGGTGAGATCAAATGCTCAGTCTGGGAGTCGCCGTCGGAGCCTCAGCCCGGTGCCAACCCTTATTGTACCCGACAATAAACCAACCGCTTCTAGCTTCATGACATTCCCGTTCCTGGAGTACGCCGCCATCAACTGGTATCGTCACATTACTCATTTCAGCGAATCAAATTCACAAACCTGGGTTACCTTGGGTAGGATCCTCGTCGAGCCGCATGTGGATGTGAGAATGCCATGGTTGGATAGATCTTGGAGGCTACAAAAGGATATTGATATGACCCCTCGCCATTCTTCATCCCGCCTCAAGGAATCCTTAACCCGATTCATTGACGACACAACTCTTTGGTCACTTGTCACTACCATTTTCTATGCTTCCCGCTGTAGCAATGATGGTCTCACCTGTCGAGCAATGCTGCTCTTTGGCGAGAGGGGAGAGGATCAAAGACTACTCTCCGCAATGCTTCATTATATGGTCATCGACATGAAACACGATGGGTGCCTTAACAGATGCATACCAAGAGTACAGAAGCGTTTGAATCATCAGACACTGGTGGCGTACATGACGAAGTGCATAGCGGATGGTGCGAGATATTGGGTGCGCTTTGAAGATGACGACAATCACGAGTGTGATTGTTCAGAAATCCAAAAGGGGCTTGGTATTCATGCAGAGGTCTGTGAGATCCTGTATACAAGCCACAATATCCTGCCGCACAGTGTGCTGAGAGTATTTGCCTACATCTCCGCCCGGGGAACAAACGACATGACTTTCTTAGAGGCTTGCGCATCCTGCGATGCTGATCCACAACTCGTATCAATGGCGAAGACGCCTTTTAGGAAGAAAAGCGTCATCGACCTCGCCGCAGAAGGTGATGGTTTTGCGCTGATCCAGTCCTTCTTCCAGTGGTTGGATGACACAATGGAGACAGACATAACAGAAGCGACGGTCCGAAGCATGCTGTTCAATGGGCTATTGACTGCCCTTGGTAACGGAGCCGAGAACACTACATCTGGCCTGTTAATCAAACACAAGCACCTGTTCGACGGATTCTCTTCTGAAGAGAATGCCATTTTACTAGGATTTTCTGTGCCGTCACAGTTTTGTTGGTCACCCAGCACTACTCGTGAAATTCTGAGGACTCTCTTCCCTGCCGCAGCGCATCCCCACTCGAAGTATCGATTTCACCAGGAATTTCGCAAGGCGTTGCAATGGGAGAACTGGGAATTTGCTAGAAGAATGGTAGAATTCCACGGGCACACAAATATTCCCTTCTTTGGGGGAAAAGATCAAGTGTGGGAATTGTTTTGGTGGTGTTCAGTTGCAAGTCATGCCAGGGTCCCAAGTGGACAGGCGGGGGAAGTCTTGGTCGAGAGATATTTCACAAACTTGATGCCAAGTTCAGTGGAACAGATGACTGGGCGGTAGAAGTCCATGGCAAGCGCATCGGCCCCAAGGAAAAGCTACGTCGATCCTTGAAGCCATGCACGCAACATGTCCTGAACATCAGGTTGGCTATCTCAAACGCGGGGAGCGAGCATCCCCTCGCGAATGCGTTATTATCACTACATGGATGCGGTCGAATGGATATCTGAGAGGCTCAGCAGCCTATTTCTCCGAAGAAATAATAAATTTACGGCTTTTTTCTTCTTCTCCTCTCCTTCACTATTGAGACCGTATACGCTCCGGGCTCTTCTCAGCTTTGCTATGGATGGTTCGGCGGATTATGGGCATTGCGAAACTCATATTGCATTCTATTCTTGTTGTTGGAAGAAGTTTTTCAGAATTGAAAGTTGGTCTATCAACTTGATGAGAGATGGAGATGCAAGTCCCTCTCAGATTCTGTAGCTCAAGATACGGTTATTATCCAGGCACTAGTAATTGGTGTTATGAGAGTTCTTAAAAAGCTACATGGGGCGCTTTATTAATAATCATCTGTAGGATTGAGGTATGCGCTCATGTGCGCAAATAGTAAATGCTCAATTAAATAACTTGGTTGATGTGATGGATTATTAGCGGGGCTGTGGTGGTGAACCAAGACGTCCGTTTTCCATCCGTTTTCCATCCGTTACTGAGGCTGAGCTCCGTTTCGATCTTGGGGGTTGCACAATTCTCGACACAAATGTTTGGGGGTGGTCAATGCTTGAGGGGCAGAGGTACCTCCGCATGCGTGAGTCGATACCAGGGACCCGCCAGGGCGATGCGCTGTAGCACCTAAAACTTTAGGGACTCAGGAGGCTCTACCATGTACCTCAGTCAGTGGAGTGCCGCTACGACTCAGTGTGGCCGGTAGGTGCGTTTGGCCTCAGCCTCACAGAACTCCACTGCTCCTCGCTCGCCCAGCCTTTCATCATCGAGCATCGTGTCTACCCTCTCCATCTTGGCGCATTCTTACACCTTCAAGATCGGTGCTCCGTTCCCAATCGAGCCTTTCATTTCTCGTGGAGTCTCTTCCACTCATGCCCCAATCCGCAACATAATTCTCGCTCGAGCATACTATTCTCTGCTTCCTGAACTTCCCACGCGACAAGATGGATTTGGATATCGAGATGGACGATGCCGTCGATACGACGCTCGACGCACCCATCGCCGACTCTGGCCACAATGATATCCTTGTGAGTCTACACAGAGGATATCCCCCGACTCCGGTATTAACTCCCTCCGTAGCAACCCGATGAGCCTGAGGAGCCTGGCGAGGTTGCCGACGACGATCCCCCGGCGGACGACTCCAAGACGATTGTCCCCAACAAGGTTCACATTCATGGCGTGGATTCCTTACACACGAATGACATCAAGGCATACGTCAAAGCCCACTTCGGCGCAGTCGACCGAGTTGAATGGATCGACGACTCGTCCGCCAACCTCGTCTTCAGCTCTGAGCACACGACCCGCGACGCTATTGTCGCACTGAGCGCCGTCCCCGTCGCAGATGCCACGGCTCTCGCAATCGGCGAGACGCTCCCCGCAAAGCCCGTCGACGAAAAACCCGAAATTACCCTCCACGTACGGTTCGCCCTGGCGAGCGACAAGAAACAGGCCGGCGCCGCCACGCGCAGTCGCTACTACCTCCTCCACCCCGAACACGACCCTGAAGAGCGACGACGCCGGAATCAGGACAATCGCTCCAGGTACCGAGACCGGGATAGTGACTATCGCAGAGATGGTAGAGATGGCAGAGACAGCGACTATCGCAGGGGCAGTGGGCGGCGGAGACGAGATTCCGAGGAAGATGTCGAGACGTTCGAGGCGAGCATGTACGATGACGCACCACGAGCGTCCAGAGACCGGCGGCATTCGGATTCGGACGACCGCCCACGATCATACGCCAAGGAGAATCAGGGCAAAGAGCTGTTCGCCACCCGACGAACGGCGCGCGATCGGTCGGCTTCGCCAATGCGCGACGGCGACGGTGACGATGTGATGGGCGAACGGGCCAGCTCTTCCGGTAACAGAGCCAGGGCCCGCACCCTGAAGGATCGAATCTCAGCAGATAACAGCACGAAGGAACTATTCCCAACCAAGGAACTTTTCCCAGTTAGGGGCTCCGGCAGCCGTGGCAGCAGCCGGCTAGATCAGCTGGAGCGAGCCATCGGATCAGCGCACCTCCGGGAGGAAGACCGGCCCAAGATCGTTGCGGTACCCGATGCGCCTGCAGGTGGAGCATTTAACATTCGGGGCATTGCGAATCGGCGCGGCGATGGGGAAGGCTTCTCAATCAGGGGCGCCGCGGGTGCGAGCGCAAAAGAGCTGTTCCCAGACCGGTTTGGTGGTGGCAATGCGGGCAAAGAACTCTTTGATAACGGCAGAACGAAGCGGCGGCAGAGGGCCGAAGACCTCTTCTCGTAGGCAAGGAAGAAAAATCGTCGGGCGACAACAAAATGCATACAGGCACGGCCATGCCTATCGTTATGGCCATGGATGATGGGATGGAGTGAATAGATGCCTCGAGGATAGATAACTATACGATACCACGGCACAACCAAAAACAATCAAACAGCGATACTCTGGGCAATACTGGGCATCCCGCCTCTTCCCCTCTCTAGCGAGTGAATCAGCGAGCCTCCTCGGGCGACCAGTTCATGCCTACTCGCCTGTCAAAATTTCCTACCACCACTTCTCCGTCATGACCTGTCCGGGTTCCAGCCCAACTCCCTTCACCGATGTTAAGATGCCAACCATCTCGTCTGTCATGGTCGGAGGCCCGCAAACATAGACGACACATGAATCCCGCTCCTGGCCGACCGCTGCCTTGAGGTCCTCATGTCCGAAACGGCCGGCCTGGATCTCAAGTCCACCCCCGTTGAACTCGCCTCCCAAATCATGCAAGAGATCCGGCCCCGGGGATGTGTCCGTTGCAAAGATTTGAAACCGTCCCTTGAGCTTCTTCTCTCCAAACAGTCTCGCAATCCGCCGTACGAAGAGGACCTCGGCCACACCACCCGCCGGAACCTTGCCGGCATACAGAAGCTGCACGTCGCCCTCGAAATCCCCCTCCGCAATAAAGCTCATCATGCTCATCAACGGGTTGATTCCCACGCCGCCCGCAACCAAGACGACCCGCCCAATCTCGGCGGCCGCTCTCCCGGCCGGCGGGAATACGAAGCTGCCTCCGACGCGCACGCTGAGGCTCGATCCAAGGATCTCTTCCACCGGGCGCCAGAGCCACGCAGCTGGCGGGTTATCCGGAGACTCTTGTACGGCGAGCTCGAAGTAGGGACTCTCAGTGGTCGCTGCGACCGAGGGCGACGATGTGAGTGTGAAGCCCCCTGGTTTGGCGAGGCCAGGGACGTATGTGTCGAGCCATTGGCCGGGGGAGAACTAAACCATGATATTCTGTGTAAGAATTTCTTCTCTTTTAATCTCACCACATTCGTGTAATTCGTGTGGAGGTTGGAGCAGTGCACATACCGATACCGGGTGCTGAAGTGATAACCGGAATAGCCGCACGCGTTCATTGATCTGGTCCACGCGGCTCAAGGTCACCGTATGCAAACCCTACCCAGCTTCCTGGTTAGTCTAAAGATCCAAGATGTGTATAAATTAGTGCCACTGCAGGTACCTCGTCTCTCGGCTCCTGGGAAGTTCTCTCCAGATGCCCGGTGCGAACCGTTGTCATGGCTGCCGTACAGATGAGGCTTGAAGATGTCGTTGGTAAGTGGATTTCGGCTCTCCAGGTGGTAGGACGGATATGATTTGCAAGAACTCGTGCTCTTTGAATCATCAAAACGGTGTGGTTATGAAGGTCGCTTTGGTTTGAATTGATTGTAGTTGAGCCAAAGTTAACAGGTGCGAAGTATTGACCTACCTCTATACATCACATGTGGGGTTATCACATTGTCTAAATAAGTCAGCCAAGTGGTGTCAAATGCCGAGTTAGCAATCCTCGATATCGATCTAACCCAAACAGTAAATGAACATGAACATGGTGGCGGCACTGAGAATTTGGACGAGCCTCTTGCAATGTAAACAAAGGACGTTTTGATCGTCATTTTGAACTGATTCTATCTTCTTCCATCCCCGGGTCTCACTCCTAACCCCTTCCATCCCCCTCCGCATTACGTACGACAGCACCTCCACTAACGGCCTGTCTCCCCTCAGCCCGCTCATGAGGGCTCCGTCCAGTTGACCTGGTCCATAACCTGTCCGGCGGTTGGGTGCATGTACGTAATTCTCAACCGCAGTCGCAGAGGCTAAGACAAATGTTAGTGAACTGCACCGAACCAGGCACTCATAAGAATAAAAACTTACCCCCTTACACCCAGAAACTCTCATCGTCTGGGTAGCTTCGGCCCCAGGCATGAGGTCCGAGGAGGAGATGCTCAGCAACTGCAGCTTCTGAGACTTGGGAACGGCGGCCTGCAGGCCCACGTTGGACAATGTCGCCGTCCCGCTGTTGCGGAACTTGGCAATGGCCTGGATCATGCCCTCGGCGTTCCGCTGGATCTGGAACGTCAGGTTAAGATCATTGGCATCGTAACAAGGGATTCCAGCAGGCGTCTGAGGAGTCTGGGGTTGGGGCGACGCGGCCGATACCCGTGACATGAGATCGAGGTTCGATGAAGGCGCCGGGGAGGCCCTTGATGGCTCGGCTCCGAAGAGATCCATGATGGATGAAACATTGGACTGCGGGGGCGGCGGTGAGGTGGAGGAGGGGGCGGGAGAGGTAGCGCCGCCAAGGATATCGGCAAGGAGATCGGTGTTGGTCGTCGAAGGTGCGTTGGAGGGCGTGGCAGCGGGCGAGTCCATGATGTCGAGAAGGTCCTGCTCTGTCGGCTTGATGACGCGAGATTTCCGGTTGGCGGCCTTCTTCTTGGCAGGGGCCGCACCAAGAACTCGAGACTCCTCCTTGATCTGTGGAACGGGCATCTTCTCGAGCACACCCCTTCGGACTTGGTCAAATTGGAAGAGGTTTCCATACTCAACTGCTCGCTGCTGCACCTCGACATCCAGGCTGGTCTGGTTGTGCTGCATCAGGCGTCGGATCCTCTCAACCTGAGAAGCATCCGAGAACCGAGTGGTCAACTTCATGAGGGCAGTAATGATATACTCAGTGGACACTTGAGTTGCATAGGCACTGTTCAAGATGAGCGAGAACAGGTCAACAACTTCGGACTCCTTGACCACCTGAACCAGCTCCTCTTCCTCATACTGGCCACCCTTGAGGAGGGCGTCCGAGTACTCGCCAATGCACCAGGCTCCGGCTTGTGTCAAGCTCTCCTGGGTAATGTCCTTCTTGAGGTTGACGTACAGCTTCTGTACCGCGTAGGTCTGGAGCTCGGGGGTCGTTGCGACAAGTCGGACAAACGACGACAGGATCTGCTCCTTGACGTAATTACCAGCCAGCGACATGACGCGCAGCATCGTGTCGAAATGCCATCGCTTGTTGGGTGAGAATTTGTCAGCCGCAATACCAATTTGGCTCGTCATGGTAGGCTTGAACTCGTTGTCTGCTACTTCCAGGAAAGCCAAAAGCTCTCGGATTAGAACTCGAACGTTGCTCTCGTTGATCAGGGTGAAGCTGAGGTCCAGGGCGCGGCGTCGAATACTAATATCGGGATCCCGCAGACACTCCAAGATGGTGTTTCGGTGTCTCTGCACAGCATTGGGCTCGATCGCAACTACCTTGATGAGGGTGTTGAGGGCCACATATCGAATGTTGTTATCCCGGTTGGTGAGAAATTTACCCAGAATGTTGACACCGAGAACCCTCAGGCCGGAGTCGGCCTCAATATCCAGAATGGTGCGAACAGCCTCGTACAGGATCGAGTTGCCAACATTCTTGGAGGATTCGGTGTTGGTGGCGACTTGCGCCAGGATATCGTTAATCTGTTCGCTAGTCTCGGCATCTCCCACAGCCAAGACTCGCAATAGATGAAGGATCTTGACCTGTAGGAAGGGGTCGGTGATGCCAGTAACGTCATGCTCAGGTGCGTATCCCGATGTTGCCAAGCCCTTAAGAGTCCGAACCAGCCCCGGGACGAAGGATCTGAACTTCTCGACGATCCCTTCCTCGCCACCTTCTTCCTCGTCAGCCTCGCACAGGCTGGTAACCAAGGTCAATCCACACAGCAGAACGCCATGGTTTCGGTCCGAGAGGAGCTGGGTTGCCTTCTCCAGGAAATGCTCCTGTAGGTCGGGGACCTTGCGAGTTATCCGCATGGCGCAGAGAGCGGCCTTTCGTCTGATATAGGGGTTCGAGGTAGAGACGAGACTCTCAATTTCGGGGAAGAGATCTCGCGACATCTCGATCGAGGCAATGTTGCCCAGTGTGCAGAGCGCGAGGCCGACGACATATTGGTTGGAGTGGCCAAGGTCACTAGATTCAGTATTAGCGATACAGCGGCCACCTTAGCCACGGATTGGGCATACTTCTTGAGCGAGTTGGTCACCAGCGTAAGGACCTCTTGGTTTTCGTCAAGCAGCAAACTCGTGGCCAGGTGTCCCAGGCGCTTGTCGGCAAATCGGGGGGATGCTAGAAGCTTCAAGCACTCGATCTGTCCGAAGTGGGTTCGCTCTCCGAGTGTAAAGAGGTAGAGGAGTTTCGCAACGTTGTTTCGACTATTCCAGGCCTGTCAGCGCGAGCCCCGTGGCCGGGTATTGCGGCCGTGCTATCACGGGCACCTACCGGGTGTTGGGGTCGTGGCTCTCCTCCCTGAAGCTTGCACGGATGGCAGCGCTCTCCTTTTGGATGACGGCTCGTTCGTCGGCAATCGTCTTGGCCGCACGCACATTGCGGATGAACTGTTTCACTGCAGCACCGGAAGTATCAGCGGCTATCCCGTGGTCCTAGAGCGGGAGAGGTCGGCGTGGCCATACAAGAACTCATCTTGGGGAGCAGGACGACCCGGCGATTGGGCCGCCTTGTGAGTGTTGTCCAGGGGCTGCGACGGCGAGTTGTAGTGACAGCGAGATCGCCAAAAGCTCAATCAGCTCCAGGAGCAACCAAGGAGCTAGACGAGGGTCGAGATGGGCGGGCGGGTTGGCGGTATTTGAGGAGTGTTCCCCTTACTCAAGGCAGCTGTATAACGCAGGTTGCGCCTCCACGGGTCACTCACTGACGGTGTGTGCTGTGGTGCTGTGGCGGCGGCGGACACATTTCAACGTGGGGCACCGGCCGAGAGAGCCAAGCCAACCCCTAAGACTTAGGTAGGTACGTACCTCCCAGACCGGCCCAGCTGAGTGGACTGGCTAACACAGATTGAGCCCGGAAAAAGCAACGGCCCGTGCACCACTAATCTTCAGCATCCAATAGACATGCATCGCGATTAGAAGCCGACAAAGTCATGGAACCAAGTAATTAACTGATGTTTACTATGTACATCAGTAGAAACAAGTATAACCATAATGATAGACACATGCTAATTCATACAAAGGTCTGATATACTTCTTCCAGACCTGATAATCCTTCTTTTTTTTCCCCTTTTCCACTCCAGTGTGTGTGTGGCTTCGCATGCAACCACCATTAACGCCATTAACTTACACGTCGAGACGCATAAATGGGTGTGCCTCTGTGTTCAGCACCCACTTGTCCAGACTCACCACATCAAACTCGCTAAAGATTAGGTAAAAATACTTGAGCGTCTCTGCCAGCCAGAAGCTTTCCATGCTGTCCATCATGACTGGCTCCTTCTTAGTGACATCATTAAGCGCAGATGCCGCAATCTCAGTCCGAGTCAACGCCTCAATCCGCTCGAACATATCCCATGCTTTGTCCATCCATTTGGGGTCGCCAGTCAGTCGGTACAAGACGAAGATGGATTCGATGGCTTCCGGTCGCAGGATGAACTTCGGGTCGCCCACAGCCGACATACCCTTGGGAATATTGTGCCTGTCAGCAACCTCCTGAGGCGTGGGCTTTTTCCAGCCTTCCGGCTTCTTCATCCCAGTTGGCGGTGTAAATTCATTTGGATTTTGAGCTTCGATAGCCTTGAGCCATTTTGCCTCATCCCAGTCACAGGCTTTCGGGTCAGAGGAGTCCATGTCACCGCAAGAGACAAAGCTGAACACTTCAGGGCCAAGACCGGTCTCGGTTGCATTGTATGCCCAGACGCAGCCCTCAGTCAATTGAATAGCGACCTCGAGGTCTTGTGGCTGGTCAAAGAGGCGGCTGGCCAGTCCTACCATGCCACCGGCGAAACAGGTCAAGTGCTGACCTCGATAGACCTCGGTGAATTTGGGCTTTTCTCCAGGCAAGTCGGTGATCACGAAGTCGCCCGAGATCAAAATTGGCTCCTTCCAAGGAGTGAGCGCCTTCCGAAACAAGTTCTTCTTGGCGACAGGGAGGAATTGTTCGTACAACTTCCGCGGTTGTTCGAGCTGCCCTCCGAGAAGAAGATATTGCTTTGGGAGATACTCGTACAGCGAGTCCGACATGCCTCCGAGGGTGAAATCCGTGCCTGCGTGGAAGGCCGGTGTATATGCATCAATTTCCACGGGCCACATGCCTGGCAGGCGCGAGTTGAGCTGGGACGCTTCAAACTCGTCCCCAATCCTCTTGATGGCATCATAGTACTTCATGTCACCAGTCAAGTGGGACAGCTTGGTCAACTCGAGACTCATGGATCCCATCTCGGAGACGAGCACATGCTGGCTAGCAACCTGCTTCTTGCCATATACATATCTGCAACAAGGGTTAGTGATCAGCACCGTCGACATGTTAGACAAAATTCTCACTGCTTCCAATCCCATCGAGTGACAGGCATGTGGTTAGGGGTGTCGAAAGCACACATGAGCAGGTCGCCGACCTCGACGGCCTTCTTCAGAAGCGCGGGGTGAGTCTTGCCGCTGATCTCGTAGGCAGATAGAAAACCTCCGAGGTAGCGGATGTTGGTTTCAAAGATATTGATAAGGGGAATGGCGCTTGTCGAGAAGTCGATCCCCTGGGCTGCGGCCACAGCCTTTATGAATTCATCCTTCATGTCCATAATCCACAACGAGTCGAGAGAATCGACTAATGTGGCAGCCCAGCCGCCGAAGGGATCCTTGGCCTTGCCTGTGAGTGGTGTCACCTCATCATGCATCCAGGCGTAGTATGAGTAACCCTTCCAGCTATGCTCGAAGCTCTTCTTGACGGCATTGAGTCGGGACAAACGAAGCTCCCTAGCAGCGGTGCTCTCAATGGGAGTGATGGCCTGGATCTGAGGTATCGTCACGCCTTTGCGCCCCGACGGGATAGCAGCGAGCTTCTCGACGGGATACTTCGCGGGCCGTCGCGCCCACGAATGAGGTCCAGGGCCGGCCAACGGATCTCCCGAGCCGAAGGAATCCCGCAGATACCAGAAGCAGAAAAGCCAAACTGCCGCCACAATCAGCCAGAGGCGACCGCGCCGGAGGCCAGACATTTGCGGCGGTGGACGGGGCTAGGGCTGTGGATGAGACTCGTGAGACGCGGGAGGGACGCTTACATCTCAACCCGAAGATGCAAGATGGGGATTTGGCAAAGCAACCTTCAGATGGTGAGTGTGAGTTGTCAAAGTCGGGGGCGTCAGCCTTCTCTCCCTTGCGGCTGAACCTTACGAGACTAGCAGGTCCCAGAGGGGAAGCCTAAGGTAACTCCTGGTGTCACACCGTCGGATTGTGGCTGAGGGGACTCACTGAAACCATGAAATTACAGCGAGGGGGGTAGCCTAACACGTGCAGGTACACTGCTCATCAGAGCTGGAGACAGAACTTGGCCGTCATCAACCCATGTAGAGCCCGAGGGTGAGATACGACGCGGATACAAGCATGATACGAGCGCGTCAGCTGTGCCCCTCCGCTTCTCATGCGCTCACAGGCTCCAGTATGGCAGGGAACGGAGCAAGGGCCGATCCGCCACTTCAACCACCCATGGCCCTCCAAGGCGAGAACCCCAGCACCCCCAGGGCCATCCCCAAGGGCCATCCCCATCCCCTAGCCCTCTCCGCCTCGTGTGGGAACCGCTCTGGCTCTCCATTTGCGAGAGCATGTTTGTTTTTAGCTATTCATTCCCCGGGCTCTCAATAGCGCCGTGGCAAGCTGACAGGCGCGGACTGGTGCTGCACGGGCTAACCTGGTCAGACTCGTTGTTTCTCAGGCCAGATCGCAACAGCAATCGCTTGCCCCAGGCCCCTGAATCCAGAACGATGCCGCGCGCAGCACGTACCGTTCAAGGCCATCCATCATTGTTCTGCAAAATAAGCAGCCAAGCCAGGCCGAGGTCCAGTTAAAATACGAAAACAGGGAATACTAATTACAACGATGGCTAAAGAACAGCCCGCCCCCAAAACCAGGTGCCCTGGCTGTAGGGCTGATGTACGTACTCTGCACCGACGGGGATCATGCTGGTGGTGAGCTCTTTTGTTGACCGCTCACTGCCCCTCAGTCACCATTATGCTCGGCGTTATCGCAGTCCAACCTATGAGAATCCGATGAAGCTCTGTCTTCGGCGTCTTGTCATCGGCGATGACTCGCAGTCGAGCTGTTGTACATGCATCCAGTTTCTCACGTACGCACACTCACGCACACTCACGCACACACAGATACTGGGTACTCTCCCGAGTTGAAAGATCGCTCTGTTGTCATGAGCCACGGCCATACAGCCATCGCACAATAGGGCGGTGGAGAAATAAGTGAACACGGAGACCAAGCCATTCCTCACAACATCAACCCAGCTAGTCGTAGATGCCTCCCGAATCGCTTGCAATTTGCCATTATAAACGCACAAGATTTCCCGTGGCCTCCCGGACATCCTGCACACTAGCAACCCACCCCGTCGCTCCATCAGTAGACGGCGGGGGTGCAGAGATGGCGCGGCCGAGTGATGGGTTGTTCGGGTATCAAAGTATCATCACTTACTTCTGCATCATAAGCTGGACGAACTCGTTGTCTGGTAATCGGGTTAGCGATAAGGCGTGCAGCCAGGTAAGCGAGGGGTAGATAACTCACAATCAATGCGGCCGTCACCATCCTGGTCAGCCTCTCGGATCATCTCGTCAACCTCGTCGTCGGTAAGCTTCTCGCCGATGGAAGTCATGACATGACGCAGCTCAGCGGCAGAGATGAAGCCGTTGTTGTCACGGTCGAAGACCTGTAATGGGAAATCAGCATGGCAAGTAACCAAAAGGCTGCGTCCCTTGCGCACGAACCTTGAAAGCCTCTCGGATCTCCTCCTCGGAGTCGGTATCCTTCATCTTGCGCGCCATCATGGTGAGGAACTCTGTAATAATCGGGTTAGCTTACAACGGTCCTACGCAAAGAGGGCGTCGGTATAGAGACGTACCAGGGAAGTCGATGGTGCCGTTGTTGTCAGCGTCGACCTCGTTGATCATGTCCTGAAGCTCAGACTCGGAGGGGTTCTGGCCCAGGGAGCGCATGACGGTGCCGAGCTCCTTGGTAGTGATCTGGCCTAGAGTGAAACGTTTAGTTGGCCGTCATGGATTCAATTCGCATCGAGGGACTTGTATATGATGGGCAGGTGATGTCGAGTAGATCGAGACTGGGATCGGGCGGACGCCGCCTTGGAGAGGCGGCTTGCGTAACGGGGAGCATCACTCACCATCGCCATCCTTGTCCTACGGGAGGGCGTTAGCAACGATTCCAGCGAGCCCGGGCCCGGGACGAAGAAAGAGAGTGGGACTTACAAACAGGGAGAAAGCCTCCTTGAACTCGGAGACCTGCTCTTCGGTGAGGGAGTCGGCCTATGGTGATAATGGGGTCAGTGGCGGGTTCGAAACGCGGCATCATCAGCACCAGCCAGCAGCCCGCCCCTCCCAACCGCCTGGCGGGGTCGACGACGGGCGGCAACAGCGCAGAATCAGGGGAAAGCGAAAGCTAGAGACTGGCGACGAGGATGCCACGCAAAGCAAAGGGGTAGGCACTCACCATGTTGGGCAGCGGCGGTAGCAAAGGTGAGAGGTAAGGGGTGTGTGGGTGTAGATCGTAGGAGGAGGATGACTTGGATAAGTTGTGAAGTCGCGGGGTTCCTGGCCAAGAAAGTCGGACCTTTTCGCGGGTTGAGCTTCGTGGGGACTCTGGACACAGGACTGGATACCAGCACGAGTCTGGCGGGGAGGACGGCGAATGGGTGGGACGGAAGCGTTCAGGGGACACAGATAGGTACCTTAGGCATACCGCCAGTGGACAATCGCTCCACTAGGGCCCCTAGCCACCCACTAACGACCAGTAACGGGCGGCACACGGCAGCTACGACGACACTGCAACCTCCAGCGGCCCAGCCACACTGAAATGAGGGAGAGGTATCGACTGCCATGGAATGAATTGGAGACGGCGCACTGTCCCTCGCACTGCCACGCAGCGTATTTCCAGGGGGTGTAGCAGGCCATGGGCGGGGCACAGGGGGCTTGACATGGCGGCGGGGATTACCGAAGGTTACCTGAGCCCACCTGAGGGAACTGCTCGGCAGTGGCCCGCTGCCACAGTTCCAAAACTAGCACTGTGCGGCTACCTCCTGACGTTCCTTCACAAGCCCCCAAACCCCAGCCCCAGCATGTACCAGATGGAGCCCGTGATTTCAAAACTGTCCCCTCGAGTCTGAGGCTTATTACGTACGTACCTGCGCACTGCTCTCAGCGACCAAGTGGTGCTCTAGTGGACACTTGGAGGGTCCCCTCCCCTGTCGGCATCTCGCCAGTGTGTCGGAATGCAGCGAGCCGGCCAACAGCAGCATCAACCCGCTTCCGACCCGTCTCCATTCGCGATCCGATCCATCCTCCACCAAGCTCCTCCATGACGACGCCCAACACCTCGACGACCGTCCCATGACGCTCCCTCTGCGAACTAACTTACACCATCTCTCCTCTCATCTCTACTCACCCTGACGGTCGCCACGATCACCGCTTGCGTCCGCCATGTGGCGAGACCGCACTAACCTGTATGTTTGGCTGGCTGCCTCCAACCCTCCAAACCCCCATCCCATCGCCATTGACCACAGGCGTTCCCGCTGCTGACGCCCTTTGGCTTCAAAGATATATCTCCTACCGGCAGTCGTATGCGCACCATCCCACGCAGCGGAGACCCTACGGACCCGGCGCGTCGGGGGCCGGTGCCTTGGCCGATACCTACTCCAGCAGCAACTATGCGCACGAAGATCGCCGCGGCCTGCTGTCGGCCGGCGCATTCGACGACGATGGCGATACCGTGATTGAGATGGACCTGCTTCCCCCACGCTGGGCCGACATTTCCGACGAGATCACTGACCTGCTCACCAACATCGCTACCAAGAGCCAGAACCTTGAGAAGCTACATCAGAAGCATGTCCTTCCGGGCTTCAATGACGACGACGCCAAGCGCGCCGAGGAGACCCAGATCGAGAAGCTCACCCAGGAGATCACAAAGGGCTTCCATGACTGCCATCGATGTATCCAGCAGGTCGAGCAGATGGTGCGCGAGTCGAGGGAGTCTGGTACCATCAGCAGGGCCGAGGAGACCATGGCCAAGAATATACAAATCTCTCTTGCCACAAGGGTCCAGGAAGCAAGCGCCAACTTTCGAAAGAAGCAGAGTGCATACCTCAAAAGTACAGTCTCCTATCTCACTCCGATCCCTCTCAGAGGTTTGTTCTAACTGATATCTAGAGCTCCGTGGCATGGGCGGGCTTGCCTCCCCGACTCCCGGATCCAGCACGCCTCAGCCTGGCTCCTACTTCGATCCGTCCCTCCAGGAATCCGACGCCGACCGCTCATTCTCCCAATCCACCCTTCAGCAGGCCACCCAGCAAAGGATGCTACACTCCAATGACGCTGCTATTGCCCAGCGCGAGCAAGAGATCGAGGACATCGCCCAGGGCATCATTGATCTGTCTGATCTGTTCCGCGACCTCCAGACCATGGTCATTGACCAGGGCACCATGCTCGACCGCATTGACTACAATGTCGAGCGCATGAACACGGATGTCCAGGCGGCCGAGAAAGAGCTGAAGGTGGCATCTGGCTACCAACAGAAGTCGACCAAGAGGAAGATTATCCTTCTCTTGATCCTCCTCATCGCCGGCTTGTTCATCCTTCTCATGATCAAGCCCAAGAAGCACGACTGAAACGTTCAAAGGATCGACTATGTCAGGATACCCACCGTCGTCCCGGACCCGCGATCTCTTTTTTTTGGTGTAAAACTGGTCTCTGTGCCCCTCGCGGGTTAAATTTGCTGTTGAACAAAGGTGCAACTTGCCTCTCAACCTGCAGAGACCCTTATATGCATGTACCAATACAATGTAAAGCACTTGATGAAGGACATGTCCCTGATGTAATTGGAGTCACGGGTTTTTTTTGTTAATAATATTTCACTTGCATTACCTTGCCTAAGTGTGTTGTCTATCCTGGAGTCTATCTTGATTCGTTTCGGCCCCCCAAATCCCTTTTTCTTCTTCGGCCCTATCCTCGTCAGTTTCATACGCCGCCGCCAAAAGCCTGGGGTAACGGTCCCAGAGCTTCGGTTTATGGTTCTCGAGCTCTTGGATGAAGTGCGGAAGGGGTGGGAGAAGCTCCGCACCCCAGGCCTCGTCGGCCAGGCGCTTCAAGTTACTTGGTGAAAGCTCTCGGTCATCCCTTGCTCTATGTCTCCGTCGACCGGGTACTTTAGCCATGACGATGCGCGAGATGAGGACACTCTTGAGCACCTGGCTGTCAATGTGAAGTCCCTGGTCACGGAGTATCGCGAGGAACCTTACCCCCCACGCTATGTCGAAGCCCGCTGCGCTTGCTTCTGTTACACGCAACAGTGCTCCAGGGTGTGGTGCCAAAGCCAACTTCCTGTCAAAGCTCCACCTAACAATGGCTCGTTGCAGCGATGCGTCGAACAGCTTCGCCAATGGATGTTGCTGATGTGAAAGAGGAAGATCGGTTGGGATGTAGTGGACGTCGTCATTCGGGGCTGTTCTCTTCCCTCTGCGCCAATGTTTCTTAGACAGCTCTTCAGCATCTCCCAGGCCCATCTCGTTTCTCCAAAATTCGTCCAGAAACAACTGTGGCCAGTTTTCTGGGTCCTTATCACTCGTGCCAAGATCTTCACCAAGAGAACCCTTTTTCTTTGATTCAATCTTCTTGGCAACCTTCGATATGTGCTTCGGTGGTAGGTCTTCTCCATGGACCGGGAACAGACCCTCGGGTGCTAAGGCGTACAAATCGATAAGCTCGTAACTCAACTCTTCAAGCTCGTCAAATCGTCCAAGGCGACCCAAATTGTACAGAATAATCCGCCAACATCTAAGGGGTATCGCGACGTCGTGGCGCGCCACTCTCCGGATGATATGAATTGCTCTATCCAAATAGGGGTCCACGGCAACACCACAGCGCCTCTGTTGAGTCTTCTTGGGGAAATACCATAGCCTGTCAAAGACTTGTTCCAACATGTTGGCAGAGTTGGCGTGCGACATCTTGACATCCAAAGATTCCATTCTGTCAAGGATCAATCTCGCGTGTCCAAGGTTGCTTCTAGCCAATGTTCTTTTGAGGATTAGGTTAAGGTCTTTTGGGGGAGGTCCTTTGGCTTTTTTTGGCCGCCCTAGTGTTGCCCATTGTACCTCCTGGAGCAAACGTTCCCGCTTCGAATCTTGTTCTCTCTTGGCTGCATCCATGAGCATACGCCGTGTCTTGGCATCATCAAACTCCTCTGGATGGATATCACACAGCAGCAGATCGGTCAGCAGGTCTTGCTGATGACCTTTCGCAAAGGATACTAACGCCTTGCAATATATTGTTTGTGTAATTGCAATGCCCAGCGCCTCAAGCTGGAGTATTCGGCTTGCGACTTCTTGGACATTGTCCTCGCGAAGCGCCAAGGACTGTAGAGATCGTGGCCCGATGGTCCGAAGGCCAAGTTTGTGCATCATATTGATAGCAAACTCCACAGAGGCCCAGGAGCTAGCAAACCAACGGGCCGCAAAAGAGTCACTGTAGACTCCCTTCAGTTGGGTCGTTGTATGCCTTGGGGGATTTGGGTCCTCGAATTTCGTAGCGGCGGTGACAGGATTATAATGAGCAAGCTCCAGCTCTTCCGTCGCGAAATGTGTGAGAGGGTAATATTGCTGACAAAATTGCAGAAAGGGTCGAGATTTTGGGGTAGATGGAAGATCTCCATGGAGAACAAGTTGCTTTCTCCAAGCCCGCGCTGTTTGAGAATGTCCATACTCAAACAAGGTTGGTATCAGGTGGTCGTATACACTGCGACAAAAGCTAAGTTCGTACAACTTCTTGAGGACGATCTGGAGTTCCGGCGCTGGGTTAATGGCGAAACTGACAAGAAGAGCACGGAAGTCGTTGGTATGGGGGGTAAATGTTGACATCAACCGCAAATGCCAGAGGTACGCAGTATCGTATTCAGCTTGGTCAAGGTAAAAGTGAAGAACTCGGGTGTATAGTTCAGGCCATTCAAATTTGAGTTCGTTGCGAAGGTGTTGTGCGACTTCGTAAAACACAAGCATTCGGGTTGAATCGTTCAATGCCGCCGACAAGATATTGTTCCGGAAAGATTCGGCATGAAGGTCGACGATAGGTAAAAAGTTTCCTGTGCCACGGAAGCTTAGAAAGAGGTCCCAAGATTTATCATCCGCGTCGCTGTATTGCTTCACAACCCCATGAGGTTCCTTCAGAGATGTTTTGTCGAGTCCCGGGTCAAGCCCGACATTCTGCAGAGTAAGTCGTTCCGAGGTTTCCGACCTTACGGAGTCCGGCCACGACAGGTCCTGTGGCGCATCTCGATATAACTCGCCCTGCCCCAGCTCTCCATCTTTGCTCCGTTCGAGAGGAATCGAGGAAAGAATCGGCTCGTCGGAAGTGGCGATACTCCACGGCTTCTGTGCCACTCCTGGTGATGCGGCTCCAGACCCAAACAAGCGGCGAGCTGAAAAGCTTGGAACAACAGATGGAAACACTAGGGCAGCGGATGACGATGGCCGAGTTGAGGAGCGGGCTAAACTTGCTGTCAGGACGTTGCAGCTTAGATCTGATGGACTTCGGATCGGAGATGGAGAGTATCGAATGCGTCTCAAGACCTGATGCATTCCCGTCGTTGGCTCCGACCAGGTGCAGCGGATTTGTATCACCGCATTGGATCAAAGGTAGCAGAAAGCCGATGGCTAATTGAACTGCTCTTACTGAATGCCAGAATTTTGTCGATAACTCTTTGAAGGCGGAACTTTTTGATTCGCGCAACTAGAGCACGTCGCTGCTGCAGGGGGGGGTCACAGCAGCACGTGCCTAAGCCAACGAGAGCACTGGCAGCTTTGCTGAGTCATTCCTCCATCCCGGCTCCAATCAGGTTATGGCCTCATTTCTTCCTCTTAACATCGACATCCTCCGTTAACCACTCGACTCGCACCCGAACCTCACCACCGAAGCCTCTCCCGCATCTCCGCAACCGCCGCAACAATGGGGTACGTATAATTGATCCAGTGCCGTTGTCCGCGACACCCAAACTCACTCGATCCGACGCCAATTGCCAATTGCCAATTGCCCATTGCCGAACCCGAACATCACATCATACGAGATCCGTCGCTGACATTCTCCAGTCTCGTCGATGCCAAGAACCCGGTGCCTCAGCACCAGCGCTTCTACCAGTCCGCCTACAAGGCTCACACCCGTCTCTGGCTGATCGTATGGCCGAATTGATACACCCGCCGACCACCAAAAGCTCCTGCTGACCGAACCGATAGAACCCTCGCAGCCGCTTCCTCATGACCCCCTACCTTATCATTCTCTGGGGCTCCGCTGCCGGTGAGTTTCCGAATATTCATCATCGAGTTGAATGACACGAGGAGGGAAGCTTGGTTCTAATGTTATTATAGCTGGCCTCTACGGTGCCGGCCGCAAGGTCCTCGGCTACAAGACCTACTTCGGTTCCGAATAGACGATGGTACTTGCTCGATTTCGCCAATAGCTCGCAAGGCGATGGAGTGGTGTGGTTCACTGTGAATAGTAGAGTGTGTCAATAGATGGACGCAATTCAGATCCTCAGGACCTCAACGGTGTTACTACGATGCTATGATGTGCGCCCTTAAATCGTGTTTTATATTCACACGTCATTGCCATTATCAACCTTGACTCCTAAACTCTAGAATACAGTACGGAAAGTCGGAAAATTACTGCACCGACAAAGAGATCTGGCGGCGTGTGCTCTGCACCGGGCTGAATCTCTGGGCCGCATGCGGACCAGCTGGGTCTATCTTTAGTAACCCGTGGCGCCAGGTGCCTTCTCGTCCTTCCGCAGGTTCATCAACATCTCACGGAAACGCTCCTTGCCAGACCCAGCAGCCCCGCCCTTAGTGCCCTTGCCGCTGACATCTACCAGCTTCGCAATGCGATCCCAGCTCGTGCCGCCTGAAACGGTATCCTCCCGGCTGGCCAGGAACTGCTCGGCCTCCTTTCGTGTTTGCGCAATGCCTTTCTCCTTCTTGCCATTGTAGTTCTCGTAGAAGTCATCGATGTTCTGCTGGGCCTCCTTAATGGTCTCCTCTCGCTGGGCGGCGAACTGCTCAACTCGCTTGGCGATCTGGGCGTCTCGGCGGTCGCGCCACTCCTTGATAACCTCAGGCTCCTCCTCGTCCTCTGCGGAAGCCTGGAATCCTGAGTTGTAGCTGACAGAAGGACCAGTAACAGTGTTTCCGCCGGGAGCGATACCGGTGCCCTACATGCGCCACCCCGTTAGCTCACGCGTCATCAAGCTTGTAGGTGAGAAACTTACAGCGTCGGGGCCAGTCAGATCAGGGAACTGGGACTCGAAGGTGGACGCCGCGTTTCCGCTTCCGCCGAGGAGGTCACCGCTGGGTTCGAATGCGGCAGCATCGCCGCTGGTCGCGAACTGCACAGCATCGTCTCCTAGGAGAGCCTTCTCGCGTGCAAGGAAATCTTCGGGTGCGGCATCAGCGGAGTTGTCCTTGATGTCGGGTTGCGCTTCGAGGTTCTTGGTCAGCTACGTGTGTCTGATGGGTCTAGGTTGTCGTCCTGAACTCACCACCAGCATCAAAGTCCTCGATCGATGGGAATCGGTCCGCCATTTTTGATTGCGCAGGTGTGTGGTATGTCTTGAATTAGGCTCGCACTGCTGTGTGATTCGTCGGCGAGATATAAAGGTCTCGATGCGTGATGTTCTCGTCGAATGCAATGCTGTGGTGATAGCTGTTGCTGCTGTCGACGCTCCTATTCAGGTGCTGCCAGGTAGACCATCCAAGCGGATGAGGTGGATTCTGCCGGGCGGTGAGTGGCGAACATCCCAAAGTGGCTGCCTTGGCGGGGCGGCGATATCGAATAAACCCGCATTGGAGCATCAAATTATGCAAATAGCCGCAGGTTTTCTTCTAGGGGGTGTTTACTTGTATGCTCGCCCAAGCTCCCATCGTCCAACCTTTTGTTGTTGTTTTATCAGAGAATCATTCCAATCCGTCGCAATCTTCAAGTCCCGCCTCTCACGCGGTCCTACGACAAACGTCTCCAAGCAAACCGAACGCGGGCGGGTCAATTTTAGACCAGCTTTGTGAGGGAGCCAGCACACAAACTTTTCTGCAACCTCGCTGCAAGTAGCTGTCGTAGTCGATTTGAGTGGCAACCACAGCAACTGCTCTTGAGGACGTAGAATCAATGCTCTAGCTCCCACCTCCGCCTCCACCAGTCAATAGAGGTTGCCTAGCCAGTTCGACAAATCTCTCTTCGAATTTGGATATCCGGTACCAGGCGCAAACCATGGCTTACAACGATGATTCCGTGCTGGCGCGACTCTCATCGCTCAACGAGAGCCATGACAGCATTGCAACAGCTGCCCAATGGATCATGTTCCACAGGTAAGCCCCTTCGCTAAGATTGAGGAGCTATCAATGATAAAATCACTGACCCAATTCACAGGAGACATGCGGATCGCACGGTGCAGCTCTGGGTGCAACGTCTGAAAGACTCATCAAGCGCAAAGCGCTTGAGTCTGGTCTACCTCGCCAATGGTGCGTTTTTCCTCGATATTTTCTGCTCAACTATTAGTCCATGACTAACGTGACCCGGGTGTGCAGAGGTGGCTCAGCAGTCCAAGATCCGGCATAAGGACGACTTCATCATCGCCTTCGCGCCCGTTGTGGCGGAGGCTATATCCATTGCATACAAAGGGGCTGCTGCTGATATCCAGTCGAAGCTCAAGCGGGTAGTGGATGTGTGGAAGGACAGGGCAATCTTTGAGGCGCCAATCCAGGCGGCCATTGATAATCGCATTGAAGGTTTGTTTGGTCCATGGCCGTGTACATTCTCTGGCACCTTTGCTGACTGGATGAACAGAATTAGACAAGGCCCGTGGCAGTGCCAAGCCGGGCTTTGGGGGGTCACCCTTTGGTGGCGGCGCACCACCCATCCCATCGGAGTTTGCCCCCCTGGTCTCTGCACACCAAAGTGTGAGCAAGTTGAGCATTCCTCTGAAAGCCACGATTGCATCTACAAACCAGGAATATGAGAAGCAAACCGACTCGTCAACTCCGGTGCCATCAGCGCCAGTCTATGCTGCCCGCCTCAACGGTCTTCTCAAGAGCCTTGCGAATGCGGAGAGCGCCGTTGCTGAGTGCGTGAAAGCTCGAGAAGGCCTCCTCTCTGGTCTCGAGAAGCTTCTCAACGCCAACAGGGCCGCACTGGATGGTGAAAAAGCCGCACAAGCGCAGCTTTTGAGCAGGAAGAGCGAAATTGAGGAAAAAAAGCATCAGGTAGAGCTTGCTATCATGCGTGCGCTTGGTCCCGCGGAGGGCAACGGTGAATCGGGAGAGGGAGGCTCTACAAACACACCCCCTGAGCCCGACAGACCCGAGATGGAGGCTCTCACCCCTCCTGCCATGGAGGCTTTCACTCCTCCCGCCATGGAGGATGAGCCTTTTGAGCCTGCTCCTGCTGAGGAAACAAGCGCGGAGACGCAGCCATCTGGGGATGGCATCGAGATGCTCTCAAACTTGGCATCATCCTACCAGTCCCTGCCAATCTCCATCAATGGAGCTAACAAGCGACGCCGTGTCGACGACGGTGACGACTTTCCGGACCTGGGAGGAGATGATGGCATCGACGCCGACGTAGCTGAAATGCTCAAGGAGGGGAACCAGGTCTGATGGCGAGAAAACTCTGGCGATGCCAATATCAGCGCAGGAGCTTGATTTTCTTTGGAAAATCTCCAAGAATGGTTCATTTCGTTTGGCTCAATTTCTTCTACCTTGTATTCTATAGTAGTTTCGTTGCTACTTCGTTCCTTTGGGGGTTGGAATCTCGGAGAGTATGTATTGTAAGGTATAGGATCCATCGGTCAGTCAGCACGTCATTTGCCCAATCCATAGCAGGATTTCGCTTCAACAACGTGTCTTAACTTATCTCGCGAAATATCAATGTACCAGTGACTACTATGTAAGCTGCATCTGGCCAGCAATCCCATCGCGACTCGGCATGGCGGCACCGTATGCGGGCAGAGTCCGAGGTCGTCGGTCAGTCGGATCGGCCGGGTTGGGGCGTAGCTCCGACCGAGGAACGCCACGGGGATCTGGGGATCCACCCAAATTTTGACCTTTGCTCCCTCAACTTCGGAGGCTGGGAAATGCCGCGACGATGACGGCATCACAGCCTGTTCAACTCTGATTCCCATCCCGCACCGCTCTAAATTACGACTCGCCACACCCTAGCTCTGCTCTGCCCCGGTGAGAACAACGCAGTGCTGATGATGCTCCGCTAAGAGGCCGTCTGAACAAACCCCCACTGTCACCATGGTTCCGGGAGTAGCCCGCCGAGTGCTGCTCCCTCGCATCGCCGAGAGCTCTCCGTTTGCCCCTCCAATGCCTCTCGCGGCATCACGGAGACCATTGACAGCTGCTCTTCGCAAATCCGATTCTCCTCTCCTCCAGGCGAGGCTATTCCACGCCTCGTCATCCCGCCAGTCCCTGCTCCCGCCGTTCTCTGTCGCAACATTCCGATCACCGGTTCCCAGCCCTCAACTACACTCACAACTCTCCCAGCTTCGCGACCGAGTTTCTCCCCGCCATTGCTCCGTAAATGCGACTTTGCGCCAGTTCTCCACAGCTCCCTGCCTGCTTCAACAATTGCAAACCAAGCAAGGAGAGGATGCTAAGAAGACCACCGAGCCAGAGGTCCAGAATAAGCCTGAGGAAGATGAACATAAGCACGAGTTTCAAAAGAGCGAGAGGGCTGCTCGAGCTGCCCAGGTCAACCTGTCTGCCAAGTTGTCCAAGGAGGGCAAGGGAGCAGGTGGCAAGGCTGGCTACTCGGAGATTTGGAGGTTGATCAAGATTGCGCGACCGGAACTGCGATGGCTCTCTATCGCCTTCGTGTTCCTTGTCGTCTCCTCTAGCGTCACCATGTCCATTCCTTTCTCGGTCGGTCGCATCCTGGATCTCGCCTCCAAGGGCGATGCCGAGGATATTCGCCTCTTTGGCTTGACCCTGAATCAATTCTTCTTGAGCCTGGGTGCTATCCTGACTCTAGGTGCCATGGCCAACTTTGGCCGAGTGGTTCTCCTACGCATCGTCGGTGAGCGGGTTGTTGCCAGACTTCGATCGCAGCTCTACCGACGCACCTACGTCCAGGACGCCGAATTCTTTGACGCAAACCGAGTTGGAGATCTCATCTCCCGCCTGAGCTCCGATACTGTTATAGTGGGCAAGTCCGTTACTCAGAATATTAGCGACGGCCTCCGAGCCCTGTTCAGCGGAGGTGCTGGATTCGCCATTATGGTGTGGACCAGCCCTCAGCTTACCGGTCTGTTGCTGTTGATGTTTCCCCCCATCGCCGTCGGTGCGTTCCTCTACGGACGAGCAATCCGCAACATTAGTAGGTCCATTCAGAAGAACTTGGGAACCCTGACCAAGATTGCCGAGGAGCGTCTGGGCAACATCAAGACCAGCCAGGCGTTTGTGGGTGAAGTGCAGGAAGTGGGCCGCTACAACCGCCAAATCCGCAGGATCTTTGCTCTAGGAAAAAGAGAATCACTTGTTGCCGCCACCTTCTTCGCCTCGACCGGTTGGGCTGGAAACATGACAATCCTAGCCATGTTAGTTGTGGGAGGAAACTTTGTGAGATCCGGTGCCATGTCAATGGGAGACCTGACATCCTTCATGATGTACACGGCGTTTGCAGGTTCCAGTCTCTTCGGTCTCTCAGGCTTCTACTCCGAACTCATGAAAGGTGTCGGTGCGGCGAGTCGACTGTTTGAGCTCCAGGACCGCAAGCCAGGAATCCACCAAACGGTTGGCGTCCCTGTCAAGTCGGCGCAAGGCCCGATCAAGTTTTCTGACGTCACCTTTGCCTATCCCACACGGCCGGCCGTCAAGATTTTTAACGGGTTGAACTTTGAGATTCCATCTGGCAGTAATGTTTGTGTGGTCGGACCATCAGGAGGTGGAAAGTCGACCGTTGCTTCTCTTTTGCTCCGATTCTACAACCCTACATCCGGCTCAATCACCATCAACGGCGTGGACGTGTCTACAATGAATGTCAAGTCCCTGAGAAGGCGAATTGGTATGGTATCGCAGGAGCCTGTTCTCTTCTCCGGCACCATTGCCGAGAACATTGCCTACGGAAGGCCTAACGCCAACCGAGTGGACGTTATTGCCGCCGCCCGAAGAGCCAACTGTAACTTCATCAGCGATCTTCCCGACGGTCTTGAGACGCAGGTCGGAGCCCGAGGATCTCAGTTGTCAGGAGGCCAGAAGCAACGTATTGCTATCGCGAGGGCCCTTCTCAAGAACCCTGATATCTTGATTCTCGATGAGGCCACATCAGCTCTGGATGCCGAGTCTGAGACGCTAGTCAACGAGGCCTTGGCCGGTCTACTGCGCAGCCGCAACACCACTATCTCCATCGCGCACCGTCTGTCAACCATTAAGAGGTCGGACCAGATCATTGTCCTCAACAATGAGGGCAAGGTCGCAGAGATTGGAAGCTATGTCCAGCTTGCAGCAGACCCTGAGAGTGCGTTCAGCAAATTGATGGAGTGGCAGATGAGCGGCGGTGAGGTGCTGCCTGAAAAGAGGACTTCTGAGTCAAGGGCACACATTACCGAAGCGGAAGAGATCGAGGACGACCTGGAGAGACGGGACGAGGCCGATGCGGAAGCTGAGGCTGAGACTCGGGCAGATGAAGAGGAAGATTCGAAGGGCGAGGAGAAGCGACGACCTTGAAGCAACATCGACTACCACAAAACGATGAAAACAACAAGGCTATGACGAAATAAGCCCTTCTTCGCCGACACGAAGCATATCGCGGGAATGTAATGACGCGGGCTCATGGTCGATGTGGACTTGGGTCCAAAGGGGCGGTTCAAGGAAATCATGTATAATATTTATCGGATATGTACGTCTGGGTCTCGGCCGCGGATGGTCCAACTACCAGCAGCTGCATAGAGAACTCCACTCGACAGTCACATGTACTCTTTTTGACGGCGTCGGTTATGGTATTGGTCCTACTTAAAAGGAGGATGCGTGGGGGATGGGAGGCAGCGGATGGGCCTCGGGCCCCGGAGGCTGGCGTGCTATAGAAGTGACAAATTCTGAATACTCCCTCTTTACTGATCTGTCCTTTCACGACTTGAACAAGCAATGAATCAGCCCTGCTTGAGGGTCTCGTTGCTCGTCAAATCAAAGCTGTAGGGATGGGTGACTTGGTTCCCACTGATGATATCACCCTGTCGCCCTACAGCCCGATTGCCAGTTCACAAGGACGGAAACCCTCCCAGGCTTGAAATTAAAGCATAGAATATAACAATTCCGTAGCAATTGGTATCATAAATGCTGTCCGTATCATGACTCAGCCCCAGGGGCCTTAGAAAATGAAGCTGCGGCAGGTGGTGGCTGACGCCCTGTCACATGCTTCGCTCACGACCCGTGGGTAATTGGCCCAGCGATGGATTCATGCCTCATTGCGGCATCCGTGCCATCTGCATCGCGCGGCTCCCGGCAAACATAACCTTGACTGCTCCACCGCGCCAGCTAAGCTCTCTCTTCACTTTACTCAAGATTCATCGTTGGTAGCCTAGATTCCCGGATAGACTCGGTCCCCGTCTCATTGCGCGTACCTTGCTGACTTCAGAACCTGTCCACAACACCGCCTCATCGCAACATGGCAACCGAAACCGAGGGCACGTTCCAGGCGGGCGATGCCAGCCTGTACACAAAGACCTGGACAGTAAGTGATGATTCTTGGTAACTCGGTGCTGCTGTGGCAAGGCGCTGGTTAACGCGGAAGTAGCCGACGGGCCCCATCCGTGCCAAGCTCATCCTCGTCCACGGCTTCAGCGACCACGTCAACTGGTACAATGAGATGCTGCACGAGCTAGCTACGCACGGCATCCAGACGTTCGGCTTCGACCAGCGCGGCTGGGGCCGCAGCGTCAAGAAGCCATCTGACAAGGGTCTCACGGGTCCTACATCACAGGTCATCGCCGATATAGTCGCCTTTATCCAGGACAAGCTGCCGTCCACCGAGCCGCTCTTCGTCATGGGCCACTCGATGGGCGGCGGCGAGGTGCTCACGTTGGCAGGCGACCCGCAGTACGAGGGTGTGGTGAGCCAGGTCCGCGGCTGGCTGCTCGAGGCGCCCTTCGTCGGCTTCGCGCCCCAGGAGAATCCCAGCTCCCTCAAGATCGCCGCCGGTCGGCTGGCCGGGCGCTTGCTGCCGCGGTTCCAGCTGCGTCACGTCATCCCCGCCGACAACATCACTCGGGACAAAGAGGTTGCGAAGGGCATGACAGACGACCCACTGTGCCACGATACAGGCACGCTCGAGGGCCTGGCGTCGCTGCTCGACCGGACAGCGGCGCTGGCGGCCGGAAACGTAACACTCGGCAAGCAGGTCCGTGGCTTGTGGCTGGGCCACGGCGACAACGACAAGACGTGCAGCTACGACGTAGCTATCAAGTTTGCGGAGCAGCAGGCCATCGAGGACAAGACGATCAAGACGTACAAGGGCGGGTACCACGCGCTGCATGTGGACCTGGTCAAGGCCGAGTTCACCAAGGACGTGGTGGACTGGATCCTGGAGAGGAGCCAGCCTGCGCCAGTTGAGGCGAAGCTTTAGAATAGCTTGCTTGACATGGACAGGTTCGCTTTTTGTGAGCATAGGAATGAGACCTTTGCGGAAATATCGTGTTTCAACGATGATGGATTGTCAGACGTTACGACCCAAATTGTGGACGTTTTCTCCTTGAACAACAAGCGGTGCCTTCGTATTTGTCTTCTAGACGACCCGATATTACAAGATAGTACGAGTTTAGCATTCATATCTTACCTCGCTCAGCTGTCATCTCAACAAGACGTAGAGCACTGTACCCAACATACTGCAACCCTATCAGGCTATATGCACATGCATTATCTTTGCGAGCCAAGAGAATGTAATCGTCTCAAGGGTAGGGTCAAGCGGGTCCACGGCCTTCGCCTCCTGTTCCGAGGACGCCCGACACGCCGACAAATGGAACGACGAGACGGAAGACGGAAGACGGAGGACAGTTCCCCGGCCGTTGAACTCTGGGGTACATCCGATAAACTATAAACTGAGCCTCATCCCTCCCTGACCTCAATTTGCAACCTCCAGTTTATACCTTCGCTTGAGGTCATGTCACGGCGCCGACTCCCGACTCCCTACTCCGATTCCGCTTCCGACACCTTCAGAAGGCCAGTAGCTAACTCGCTGCCCCAGAACCAATGACGGTGGAGGAAGTTTCCCCTTTACCCATTTATCCCAGCTCGGTCGTCTCTGCTCTGCGGCCCGCCACCCACAGGAGTGAGCACCTTTGTTTGCCTTGGTGCTATTGCCGTTGCAAGTGCAGTGGCATATTCGGCTGTTAGTGCAGCTTCCTACTCTGGACTTTAAACTATGGCCATCATGCACGCGGCAGGGGCGATAACCAGGCGACGCGAGATGAGCAAACATGCCACCACTGACGTAACGTGGTCCTCACGTGGGGAGCTGGTGTGTTTCGCTCAAGAGGCCGCCCTGGTCGGTGAGGGTTTGGTTGGTTGACGAGTGAGGGGCAGTTTGGATCCAGCTTGGACCTGGATGAAGCTATGCTCATTCTCGCCGTATCTGCTAATCACACGAAGCGCGTGACTCTCATTCCCACTTCGGTATCCCATCGCGTGTGGTGGCATCCAAGGATGGGGGAGACGGATTGCTAATCACCTTCTTTCTTGTGGCCCGGCCCATTGAGGTTCAAAGAAGGTTGTTTGCTGTTCCTCCCACGCCAATTGCTGCTTGCACCGGATTGTGTCGGTCTAGGTATCTCCATCGCTGGCGGGGAAGTCTCACACGTCATCTGCTATCATTCGCATTGTCCTGGCCATTGTGTATGTCCTCCGCTCGGCTACTTTCAGACCTGTCCATCTCGCACACCTTCTGCGTCTCAAATTCCTTACTCCCATCACTGCCTATCCGTCATGACGCCCGACGGCCACAACACCATTACTCATCATCCCCATGCCATTCACCTGCAGCCCATCGACCGGGCCAGCAGTCGCGCCAACAGCCGCAACCACAGTCGTCAGCCCTCGCCCTCCCGCCACGGCTCCAGCACAGCCGTAGAGCCAGTGGCCGCTGATGATAACGACACCATTGTCCGCAACCTCTCCCACGTCACCGATGTCGAGAGCCAGCTCACAGCCGGTCGCCGACGCCTCCCGGGCATCGCCGCCGGCCTAGACAACGACCCATACGGTCTCTCTCTCTCCTACAAGACAGACTCGGACCTCGATCAGATCAAGGCCAACACTTCTCGCAAGCGTGATGGCGCCGCCGTTGCCAAGCGCAGCCTCGGGCCTGGCCCCAAGTCCTCTGTTCGCCGTGTCCGGGGCTTTTACAAGCATCAGAATGAGACTATAGAGCGCATGCTAAAGTCGGTCGAAGAGCACCGCGACGAAGCCCGCCAGGAAGCCGGCGACGACCAGCTGAAGTTCCGCATCGCCGTCTACGGCTCCTTGATCGCCAACATTTTCCTCGCCGCTCTCCAGCTATACGCTGCCATCTCCTCGGGTTCCCTGTCGCTCTTCACCACCATGGCCGACTCCATTTTCGACCCCCTTAGCAACATCACCCTCATCATGTCTAACCGTGCCATCCATCGTGTCGACCCACGTCGCTTCCCCGCCGGCAAGGCCCGCCTCGAGACGGTGGGTAACATCATCTTCTGCTTTCTTATGATCGCCGTGTCGCTCATCATCATTGCCTTTGCTTGCCAAGAGCTGGCCCAGGCCGATGGTGCTAAGAAGTTCCATCTTCCTTCTGTGATTTCTGTTTGCGCCGCGTTTGCCACCAAGTTCTCCCTCTTTCTCTACTGCTGGGCCATCAAGGACAAGTATAGCCAGGTCAATATCCTCTGGCAGGACCACCGTAACGATCTCTTCATCAATGGTTTCGGTATCCTGACGTCCGTCGGTGGTGCCAAGCTGAAGTGGTGGATCGACCCCATGGGAGCCATCATCCTTTCCGTCACCATTTCGACCGTCTGGCTACGCACGGCTATTGCTGAGTTCCTGCTCCTCGTCGGAGTTACCGCATCCGTGGAGACCCAGCAACTCATCACGTACGTCTGCATTACCCACTCGGACGCCATCCAGGGTATCGACACGGTCCGGGTCTACCATTCGGGTCCACGGCTCATCGCCGAGGTCGACATTGTCATGGACCCCGCGCAAACGCTGCAGGAGAGTCACGATATTGCCGAGGCTCTGCAGATCAAGTTGGAGGATTTACCAGACGTTGAGCGGGCCTACGTCCACATCGACTACGAAACGACCCACAAGCCGGAGCACGCTTTGAAGAAGGACCTGTAAGGCCGGCGGCAGAGCAAGTCGTACAAATTTCAAAAATCGATAGGGCTACGTGTCAGAAGGGAGAAGCATTTTTGCAAGACCCAAGTGGCTGGAGTGAACCATCGAGGGGGGCAAGAATTGAGGATAAGAAAAGGGGGAGGACCCTTGAATTCTCGCCTGCCTCGTCTTGCTGGCATTGTACGACATATGGAACCGCTGCGTTACAGATCTAATATAAAATGGCCGAGACAATGCTCGCCGGGTAGCCCTCCCACATGTGGCTTCAAGAGGCTAATTACATGACCACTCGAGATGATGTGGCTGGCTCCGTCCACGCCTTCGCGTGGGAGTTGAGGATGTAAAAGAAACGCAAGAGACTAAGTAAGACATGTACATGCTTAACCCGCGCAATCAGAAAATGCGATGAATACGCGTCGGCGCGTGTAAAATGTGATCCATTCATAATTTTGCCTCTAGGACTCAGAAACCGCGAGGCGTGTGAGTTCAATTACACCAAGGCGACTTGCAGGGGTCGCAGGGTCTGTGGTTTTGAGGCTGGTGATGGGCTGCAGCGGAACATCAATGGCACATTGGTAGTCGAATTACTACGGCACAGGAGGTCAAAATCGACAGCTGAGGCCGTTTTGGTGCTACGAGGGAGGATTCCACAACATGCATGAGCGGAGAGTCGTGGAGGCATGATATGCACGGCGGGATGTGGGGAAGCGGGGGAAATGCTGGGTTGAATGACAGATGGTGGAAGTGTGTACTGGAATGGCGATTCGGATTCCTTCCTTTAGAGGTTCTCGATATCTTGGATTCTTCTAAGATGTCTCGGGTGCATCAAGCCAGCAATCAAAGAAGAGGGTTGATGAGCGACAGAAGCGTGGATGGCGTTGACAATTATCCACGCGAGAATGGCGATGCCGGCAGGTCCGGTTACTTATGCGACTACGACCGGGGATATTTTCCAAACAGGGCTAAACCATGGCCCCCGCCCGTGTAGTAAATGAATGGCATGGACGACCTGCTCGAGGCGAGAGCTGCGGATGCCATGACCATGAGGTTCGGGCTGCAGAGCTTAACTCTTGGGCCAAGATGGTTGGGGCGTCATGAACAAGATGTTTGTTGAGACATGGCAGGGCAGGGGATGAGACTTTTGCAAAGTGCGCGTTGGTCAGTACCTACACACGGGCAGACGGGTACGCGGGTACATGGGCAGGCAAGGATCTTGCGGTTCTCGATTGAACAAGCAAACCCTGGAATGGATTGGTGAGGTGCTGGTACGCGAGGGTCGCGCGTCGTCGTATTTGCGGCGTCGGCGTCGGATTGTGGTTGTAGTTGTGGTTGTGGTCCAGGGATGCATTGCGATGGGGCCTCGGACGCAGCGAGCCAGGGAGGGCAGCCAGTACGATCAGAACACCATCGGGCGACGATGCAGGATGCGCTCTGCAGGATGGGTTTGTGCAGCGGTACATTCATTGCATTTCGCCAGGTATCTATGTACGGATGACAGTGCTACTTCGTACCGGGACTTGATGAAATTACCGTTTGGCGTGAGGCAACTGTTCATTGTCATGATTGCCATGTCGATGATATGATGTTCAAGGAATGGCAGACGAAGCTGTAACGGTGGCTTGCCCGTGCGAATTGTTCCCTGTAAATTGGTAGGCCAGCGGCCGTCGGGCTTCAACGCCCCGCCGCCACTGCACGCAGCACCGACAGCGGGCTAGGCCAGGGAGCACCGATGGAGGAGTACGAAGTACAGGGTAGAAACGGCGCTGCAAGAGCCCAAAGCCACAGCAGCATTGGGCTTGGTGGTTGGTTCGCGTTCTGTTGCGTCACTGTGGAATGGGTTATTATTATGGGGGGGTGCAACTGCAGTGCTTCCCCAACGCGGACTCCCGCAGCTAGCCTAGGTACCTAGGTCGCCTGACGTTCCCCCGAATGCGACCTGTTGGAAACTTGCAGACATGCAGACACAGATACGTCGTACGGGACATTCAACGGGGCTTCCCCTATTTCTTTGTGTCACTCTCGTCTCCTCTCGTCTCCTCTCCCTCCTCCTCAGGACCACCCATCAAAGGAGCTCCCGGCCGTGAGAATGGTGGCGGTCTTGTACGACAAGCTAGCAAAAGCTTCACAGCACAAACCCCCCCCCGCCGATCGATCCACCGTCCCTGTCCCTTGGGCTCGGCCGCGCAGCTCCATAGCTAAGATAGCTCCCTGCGGCGCCTGCTAAATTACAGGGAGAGCCGGTTGACGTTCGGGGCCTGGTGGCGGGGGAGGGAGGCGCCCGGTCCACTAATTCCCTGGCTGCACCACCCCTGCCTTTCCTAAAATGGGTTCCGTCGAGTGCCCTAGTCGGGGATCCAGAGCGTTGCAGCCAAAGCCCCCACTATAGCCCGCGCCCCTCCGAGCGTGTCCAGGTGTTATAACCAGGTGGTACATGCACTGGATCTACCGGTTGGTGGACGTACATAGCTAGTCCGAAGCGCATCTGCAGCGGCTCTACCCTCTGTCGGATCATCACATCACCAACTCGCTCGCTGCATCGTCCATCGTCCATCCTCTGTCCTCTGTCCTTCCCCTCCCCAACTGCCCAACCCGCCGTCACGTCACGTCACGTCGCATCTAACCCACCCTGGCCTTGCGTCGCCTCCCTCCTCATTCTCTTCGTCCTCTCTTTCCTCCAGTCATCTTCTCCCAATCAAGCCCCCCAAAAAACAAGACGCACGACGACATCGGCGGCCTGGACCCTCCACTCTGCTCTCCCACGCTCGGGGAAATAGCCTGCCAACCTTTCTCTTCTCCTCCAACTTTTTCCACCCCGCAAGCTTCCCCTGCCTCATGGGTTGCTGACCTGTCTTTCAGCCTGTAGACGACCTGGGCCCAAAGCTCCGAGTTCGTCTCACAGCTTCAGCGGAGCGCAGTCATGGCCGCACCCGGCGGGGAACATGTCTATGCGACGGTTCGTCTGACCACGAGACTCAGCCCTCGTCACCTCGCGTACCCGAAACACAACGTGCTAACGTGTGCGCTTTTGCGAATAGCTTCTTCTTAGCGACTCCTATCTTCCAGGTTCGTCTAGTCCGTTCAATTGGCCTTGACCAGGCCTCATTGCTAACTCCTCCTTCTCCTCCTCAGGCGCGCTCGTCCTTGCACATTCCCTACGCGATGCCGGCACCAGCATCAAGCTGGCCGTCCTGGTCACGCTCGACTCTGTCTCTGCAGAGTCGATAACCCAACTGAGGGTAAGGTTCAGCTTTCAAACTCGCCTCAGCGTCGCTCTACAGCAAGTAGCTGACCAATTGCTCCGCTCGGCCTCTAGACCGTGTATGATTACATCTTCCCCGTGCCGCGTATTCGCAATGACCGCCCGGCCAACTTGTATCTTATGGATCGCGCCGACCTGCACTCCGCCTTCACCAAAATCAACCTCTGGAAGCTCACAGAGTTCTCTAAAATTGTCTACATCGACGCTGATGTTGTCGCTTACCGAGCCCCCGATGAGCTCTTCGCCATTGCCCAAAATTTTGCAGCTGCACCCGACATTGGATGGCCCGACCTTTTCAACACGGGAGTCATGGTCCTCACCCCCAACATGGGCGACTACTACGCCATGATGGCCATGGCTGAGAGGGGCATCTCCTTTGACGGCGCCGACCAGGGCCTCATCAACATGCACTTTGGTAACCATTACCACCGCTTGAGCTTCACTTACAACGTCACTCCATCCGCCCACTACCAGTACGTGCCCGCCTACCGGCACTTCCAGTCCGGCATCAACATGGTTCACTTCATTGGCTCCAATAAGCCCTGGTTTACTGGCCGCGAGGCGCCTCATGGCAGTGGCCCCTTTGACGAGATGGTCGGGCGGTGGTGGGCTGTCTACGATCGGCACTTCAGAGTCGAGGTAAGCCTCCGAAAGTTGGAATTCCTGGCCGTCCACGGCTGCTAATTTTGCCATAGGAATCCGCTCCTGAACAATACCCTCCTCCCTCTGAATACGTGCAGTACTTCACCAAGGGAGAATTCCACCCTCAGCCTGCCCCTGCGCAGCCAGGTACTGGTGAGCATCGTGTCCAGGGTCATACCGACCCAGCGCCTCAACCAGGCGTTCGTCCCACATCCCCAAGTCATGATCAACCTGGGTATCATTACCATGAGCACGAGCATGAGCTTGAACACGGCCATGATCAACGTGAGCAACATGGTCATCATTATGAACCACACCATGATGATGGTAACCAGGCCGGGACATCAGGCTCTGATTCGACCTTCCCTGCTTCGCATTTTGTTCCCCATAGCGAGTCTGTGAGCCATGCTTCAGGGACCCAGGCTGAGGCTCGGTCAGAGCAACAGGTGCCTCACGATCAACATCACGATCAACATCACGATCAACATCGCGATCAACATCACGACCAGCATCACGATCATCATCACGACCAGCATCACGATCATCATCATACACATGATGAAGGAGGAGCGCCGCCTGAGAAGCACAAACCTAAGCCAGCCGTTATCCCGATGCACAGCTGGGATGCTCAAAGGTAAGCTCACAAGTCTCGCACAACTATTGCGCGGTACAAGTTTTTGCTAACTCTATCCTACAGGCAACCTCCTCCTACTGATTCGAAGCCCGAAGCCATCGACTTCCCTTCGACCCATTACGAGATGTCCGAGGATACGACTCCGTTCGTTCCCCCAGTGCGGTACCCTAGCCCTCCTAGGAACATGTGGTACGAGGTTCCAAAAGAGCCTCCGGCTCCTCCATCACAAGCGCCTTCTGAAATATTTCCTTGGGAACGAAATCGACCCCCGCCGACCAGAACCTGGGTCGGGGAACCGCCAGAGCCGCCGCCTTCTGAGGAGGCCCCAGCTTGGGGTGAGCCTCTGGAAGAGTCCTCAGTCATAGGGTCGATAACAACCGACGCCAAGAGCGAGCCGACGACCCCAACGACTCCAACCCTCAAGTCTGCTCCATTGGATCCTTGGACTTCCTTCACGCGTGTCAATGCGTGGGATGAAGTGCCAGAGATTGAGCGCTACGTCGAAGGTCTCCAGGGGCCACGTCGTGGGAAAAGTCAAGGCTCAACAGGGCGTCTCGGGGGCGTTAGAAGCTTCGGAGCGGGTGACGGAGGCACTTTTCGTTTCCGCGGCCTGAAGCTAACGGACTTCCCCACTGAGGCGGAGCGGCCCAGCTTGCCTGTCACTCCTGCTCCGATCCGTCGGCCCTCGTTCTGGTCGGGTGGTGATACAGAGGTGGTTGAAGGTGATGAACCACGGCAGCTTCCTGAGGCGGAGGGAGTGCCCGCGCAGTCTGAGTGGGTATGTGTGCATGGGAGGCGATGGGGCCCCGAGGACTGTATTTGCGAGTTGACTGACATGATACTCCGTCATAAGGATCCAATGGAACAGCTGCAGAAGCTTGCCAAGAAGCAGTCTGATGCGCTGCTGCAGAGGCTTGGGAGCAGCGGGGATGGGGAGGGCCAAGAGGGTCGGGAGGGTGAATCTACTACGGGCGTGAGTCGCGAAATCCCATCGCGCCCGCTACCCTTCGGGTCTAAGGATGTGAAGTCGTCTACCCATGTTGCGCAGTCCACCTCTGGAGTGCTCAGTCCCCAACCGGTAAAAGGTGAGGTGACAACGAGCATCTTGCGCAGCATGAGCAGTGACAACTTCGATCCCACTACAACTCCGAAATCGTCGTCGATCCCCTTGCCCAGCTTCTCCGGCCCCGGGGCGACATGGGACAGGGACGACGCGATTCCGGTGCGACAGACCCCGCTGCTGCCCACAGAGGAGGAAAGGGATGTGCTCGACACATAGGAGAAGCAGTTGCTAAGTGATTCAAGCTCAAAGTTGACGTGCTAACGCTGATGTCCGATCCTTTTGACGAATTCGGACGGAGGAGGAGGGGGGAATGATTAATGTTTATCGGCTCGGGACAACGGACATGTGTGTCTCATGGAACATGGCGGTCATGTGAGGCATTGCCAGATGCGGGTGTCACAGCAAGGCGTGCGAGTGTTTTTCCCCTTTGTATCACCTTTCCCTTTCGATTATTTCATTTCCCCTTGCCCATTTGGATGGTTGATATGGGGCAAATGGGACAGGCCATTGAGGGAGGAGAAGTGGGGTGAGAGTGCTGTTGGGATGGACGGACATGTTTCGACGTTTCATGCATGTGTGAGCGAGCGTCTCCTCATTCTGCGGTTATTGAAAGCAGGCGATGCTCTTACCCCTTGTCTCTTCTATGTGTTCTTACATCCGTCACTGTCTTGTTTTATCCTGTCTTATTACTCGCTCTTGTTCTTCGCACCATTGCTTTGCCACTATATGTCATCACTTTTCTATCAACTCCCATTGCGGCAGGTTCTGTCTGTTGCTGCGGCCGCCTTCGTTCTTCGTTTGTACAATCCGAGCCATGGGGTCATCAAAAAGTGGAAGGATGGTTGTGCATCTGTCATTGAAGGGGTTTAAGGCATGAGGTGGTAGAAAAAGGGGTTGCGCAAATGAATAATAAATTTGTCGCTTGTTTCTCTACCATGGCCAGAAAACTGCAGTGCAACCGATGCGCACAATCCAATCCAGAACATAATGTCACAATTCAATAATCCAAGTTCCTGACACATCAATGAATGTGTTTCTTTCTGCTATTGTCGTACCTATACTAGCGACCGACACCACTAAAATCGAAGAAAGAAAAGTCAAAACTCCTTCAAACGCCGTTGTTTTCATGCCATTGCCTCACAAAACACGTCTCGATTTCGCTCAAGGGCCGGGAATATCAGACTGCCCAAGCCAATACGCTACACGGAGGGGGAGGAGAGCAAAAGAGGGCGGTGAGGCGGAAGCCAAAAGCTGAAGGGGGGGAAATACAGACGCTCATCCATCTCCGTCGGAGACGTATTAGCTAGATCCTCTCCTTTTCACTAACACCTTCACCCTCGTCTTCGTCTTCATCGTCGTCTTCGTCATCAGCATCCTCAACTGTTACAGCCCTGCCCTTGCCCTTTGATAGGGGCTCATCGGGTGAATCATCTTGGTCGCTTGACTCGCTCGACTCGCTCGACTCGCCCAACCCGTCCGGCTGTGACACCACCGCCTGGGCTTCTGTTTCTGAAGCCAACTGAAAAGTTGGCTGGTTGGTGGTAGTACGGTCGACGGGTGCTTCAGCGAGTGTCTCAGTCTGAGATGCAGGCTCTCCCTGATCCAGTCGAGAGGTGCCACTAAAGAGCTGAGCCGATCCTCCCCAATTGGGCATCCTCGGGCTGGGTGCCACTACAGTAGGGGGCTCAGCCGTTCGCGTGAACCGGGCAGCCGAGGCCGAACGAGCGGCCGGCTGTTCTTCAGTCGGGGCCACTTGTGAACCCGCCTCAGCCTGTTGAACTTCGTTGCTTCGACTATCAGTTGGAAGGTGTTGCATCGTCATAGGTGTGGGCTGAACATGCGTCATAGGTAGGGGCTGTACAAGTGTCATGGGTGTGGGCTGAACAATGCTAGAGCCCTCTCCATTCGTAGTCTGGGGTCCTGCTTGGGGTGAGGGCTGTGTCGAACTCGAGGAGCCGTCCAGTCTCTGCAGTGGCAACAGAGACCAACCAGGAGGTATGACAACACCGTCAGGAAGCTCAGCACTTCCCGCTGGAATAGGAGTGGCGGTGCTGGAGGCTCCGTGACGTGCCATGAGAGGACTCTGAATCCGTGGAGGAACAGCCGAGAATGCGGGGAAGCCGGCGGGCTGGGTTAACGCAGGCTGAGGTGCCGCCGGATAGTGGTAATGTTGAGGCGTATGGGGGAATTGAGTAGGAAGTTGGGGCATGACCGGAAGTTGAGGCATGTGGAGACTGGGAGACATTGCAGGCTGCGTCTGGCCGTTCTGTACTTGGTCCTGCAGCTGTTGGCGCTGGCGGAGGCGATGCAGCTCCGCGTTCAGTAGTTGGATGGTTTGCAGTTCCAGTTGCGTGTTTTGAATTGCCTGCACTTCACGTTGGATCATCTGGTCGACCTGCTGGAGTAGAGCCCCGATGTTCTGGAGGTTATCTCCAGTCAGCGGCTGAGTGGGAACTGGAATCCCGGTCTGCAGGGGATCAGTAGGAGTCGCGACGGGTGCTGCAGGTTGAACTCCTCCCTGGTTAGGAACACCCCGTGGCATGCCAAACTGCTGGGCGAGTTCCTGGACCTGCTGGTTGTTGGCTCCGAACCCAAATCGAATAGGTCCCAGGTTGAATATCCTGGGTCCGCCGGGTCGTTGGGGATTCGCTCCAGCTCCATCCTGCTGGCCTTGAGCAGCAGCGTCTCCTCCATTTGCGGGAGGCTGCGGTTGGCCTGCAGGGCGTGCTCCTCCAATATCTATCCGGAGACCAGCAGCACGTTGCGTTGCGGGCCGAGCCGTATCACCACCGGTGACGGGACTACGGCAGGTGGGACAGACTTGTTGACGTTCGAGCCAGCTCTTGAGGCAGCCAAGGTGCAAGATATGCCCACATGGCAGCTTCTTTGGGCGGATTCGGTCAATTGCACCGGGGTTGTTCTCTGGGTCCCAGGGTCGCATCTCTTCACGACAGATGATGCACGTATCCTCTCGGGAGAGCTCCTGCTCGGTAGCATCGGGATACCGATTCATCTCCTGAATGGCTTTGCGGTATCGGAGCAAGGCTCCCAGTCGCTTAACAAAGTCGCGAGACGTCATGAACAAGTCCCTCATGATGTGGATTGGTAGACCGTAGAACGTGAGGAGCATGAAGAAGAAGGCGACATATATGCCTAGCTTAATCATGTCTTTTACTGTTAGCCATAGAAGCGCGACAGGGGCAATCGTCAACTTACCACTCAAGAGGTCTAGCCACAGAACCCATTCGCCCTTGGCAGACCATCCAGGCACCTCAATGTCCATCTCATCGATATCATCCTCGTTCGGTAGTGGTTCCTGGTTGTCCGGGACCGGTTCGCCTGCTGCTTCAGCGTCCTGGCGACGTCTGATAATAGTCTCCCGCTCCTCTCTGACCTCTCTTCTCCGCTCGGCCAGCCGCGTGCGCTTCTGGGACTCCTGTATGTTCTGCTCTGTAAGTGATAGAGCGTATCGTGCCCCGGTCCGCCACGAACACGTCGCCAAGACGGCGAACTCGAACAGGAACATAACCATCATATTGGGTCGCGCCTGTTGGATGACCGTGTTGATCGTGTATCGAAGAATATAAATGTCGTAAATGAAGCTGAGGGAGAGGGAGACGCTCAGCCGAAGGTGGAACAGCCGGGGGTTCGCAGGGGGTTGCTGTTCAAGGACTTCGACACGGCCGTCGCCAATCCATCCCCAGACCTTGCCTGTGACCAGCGCGGCGAACATTACCAGAAACCAGGCGCCAATTTCCTCTCTGAAAATAGTCATGGCCAGACATGTCTCGGTTATCGCAAACCAGGCACGCTCGGTAAGTTGCTCGACCTCGACCGCGCGTAGTGGGCCGAAGAAGAGTCGCGTAAGGCCGTAGACGAAGCTGCTATAGAGTAGCAATGAAAAGTTGACCAAGACCTGGATAGGGTCGTTGGGTGAGCATGTGATCGTGAGGGGGGGAATCTCGGAATCCGGAAGCGCGGGACACCTACCAACAGACAAAAGTTGCTCTGGGCGAGATAGACCATGGCCGAGTAAAAGTTGGCTCGCTGATAGAAGGCGGAGAGCACGACGGTGCCCGCAAGGGCCGTCGAGGCCTGCGTGGAGAAAGTCAGCCTCATGTCCAGAACTCCAAGCCGCAGCTCCACGAAGCTATGAGCTATGAGCTCTCGCGATTGGAAAGCAACCTACCCCAGCGTACCAGCCCAGCCGCATCTTTGGCATCGGGTTTGATGAGACTGGGAAATTCTAAGGTGCACGGAATAGAACCAATCACACCCGCATCCCCATTGTTGAATCCGCAGCCGCCCGTTTGTAGATGCAAGGCAAAGATATGGTTGTCGTCGTTGTCGCTTGATGCCACGTTAATGGAGTGGCCACACCATTGGCGATGACGCCGCGCATGGGTCCGATTTGGGGCACGTGACGCTTATCTGTTCACTACTTAAAGTAGGTTGTTTTAGCCGCGTGTCAGCAGCCATTTGCCCATTGCCGATGTTTTGCCGGGTGTCATCAGAATCTGGAGCCATCCAATTGATCCCGGCTGCCTACCCTGAAGCCGAGGATAGGAATTGCGTTGAATGTCAGCGCTGTCAGATTGTCGGATTCTCATGGAATGAAAGAATAAAGCCCGTTGGCAGAGCTGTGCCCTTTTTAGATCTCTCTATCATAAATGCCCCTGGTTCTGAGCCTCATACTGTGCGCTCATTCTCTCCACATCATCAGTGGCTGAGCTTGTAAGTCAAAAAAAGTTGAACCAGACATCTCAAACATGATGGCGTCCGCGGCGCCCATCCTTACACCGGCACTACTCGCAGCCATCCGCAAACAGCCGGATCTCCCTCGCAACACTTGGTATTTCATTACTGCCACGACTCTGTCCATCCTGAACCGACCGGACGAGCTTCCTAAAGTATACACGCACGCCATTGAGGAGGGTCTCGACGGAGCGGCATCTCCGGCCCGACGAGAAAACCAACTCAATGTGTCAAGACGGATACGTGAGGCTCTTGTCAAGGCTTCCGCTGTTGGTGGCATGCCAAAGGTATTGACAGCGCGCCGAAAAGCACCCTGGTCGGAGTACGTCTGACATAACCACAGACTATCAACGCCCTGCTAGCACTGAAAACCGCAACTCCAGAGGATCTTCTCGATGCACCGGGAAGTGAGACCCAATCGTCAAGATCCTGTGACATCTACGAAACACCAGCACCGCAGGTCTTGCAGCGTGGACAAACCTTCTTCGACAAGCTCTATGGGAAAATTTCAAGGAGGGTCATGGGGCAGATGGACCGATCCGGGTCAGAGGACCTTGGGCTGATGGCTAGACTGGTGTACGGATATATACTCAGCAACACCGACGTCTTGACTCCGGTGGAGACTTCCTTTGTGCTGATTGCGAGTCTCATCCCGCAAGATGTGAGTGACTCTTGTCTCTCAACTGCTCTGATTTACACATCACTTATCCGTCTCTAGGTGAATCCTCAGCTCAAGGGTCATTTGAGAGGTGCACTAAATGGAGGAGCGAGCGTGGCTGAGGTGAGGGCAGTGAGAGACGTGGTAATTAAGATATGTGAGGCATATGGTATGAAGAGGTTGAGTGCCGACGCTGTTGGCGGATGGGGATGGAGAAGTGAGATTGCAAACGTTTAGATTTGCCACACACACATACAAAGTATAAGGCCAGTAGCACAAACGCATAGAGTTGCAAAATAATAGGGACTGCAAAGCCTAACCATGACAATAAAATGCGTCGAGAAAGCATATATCGGGTCGTGAAGCCGGTGTACGTGACTACAGGCTGCTGGTGCAAGCAAAGCCTCCCTTGGTGACGGGCCTACCCTAGACTACCTAGCTATAAACTCACATCACTAAATCACCACCAGCTTACAAAGTACACAAGGCTGCCATGACGTCTCACAAGTAATCATGAACACGGACACTCACTTCTGCCGCGCAGGCGAGGCGATATCCCCATTCAGCAATACCATGTCATATCACATCATGCCAAGCATGCACCTTTCCGCCAAGCTGCCAATTCCCCGTAAATATTCACGAATTCCCCTTCGCGGAATAATATGTCATGTCTTGAGAGATAGAGATCTTCACTCTTGCAGACCGTGGTCCCGTTCCACCCGGGTGGAGGTGAATGCAGGCGAGGCAGAGAGAGTGTCCACAGTGAAATCGACGGCTTCTGCAACGGTTTCCTGTCTGCCTTGGGCCTGGTCAGTGTGGTTCTGACACGGAGTCGCAAGAATCGTGGACCTGTCTGGCGCTGGCGGGCTCAGAGCCGCACCCTAAGCGGGAGGTGGGTGTTCTTGGCGGAAAGACTTCCGCAGTTAGGCGAGCTCGCAGATCGTGAAAGTGTCGTCTCCAGTCCCCGTCCTCGGGTCACGCGCCAGGACGGGGGGATGGGAGCCATGTCATTGGCCACAGCTCTTCGATTTTCGACATCCTGGGGAGCGGAGACTAAAGAGGAGACCAAAGAGGAGACCAACGACAAGCAAGGTGCTTCCCAGAAGCGGTGGCTTGGGGGCCAAGGGACCGGGGACCGGGGCCGGGGACCGATGCGATGGGGGGGTGCGGGCCAATATCCAATGCCGTGCTCAAGCGGACGGTAGAGTACATTCGAGGCCAGCCATGAAGCCAAATTCGGCATGAGTTGTGTTTTTGGCTGGCTGGCTTTCTGCAGGAAGGTGGGAGATGCCGCCCCCAAAGACTCCATGTCTCTCGTTCGAGCAGTCCACGGGAGCTTGCCGTCGCCTAAAAGGCAAACCGCTAGTCCAAGAGAGCCCAGAGAGAGGCTCAACCGCCCAGTGACGAGCCACTGCATCGACAGTCTTCAGAGTCTCGACCGTGAATGGAAACGGGACGCGGCCGGCGCATTCGATGCGGGCCGCCACGTCAGAGTCCGCTCTTAGGTCGAGCACCAAGGCAATACGGAGATAACCTCCAATCCAGCCCCTCCATCCCAGCATCGCACAGCAACAACCCCGCAAGAAACACCCAAGACGAGGCAAGACGAGGCAAGGTGAGGCAAGGTTTCGTAGCCTTCTCATGGTCCGGCCCATGCCCTCTCGAAGCCAATCTGCGGCGGTCTCGATGGTGCTTTGCCGAGTACCATGTACAGTACCATCCTATCCCGTCCCGCCTGGAACGAAGTAACATCGCCGCTCATGTAGGTTCAGTTTATTGAAAGCCGGCCCCCTGCGGCGGCAGGAATCCTTCACCGTGCCGATCTCGCCGGGCGATAATCATTTGACTCTGGCGCGAAGTCGAGTCCACCTGGTGCGTTTCCTCACACATGGTGGGTGAAATACTGCAGGCTGCGGAAACAGGCCGATCGGCCGCCCCCAGTCGACGCTCGTCAGGGATTAAGGCTACTGCTGGAAACCGTGAGCCACCCATGTCCGTAGGACTCACCCAGGACCCCCCGTGCGTCATTCCGTCGCGGACGGGCAGACTTGAAAGAGCAAGAAAGCCTAGCTGTGGAGAATCTTGAGGAGGAGAATGTGAGCACCGAACCACCATAGGCACTGACAGATTCAGGGCCTACAGCCAGACAGACGAGAACACGGACACGGACACGGACTAAGAAAACATATCCTCTAAAGGAAAGTTTCGAGCCCATGCAGGGATCGCTCGAGACCCATGGCTCGCTGATGGGCCACCACCCTCTTTCAAGGTGGGAACGACAGTGTGCGACATTGGTCTCGACGATGAATCTGGCAATGGCAACACATCGGCAGATGCCTAGAGAGGCAACGATGGCGGCGGGAGGGGTGGCGGACTGACCGGGGAGGGCAGCTGTCTTGGGATCTTGACTTGTGCAGAGAGGCTCTTCTAGGAGGTCGGGTTTGGCGGGACACCAGACCACCAGGCCCAAGAAAACGTCAAGTTGCAGCAATAATCTCGGATGCATGGCCGCCCGAGGCTGTCACACTTTTGTTCAACTGGTGTCGGTGACATCGTTGACATGGGCAAGGAACGCGCTATTGATGGCACGCATGGGTTCGAGAGCTCCCCAGAGGACCCCTCCAAACGTCGCGACCACGGTCTTTGGAGCTTTGCCTCTCCTCCCCCAAGCTGGACTTTCCGAAACTACAAGGGCCTATGTGACATTCGGTTGTCTTTGCCTCTTCTTCAACGACTTGCAAGGGTCACAAGCCTCAATCACCATCTCCCTGGCCGATTGACTCCTACACGTGGCCAAGGCTCAAGGGCCAGCGCAGAGCCGAGCGCCTCGCAAATCCTCACCCGCCCTGGCGTTGCAGCCGACAGGGGACCCAGAAGCGGCATGGCGCACATCACCCATTGTGTCGGGTCACCCGCGATGCTGGCGACAAGCACAGATTGAGGTGAAACGCCGCTTGGCCCTGGTGTTCGCTGGCTGCTCCCACGCCCATGCTCAGGGCTCTCGCTGGACACTCCCGGACCGCGTCCATAATATCAAGTCTTTCCTGTGGACCTCAGAGGGCACAGGGACGTTCCCTGGATTGTGGACAGGCATTCTACGCCTTGGATATCCCCACGTATGACACTGTAAGTGATGAGTTCTCAGCGGCCCTTGTGTCCCAGCCCGCTTTCTTGGCCCACTAGGTGAGATACGGCCCGCGGCAGGGCACATCGAGGACCCGGTTCTTGTACCCGTCGGAGTATTGATTGGCCCTTCTCACCCGCGAGCTACCGATCTCCAGATCTCTAGCGGATTGTTGGCACTCCCGGAAAACGACAGAACCGCACCGCAATATCGTTATTCGAGTCGGTCTGTGACACCGACAGATCCCGTTTTGCCGTCTCTCCGCCTCGCCGCCTCTCCGCCTCTCCGCCTTGCCGAATGCCAGAGTAAAAGCCGACGGACTTGCCATGATAAGAGCATTGACCGGTGACCTCCACTGACCAGGGTCTGATCTTGCTGGCAGTGCTTCTCATGCCGTCCTGGCAAACAGTAGCAAATGCTTTACCCCCCTCTAGAGTGAGACATGCAGACGGCTCACAGATGCAACGACACGGGCCCGAATCTTCCATCACCCCATTGTGCTGAGACTACAGGGCACGAGAGCGACAGGTGCGCCCAATTCCCCGCGAGGGACATCGCCCCATCCAGTCCCCAAAGTAGGTTGCCCCAATCATCCGACATTGTGGTTGTGGCGGTCGATGGCGCGGAACTGCTCCATGATGCGCATACATAGTACAGGCACTCAGATCTCATAATTCCTTCTTTACGAGCGTAAAATGCGACGCTGGCCCATGTATTTGATATGCGGTGCCATCCGAAGCCCCGGACCAAAGCGTTGGGACACACCGAGGCTTCGGCTTTGCAGCATCCGTGATGCCAAACCCCAGCCCTAGTACATATTCTCGGCAAGCAACGACGGTGATACGCCAACGCACAGCGTTCTAGACTTTGAGCGAGTTTTGGACAAGATCCATCTGACTGGTATCCGTTTTCAGACCTCTTTTTTACAAGGCTGTCCCCGGTGATGCACACCTAGACCAGCCGCTACGTCGGGCAAACGAGAAGCCTTGGCCAATTCATGGCTTGAGCAGGTAGCGCCTTCGACAGACGCCGAGCCGGGACACGGGCCATGCAGCGCAAAGGGGGTTTGACTTTGGTGATGGGGATGGGGGTGGACGGTTTTCTGCGCCGTGGAGTAGGTCTTTCGGTGACTCCTAGCCAATCGTGAGCCTGAAACCACCCCAATGACCCCATTTCTCGAACAGGTGCTAGCGAGCCACGGTAGGTAAGTAATGAACGGAGCAATACTCAGTCAGAGCCGTTTCCAGGCGAGGCGAGCAAGAGCGGACCCCTGAGGCCGTTGGATGTGTCACCGTGGCGCTCATGTCTTTTGCGCGATGCAATTCGTGCATGTTGGGGTATCTGGAATTGGATGCAGATATGTTGTCTGTTGTCTGACATCCTACTTACCGCACTTCGTAGTAGACGACTTGGTGAACTTGGTGACCTTATGAACTTGATTGAAACTTGAAACGTGTGAGTCGAGGAATGAGGTAAAGGATCGGAGCCACCTGCCCAAGATCTGAGATTACAGTTTGCGGACACCCGTACCCTGGCTGCGTTGCCCCTTGATCTTGCACATTCCAATCCTGTTGGTCGAATGCATGCAATTGCTGAGAAGGGGGTAGTAATATCACATGTAATAAGCCGGCGCTCCAACAGACAACATACATCCTCATTCGGTAGGTAAGTATGCAAGACGCACACATAAAACGAGGTCAGAGAGGGATGATCGACGTGGGCCTTAGGTCCCGCCCATCATCTCTTCTTGCCTACCAAAAGGCGAACCGTGAGCACAGTGGGCCGCACTCTCCCGGCTTGGCTGTGCACCTGTTCAAGCCTCCACGCTCGGAAGTAATTTTCATTCACAGTAGATTCGGTGGAGGATTCTCCCGTCTCCACAATACCTGATCAAATCTTCACAATGGAAATGGAGGCGATACCTGCTCAGGCAAGTGACTAGCCAATCCTACCGTCACCGGTCATTTCGGCATAGGAATGGACGTACGTGCTGGGTTGCGTTGACATGGTGTGGCTCTGGCCACAATTGATGGCGACTCTGGCGCCATTCGTTCTCACGACTCCTGACTGCCGGGCCCGTGCCCATGCTTGGCGGTGCGTGTGTTATGCTAAAACCCGAGCATTCAAAACCTGTTTATTCGGAGACAGGCCCGGGATGGGGCCATTGCTTGCCTTCACATGGAATTAAGTGCCCGTATCCTGTGGGGTCTTGGTTGAACATGACTGACATGAAGTTGCATCACATCTTGTAGACCAAACCGGGAGATAGCGAACGGGATTTTGGCGCCGTGATCTGAGTTAACTTTGACGAGTGCGACCGCATAGTGCAAAAGTATGTGCGAATACGTTCTGCCGAATCATCGAAACCCCAGGTTTCTTACTTCGGGACGGGGCGCATCGAATGTTGGTGATGATATGAGATGGTCACGCTGCGGAACCACTGGCTTATACCCAGCCAACCAGAGAGTGGCGCCAAGCTCTGATCGCTGTATTTTGCCCTCGGAAGGCGTAACACGAATTCCGATATGTAATGACGAACGGGACAATTTGAGCTCGCGCAGGGGTCATGGAGAGATCCCGTCTCGACAAGACATGAGAAACCTGAGCGTCACTCGATGGAAATTAGAGTTCCATCTCCCTAATCCATGGGGCGTCTCATGCTGTGGTATCTGCTTTGAATCCAAAACCCCCCACGACTGCATGAGATGTGGTGGCAGGTTGGAACGGGACGGTAAAGTTACAGTGCTGATGTAGGGGCCAGCAGCGTCATACTTTGAGGCACCGTGGGGCTTGCGGCGCGGGACAGATGTGGTCTGATTTCTTGAGAGCTAACCGCGCAAGACCTCGACGGTTGGCGTATTTTTTTTTTCTCCCAACTCGTTTCGCGCCTCGGGATGATTTTGTTGGTGTCGTGGTGTCTCGGCTAGGAGGTGAGGTGGGGTGAAGAGGGGCGACTTTGTGTGTCTACTGTGTATGATTGCCAGCGCCTCTTCGTGCCTGGTGTCTCTCTCTGGCGTTGATCCTTGAAGCCCCTAGTTGGGTGGTTCGCGCTCCGGTGGACCGGCGGCCGGGCCAGTGTCTCTGGTGATGTAGCAATGATGCACGCTTGCTATCAGTTTCCAGGGAGGCACCAACGCCAACGCTGGTGGTTGAAGTCTGTTTCTAGAAGAAGGCCAGGCGAAGCTCAGGCCATTCAACTCGGGCAGCAGCGGAGGCAGGCGGCCGAAGGGCGGGCAGTCAGATTGATGGCTGGGCCCCATCGGCGAGTCCGAGCGAGCTTGGTAACCTTATTGATTGTGTCCGACAGCCATGGCCAATCAGAGGCCATACGCGGCCCAGGTTCACTGTTGACGAGGGGTAGCTGTGGTGCTCGACGCTGGAATGCGCTGCCATGGGCATTTCCGGAGGGAGACGCGCGGGGACCGAGGTTTCCGGGGGGAGCCATCGGGATATTGGCGAACCATTGGCGGAGCCGGCACCGTCTTGGCGGGGATGGCGTCTGCTTTGCCTTGCCTTGTCCGTTGCCTTGCGCTGCCTTGCCTCGCGTGTTGCTTTGCCTTTGGGTTCTGTGCCTTGTTTGGCTCAGTTTGACTCAAGGCGGAGGGCGACGAGCGCGGCCCCTGCAAGCCCCGTTGGGTAAGAGCTCCGTGAGGGCGGAGGTAAATCAGGAATGTGTCAGGTCTCTATCAAGTGAATGCTGTTGAGTGGTTCTAGTCAGACGACCGCGATCCGTCACTGATGCAGACATGGTGATGAGGTCCATGAGGCCGGCTGCCTTTGGCGCCATTATTAGACTCGCGAACCAGAGGCAATCGACAATGGTGGGCGGCTACGGTGAATACGGTGGCGCGGTTCCCTGGCGGGAAACTCATGAGCATTGGCACAATGGAAGTAGGCGCATCTCATCGCACAGATTACCGCTCTGGGCGGTTAGAGCACGAAACGCTGGCAAGGTCGGTGCGGCGGTGACAGCATGGGGCTGGGCACGTCGGAACTGGCTCTGACAGGCCCTGTCTCTGGCGCTCTGGCGCTCTGGCGCTCCGACGCTCCGACTCTGTCAGTCCAGTGCCCCTGGCTTTTGCATCTGGCTCAGGCGTGGCGATGGGGAGAGGATGTGATGGTGGGAGGGACGCGGGATGGGCGACAAGGGCTTCTGGCCAAGGGTGCCTGTGCTTGTGGATGGCGGCAACAGGCAGGAGGCACAGCCCTAGCGGTTGGTTCGAGCGACAGAGGCAGGACGCCAGAGCCAGACGCCGAGAGACGGTACGTACCCCAGGTACTCTAGCGGCTGGCCAGATCGCGGTACCACCAGGGGCGCTGCATGTACCGATGGCGCCCAGGTACTTGGAGGTCATCCGTGCTCAGCCCTACACACCGACTGCCACTCCCCAACTGCCAGCCTTTACCACATCATGTATTACCTTATTATTAGCGTCATCAGCCACACCCTAGCGCTGCCGGCTTCCCGCCATTCCACACAAACTGAAGTCGGGACCTCACTGGAAATAGACGGTGAAGGCTGTGCTTCTGCACTCTAGGGTACCTACAGCCTGGCACGCCGTCTCGCATGCCGGCATGAGCCATCCGGTGGCCTGGTTGTTGGAGATGTTGGGGTTTGGTGTGCCATGATCCGTCACGCTGCGCAGAGCTGGCTTGACGCAACCTAAATGCAGTGCCCTCTCCGCACCGTCGGGTTTGATTGAGCACAAACACTTGAGTTCTTCATGCGTGATGACACCAACCCTCTGCTGCGCCATCTGCTTGCCAATCTGGGAAAATCCGTTAGCGCCGATGTTCCATCTGGATGATCACCTGCTATGAGCTATGTATTGGAGCTCGGTACGGGATGCGCCTTGAAGGTAATTCCGCTCCTGGGAACCAAGGTCCTGAAATGAGATCCGCCAGGTGGTCATGTCGACCTTTGTTTTTTATTGACTCAATTTTTCCCACTTGCGAAACGTGCACAATCTCTGGCGGGAGACGCAATGAAGTAATGGTAAGATGAGGCCGGAATGGATCCCCGACGTTTCTTCTTGGGGATGAAGCTCAGGGTCCAGCGCCTTTTCGGCACAAGGCAGGGGTAGGGGTTAGCGGGGAAACAAGCTTCGACCGCTAAATGGTCTGTGCGGTCGCATTCGCCAAAGGCCGCACATGTGTAAATGAGGGTCGTCTCAGACCAACAGAGTCGGCCTTGCGAGACCAATGGCCCATTTGACGTCTAGAGGTACAGTCGACGGCGTCTAGAAAGTAAGCGGGTCAACATTTGCCGGGCCATGCAGACGGTACTTGGGCGCGATAAGACTTACCGTCCAGTCCGCCACGTCTTGAGAGGAAATGGCAGCCCCTATTGCCTCGTTAGACGCTTACCGCCAGTATGGGTACCCGTCGGCAACGCACACTGGCGCAGGGGATAACGGGCACCATGCACTCTCTCGACTGCCACAAAACAAGGACTAGCCCGTCAGACGGCAAGCCCGCTTGTCGCATCAAGGCTCTGACAGGACTGAGTGGTTGTGCATGACATTCAATGGGATGTCATATCAGGGGCCTCATTGAAGGATTTGGCTTGGAAGAGTCAGCGCTTGAGTAATCCCGAGGGCATATGCCTGGCTCGTGTATTCTGTCCCAGCGTGGCCAACCCGCTCGTTGGTTTGGTGCGTCTTTGGTAGGGCTGAGTACCTCGGTGCCACGTCTGTTGGGGGTGCACACCACACCTAGCACACCAGCACGCCAGCACACCCCGACACCCTGGCGCAGACACGGGTCGGTCGCACACCGTCCTGGTTTCCTGCCCGCTGCGGTGAAAGGCTGCAGTGGAAGGCTGCAGTGAAGGATTATGGGTCTCAGGTCGGCGAATAGCATGCTGTCGCCTGGCCCCGACCCGTTGGGCGGGCAGCGTGCCATTCGGGGACACCCATCTGCAGTCTGTCGTTCTTGGGACACTTCGGTCTTGGCCGATGCAGCCGTCGGGCTGATGATTGCTTTCCAGCAAGCCACAGAACCAGCCTGTGGGAATCGATTCGATCCCGGGTGATCGGGGAACGGCCCCCAGCGGACCCGTTGGCAAGGTGTCAGATAGGGAAAAAGAAAACAACCAAACCCTGAATTCCCTCCAAGCTGAATTCCCAGCCCATTAGAAAGGTACATGCGCATGTCAGGCCTGTTGCACATGCGATGGCACGGAACGTGACCAGGGCTTCGGGTTCGACGTCAGTGGCCGCGACGGCCAACGTAAGTTGCAGTCCAGTACATCCGTGCCACCATCACACCTGCCTGCTTGGTTGCCTGCTCCCGGTTGCGTCCCAGGATTGCCTGTGTTGCTCACCGGCATACGCCGTACAGGAGGCAACCCTAATCAGGTAGGTATGTACTTTCCCTTACGTAGGAGGATGAAGGAGCGCACGACATGCACGCACTGGTCAGCCGGAGGTTTCTTTTTCTTCGTGCACCCACTTCTCCATCATTTCCCAATGGGCCCCGCCAGAAGTGGATGCGAAAAGCGTTCCCAAGACCACCAAGGATTGTATGAATATTCGATTCGCGCATTTTTCCAATCTGGCGGTTTTGCTTCTCTTTTTACTTTTTACTTTTTCCATGGCGCCCTCCCCAGAGGCCACGTCGACTGGGATCATTGATGGCCATCGTGGTCTCGGCCGCTTGTATGGAGACCCAGCAGTCAGGGCAACCGTGGCAGGCAAGTCGTGGTAGCGGAGGGCAGGCAATCACAGCACGCCGATATGACAAGGGCCGCTGGGACAGTGTCAGAGTCAGGTGCGGACACGCCTTGATTGGATACCGGCATCAGAACTGTCCCGGGAGAGATGACGAGGTTGACGCAGTGCAACGTTCCCCAACGCTGGCTGATTTGCTGGAGGCCGTCATTTCATCTTGCCCCTGGCCAAAGTATAGGACATGAAAGTAGGTTCAAGCGTGCAATGGATAGAGTGAGTTGACTTGCCCTTGAGAACCGAGCAGGTGGAGATCGACTTCAATGCCGAGAGTTTCTGCCGATGCTTTGCATGATTTAGTAGTGATCGAAGCGTACCAGCGATGCTGTTATTTGCTAAGTAGTCGGCAGCACAACTTGAGGACCGGAACGGCAGCGGCAGCGGCACGGCGTGCTAACCAGGGCCCTGGTTCGGGCCCGGCTTTCCCCCAGCAAACGCCATTGCCGAAGGAAGTGTTGATCAGCGATACGTTTGTTCCTTCACCAGCCACCCAGGGCGCCAAAAATCGAGACACAGATGGATCCTCGATCATCTTCATCAACCCCGCTCGGGGTTTCGATAAACCCACGTCTTGATGCCGGCCCTGCAGGATTGACCAGTTTAGCTCTGTCACAGCAACCCCGCGGAAATGATTAGAATGATGAGTCTCGTGCTGCCCCTAGCTAGTCTGGAATCACAGTTACACCGTGTTGAACCCAGGTAGCATTGCACAGTTCTTGTAGGCAATGCTCACCTCCGTCTCATGACGTCTGTCAATGGGCAGGTAGCCGACACAACCATCGACGAGCCAGGGCAATGATGCTATGCGATGCAACGCCGGGATACGAGAAGTCGCAAACGCAGTCCGTCCCAGAGACCAAAATACAGGGTGGCGGTGGGATTGCGTCCAATAGACTGGCGGGTGCCGCTGATTGAATGAATTGACCAAGCAATCAAATCCTCTGGCGTGCTAATCTCGACATGCCTCAACGCCACCAACCGGGCGCGGGCATGGCCAGCACCAGCCCTAAGATGATGCGGGACGGTATGGCGGCGCAATATTGCTTTGTATGGATTTGGCATCGCATCCTGTCACCTTTGATCACTTCTCCCATCGAGATCTGGTCCTATTCCTTGGCATTTGGGCTGCTGACCCCCTCCAGAGTGCCACACCAAGAGCCACCGCAGAGCCACCAGGGGGGTGGTTGCACCACCGTCATGTCGCTGTCTTTTAATAACTTTGACCCCCTCAGGCAAGGGGCTCTGCAACCAGACGACACCCAATCATAGCTTGCCGGAGTGAATGCCCGTCAACAAGGCTTAGCTTGCGCTACGCCTGTTGCGGCTACAGCTCGAACCATTACAACCAAACCTCCACATGCAGGAACTCTGTGCAACACCTTGGGTAGAGCGCCAACGGGAACGCGGCTTGAGATTCAACCTTTGCAAGGCAGCTTTTACCGTTTAACGTCCAGGCCTATGCGCGGAGACGGCAGATGGCGGCGGCGGCGGCGGTGGAGGGCGGATGGCGGACGGCGGACATGGGATCCGTCCAACTTAAACGGTGCGCACCACGGCGCCACGTATGCTGGTGGACGGCAGAAGCCGGACGAATGTCATCAAAGGAACCAAAGTTCCATTATCGCGAGACAACCAACCAAATGAACGACCAACCAAGCACTTAGATGCTGGATTTAAATTATACATACTGGAAATGGTACTGGAACTGGAATCTGGATTGGGTACGATGGCAGTTTTGACGCCGGCATTCGGGGAATGAGTTTGATCGTACACAACAACCAGATGGACGTCATTCTAGGGTGCCATATGACAGACAGACAGACAGGCAATTGGTCATGGTGGAAGCTTTCGTTACCCAACACTTTAAAACCAATGGATGGGTTTCTTGTGATGGAGGGGCGAATAGCGTAGTTCATCGATCCGGTTAGCACATTACAGACCCGGCATTTCATGGAGATGTTGACAGACTTTGCGGCTCGTCAGGGCTGGACAGGGGCACATGATGAACTGAGCTTTCGCTTGACATTGCCCATCACGGAAACACTCACCCCCACAGCTCGTTGAAACTTCCGACGGCACGCTCGCCCGCCGAGTTGAGTCGACGCGAAGTGGAGAGGACGCTGGGGCGGTACTCAACGGTCGGGCAATTTTGTTCTACAGAGCTTCGACTTAGTAGGGGCATGGTGGAATGGTATTATGGAGACAACTGTGGAGGGATCCAAGATGAAACATGGGTCAGAAACGCAATAGGCGAAAAACACTGGGCAATATCGGTCCTGGGCGAAGAGCGACCAGAGAGCGATCAGAGCGCGACCAGAGAGCGGCCAGAGAGCGAGGCCAGACACGGGGGCGGGAAGCTGACCGGTTTGGGCCAAGCGCGAGCGGTTTTGGACGTTGGTTGACAAGCATGCCCACCGTCATCAAACTGCTGTGGCCCCTGATATTGACATCAGTGATCTCCAGTGTGGGCAAGACACGAGTGCCTCAATCAGGTATAGTGGCAGGATGAAGGACGGCAGGAAAACGCCACCCGGGGACCTCTAGCCAATGGGGAGCAACCAGACACCCTCTTCGGGGACCATTTTGAGGTTGACGTGGGAGCGGGCAAGGCCGGGGCTGTGCCATTTGGCTCGGAGCCGATTTAGACCGTGGCAGCCGACGCTTACGATTGGCCCTGGGACCAGGGGGGGAAGAGTGATGTGTTGGTGGGTGGTGCTCGCTCCTGTGCAACTGGCTACTGAACGATGGTGGTGTGAGTTGCTCCTGGATGGTGTCGAGTGTGAGTGACTGAGTTTGTCGTTGTCTTTGTCGTACGGATCTGTGAGCCAGTGGGAGACGGAGACCTGGACTGAGGAGGGCGATTGGTTGTGGAGATAGAGTCAAGAACGTGACCTGGCGGGCTGGCGGGTTTGTGTCTGATGGTTTTGCGCAGCACAAGCCCCACCCCACGCGGGCACAGCACGGCACGGCACAGCATAGCACTGCATATCTGCATAGATTGGGGATAAAAATATCCCCGTGCTAGAGCAACAGAGCCTCCACCATCTCGGCACGGGATGGCTATGCCCTACCTTACAAGACAGACTATTGCTTGCTCTGCCTCGGTTCGGTAGGTACATACATTGAGCTTGCTATTATTACAAGGCATTACTGCAGGTGGCATGGAGATGGACTCTGGACGATGGATGATGCAGGTTAAATCGGTCTGCCTTAGCTGGGCGGATGGTTTGGTGGGAACCACAGTGTACCAATGGGAATGACACGGGACAGAGGCTTGCTTCCATCACTTTGCATTGCCGCGACTCCTCGTTTTGTCTTGGATGAGAGGTGGGGGGAAAGGAGGGGGGACAGAAGGGGAGGGGACGACTCTACGGTGTCATGGCTGCTTGGGATGTTGGTGAGATGGTCTCACTGGCCTACAGAGAATGATAGACAAGTAGAGTTTCCTATCACTCAGACCGATGGCCTGGTCCATGTCAGACATCGAATGGCAGTCCAAGGTGAGTTCGGTCATGGATTTGGGAATGGGGCACGGCCGACCACACATCGGCGTGCGTGGTGGTTGGGAATAGAGAGACACCACATAGAGACATTATGGCGCTCTCCCGGACGGAAGAGGTGGGGCGGGGGATGGAAAGGGAATGGATGGACGGATGGAGGAGGCTTGGCCACAACATGTTCTTGACTTGGCTCGACTTGAGCTTGAACTTGAGTTTCGACGTCCATTGCCGTCTTTGATTATCCTGCATTCAGCGGCACAGAGGGGGAGGGACGCCCACTTTGGAAACGGGTGAGGACTTGGATTGGGACCGCCAGCCATGTACCGTTGGCGCGCGGGCGAGGTACTCTACTTCCGCAGAGTAGTGGGGTTATTTTTTCTTGTCCTTTCATTTGGGACCCTTGCTTGGCGATTGATGCCTCCCGTGTGAGCCTGCCAGCCTGGTGGTGCTGGGGACGGGGTGTGACTGGACTGGGAGCGGCCTCTGACCGGGACATGCCATGGGGACTCGATGGGACAGCCATCTTCCGGGCCCCTGGTCTGTCTTTGATCGGTACAGGGATCCCGGTACAGGTACAAGTTGCCCTGCCCCCCTGCAGCCCGCTGTGGCAGCAATTTGGGCTTCTGGCGACCCCTGCATAGCCCTGGGAGGCCTTTCCGACTTGTACCGAGTACTCCCGATACATGGGCACTCCGCCTTATTCGACGATCGACTCGTCCCGGCGCACCACACACGCCCCAGGCTTCCAGCGCACCCCTTCCTCTGGAGCCTCCACCCTCTTGCACTGATGCACTGAAGATGGCTCAGAGTTCCCTGGGGAGGTTGATCCCGCGCCCCCCCCCCAGGCCCAAGGGCGGTGACATGCCTCTCCGCCATTTCCCTGCTGGCCACCACCACCCCCAGACCATCCTTCACGAATACCGAGTCTGGACTGGGGCGGCATCGATCCTCGCGCGTAACTTTTCGCGCCCTAAATGTCTCTACACCCTGGTCCCCGATTGAGGCTGGGCGCTGGTGGCCGCCTTTGCCTCGCTCACACACACTCATCCCGCACACCACCGAACCTCCACATCCACCCTCCTCGTCGACAACCACCACACACGCCCGACTAACAGCGCACACGCCTCCCTCATGGCTCTTGGCTCGCTAGGCTGGGCTGGCTTGCTCCACGCTCCACGCCCCATACTCCATGAGGGCGGGCCCCTGGGTCCTTGGGTACCTGGTGTACATGCTGGTCCGTACGTACATCGTAGGGCCTAGTTGCTCGTGGCTCTAGCCTGGCTGGATCACCCATCTCGTCAGGACTGGGCCCAGATGCAGGTGCTCTGGTGCCTTGTCTATATCTACGTTGCTGTCCCCGACCTTCTGGACCCCAAGAAAGCCTCGTAGCCCTATCCTATCACTGAATACTGGTCTCGACTTCTGGCTCTTTGCCTTGATCATCACCTTCGTTGGCTTGTTTGTCTCGACGACCGGCAAGATATACTCGAGGGCTCTGATCGATTCCTCTGCGCGCCGCACCCCACCACTCCTCCTACTGCCCTCTCCAGCAGTCGCACTTGAAGTGGTTCAACACTAAGACGCCAGATCTTATATATACCATTGGCAGAACAAACCTCCAAGCCGAAATCCGACTTGAACGACTTGACGCAAATCGCATTTGCCGGGTTGCCCAGCTACGACAAACATCTCGGACCCCGCGAGACTCTCAACTTCACGCCTCGCTCCTTGGAATGCGAAGTGGTGCAGGTGAGCTTCCCCGGCTTCCCCAATGACACATGAGTGTTCTGTGTGCGCCCAGGAATCCTGAGACCTGACCTTTTGGCTTTTGCCTTTTAGATAAAGGTGATCGCATCCTGTCGCGGCTGAGCTATAAGTGCTTCACGCCCGCACCCGCCATTGCCTTGGCCAGCACCGCCCCCAGTCGCACATCGACGTCCCGCATCCTTCGCGCCTTACAACGAACCACCACACAATGGCATCTCTGACAGAGCAACCCTACGCCATGTTCCCTCCACATCACGACTCCGCCGAGGACTTTGGCCACGCCGTCTACACCTCGGGTCCCATGGGCGTAAGCATCCCGGCCGACGCCTACGGTTTCCACCACCAACAGCAGCTCAACAGCGCCCAAGAGGTGTTTCCCACATCAATGGTTTACGAGCCTGCGCTCTACGCCGAAGCCGCCCCCAGCTACATTCTCAACAACCGCTCCTCCCCCGGTATGTACGACGAGACCGACATGGGATTGCCCTCGTCCAGCCGGTCGACGGCCTCTGCGCCATCTGCCGCGTCCTCGGCCATCGGATCCCCCCAGTCCAACCACGGCCAGATGGGCGCTGTGCCTGAGTGGGCTCCCCAGGGCCTGGGTGTCCAGCCCGGTATCGTCGGTAACGACTACATTACCGGCCAAGACTACGCATCTTTCGCTCCCCACGGCTTGGAAGAGCTATCCTTCGACTTTGGTCCCCCGAAGGCCTTTGTTGGTGAGTTGGATGCCTCTTCTACTAGTAGCACTACTTCGCCTCGTTTTTGCACTGCGCAGCTGAGGCCTCCCCGCCATTCGTTCACTTACCCCTGTCCCACTCCCACTACTTGTTCGTCAAGCTCCATTTTCAATTCTACTTCTACTTCCCTTTCGGCGCTTCCTGTTACGCGAGACGGCATCTCCGTCGATCACCAATTGTCCCTCTCTTCCTCTCCAGCTGGTTCTTCTTGTTCGTCTGCGCTATCTGGCAGCTTCGTCCCCACTCCCGCGTCCACCGTTTCCTGCCCTAAGCGACGGCCAAGTCCGTCGGCTATTTCGTCAACTGAGACATTCCGCTGGCCCTCCCAACCAGCGCGTCACTCTGTCACTCCTTCACCAAACAGACGCGCAGCTGCTTTCTTTTCTCAGAGTAGCGGCCATTTTGTTGCCCCTCTGCAGTCCTCTCCTTGGTCGCCCTCGCGCATCTCGTCAGACTCTACTGTTACTTCTCCGACAATGATTACTGACCTCGCGCCTGCGCCAGACCCGTCGCTCATCCACCCAGAGATTACCCGCCCGCCCATGGGAATCCCCTCGTATGACAGCCATTTCCAGCAGCCCAGCCACCACTATCCCACCTCGCCATCCATTGCCGCCTCTTCGCCTCAGCCAAACATGATGCGCACCAACAGCTCCTCGCCATTCCTCCACAACGGTCCCTTCCAGCCTACCTACCCCACCAGCCCCTATGGCGCCCCAATGGAGAACCACGTCCGCGCTCCTAGCATGAGCCACTTCGTCCCGGCCACTCCTGGCGGTGACTACTCCAGCCCTGACGATATCAAGGAGAAGCAGCGATGTACTTGGCCTGAGTGCGGCAAGGTCTTCAAGGACCTCAAGGCTCACATGCTCACTCACCAGCACGAGCGCCCCGAGAAGTGCCCTATCCAGACCTGCGAGTACCACGTCAAGGGCTTCGCTCGCAAGTACGACAAGAACCGCCATACTCTGACCCATTACAAGGGCACTATGGTGTGCGGCTTCTGCCCTGGCTCTGGCTCAGCGGCCGAGAAGTCGTTTAACCGCGCCGACGTCTTCAAGCGCCACTTGACTGCTGTTCACGGCGTTGAGCAGAGTCCTCCCAACAGCCGCAAGAAGTCGGCTGCTATCGCCAACAGCAGCAAGAAGCTTACCGGCTACGCGTCTGATGCCACCGGCAAGTGTAGCACTTGCTCGCAGACCTTCTCCAATGCTCAGGACTTCTACGAGCATCTGGATGACTGTGTGCTGCGTATTGTACAGCAAGAAGACCCTGCCGAAGCTATCAACGCTCAGCGCTTGGCTGAGGTTGAGAATGATAAGGATGTTCACCAGACTCTGGAAAAGAACAACCTGCCCACAGCTACTGAGACAGCCTCGACTGAGGACGAGGACGAGGATGTCGAGACCGCCGACGAGGACGACGTCGATGATTCGTCTAAGTCCAGCCACTCGCCCATGACCAAGAAGAAGGGTAACCCTCCCAATGGCGTCCAGAAGACGCGCGGCATGACCCACTCCCGCGGCGGTGTGACGCTCACCACCAAGAGCAAAGGCCGCAAGAACCGACGCGACTACCCTTCGTCGTGGGGCTTCGACAAGGGCCAGATGACGATGAAGAAGCGCGTCATGGCTGTCTTTGATGGTCCCCGACGCCTGGCCAAGGATGACATGATGCTGTCCACCGACCACGAGGTCCGCATCAAGCTCTCTGATGGCAAGGCGTACGTGACCGACCTCGATGTTCAGACCATGAAGCGGGCTGAGGGTTTCCTCGGAGCCACCGACGAAGAGAAGGGTCCTTGGATCTCCGACGATCCCACAGCTGATCAGCTCAAGGAGATGCAAATGATAATGGACAAAACCACTCCCATCTAAACCACCACTCCTCCCAACAACTACAAAACACAAAAACTATTATTAAAAAGAGCATGGCACCGACGGCGTACGCGAAACTGTACTAGAATAGGGGAACTTTTGGATAGGAGTATTATTATGGGTACTGGAACGGATTTATGACTCTGGGCGGGTATGGGAACGATGAGAGGGATCTCCCTATATTTGGATTTGTGCTTGGGAGTTGACGTATCGATACCCCTGTTTTTTCTTCCTTATTTTCTCTCCCTTTGGTGGCTCATTCACCAGGTTATGGCTTGACGACAATCAATAATGGACGATTTCAAAGAATCTGCTTTTCTTTTGCGAACGCAACATAATGGGAACTGCCTGTCTTGTGATGGCTGCTCGGTCTCTTGTTCGATATGATATCCTGTCTTTTACGGCATCTGTTTTCTCGTGTCTTGGGTGCTTGTACAATCTTGGGCGGGGCCATGACAGCGAGGGCAAACAAGACGAGATGTATTATTTATGAGACCGGGACGCAGCTTGATGCTGCGGTAATGCGATTAGGAGGGTGTTATTACAGGAGTTTATGGAGTTTGGAGGCAGATGAGTTTCTGGAAGGGAAGGGAAGTGAACCAAACCAAGCCACATTGAAACTTAAGTCAATGAATTGATAATCGGAATATGCCAAACACAAGAGAACTTGAAGCAACCTGTGAAATACATTGCGCACCTTGACTGGTTTGCTATTCTGAAGAGTTCCCTCTTGATGTCATCCCTGTACCCCGCGGAAAGCGGTCGGGACCGGCAAATTCTACTTTTGCCCCTCCCCCACCACTGCGATAGTGATCTCACGCGACATGGCGGAACATATTTATCTCTTGTACAAGGCACCTTTGTGATAACTTCCGTCACTCCTTGACTCCTTCGATATCATCCAGCCATATTATTCTTCCTAATATTCGAATACTAGTGTCACCAAGCGTGAGCTTCTCAGTGGAAGCGAAGGGCAGTCGTCTGTGTACTGGAAGTTGAGCGTCGTTGGGCGACATCACCAGAAAACTTCGACTTACATCAACACAGCCCAACCAACGACATGTCCCTCACGTGGCGTATCACCCTCAAGGGCGACGTGGTTAACGGCCCGGAGGATTACTTCGGCGAGTCGCTCGGCGTCATTTTCCCCGACGACATCACCAACCAGCATGGCGACGCCGAGCACTCGCTGATCTATACGTCACCGCATCTACCCAAGCCGCTGCACATCGACCTCGCTGACCCCGTCAGGGAGGAAGACCGTAACCTCTTCAGCCACTACCTATGGAACGCATCGTTGTTACTGGGCGAGTTCGTCGAGGCCGACTCCCTCGGCGTGCCGCTCGACCAGCCGCGTGCCGCCCAGGAGAGCCTATCGTTTGATGTCAAGGGGTTAGACACACTCGAGCTCGGCGCTGGCACAGCGTTGCCTAGTATCATGGGCGGCCTGTTAGGTGCTCATCGCGTCGCCATCACGGATTACCCGGCTGAAGGCCTCCTCAAGACGATCAACACCAACGTGGTCCGTAACCTACAACCGGGCCTGTCTCCGGCTGGCTCGGCCACGACACCTGCGTCCTCAGTCCTGGTCGAAGGTCACTTGTGGGGTGAGCTAGACGACTCCTTCAGCACGGCGAACCGCCACTCGTTCGACCGTATCGTTGTTGCCGACTGCCTGTGGATGCCGCATCAGCACGTCAATCTGCATCGCAGCATCGCCTTCTTCCTGCGTGAGGCCGCCGATGCCCGTTGCTGGGTCGTCGCCGGCTTCCACTCCGGCCGCGAGAAGATGCGCGGCTTTTATGATGCCGAAGCTCTGCGCATGGTTGGCCTGGAGGTCGAGCACATTTGGGAGCGGGACTGCAACGGCGTGGAGAGGCCGTGGGATACGCAGCGCGAGGATGATGTGACTGAGCGCAAGCGGTGGCTCGTTGTTGCTTCTCTCAAGTGGATTCAGACTTCTTGAATCGGGACCCAGATATCGAAAACCTCTCTCTTTCTGATCCCGCGGATCCTTTCTCTCCCCAACTCCCAAGATCCAGCGTCTGGTTGAGAGAAAGTGGGAACAACAGCCAGCTCTTATACGCCTCGCCAACAACCCCCCTTCCCCTCAAAGCACACCACCACCCACAATTCCCGCCCATCCCTCCAAACACTTGGCTCCCACGTTGTCGTTGCTGTCACGACTTTGCCTAGCGTTCTGCATTTCAGCTGTCCCACCCCCGCTTGGCATGATTGGCTCTGGCCTGGGCCCGTGGGGTCGTCGCCGCCCGCTCGACACTTGTGGTGTACGCAAGGGTCGTAAGACGGCGGAATGTCTGGACGAACGGGCGCTGGGGTCGAACGATGAGTGGGGAGAGGTAGTCGTTTAAGTTGTAGAGTTGTTGAGGGTGAGGGAAATGGGTTGTGGATAGGCCGGAGGACAGAAGGAGTGCATGGACTGTACACTAACACAATATCAAACAGTATAAATCATCGTCTCGGATATAGCCGTAAATACATCAATAGGCATACGACATATAAGCGCATACACCCATGTCTCTCCGTCTTCTATTCCCCCACCTCCATTCTATCACCCTTCTCCATACCATATTAATTGGGTGCTTCAATACTCGGCCCCTTCTCCTCCACCTTGACGACAAAATCGTAGTTGACCCGCAAATTCTCTGCGCCGCTGAGCGCCCTGGTCAGCATGCTCTCATGACGCTCGCCAACAAGCCGCTTAAGCGCGCCGACCAGGAAGCCGGCGACGATTTCGACGGACCAGTTGTCGGGAATAAGGCCGAGGACCTCGTCGATCTCAAACCAACCGCCGAAGCGTTCAAGTAGCGCACCCGTCTGCTCGATGCGGTCGCTGACATCGTCTAGGGCGAGAAGTTCGCGGAGGACGACGTGGAAGAGGCGGCGCTGCTCGTCAGCCGAGGGAGCCTCAACAGACGCGGCCGAGCCCGAGTCGGAGCCCGAGCCAACGCGGAGGCAGTAGGAGACGGCGGTGTCGTAGTCGCCGAGGTTGTGTATAAGGAGGCGCAGGGCATCTTCATGCTGATGGGCGCGGCCGGCGAGGATGATGGTTTCGGGGACGAGGAGGTCAGAAGGTAGGTTGGCGATGCGGTCGCGGATGCCCTCGGCGTCGTAGTCGTGAGTTCCGCCGAGGAGCTGGAGGAGCCGGAGGCGACTGTGCCAGATCTCGTTGTCCTCAGGGGCATTGTCCCGCAGGAAGTGGTGGTAAGTGGGCTTTGGGGGTTGGAGGGCTCGGTACGCCTCGTAAGTTGCCATGACGATGTCCCGGCTTGTGGACGAAGCCTCGAGATCCGTGACGACCACATCCAGATAATAGGCTATGAGGTCGTTGACATAGGTGGTGTGCCCCTTGCCGAAGACGAGGTGCTCGAGGTAATACTTGACTGCGTCGGGGGCTTCTTCTCGGAGGAGCTCGACAACCTGGGCGGGCTCGAACTTGGGGGCCCGGCCCTTGTCTTCGGCAAAGACCTGCACGCCCAGTTTTGGGTTGCGGTTTGCCAGCCAAATTCCGTACTCCTGGACGAGGGCCTGGCTGCTGATCTTGGCCAGGTACTCGCGGACGCGCTGCTCGCCATCGCGGAACTCCTGTCCATCATCCCGCTCGCCCTCGACAATGCGCTTCCAAGTCGCCAGGACATCACCGGACATCTTGCGGCTCTGGTAGAGTCGGCTCAGGATAAAGAGGCGGTGGTAAGATTCGAGCAGATTGACGGCACGGTCGAAGCAGTCGACGCCCTTGTCGACCACGTCGTTCAGTTCAGACCTGACTGCGCCGCCTTTGCCTAGGCCTTTGGGGGCGTGCTGATCGATCTCGAGGAGGACCAGCAACAGAGCAGCGTCGACGGTACGAAAGACCTCGTGCTCATCGGGGACGCTACCGAAGCCCTTCTTCTTCCTCCACGCACCAAGGAATCGTCTAAGGAAGTGCATTGTCGAGGGATCCAGAGCCGAGATTGAGTCCTTAACCGCCTTTTCGAACTCTGCACTTCGGAGGTAGGGCTCTGCTGTTTCCCTCACACCTCCATATATCCATATCCCCCGCTGTCCCTCAATGATCTCATTTCGAATGCCAGGGACCAGTGATAGCACGACTCTCGGATCGAGGCCGCTATCAACTAGGACCTCCTCCAGTGCTTTCATCTCTAAGTCCGAAAAACGCTGTCCTTCTGGAGATCGCAAAAGGTTCGTTAATAGTAGAATTCCGGCCTTCTGTCGTATGTAGCCCAGAGTCATAAACTCCAACTCTGTCCGTGCATCACGGCCACGGATCGAGTTCAGCATAGTGAAAATCGTTCGCCTGTCAATAAGGTGTGGGCTTGCATACCCCTCTGGGCACGCGGCTTTAAGCACGGCATCAAGTTGAATGAGGAGCGGGTTGCGAATTGCCCACCAGATCCCGTTGCCAGTCCAAACTGCCAACCTCGCTTCTGCTTTTGCGAGCTGTCGCGCGAACTCTTCTCCCTCAGAGTTTCGGATAGCTTCCCAGCCCTCGGGCAACACCTCCTCCTCTTGAGAGTCGAAATTTTGATCAAACAGTTCCTTTTCTTTTGAGAGTTGCTCTATGGATAATGCTGTCCTTGAGTCTGATGTCTTCAGGGAGGAAGTGATAGAGGGGTCGGGACCGGCTGAGAAAGGAGTGAATCTCCTCTGACACAGCCTTTGGACAATTTCTTCGAATTTTGTCTCTTCGCTGCCCGCCAGCTGGCGTATGCCGTACACTCCCGCCTTCTTGGCTTCTGGTGCCTCAAGCCAGAATTTCCCGCGGTTTGCGTCAGGGCCTGCATCGAACCGTTGTATCTCAAGGCCATGGTGTAAGCCATCCTCAAAGTCTTTGGTCATTGAAGCTAGGACATAGCCCTCGTCTTCTTCCTGAAGAGCTGATCGTGATGAAGATAGATCCCCGGAAGGGCTGTAAACAACAACTTCCTTTGGGTACCTTTCAAATTCCAGTGTTGGACGAGTTGGGTCACCATCGAAATTTACAAACATGCCAATACCTGGTTCCAAGGGGTTGGTACCGGTCACCAGAAGGAATTCATCTGGCGTTGGAGACGCAATATGTGGTTTGAGAAATACCGCCCCGGGCTTTGGTCTGGGGCTTGCGGATTGAGTTGGAGTTCCTGTTGGTGACGGGGCGGCAGGTAATGGCTTGTCGAGGGATGGGCTTGTGGAAGGCCCTTCGCTTGGCGGCTTTGGGCTTGTGGAAGGGACTGGAGGTGAATGAGTCTGAAAGGCCTGGCCCTCGCCTTCATTCGCACGATGGTCTTGTCGACGAATAGTTCCCAAAATTGCACCACCAAGGCTTGTACTCCGACTATGGCCAGGTAACGAAGTGGGTCGGTTTTGCGCCGACGAAGAACTTCGCAATATACCGCTTACGGTGTCTGCCGCGAGACTCTGTGCTTGGCCTAGTTCCCCGGGAGGAGACTCTTCGAGAGCCGAGATGCTCATCAGGGGAATCTTGAGTTGCCGGTCCACGTCCACGAGTGAATACGACTTGGAGTCGGCAATACATGCGATCGAGTCTCGTCGCACTGACAAGGTGCTTCCTGAGAAGTCGATTTTCTATTGAGGGTTAGGTATGTTGACGGCGTGCCTTGGAAAATTGTTGCGTACCTTGTACACCCGCGCATCTTCACCAATTCGAACGACCTGTATCCTACGGTTCAAGGAGAGTAGAATCGTCACTCCAGAACCCCTTTCAGACCCCCTATTATCGAGAGCAGGATCGTTCAGATCGATGCCGCCAATCCAGTTGCAATTCTTGACTTGGGTCGTTCCGAATACCGGGCTTAGCTCAGGTAGGGAGTAAAAGGTGACCGTCCAGTTACACAGAATGCATGCTTTACCTACGCGAGGCAGCAACAGAATCTGCTGGATTCCAGGGTACGAGCCCGAGGGATTGGCGGAAGGTTCTGCAAAGGCAGGGCATAGTCGGGATGCTAAGATGTAGACGGACTGGCCGGATCTATCGCTCGGGTCGGGGGGGATTTGCACGAAATGAAGGAGCTCGGAGGCTGAGGTGCCGACGTAGAGGTTATGGTCTGTAGTAGTAAGCGTTAGTTGGCGGAATCGATGGAAATGGGTCTCCTGAAGGGTGACTTGCCTAAGTAGTCGACGCAGTTTATCTTGATATCGTCCTGGGAGCCATCTGCGGAGAGAGGCACATCGTCCAACAGGGACCGGAGGACGAAGGGCCCATCTTCTCGGTTGGCGCGCCCCAGGCTGGTTGAAGGCTCTTCGCCTGGGCCATCGGATGTCATAGCGGCAGGTCAGGCGGTAGCCTCATCTGAGCGACTCTCCCGTTCCCAGCGTCGCGATTGCAAAGGTTGGGAGCTCGAGGTGCGACAGCGACAGCGATAGCTCAAGGCCGGCGTCAGTTGACATCAGTGGAGACGCAATGCGTATGCGTAGCCGGAGCTACTGCGAGCTGGAGGATTACCTAGCGCAGGTGCGAGGCTGTGGCGGGGTGGTTGGGCCTCTGTGGCGCAGGGCTTGGCGTCTTCAGCCTGGCAGCTCCAAGGGCCAATCAACGCCCGGCGCCACGCCATCAGCCGAACGGAACACGTTCACAGCTCCTAGCTAGGCCCTGACTTGGATCATGAACTCTGTGGATGCAGGGCTCACTACTTCACACGACGATCACCAATCCCGACTCCGGACATCTAGCGACCGGCAACGCAAACTACAAACGCTTGAGATTGTACCATTGTGGCGGTGGAGGCTGCCTGTCGACCGAACCCGCGCAGCCCCTGAGCATCTCCAACGGAACTCGACATCATGACGGACGCTGTTGTTGAAGCGGCTCTGGCAGCGAGCGCCGAACCTACCGAGATCGGCCGAACATTCGAAGGAGAGAACAAGTTCCAGCATGCGATATCATCATGGCGAAGTATGGACTAGCGAACATAGGCGCCGCTTGACTTAGTTACTAACAAGTGGCGACAGACATCGATCTCACCAGCCTCGTGTCAACCCTCGATAATACGGCGTCCGATATTGTAGCCTACCAGCGCGACTCAACAGTACAGCGCAAGGAACTAGCACAGAAGACCAAGGAGTTTCGAAAGCTGGACGATGGGTCCAAGCTGACAGAGATCAAGGCTCTCCTGAAAGGTACAGTACTGACACGACGGACCTAGTCCGGGCAACTGTTCTGGCTGAGACTGACCACGGAGACAGCCTACCAAACCTTTATTGACCTCCTCACAAACCACTCCAAATCCGTTAATTCGGCATTTTTGCAAACCTACACATCCTTCTCCGATGCTCCAGATCCATACCCCCTGCTCGAGGCGTCGGTCGACTCCATGCTCATGTCCGAGGATACCTTGCCCAAGCTCAGCGAAGAGAACCAGCATCTTCAGGAGAGCGTCTCTAGGCTGTCTTCACAGCTGGAAGAGACCGAGACTAAACTCCAAACCGAGCGGACCACCCGAAAGGGGCTTGAAGACGACCTTGAGAGTCGAGTCAGGGAGGTTGAGTCCTCGTGGACAGCGGTGCTAGAGGAGAAGACGGACAACTGGGAGGCTAAGGAGAAGGCGCTGGAGGATAAACTGGAAAATCAAGACCGTCTGTTGAATGAAATGAGGGCGAGTTACGAGGTCAACCAACGATTAGGCAAGGGTGGGGATGACCAGGAACAGCGCAACCAGGTTTCCAGCGCCGAGCTTGAGATGCTTCACTCGGATCTCGAACGTACAAGCACCCGATTGGCTGAGGTGCAGGCACGAAACGAGCAGATGAGACTGGAGCTGGCCCAGTCCAAGTCTTCGGTGCCATCCCAACCTGAGACATCCCTCGAGGATGACCCTGGATACATGCGTATGCGTTCAGAGAACCAGTCCATGATTCGCAAGCTGGATGCTGCTAGGGTGGAAAAGGAGGGACTGAAGCGAGACCTCGATGCCCGACTACGATCTATGGAGAGGGAGGCGGCTTCATTGAAGGATGAGAAGGATGCTCTGAAGGCCAAGGTCCAGAAGTGGAATGACTACGACGAAGTGAAGCAGGAACTGGAGGTCCTCAAGAGTATCGAGTTCTCGACTGGAGATGATGACGAGGTGCAGATCGAGGCAAGCGACGCCAAGGGCAATGCCCTAGAGAAGCTTCTACTGGCACGCAACAAGAAGTTGGGCGACGAGCTGACGGTCCTCCGGGTTTCGCACCGAGACCTCCAAACTCGGCTAGAGGACCTCCAAGAGGAGTTGTCCAGGACGAACGCTGAGCTAGAGAGATCTCAGAACCTCAACGAGAAGCTTGAAAGCGACTTGGAGAATCTCCAGGAGGAGGGTGCCAATATCTTCCCGTCAGGAGCTTCTGTCGCTGGAACATATATCACCAAGGCGGCCGGCCGCCGCCAGAGCGGGCGTATCTCACCGACGTCGTCCATCATTAGCGGCATGGACCCCCGTGGTATGGGTGGAGAACGTGAGCAAGTTTATGGAGGTGGCTCGGGTATCTTGCCCATGGTTACAGCCCAACGTGATCGATTCAAGAAGAAGAATGCAGAACTGGAGCAGGAACTGTCGGAGACTCACAGGTCGGTGTCGCAGCTGCGGCAGGAGGTGGCCGCGTTGCAAAAGGACAACTTGAACCTGTACGAAAAGACCAGATACGTTTCGACGTACAACCGCGGAGGTTCCTCGACCACGTCGACAGCGTACGGGTCAAACGCGAACCCCTCGACGGTCTCGATCGGCGAGACCGGCAACCCTGGAATCGCATTGGATCGGTATCGCCAGGCTTACGAGTCCAACCTCTCGCCGTTCGCGGCGTTCCGTGGCCGAGAGTCCGCGAGGGCATACCAGCGCATGAGCTTGCCGGAGCGGGTGGTGTACTCGCTGACCAGGATGGTGCTGGCGTCGCGGATGAGCCGAAACCTGTTTGCGGTATACTGCGTGGTGCTCCACCTCATGGTGTTCGTGTCGATGTTCTGGCTCGGCTCGTCGGACTTTGAGCAGCATATCGGGACGACAGCTGCGGCCGCAGCGGCAGCTGGTTTGGCGGGGGCAGGAAGTCCGATGGACGAAGCCCCCAAGAACCCTGGGAAATAGATCCGGGATAAAATTGAGGGTGGTCACAAGAGGAGTCATGAGGGCCCTGCTTGTGCGTGTACGTGTAGTAGGCGGCAGGATAGGCATGGGTGTGGGAGGAGCCGGTGTGGGCATGCCGTGTATTCCATAATGCAATAGGGTGTTTCTTGGGTAGCGGTCACTATCGAATCTATGAATATGTTCTTCCCAACGCGCTGGGCCATGAGGGGCGCCAAAGACCGAGCTATTGTCTCTTGGCAAGGCGACCTGGCTCAAAGAGATGGATTAACCTGCCCTTTCAAGACGGTCAATGGCCCACGCAGAAGTCCCTAGATCATTTGAGGTCCGGCCGCCTTTCGTTTAACTATGGGGCCGCGCGGCTCCACGTTTCTATTTTTGCATCGTCTTGCAGCCGCTGGCCGCATATGGCGACCTCGATGCTTGTCAAGCGGCGGCCAATGAGGTGCGCGGATGAGCAGGCGGCGGATACGCAATTGTCGGCTCACAGCTGGACCCTGTCGGCTCGGATAGGTTGCCGCGCAGAAGATGGCGTTATCGTTTGGAGACACGTTTTCTTGGCTCTGCGGGTTGTTGGAGGGTTTGGAGCTGGTGGTTGGTTCGAGGAATATCTTGGATCTGGCATTTCTGGATCTTGGCTTGTGATGGGATGGTGGGGGAGTTGGCGGTAGGTGGTGAATGTCATTGATGACGTTCTTAAGATCTGGCCAGTGGGTGGATTGCAGATGGTGAGATCAATCAGGATTTTCCATTCTCCATGTTGGCCGTGCGATGGCGTTCTATCGTCTTGGTGTTCTACACCGTCTCTGTTGTCAAGTTCGACACCAGAGGTCCGCACCTCGAGGTCTCTCAGGTTATCACCCCCTGTCAGTTTGGGCAAGCCCGACTACAGTGGAATGCACAAAGTTTAGACTAATCTATATTAAGGTGCAGTCCATCGCCAGTATAAGATTCTATGTATCTTTTTTACTTCTTTTTCTTTCTTTAAATATATTTTATTGTGAAGCAGCAGAACATACTAGCCTGTTATACTTTGTGAAGCTCTCACCGTACAAATATTCTGGTGCAACCTTTCTTCACACCATGATATTGACCGAGAAAAAATAAACATCGGGGGTTGGCGGATCTCTGGTGGCCAAACTTATTACATAGCCCTGCTCTGTGTGTCTTGGTCCCCCTCTCAATGGTGGACGTTGAAGCGAAGTGGTTCTACGATCCACCGCAGTACGACCTTTTACAAGGGTAAAAAAAAAAAGTCGCTCGGTTTCCATTTCGGTCGTTTCCATTTCCCTCGTTTCTAGATTGAAAACACTTGCGCAATAATTAGCCCATGTCTACTTCTCCCCATGTCCACGACCAGGAAGTTTAGATGCCCGTACCCGAGCCAGGCGCTTAACGACGCCGGGCTTCCCCTGCGGCGATCCAATCACCGCCCCCCATCGCGCAACGTCCATCCCGCTCCCTGTCGGGATCCATTGGATCTCGTGCGTCAATCTCCACGCGCCGCCAGGGAAATCCACCCTCGCACATGCGCAGAGTCCTACGCACTGTTCGACAAACGGAACGGGGTGTTTCGCGCCGGGCGGCTGCTCGCTGGAGATCTCCTCGGCGGTCCCATCCTTTCAACCCCGGTTCGTCCAATGGCCGCCAATCCTCGCTGTCCCAACCACGTCTTGCCGCCGAACGACGCAGGGCCAGCCTTGGCTTGTTTCCTCCCAGGCCGCAGTCGCAGCCGCGGCGGGGGTTTGTTGTTCGTACTACGTAGTATAATAGAGGCGAGTGCCTCCGCCCCAGAGATGCAGAAGAAATCCCTTGCATCTGTCTCTCAGTATATCAAGACGCTCCGGGGTCTTTTCCTTTATTCCCTTTTTTCTGTTCGGTTTCCTTATTTCCTTATTTCCCTTTCACGTTTGCTTGTGTGGTCGTATATCTCTATCTACTTTGCTTTGAGCTTGAGCTGTGTTTCGATTTCTGGATTCCTGACGACGCTGGACGTTCACATATAATCACAACCATTATAACGACTCTCGACGAATCCACCGACTTACACACACCCACCCCATCCTCACATCACGATCAGTCTCCAACATGCAGTTGTCAACAGTATTTGTGGCTGTCTTGGCTGCAGCAGCTTCGGCCGCTCCCACCGCTCCCAAGGTCATCATCCACGACTCTCGGTCCGCCGTCGACTCGTTGGGGTCGCTGTCAAGCTACTTCAACACGCTCGCCGCCAAGGCCCAAGCTGCAAAGATCGCGAACAAGTCTGCAGTGTGTGACTTGTCAAAAGCCAGCATGCCCCTGGGTAAGCTGATTCAGCCCTAAACGTGCCATCTTGAATTGAGTGCTGACAACTTGTCACCTTTAGCTCCCAACGCCCTGCCCGTCCCATCAGCGGGTTTGTCACTCCGACACGTCGCCGTCGGTCGCGGCACCCAGAACTACACCTGCGATACTAGCAACCCGTCATCGGCTCCCACTGCCGCCGGCGCCGTAGCCCATCTATTCAATGCCAGCTGTGTCGCAGCCCTGTACCCCGACCTCCTGGAGCAAATCCCCGGCATGGCGGTGCACTTTGACATCTCTGCGACCCAGCAGCTTGGCCCCAGTGGACTCCTCGAGTCCGGTGTACACTACTTCACCAACGCCACCACGCCCTTCTTCAACGTGCAGTCACAAGGAAAGGAGATCGGTCAAGCGCCCTGCCAGAAGAACAGCACATCGCCCGCTCCCTCAGGTGCCGCCGTTGGCCAGCAAGGCGAGGCCGCCGTGCCGTGGCTCCAGCTGACAACCCGAGACGGCGCCACCGGTGGCATGAAGGAGGTGTACCGCCTGACGACAGCCGGAGGCAGCGCCCCATCTACCTGCGAGGGCCAGTCCGAGACGTTCCAAGTCGAGTATGCTGCATTGTAAGTGATATCCCCACAATCTCCCAGGATTCGAAGCGAGCAGAAGCTAACGCGCGGTGATCAGATACTGGTTCTGGGCCGAATAGGTCAAAAATGACTGCCATGTCATTGGCACAACATAATGAGTGCTAGTGGCATGGATGGGAAGGAAGTTTCTTCGGGACTCGGCGTTATAATGGGTATCCGGCATATCTCGCAGCAAGCTCACGTCTCCATTGTGTTGTAATAACGTCTATATCGTATCATCTGCTCCTCAGTTCTGTCATCAATACATACTATATCATTCTCAATGTTGTCTTCTCTAAGTCAGTGGCTTTATGAAATCTCGTGCGAGTGGGATGGGAAACGAGTGAGCATCATGCCATGTATGGTCCAGCCCCGGATTCACCCGGCGCGGAATCCAGCGTCACCTCGCGTCACCTCTGCGGACGGGTGCAACGACATGCCCGATCCTCTCCGCACTCAGATTTCCCCATGGGTATTCCGGCATGAATTCCCCCGCAGAACAAGGTCCTAGATGCTGGGGCCCTGGATACCCCAGACCGAGGACGACTGGGCAGTGAGCCCGGAAGACGGGTACCAAAGATGCACAGAGATGGAGAAGTATGTATGTATCATGTACGCAAGTACAGTATGGAAGATGTCCCGTGACATGAAGAAACATGTGGTATCGGCGAGAGACGACTTAGTGAGACTTCTATGATACCTTACCCAAATAAAGTACTTTTCGCAGTTTGACGATATCTTATCTTTCCAGGTCAGGTACTTGTTCGCAATGAGAAACTGGTATATTAGTTGAAATGTGGAAATGAGTACGACGAAGAACGCCGGCCGCCTCGAAAGTTACCGGGAAAGTCACAAAGTGGTGGGGTAATACGGTATTGTTGATTGGCAGATCCACGACTCCACCATTTTGCAGAGGCGAGTTCCGTCCGGTTGATTGAAGCGAGAACGTGGAGGAGAAGGTGAAAGGAAGACGGTGACGTGGGGGTCATGGAACGAATGGTCCAAAAGTACCCTGAGAAAACATGGTGGACGAAGCAGAAGCGTGGAAAATCACAACATCTCCTCCGGCAGTGACTCGTTCCAGGGTCTCGTGGTACTGACAAACAGGTGGGATGCCCTGTCATGCTACCCACGGCACAACTGCCAGGGGCCTGGCATGGAGCATCTCGGGGAATGCCATGCCTAATAACTACCTCTATTCAGTGCCTGACACCTCCGTATTCCCGCTGGGTGACTTGGGTGTGCAAGGCCGACTCGGTCTCCTTTTGTTCCACCCCGAAATCTCGACACCGTCATCCATCTTCTTCTCTTTACTCTACTCACACAACCAACAATCACCCAGTTGCCTCGGGCCGCCGCCTCGTCCACTGCTAGCTCAATCGTGCTCCCGCCCTCATTTCCCCAACCAACTTCATCCAGGCCCTAAGCCTGCCCGGGGGGATGGGCCTGCCCCGCGCTACAGGCTCCAGGCTCCAGGCTCCATGCTCCAGGCTATAGACTCTGCTATTCCCCCCAATTCTCCGGTCGCCGGCCTCCAAATCGTGGTTAGTTCGACCATCTCCAGGCCGCCTCGCCTCGCCTCTTCGCGCCACAGCCCGATCTAGCCCATCCAACTTGCTTTGTCTCAAAGCCCGCCTCCCTTCTGGCCGCGTCGCCTGCGACTGAAAACTCTGTCCGCAATTACCGGGTCGACCCTTCACAACACGTCAACATTACAATTCCGGGGAGCTCATAATCCTCAACGTCGCCGAGCTGGAGCCCTCGATACTTCACTCGCCGTATTCCCCGCCACCCCACCATCGAACGGCCCTCGAAGCTTCACCTTCCGACTCCATCCGTCCGACGAATGCCCACGACCTAAGACACTCAACCATTTAATCACCTGCGGACGCGTTGCTGCCAACTCGGCAGTGTATCAATCACCTTCACCCACCGTTTACGATTTCGCACTTGCCCCCAAAGCCATGAGCAGCCAACCCGACCTTGAATCGGGTGGACGGAACCCGGATTCGCTCCCTCTGCCGCCCGACATCACAGAGGTCGCCGATACTCGCACAAGTTCCCCCGAGCCAGGTCATGACGCCATGACGGGTATGACAGCGGTGTGGCCAAGCGACAGACTACCCGTCGAGATCTTCGAAATCATCACCTCCTACCTCTCCCGACACGAAGTTCGAAGCTTGCGCCTCGTCTGCAGCGAGTTCGAGGCCAAGGTCTCCGCTCAATACTTCCGCAATGTCGTTGTCCCCTTCAAGTCCGAGCTCTACAATAGTCTCGGTCGTGATGAGGCTGGTGCTGTCAAACGCCCCTCCTCGGCCCTCTTCTCCAATGGCATGCGCATCTTCCAATCCTTTGGTCGCCATATTTTGCGGTTCGCCTTGTCTCTCGAGCTCGACGAGGACACATTGTCATATCCTCCCATCAAGCCCTCCCAGGAGGCCATTCCGGCATTCTGGGGTATATATCGCTGGCCACATGGTACATATCACCGATATACAGATCTGGAAGGCCTGGAGCAGACTGCCGACGAGACTGATTCCATGAAGGAAGCTCTCAAGTGCCTCGTCAAGGTCACCAACTTGGGTCTGTGTTGCGATGCTGGACTCGGATTTCTCTCAGGCCCGGATCAAATTGCACGTAATGCCACTATCCGGCATCCCGTGTTTGCATCACAAAACTGGCGTCGTGCTGGATATGAACAGGACCAGCGAAAGCATTCTATTGTCACCATGTCCGACTTCAATGATCCAGTCGAGGACCCCAAGAAGCCAGTATTCGAGAACCCAATGAGCTTTAAGCGCACCATCCTCCAGAAAATGGTTTCGGATGCCGGTTACAGGGGGGATGAGATCAACGAAGCAGTTCGGATGATCCTAGATACCGAAGGGACAAATCTGATGGCGATTGACTTTGACGAGAGAGCATCGCAATTGACCGACGTTGACGCACGGAGAACGGTCACCAATCCCGTCTTTCCCGACCTTGAAACCGAAGATACTGAAGATTACCCTCTCGTTCCCACCAACCTCACGCGGGCCCAGAAGGAAATGCTACTGGAGTTGGAGTGGGCCCACCGTGCCATGATCCAGTCATACGTCATTGGCCTCATTGATAATGCCTTGGATGGCAGTTTCGCCCACCTGACGACGTTGACCATCGCCAAGATCCCCAGCAGTCATGTGTACATATTCTACCGCGACGAACTTTGGCAGAATCTCACAGCACTCAACAACGTCTCCCTCGGCGTTATCGCGGACTGGCGGCGCATTTCCAAGCCTGCACCTGGCTGCGTCGAAGATACCTCGGTATCTCCAGTTGAGGCTGTGAGCAAAGTCTTCACACTCTTGAACAACTACATTGGCAAACAGAAGAACATTGAGAGCCTTCATTTTGAATGGATCTGCGGAGGCGAGTTTGCCCCAGGGACCTTCCAGCGAAACCATCACATTCTGCCAGCACCGTTCTTCCCTCAAGCGGAGCTCATGGGTGCGACGGACAGCCCCATAACGCATGATGAACAGATGTTGAGACTTCCCTTCATTAAGCATTTGTCCCTCAAAAACTGCTGGGCCTCACCGCATGTATTTCTCCAGACGTTCCGCTGTATGGCTCTTTCGTCGCTGGAGAAGCTGGAGCTTGAGTCCGTGTCGCTGTCAGGCGCGCCAACCGCTTCTACTCAAGCCCCTCTTCAGCAACACGCCGGAGTACAAAATGCTGCTAACGCAGGGAATAATAATCTGATGAACTTTTTCCAACTTGGAGCAGCTCAAAACCAACCATTGGCCGGGCTACCGCAAGGGCAACTACACAACGCACAACTTCCGATACCACCACCACTGGGCGGCGTGTTACCACAAGGCACCAACGCAGTTCCGCCCGCCCAAGCAAACACACTTCTGGCAGTGGCCCAATTTGTCGCCGCTGGGAATGCCACCCCCAACCCTGTGCCTCAGGAGATTCTTCAACAACCAGAATGGCTCTCTTGGGCTGGCATTCTGGAACACTTCTCTCCCGGCGTCAAGATCCGCGAAATCTTGGCAAGACAGGACATTATGACTGGCCTGACAGAACTGCCCTGGTCGGAACAACAGGCGAATCGTTTAGTAGATCATATCCCACGAGCTGCCAGGCTTCGCCGCGATGAACGGAAATACACGCTCAAGTGTCTGTCCTTCAAGTCGTGCGGCTACGTCGCCGTGGACGCCCCGTTCCTAAACACCCGTGGCATTCTCCCCGGTGGTGCCCAAGGTCTCAGTGGAAATGGAAACCCCCACGGCCAAGACCTTTCACCGTTGATGCAGCGCTGCCGCGATAAGATGCTCGGCCGTGTCGCGCCCCATATCCGCAGTGCGGAGCTGTTCCAGCTGGTCAACGCTTTCGGCATGGACATCGGTTGGGCCAAGGTCTACGATGAGAAGACGATTGCCGACGCTTCCGCCGACGGTGTCGACGGCCCTGGTAAAGGCCGCTTCTCGGGCACGATTGATGCGTGTGGTTCTGAGGGCAGGGAACCGCCCGTCACAGGGTCACTACCGAATTTCAGTGAACTCGATGATGTTGATCCATTTCCGTAGGGCTGACATGGGCTTCGCGGAGACCCTGACATTACATTATACTGCTTGATGTTTACCGTGCTTTGACGACGGATACGATTGCTCTTCTTCATCTGTATTTGGGAAATATGGGGATATCGGATTATGGACAACTAGGAAATGGGACGAACCGCCCTTGAAGGGCAATGGGATCGGTCTTCGATACGGCAATTTCGGTGGCTTTGGATCTGTATGAGTTTGGGATATGGGGTGTTTACGGCAACGCGCCCATGGGGAAGAAAAAAAATCGTGGGACATTCGACGAGACGATGCGTCTTGAGCTAGCTAGTTACTTACTCGATGTTAATGAAGTGAGGATATTATGGGATCGGACAAGTTGGTTTAGTCCATTGGGTGATTTTGTGTGGAGTTGTGCGATCTCAGAGTACCTTGTGGTAATGGTAACGTCGCTCAGGGAGACGCGTAGGAGATCGAAGGTTTCGAGCGTGAATTCATGAGTTCAACCGAGAAGGCAGGAGTAGATAGATACATGGGGTTTGGCCAAGGAGGTGAGACTTCCAATGCCCAAGCCGCCTGTGACAACCCAATCAAGGTCACGACGATACGGTGGCACCCATGGGTTTTAAAGAGGACTTATTTGATTTTATTTCGTCAAGAAATCCTTGCGAACTTTTGCATGCGTTTCCCTTTAATGCCATGCTCACCGTAGCCTGCCATACACCAGATGATGAAAAGCCACGAACCGCCCCGAAAAACCAAAACAGTTCAGTCCCCAGCGCTTTACGCCTCAGTAAGAGCCTTGCGGATGCGGGCACCACGCTGGCGAGAGCTAAGGTGCTCACGGCCGACAACGGCATCGGACTTCTGGACAACCTCCTCAGCCTCGGTCAGGATGAGCTCGATGTGGCAGGGGTTCGACATGTAAGGGTTGATCTATAGCACGAGAGGTCAGCATGTCCATGCTTCGAGAGAGGATCTCCCGGGGGGTGGATTCAACATACGCGACCGTGGGCACGGTACGTTCGCCTTCGCTGCTTGGGGGCCTGGTTGACCTGGATGTGCTTGACGACCAGGGCACCGGTGTCGAGACCCTTGGCATCGGCGTTGGCCTCAGCGTTCTTGAGGAGACCGAGGAGGAACTCGGCGGACTTGATGGGCCAGCGGGCCTTGGAAACACCGAACTGCTTGCCTGTTCGAGGAAAATCCCATCAGCACTCGTGTCCTTGCCACATATCCACGCATATAATCTGGGACTCTGCTTCCATCGCGAACAGGGGATTTCATTATCGCGTCGTACCTTGGGCGGTTCGTCCGGTGCTGCCGGCGTATCGTCGCATGGGGACGGCCTCCTTGTGCTCCTTCACATTCTCGAGGAAAGCAACAGCGCGCTGCAGCTTCCATCCGTTGATGGCCTGGGCGGTCTCACGAGTGTTCTTGAAGGACACTCGGAGGTAGGCACCGCGGGCGCGGGCCGACTTCTCGGGGAGGATCTCCTGGGCAGCGTATCGAACCTATTTCCGGCAAGGAGTCAGTCGTTGATGCTCCAGGAGCGAAAATACTCCAATATTGCCCGACGACCACAATGGCGGGACGTCATTGCCGACGGCGAGCATGAATTGGCATTCAAGTTCGCACGTGCAATCTCCTTCTCTTGCATCTCGTCGCAGGGCACGGGGGGTATGGACTCACCATCTCGGCGGCGTTGGGTGTGGTGATGGTTTCGGCGTCGACGTGGGTTCGGCGGGCTGAAGTTGAGAAATTCTGAACTTTTGCCCTAACAGTCGAGCACAAGCTCGCTTACTCGTTTGGAGGAGTGTTAGGGTTAGGCTGCCCTGCTATGAAGAACGGCAAAACTGCACCCCAAAAGTCGAGTAAAATAGTCAGAAAATTCAAGAAAATTTAAAACAAGGAACTTCATTCTATTTAATTGCAAAAGAATAGTTTCAATGGTTTTTCTTCCGTGTCCATCGTGTTCGCAGGCACATACAGCTTTGGCTGGTTGTGCATCGGGTCACCTGACCCCTGCTGTCGCTATCGCCACGTGACTTCATGCATCTCACCTCTGCGTGGACCCTTCCGGATCGGTTTCGGAACCGGAGAAACTATCAGTGGCAAAAGTGGGCCTTAGCTTCATAGAGCTTCAAAAATTTCTTCTCCAGAGTCTCCCAAGGCCCAGCGTCCACCCGGCAAGGCTACACAAGACAAGGTTGGACTTGATCCAAGGACCGACAGCACATTCGACAATCTCGTTCCTATCGTCTTAACTCGGATCAAGACTTCTTGTCGCATCCTACTCCTTCAATCCCCTTCAATTCCGACAAATTCCTGATATCATGGCTCCTTTCACTCCCCGAGGTGGTGGTGGTCGTGGCGGCGCTCGCGGAGGCCGTGGTGGTTTCGGTGATCGAGGTGGCCGTGGCGGCTTCGGTGGTCGCGGTGGTGGCCGAGGTACGAGAGACTGCGCTGCCGTGCTATTGACATTGGAATTGAGCTGACTGTTGCGAAGGTGGTGGCCGTGGTGGCTTTGGTGATCGTGGTGGCCGTGGCGGCGGTCGTGGTGGAGGTCGCGGTGGTTTCGGTGATCGAGGCGGCCGAGGCGGTCGCGGTGGTGCTCGCGGCGGCGCTGGTGCCAAGGGCGGTGCCAAGGTCATTGTTGTAAGTTCCTGGATTCTTCTTGACCTCGTACGAAAGCTTTGCGCTGACTTTTTCTTCACAGGAGCCTCACCGTCACGCCGGAGTCTTCGTTGTCCGTGGAGGCAAGGAGGATGGTCTTGCCACCCGCAACATGGCCCCTGGCGAGTCTGTCTACGGCGAGAAGCGCATTTCTGTCGACGAGTCGGTTCAGAACGACGACGGCACCACCACCACCACCAAGATCGAGTACCGCATGTGGAACCCCTTCCGAAGCAAGCTTTGCGCTGCTATCGCCGGTGGTGCTGATGAGATCTATGTCAAGCCTGGCTCTCGCGTGCTCTACCTTGGTGGTGCCTCTGGTACCTCCGTCTCTCACGTTTCCGATATCGTTGGCCCTACTGGCTACGTTTACGCCGTCGAGTTCTCTTCCCGATCCGGTCGTGATCTTATCACTATGGCCTCAAAGCGACCCAACGTCGTCCCCATCGTTGAGGACGCCCGCCAGCCTGCCCGTTACCGCATGATCGTCCCCATGGTCGATGTCATCTTTGCCGATGTTGCTCAGCCCGATCAGGCCCGTATCGTCGCTATGAACGCACAGTGGTTCCTCAAGGTCGGCGGTGGTATCCTCATCTCCATCAAGGCCAACTGTATCGACAGCACTGCTCCCGCCGCCGAGGTCTTCGCCAACGAGGTGCAGAAGATGCGTGCTGAGGCTATCAAGCCCAAGTTCCAGCTGACTCTGGGTAAGCTATACTGCCTCAATCCCGCAAAGCCTATTGATCCAGACTAACCCACCTTTCTCTAGAACCTTTCGAGCGTGACCATTGTTTGGTTGCCGGCGAGTACACTCGCTACAAGTCCTAAACTGGCTGCCAGTTGGTTTGGATGAGATGGTCTGCTTTGGTTGCTGTTTTCCCAGGTTTCTCACGATTCCCGGTAGATTCATGTGCGTCTTACAGCTTGTGCATCAGGGAAATGGTTGACGGCTTCTTCACAACGGCGAGGGGCGTTCCGGGTGGGTTGGATCTGTACATATGTTATTCTTTGGCGTAATGGCCAAATCTAAAAAAGGATCTCAATCGTGTTTGTCCAAAAGAACCTCCTCGCCCCCATTCGCCAGTCGATCAGCAAAGAGATGCGACGCTACGGCACAGTCACCGGTCACGTCTGCGCGTTCCACGACTTTTATACCCATATGATTGCCACGCCCGGAGTCTTTTTTTGCTGTACCCTGTTTACGCTATAGTCGAGTACTTGAGTAATGAATTCTTTGGTTTAAAATTACATCAAGATTTGTATCAAGGTTGTCGCAGCACCTCTAACCATAATGTGAAGCCCGTGAATCCTGTCGATCAATGGTGAAACCTGTCTGGTGTCCGTTTCGGACGAAACAAAGCAACATCTGCGACGAAAACCCCACACTCGCGTTTTTTATTGTTATTGTATTCTGAAAGTGATTTAACTTCTAACTTTCGTAGTCCTGTAATCTCCTCATCCATTACGAGAATTAAATGCTGTTGTTTAAGACGTGATGCTTTCATTAATTATGTACGCATTTGCGGGTATATACAAAAGCAAATAGGCCGGCTTATTCCCACTAATCTTTGAGCTAAACCCCTAATGATCGACGCCGAAACTCGAGCTCCGTGTTTTGACATGGTGCCTTGGTCATAACCATCGCCATGCCCTTCGGCCGCTCCTCGCCCTTCTTTAGCCGAATATCATAGTTGATGAGCAAATAAGCGAGAATAAGCTTGACCTCGTTACTGGCAAAGAAACGACCAGGGCAGGCATGCTTGCCAGCGCCGAAGTTAATGTTGGTGTTATTCAGGGACGTAAACTGCCACCTGTTACTTGCTTCGTCGGACTCCTGGCGCAGGCGGTAGAAGCGCAGGGCATCGAAACGCTCAGGGTCAGGGAAGTAGCGTTCGTCGTGAGAGATGCCGGCCTGCGGTGCGATGACGCTGGTACCAGCCGGGAGTTGAGTACCGTCAGAGAGGGAAATGGGCTTCATGACTTTGCGGATGAAGGAAACTGTGCACTGGTTAGTGCCCGATGAGCCCTTAGGTATAATGAGACTTACTAATGTTTCCGCGCAAGCGTTGGACTTCTCGCATGAAGCTGTCCAACTTCTTCAACTTCGCCATGCTCTCCTTCCGAGCCCACCCTCCCTCTACCTCGAGAATCTGGTATGCCTCCTCTCGCAGCTCGTCTTGGAACTCGGGGTACGTTGCCAGATCGGAAATACACTCGCAAAGTAGGTTGTTCGTAGTATGGATGGATGCCGCAGCCAGAATTAGCTGCAACTCGGCTTGTGTCTGAAGATCCCCCTTGTCCTCCTCTGGCAATGTGTCGATGAGCCACTGGATCATGTCGTCAGGTGCATCCTCGCTGGTGGGTGTTTCCATATCGCGTAGCCGTTGCTCAAAAATGGGCTTGAGCATCCCCTTGGCGATCTCGATGTCCTTTCGAATTTGTCCCAACTCGGAAACGAAGTACTGGCCAACCGGACGGGCCCATTCGGGGAAGAATTGAAGCTTGATGCAAGCAGTGAAGACGTGGACGGCGAATTGGATGCTGGTATCCATCCACTTCTCATCGCGACTCAGTGCAGGACCGACAAAGGCGTGCCCACTGAGACGAGAGATGACTCGGAGGCTGAAGGGTTGCCATTTCACTGGGGTCCAGTCTTCGCAGGATGGGAACTCCGTTGCGATGATGTGTTCCAACTCAGCCTTCATTCGAGGTACAACCCGAGTCAGGTTCTGAGTCAACTTGGTCCGCACCAGAAGGGACAACAGGTCGCCATTGCGTCCAGCCGAAAACTTGGTGTACTTGCTTTGAAGGGCCTATTGAGCGTGAGCATATGGGGCGCTGAGCAGTTTCGGCAGACAGTGGTAATTACCTCGGAAACCGCCTCGGTAGCACTGAGTACATCCTCTGGCAACCCTTTAAGCTCTCCGAGGAGTTTTGCGGGTACAAGGACTTGGACGCCCTCAGTGCTTTTGATTTGATATACACGGTCCCGGAACTATTGTAGGGTCAGCGACGTGTATTACAGTGAGAACTGTAATAAGCTGACCTTGCCGTAGCTGTCCTTGATCAAAGTCTCGGCATCGAATATCCACTTCGTTTTGGACGCTTTGTAGAGTGGAACTTCGATCTTGGCTGACTGTTTTCTCGACTGGATCAACCATGCGGCGAACAGGATAAAGGCGACAGCAACATAGTAACTGGCTCGCTTTCCTCCGCTAACGACATGGGGGAGTTGTAGGTCGAGGTTGACCGGCGACGAGACAATTGTTGAACCGTTCTCCATGTTGAAGTGTTGGTGAGTCCCGCCCTGTCAAGGAGCCGACTCAAAAGATAAACAAAGGTGGATAGAAGACCAGGACGATGTTCGTCCAGTTTCCGTCGTGAGTATTCAGAGATTTCTTTCGTTGAAGACAGGGTGCAGGTGGATGATATAAAGCGTCGACTGCGGATGCCACTAGAGAAAGTGTCTCAGTCTAGGGAAGGGGTAGCGTCTTGTTCTCAAAGAGTAAACAGATGTCTCTCAAAAGAACTCCGCTCAATGATCAGCCGTCGGTGATATTCTTGGGTGTGTTCTAGCACGTGAGACAAACTAGGGCTTGCTACCAAGACCAGAGGAGCGGTCGCAGACCGGGAACTGGATTGCCTTCGGTGTTAGCAGGATGGGAATGAAACAAACAAGCGGCTGAGGAACGCAAAGCCGGCGAGATAGAGCAACACTACGGGAAGCTATACCCAAGATGGTGGGATACGACATGCTTTTGACAAGTAGCAAGGAGCCCTATGCGTACTAGGGGAGCTGGAGCGACGCTGAGCGTGTGATGCGCCGTCTGAAACTGGCTGGGCCACAGGAGCGCGCTCGGGATGTGCCACCTCCGGATCTTAGCCTCCCTCGGTGGTTGGAGGAGCGGCCGGCATCCGTGAAAACGAGCCAATGCGCGGCCGTTCAGGGACAAAGACGAGATTAGGGCTCGCAGCGGAGAAGGATCTTCCGATGATCTTTTGGTGCATAGGTGCCTTACGTACGGAGTAGTGCCGACAATGTTGGTAGGAAGCGCCATGTCCCGAGGAGAGGCGTCGGGTGGTACGTAGGATGTTTCCGTCTTCTGTTGTGCACCACCACCAGCGTGACCGTCGGGTCGGGATTAGAATGAGATTTGGTTCGATCATCCCGACTAAGAGAAATGACGTATGTCAGGTTAAATTTAGTGTCTCGAGTCTCAACCCATTGCCTCTCTCTCTCTGGCAGCCCGCTAATTAGGTAGTTCTAGAGTTTGTGAGGATTTTCGCGGAACGGCTGCTGTGACGTTTCTCCGACGCGAAATGGAAGGAACAACGGTATGCCAAGGCTGCAAGGCACCACAATTCCATTCCTCCACATCCACATCCACGGAAATTTCAAGACCGTCTCTGCGTCTTCAATCATCGCCGACTCACACGCGCAACGTGATACATTCTGCAACCCGGCATTTCGCTCCGTCATCTGTCGTCGATCTCTCCTGCTCTGGGCCCTGGTGGGTCACTCTCGAATTCCTCCCGCAGCGTTAGTCTGCCGGAACACGGGGCTTCCAGGGCTAGCGTTCAGCCCAGCAACGGAAATGCCATCTTCCGTCGGCGCTTTGGTACCTTCTGTGGCCAACAGCAGCCGGTGCGTGTGTTGATGACCACCCTTGGGCTCATCTTTGTGCATCCAGCGTCCATTCATGCCCCTCCACCGCCATGTGCCTTGTGACAGCCAGCAGAGTCCAGCTGCAACCCGCAACCTGCAACCTGCTACCCACAATCTTGGGCCCTTGTTTCCGATTCGAGGCGGGTCAGACGGGGAACCTGGCTGCAACACACCGGCGCAGCGAAAACCTCACCTTATCCGACACGAGTTGTGTCACGCTTCGTCTCCGTCTGGACAGTTTCGCCCACACCATCAATTGACCACAACTACATTTGCATCGTCCCGCCCACACACGGCACGCTGGATCGGGTCGTTGGATCGGGCCGTAGGGTGAGGTCGAGGAGACTGGCTCAATCCTTCACATCAGACGGAATCTAGCCAGAAGTCTGGCCCAAGCTGACACAACCTTTTTTTCGGCTGCTGATTCCCGACACCTATTGACTCCAATATTGTGTCTCTCTCGGCCAGTCTTTCTCATTCACCCTGCCCGTCTCCAGACAACGGCCGAATCGGGTCGCCGTTGCAGCAGTTCACATATTCGCCTCCACAAGAGTCGCAGAGCAGAATCACTGACGGTTGATCCTTCAGGCCATCAAACAGCCTTGACTCAAAGGCCTGACATTGGGCGTTCGCTCCTGGCCACGCCACGGAACGTCGCAGGTTTCGACCGTTACCCCTCTTGAGCTCCTATTGAACCCCCTGCCCTCTGATGCCGTCACATCGACCGTCAACACCGAAATTACTCAAAGCTACCGAAACTGCAATTGCAACTGCAATGAGTTTCAACCTGTGATGCGGTTATTTGGCTAATTAGCCTCAGTCGTGGTTAGATTCGGGCAACTTTGCCACTTCACTTGAGAGTTGTCTTACCAGGCACAGCGCCCATGTACTGGTTCTAGCCCTTGGTCGGCAGTCTGCCACCGCATCCCACTACGACCGAATGGTTGCAGAAAGGCTCTTCAATGACAAACCTGGCTTGGTAGTATTGTTGCACAATCATGGCGGACCATCATGGCGGACCATCACGGCGTGGTTCGCCAGCCTCTCGTGTGGTTCCCACGTCACCTACTCCCACTGCACCCCCACGTCAACCCTAGCTTCTCCCCAGACTTCTCAAGGCGAACTCTCCCCAAACACCAATCATCACGGCGCGTTCCGCCCAATCGCCCGCCTTGAGAAAAAGTTTTCCTGTCAACCCCAGAGAACCCCGCTCCAGATGCGTATGCATCCCATCAATTGGGGCTGTACCGACTGAAGCTACATTGTGCCTTGCGTGAAAATGGAACTAAATTGGATAAGGCAACCAATCTTATCGGTCGACAGTGAGCCCATTCAGGTGAGGCACCGGCTTCTTGTCGTCATGATCGGCATCGGAAGACTGGAGGAAAGGCAACCAGCTGCAGGTCGATGCAAATTTTTCTCCCTGCGAGAGGGGTTGATTACTGCCGTGGATGTTGCCAGTGTGTGAAAATGAGGATAGACAGCCTCATATATCAAACACATTTGCCAACACCAACCGCCCGTCAAGCACAACTCTTCAACTCGCAGACCCAAGACCCAAATCCTTAGCCCCCTTGGCCACTCAAAATGGCCGCACTCCAGTGCCTTGGGGCCAAGTTCGAAGACTCGGACCTTAATGGTTCTCATAGCTCTCTGAGTGGGAGCGCCACCAGCCCGTTTGTGGTAGGTATCAAAGGGCAACCCATGGAGTTGTCAGCTTCTTACTCGGTCGTGTAGCAAGCTTCTGGTGCTTCCTCTCATACCTCGCTCTCTCTGAGTCCCAATGTTTCCCTTCTTCCACCAACTCATGACACTACGAAATCCCATCATCACATGGAACATCTACAACACTTTGTCGACGATCTCCAACTGGTACTTACCAGGTTCTTTTCGTAATGGAAAGCAATGCTCATTCTTACCAGGCTGCTAAACGAGCCTTCCCAAACTCGGCATACTCTCGATACAAAGAAGTCCAGGTCTTATTGATCCGATGGGAAGAAGACGAGCTCGAGGTAGAGTGGGAAATGGAGGAGCTGCGCAAGGTCTTCCGGGACATGTATGGGTTCTCGACGGAACAGTTTCTCATCCCAACACAAAACTCTCATCGAAAACTCAACCACAAGGCTCTGAGCTTCGTGGAGGAACATGAGAAAGAGGATATGCTGCTCCTCGTATACTATGCAGGGCATGGTGTCATAAACAAAGCCAGGCAGTCCACTTGGTCTTGGTTTGTATAAGCCCCCTTTGTCAAGACCACAGCTAACCACTCGATAGCAAACCTGACAGAACATATGCAACCGTAGAATGGTCGGCCATCCAGACCTTGTTCGAAATGGCCAAGTGCGATGTCCTCTTGCTGCTGGACTGCTGTGCTGGGGCCAGTGCCGCACCCCTCACTGAGCGTCCGACCAACATAAAGGAAACAATTGCTGCTTGTGGTTTTGAGACGTGGGCTCCTCGGCCGGGTCCGCAGTCTTTCACCAACACATTGATCGAGGTTCTCAATGAATGGGCATCTCAGCCTCCCTTCTCCGCTGCCATGCTCCACAGCGAGATCTTGACACGGCTTAAACATGCGCCGCCTCGTTGGTCATCTCAAGGTACCTTGGTCGAGTCAAGGAAGACGCCAGCATATATCGTCTCTCCGCCAGACCCACACACCGCATCGATTACCCTCGGTCGGCTTGTGGATGAGGAGTCTTGTTCTTCAGCTTCCTTCCGGGCCATCCCGGGATCCATCCCGGAAACTCTCTCGCAGAGAGTCCAAGGGGACAGCTATGTTTCAAGCGAGAGCCGTCTGGAGGCATTGTTGGCCATGGACGAAAAGGGGCAGAGAAAGGCTCCACATGTTCTTCTGACCGTTGCCTTGGAGGAAGACCAAATCCTGGACGCCGCAAGTTGCGCTCGATGGCTGAAGCAGTTTCCACTTTTAGCAAAATTTGTGAGTGTTGAGGGCGTGTACCGCAGCTACTCAACACTGCTGCTTCTCTCAGTACCAGTCGTGCTGTGGGACTTGGTACCGGACCGCCCGGCCGCTCAGTTTGTTGGATACGTGCGGTCCCGCAACTTGGTGCCGAGGGAAGAACCTCAGAAGGAGGCAACAACGCCAATCCCCATTACCGGGAGCTCGGCTAGAGGAAAAACCGGCGATTCCTTTGATTACGCTTCTCCACTGAAATCTGTGTCAGGGTTGAGCAGCCTTGATTCCGGATATGACTCGTCCAGTATTCCGCGACCCGCGACGCTGGTAACTACCAGACTCTCCCGGCACACAACGGACGGGCTGGGACGCCTGCGAAAAACCCTGCCAAGTCAAGTACTAGCGGAAAAGAGACGGAGCAAGGGGTATGTGTCAGAGCTCCTGGGCCCGAGTCAACCAACCTCGGCGCCGACGAGCGTGCCGTCGGCGTCAGGACAAGGACTCGGTTCACTCAAAGAAACGATTAAACGACTCGTTGTTAAGGTCGGGGAAGCAGACCTGAATGACGACATCTCAGGGTTGACGTGCGTACTGTGGTATGGCCACGACGTGCAGCGCAGTGAATCCATTCGGAGACCAACGCCGAAACCCATTTGGTGAGTCAAAATATTGGCGAAGCCAAGGCTTCCGGGCAGTGGAGGCGTGCCCATCATTGTGGGAACTTGACAGGGAGCCCTTGTGCTTCTGGAAAAGCGAATGACACATGGACGCTGACGCTAGTTTAGGAATGAGGAGTTTCGGTTTGAAGTCCACGATTCGCCAATGTTCTATCACCTAAGACTGTCCGTGTGGGGAGCGCAGATGTTGGAGTTAATTGGAGAGTTGCACATTGATCTCCGTAGCCTGGTTCAGAAGGGGCGGCTCCCTGAATTAGGGGAGTGGCAGAAACTGCGCAGCGATGGCAGGACGACTGGCGTGATCCGGATCGCCCTGGCATATCTGGATGCAAGCGAGGATGATCAGCAACAGGCCGAGGCATCCAAGGCGACTGCTAGATGGCGGCAACAACAACGGCAACGACAGCGGAGGGACGAGGGACAGACTCGTATGGAGGAATTGGACTTTCCGGTCTGGTGATCCGGGCGCCGGTACCTAGACAAGGCCGAGGATGAGAATTCTTGCTGTGGCCGTGACCTGCGCCGTGGCGTCGACAAGGGGGAAACTGTCAAGGGGAATAAGGTCGAGTAGGAGCACTGTATGAAAGTACGGAGACACGCAGCACACTAGCTACCTCATATCAACAAGGTTGGTGAAGCGGCCGAATCGTTACGCTAGGGGATTTTGGCGACAGAGCCCTAGTGAAAGGCCGGCACTCATCAAGCCCTGTTTTCCATTACCAGGCCCCCAGTCTCTCCACAAAAGCAACACGCATCAATCTTATCAGATCGTGGCTTCCTGCCCGACCCATTGGCTTGGGCCAGGACTGGTGGCCCTGTCCATCCCGGAAGAGACACGTAGACTGGCGGAGGCTGGCGCCGGAGCGTCAACTCGCGGAAGCACAATTTCCCTCACCCCTACCGCCGGGGAAGAGAGCCTTGGAAGGGATGCATTGCGTTTTGTCGGTGAATCGATCCCTGGAAGAACAGCCGAACAAAACGGAGGCGCAAGCTGACACCGGCCAGCCTCTCGCGGATCTTCCTGGCTGCATCGTGCCCATGCGTAGACGATCCAGTCACAAGCGCTCTCGCCAGCTTCAAGCCTACCACAGCTTCCCTCCCATGCTCAGGCTGCAGAAACGCCGGCATGCGCGTTGCAGTAGCTCCGCCGAAGCACAAAGATATGGGCGGTGGAGCCTTGTTTTAGGCATTCAGGGATTCATGCCGACAAGAGTTGTTATTGATAGAAAAAGGAAATGTAAGGCGAGGAGTGGGAGTCCAGGTCCGAAGTCGGGGCGTTTGTTCCCCAGACGCGGTCCAGGCCAACCGTGCTGTCTCTCCCTTTCATTCCATTTGATTGATTGAACAAGATTAGATGGGATTGATAAGATTTGAAGCATCAGATAAGTGGCAGAGACATCGGCACCGGAACGATCCGATTGGCCAGGGCGGTTCCCGGTGGAGCGTGCTGGCTCTGGAGAAATGCGCGAGTAGCCGCTTGTCGCAAAAGCTGACTAGAACAGGCAAACGGACAAGACGGCTCGCCGCTCGTACTCGCTCCCGAAAAGCCCAGAACAGGAAAGGAGATAACAATGGGGCATTTCAAGCCCAATCAATGTCACGCCATCGCAGGTGCGCCGGACACAACAGCACCGGGCTGTACGCAACCAGGGGGTGTGACGGCGCAGGGCAACGCGATGGCGGTTCTGGTCGAGTGACACAAACGCAAGACGGGCGAGACGTCAAAACGACACTTGGAGGTGAGGCACACAGTGCAAGACAAAGTACCGTATACATTGCAAAGTCCTAATTACGCGGTACCATGGAAGGGCAAACATGGGTGAGAGAGCGGGCTAGACAGAACATGTGACATGAACCCGACGCACCCCATCACTCAATCAGACCAGGGAGCAGAGAGAGAAGGGGAATTAGAGACGTAGCAATCTCGTTCACGGGCGGGTCGCGACGGGTCGGGACTTCCGAATGAGAATTCCCAAGCCAATGTCGGGAAAAATGGAGAAGATCACCGGTAAGTGAGAAGGGTTCAGGAAGGGGTGTGAAAGGACAATGCGGGGAGGGCACTTTGAGGTTGAAAGGCAGAGAGAGACCCGGTGGATCCCCAGCAACAGCACGCACTGTGCCGATCTGTGCCGTACTGTGCTGTATCCTCTCCTAATTCCAATTATGTGCCGCCCTATCGCTCCCACAAGATGCTTGACGTTTGCTGCCTCGTTGCGTGCGCGTGCGCGTGCCGTAGTTGCGAGGAAATATGCAGCCGAGTTGGGCAGCTCTGTCCCCTTTTCGCCGGGTCAAGGGCCCGGAAAGGCTCGGTTCGGGTACCGGAGCTGGACCCGGAAGGAAGCTGGGGAGCTGGAAGAAGTATTGAAGCGCATGGCTACGTACTACATATGGCAGGGGAATGCATTACGGCTGAGTTTCATGGATTGGGTTTCCGAACCTTGATTGAAGTGCCAACAGGAAAAGAACATGTAGTCCTGACAATGGACCTGGCAGGCCACGACAAGCAATGCCGTTTCGACCAAAACCTCGCCGGTCCCAATTTTTGCCGGCTGAGGTAGCAGGCCGTTGGGGCATTTTGAGGATAATCCCCAAAGAGCAACGAACGAGAGCGGAATGGACGGGGCCGGTGAAGCCCCAATGTCTACCGCCCGTGCGGATTTCCGTCTTCCGCCTTGCGTGGTCTTTCCCTTATGGCCCCGCGGTCGCCGGCTCGTGAGGGTGCCGCGGTGGTCTGACTCTAGCTTCTGGACTGCGAACCACCGAGCCGCGGCCACAGCTCCGGGGATCGGGGCGTTTCGGGGGGCGTGTCGCTGGAAATCCCTGGCATGCGAATCCTCGGACAGGGAGCCTCACGAAACCTGAAGCCTCACCGCTTGACACACCCAACAAAAATAAAGGAGAGGCCTGGCCTCGTTCGACGGCCGTACTGTATCTGACAGTACTGTACGTATTCCGTAGGGATCGCAGTGGATTGGGATTGGATTGTGGTGAAATTCGGAAACAGGGGTGCAAATGGGTTCAGCCCGGACCGAGAACTGAGCCGCTCGTACGACCCACGTGCGTGTTTCCAAACGGAATACCAAGGGTGAGCAGTACGTAGCATGTTCGCCGTTTCGTGGTCAATGTGTATTGCCGGTTTAGTGTCAAGTTACCATTGACGGCCGACGTGCTAAGTACCGGTAGCCCGGTCAGGGTAAGCAATTGTCGCCGGGATTGTGTGCACATCGTGTCGTTGTGTGGTATCGTCGGGTTTGGCCGGGCGGCGCCGGTCGTTGGCTGGTGGCGGTGGCTTGCGGCTTGTGTTCCCTGCGCTGAGGTGGTTTTTTTTTTGCTCTGGAGGAGACTAGGGGCCGGGGCTTGGAGCCAAAGTTCGGTCGCCATTGGAGGCAATTCAAGGCGGCGAGCAAAGATGGGGGAGCAGCAAGATTGATACGCATGTAAGGTGTGACTGATGATGATGGCCCATTCGGTCACCCACTCTTGGATTCTTCTCGACGCACCGAAACACCGAGACGGGACTGGTTGCGGCAGTCGAAGAGCGAGAGTCTGGGCCTGGTGACGATGTGTGGAGAATGCCGGGCGCACGTACCGAATGGCTTGATTGGAGTTTGGCATTTGGCGGCGGTGACTGATTGATTAGGCGTGTTGACAGTGGCTAATGATTGATAAAAGAAATCGAACCCAGGGGGCTTGGCTTTAGCCAGTGGGAGGGTCGGGGGTGACAACGCCCGGGTCAGGGGGTCGGCAATCATTAGATCATCCACTGACAACGGCATGTCATGGCTTTGTCTGGTCAGACAGATATCGGAGAAATGGTGTGACAGTGATTGGGGGTTGAATGCGCACTGTATGCCGAAGTAGGCCGTCTGGGGTTGTGTCTGAATCGCGAGGTTGAAAAGGTTAAGTAGGCTTTGCGCGGGTGATTGATTACCCACCGAAAGTGAATTAGATGTAAATGTGCCAAATGCCAATGGATGTCAATGGGTGCACTTTCCCCATTGTGTTTCTCTTGGACAATTGACAATGCGCCTGATCTGAGTTTATTACGTGTGTGTGTGTGCGTGTGTGTGTCGTATGTGTGTGTCGTATGTGTGTGTCGTATGTGTGCGTGTGGATTTCGGGCAAGGGCCTCTTGGATACGTATGGCATAGTACGTATGTAGTCATGGCCCTGGGCCCCGGCGAAACCACACCCTCCCTCCCTCTCCGTGGACGCTTGAGTTATCGGGCTTGGGCTTGGACTGGGCAGAACCGGGGAAGTCTGGGCGGCGAAGGGTTCCTTCCAAGGAATTCTCCCCGATACTAGATCCGGGGATCGATAAAGGAAGACGGACTAAGGAGGCTAGAGCGAGCGAAGTTCGGCCATCGTGATCTCGGCAATGGCCAACGGCCAGCTCATCAACTCCAAGTCGGATAACTGTACGGTCTACGGCGAGGGGGGACCGGGCACGTGGACGGCGTGCAGTGCGAAGCGTTCCGTTGTGCTCCTCCTTCTCCTCCTTATCCTCCTCTTTGCTCGCAATGCGCGCCTCTTTTTCTAGAGGTGGGAGGGCGGTGCTCCGGGGCTCCGTCTCCGGCTCTCTGCTCGGTCGCCGCCGTGCCGCTCGCGGAGAGAAACAAGGAGATGCGAGGAGATGCGAGGAGATGCAAGGAGATACGACATTCAGGCTCACAGCTGATAGCCGCGGGAGGTGGTGTTTCTCAGCCCGGTCGTCGTCGTCTTCTCTCCCAAAACTCACAGCCCCAGTCCCAGCGAGAAACATGGCCTCGGCTGTAGATCCCTGGGCTCTGGCTGCTCGTTTCTCTCACACGCTCAAAAAATGGCAAACGTCAGGCCCCCGTAATGGTTGGTGGACACGCCGACACGGAAAAAAATGGCACCTGGATACGTACCTTTTTGTTCGCACTGTGCTGAGCGTCCTCTCTAAGCAACGCCCCCTAGTGCACCCACACCCCTCCAATCCACACGCCCGGGACTGGGCCTGGAACTGGGATTGGAGACTGGGATTGAGAGACTGGGAATCCCCAACCCGCATCAAGTGGTGGCTCTTGCCTTTAATTTTTAAACCTCCAACACGCCCACTCTCGCAGCTCCCTCGCTCCTCCCTCCCCCATCCAGGTCACCAATCTATATTCTGCCGAGCCTTCATCTTATCAATCGCATCAGCTGCCCTCTGGTGCTCCCTCTCGCTTCTGCATCTCGCCCGCCCTCTGCTGTACAGTCTTTGCTGTGGCAGTTCTGCCTCGACATGCTCGCACACCTGACATCGCCACCCACCTAAAAGCCGCTGGATTCAACGTCCACAACCACTAGCCACACAGAAAACAACTCCTCCGTCTACCTCTTCTCCTCCTCATCCGTGTGCGACAACCACACCCACCGCCCGCCATGATCGCTACCGCCTCGCTCTCCATTGGGGGTATCGTCAACCCCGCCGACGCCTCCCCCGCCGATTTGCTGAGCGTTGACGCCCCCTCCGTCGCCCCCTCTCTCACCTACTCGGACGACGATTCCGATAGTCTGGAGGATGAGCCCATCATTCCTGAGCGCCGTCGCCGCGCCTCTACCCGCCTAATTGCCCAGAGCGCCCGCGATATCCAGCGTATAACCGGAGAGTCCACTGCCGAGTTCGTCGGCCGCTGTTGCGGTGGCTCTGGCGGATGCTGCTTGGGCTCTCGTCGCCGCGATGTCGACTATGAGGATGTCCCTCTGCCTGAGAACGACGCTTTCAAGTCCCTGGCTATCAAGCTTGGTGATATCCCCACCGACTTGACCGGCATCCTCGACATGCCTGAGAAGACGGTCTCATTCACATCCATTCCCAGACCAACCAATGTGTCCCCCGCCGACTCGGGCGTTTCTCTTGGCGACGGTGCCGAGCCGGCCCCTCAGTCGGACTACCTATGCCCCGGCCCCGACTATGCGGCCGTCGACACTTCCATCCAACCTCCTCGATTCGTTCAACCTCACCCTCCTCACAACGTCTACCCGGCTCGCATCCACAGCACCCGCGAGTTGACCAAGCCCGGTGCCGAGAAGCGCACATATCATTTTGATCTCGACATCACTGACTACCCCGCCGAGGAGATGTTTGACTTCAAGGTTGGTGGTGCCATTGGCATTATGGCCCCCAACTGTGACATCTCTGTCGTGGATATCCTCGACGCCCTCATGGTGCCGCGCTTCCTGCGGGACAAGCCGGTTCTCATGAAAACCACCAGGGGTCGCTGGCCCACCGTTTGGGGTGATGACAAGCCCCGCGAGCTCATCACTACCCGCCGCGACCTACTTACCTGGTGTACCGACATCCAGTCCTACGCTCCTCCCAAGCCACTTCTTCGTGTTTTGGCTGAGCATGCCACCGCAGCCAACGAGAAGAAGATTCTCATGTACCTCTGTTCTAAAGAGGGCTCAAGCGCTTTCTGCGACTTCCGGGGTGGTCCTCAGGTCACCTTGTCCCAGATCCTTAACGCCTTCCCAAGCTCCCACCCTCCTCTGGACGAGGTTCTCTCCGTCCTGCAGCCCCTAATGCCTCGTTTCTACTCTCTGTCCAATGACCCCACCGAGTCCTACCAGCTCCGTGACCACGCTCAGCGCCGCCTGATTGAGATTGCCGTCACTGTTCATGAGTCGATTGACTGGCTGCGTGGCTGCCGAACAGGCGTTGGCTCGGGATTCTTTGAGCGACAGGCTCGCAAGTACATCCGAGCTCAGAACGCTGGAGAGAAGACACCCGAGTTCTACATTCCCATGTTCAAGGGCCTGATGGCGAATCCCTTGGCCAAGCAGTTCAACTCGGACGGCCCTATGCTTCTGATTGGTGCTGGTGTTGGTATTGCTCCTTTCCGAGGCTTCGTGCAGCGTCGCCTGAAGCAGGCCAACTGTGCCAACAAGGTGTGGGTGCTGCAGGGCATCCGCGACTCGCTAGTAGACGAGATCTACAACGGCGAATGGGGCGTGCACGAGTCTGAGGTCAAGCGTGTGGTGCAGAGCCGAGCTGGCACTGGCCGCTATGTCCAGGAGGAAGTGCTCAACCAGTCAGACTTGGTCTGGTACATCATCAACTCGCTCGATGGACGCGTCTTTGTCTGTGGCAGTAGCAAAGGCATGGGCGAAGGCGTCGAGGAGTCGCTTGTTGAGGTGGCCATGGCCAAGGGCAACTTGGAGCGCGAGGAGGCTCGCAACTTCTGGCAGCTCAAGAAGGAGGAGGGCCGATACATTGCCGAGACATGGTGATTTAGTTGCCAACGACTGCTGAGCTCGTCATGGTTGCGGCATATTGTGCGAAAATGACGACACGCCTATAACACCACCAACAGAGCACAGAACAACATGAGCGGGCTGGAGCCTGTTCGATGAGGAACGGAGTCGTTCCGAGATTTGAGTGTACCAAAAGAGGAGTGTACATCCCCAACACGACATGATGTTGGGACCTGATGAGCCGACGCATACTGCTCTAGATGGCCCGGCGCAAGCAAGAAAGATGGCATTCATGGCACGGTATGGCACAGAGATTGCCACAAAAGAAAGGGGAGCATTTGGGAAATGGTTCGGCGTTACGGGGTTTGACGATTGGCAATGGCTTTTGACTATCTGGTTTTCATGATTCAAACCTAGCTCTCCTTGTCTGTACCTGGCATTTGGAGAGTATTTTATAGTTTATATGCAGTGGGTAATACCCTAGGCAGCGATTGATGAGGACCAAGGCCAGAACGGTGACCCCATGTCCCAGAACAGGAAATTGACCTGACAATTACTCAACTTTGACTTGGAATTTCTTGCCTGTGACTATGACTTTGCTCTTGACTATAGTGTTACGTTTGCGTACGAGGGATTTCCTCACTCACTTGGTCTACCCTAGTTAGAGACCGTCTAAGTTCTCGATTCTGATTTAGCTTAGTAGGCAACGTCTCCTTATCCTTTGCTGGCGGGATACGATATGGCCAATCGGCTGCTGCATACACGTCGTACGGGAATAGGAGTACATTGCGGCATTCACATGGCAGAAGGTGTGCAAGTGAGCCGCTAAGATCTGGCAATGTATGTGTGGATGAGAACAGCCCGGATTGGTTGCGATTTTCCGAGAGGGTGTCAGAGCCCGAACTACGACACACGTCAACAGGTTGAGGGCTCTTGGCGGCAGTGCAGTCAGTTTGATGTTGGGTTGCGGGATATCGGCTATTCAGCCAGTTGCAGCTTAGGATTCGATCGAGGCGTCTGGGAGCGGCAGGGTGGTGATGGTGATGATGATGATGGTGGTGGTAACCGTCACTGTAAGGCAAAGTTAGTTGAAGCAGCCGGTTGACGCCTTTGAGAAGGCACCACGGGTAAAATGCCAAGGCTGGACGTGGTTGAGTTCTTCTACAGCCAACATTGAAACAGAGAGTGTGGTCGGAAATGCGGAACGGAGGAAACGTCGTGCCTGGGAGCTAAAAAACATCGCGTGTTTTCCCAACCATCTTAGGCAATACAGTGGGTTGGTATGTTGGGCTGAATCAGCGGCGTGTAATCCAGCATCTACGACTCTGTGCAGTACGTACCACGGAATGTGGATACCGGCCGAGGTGGATTTCCAACACGCGCGCGCGACCGACGACGACACTTTCCTGTTTCCTGGTCCGAGCGCCGGCCGGCAAAAGAGGGGCACAGGCGACGGACCGCGTCGTTCCGGGTCCCGGCCATCCAACCAAAGCCCGTCTGGGCGTTCCTTGATTGCTGAATGTCGGGCACTGATAGCGAGCAAAGGTGAGGAGGAGGGAGCGGTCTACGGTCTAACTTACAGGATAACAGGTGCATGCCGACGGCCGTCACTTGGCGTTGGTTTGATGCGAGATGGGGCCATTTCTGTGTGGAGTGGGGATCTAGAAGGAGGGGGAGGGGTTCGATGTAGCATCATAGTTGGCCGTTTTGGAGGATATCAGAAGGCGGTGGGAATATACTGGTACAGTTACGGGTGTTCGAGGAGGGGAGGGGCTGGGGCGTATATCCGGTGAGTGTGGTGGTTAGCAATGGAATGGTGGGTGGAATCCGAAGCTGAAAGTTGGCTGTTGCTGAGTTAGTAATGCGGCTCTCGTTTTCGGAGGAGGGGTTGATTGGAGACTTGTTTGGGAGAATTGGGACAAGACTGACGCAGAGGACCGGTTCCTGATTCCGCAATGAGAACACAGAGATCAATTGAATTTCCCCGATACTACATAGCTTTTACACTGAATGACACCAAAGGCCGTTACATTTCGCCATCACAACGCCACACATGCGTTACTCGCTCTAGGGTAGTTGTTGGAGCGCTGGCCGAGGCTGGCGATGGTTGTCTCCATGGCCCCGCCCAAGTGGTTTCGACAACCCAAAGACACCAGGGGCGGACCCAGATTGATCCCATCCAAGCTCCAAGCTCGGCAAAACGGACCCAGCGCAGCCCCGCTTATCAATCCTGACGAAGCTTTTCTGGATCTCTGATGTGAGCTGGGAAGAGGGGAAACCGTGGTCAAATCGTCGGCTTTCGGCAGGGGTTTGGTCTGTTAGTCCCCGGCCAACAAGGTCACCGCCCCGCGCGTTGGCATCAGGAATCAAAAGGAATCGGGGGGGGGGGGGGGTCCGGGGGTCGGGAATGGAAGGCAAGAGGGGAATACGGGTCGCGTTGGGATGCTCTGGGATGTGCTGGGTTGTGTTGTGTTGTGTTGTATGTACACACAAGTTAGTACGAAGCAATTAGTCCCTGGAGGTTAACCGCGCGCGACTGATGCAATGGGACCCCTCGATGGCCTCCATTTCTGGGAGTATGCCGTCGCATTAGTCAGTCGTGAGTGGCCAGCCTCTGGGTGTGCCGTTGCGCGCTTTCCCCTTCCAGGACCTTCTTCGGGAACATGGTGGGGGCATAGTTGCGCGGGGCGGAACCGGAGCATGCGAAGGGGGGGAGGAAGGATAGAGGGAAGGGCAGTGTTTCCTGTGGTGGATGGTGGGGCAGGTGAAGAAAAAAAAGGGTCCCGGGAAAGAACCAAGCGCGGCCCCCCACTAAACTATTTTGCTGATACAGCGCTGAGAAACCAAGATGCACCACACCACCACCCCCCCTAACCATGCGAGAACCATCGGACTCGGGAGACGGTGCACGATTCGATTGCTAGGCCACCGACGGCGGGGCCGGTTCCAAGGCAGAATAACGGATCCGGAGAGAGGGATTTGCGGTGCGGGAGACCAGTTATAAAGCGGCCTGGATTCCCTCTCTTTGCTACTTCCTTCTTCACTTACACACTCACACTCACACTCTTCCAACTCACCACACCAATCACAACACTTACACACACACTCCCAGACTCAAGTCTAACAACAACAACCTTCACAATGGCTTCCAAGATCTCCGCCGAGCTCCTCACCCTCCTGGCCAAGAACCGCCGCTCCTACTACCCCCTGACCAAGGACCTCCCCATCTCCACCGCCCGCGTCCAGGAGATCGTCAACGACGCCACCCTCCAGACCCCGTCGTCCTTCAACAACCAGTCCAACCGCGTCGCCGTCCTCTTCGGCGCCGAGCACGAGAAGCTCTGGGACATCACCGCCGATGCCCTGAAGCCCCTCGTCCCCGCCGACGGCTGGGCCGCCACTGAGCAGAAGATCAACATGTTCAAGGGCGCCGCCGGCACCGTCCTCTTCTTCGCCGACCAGACCGTCGTCGAGGACTTCCAGTCCAAGTTCGCTCCCTACGCCGACAAGTTCCCCCACTGGGCCGCCCAGAGCGCCGCCATCCAGGAGTACATCACCTGGACCGGCCTCGAGGCTGAGGGTCTCGGTGCCAACCTCCAGCACTACAACCCCCTGATCGACGCCAAGGTCGCCGAGACCTGGAAGATCCCCGCCACCTGGAAGCTCGATGCCCAGCTCGTCTTCGGTGGAAAGACCGGCGAGGCTGGCGAGAAGACCTACTCCCCTCTCGAGGATCGCGTCAAGGTTTTCGGTGCTTAAATACAAAAAGCGTCAAAATCCTACATCCAATATAAATCCTTACTACGAGATGACGAACTGTAACGTCTTTCGCAATTAGAGAAACATCTGCATTTGGGCGGAGTTAGAAGAGCGAAGGAATTCTGGGCCATAAGAGTCCTTGGAACTTTAAAATAGAAATACAATCATTTAACAACCAACAATGCCTCTAAGTCAAACAAGTGACAAGTCGAGAAACAGGTCAAGTAATAAGTAACTTTAAGTGATGTGATATTCGTACAAGATGGACATTAAATCAAACATCAACCCAACAGAGTAACCAAATATATCTGATAATTTCTTTGTCTTCCCCAGATGTGGTATTTCCTCTCCTTACTATAAACTGCCTCTATATATGTACCTCGTTTTTGATGTTGTACAATGCACCCTATTTTGAAGGCTCAATCACTCGTCCGAGAGCCTGGCCCATCCTGACCGTCTGCCCCGTTTCTACGGCCCATTCCCATCCTAGGCGTTTGTTGTCTTCGCCTCGTTTCTCCGCGGGTGCCTCAAACACTAACACCACCGTGCTGCCAAGCTGGAAACCACCCATCTCTTCACCCCTTCGCAGGGCGTGACCTCGTAAAACAGGACTGGCTCCTTCGTAGGTTGCCTCGGCAAAGCCCAAGTACGGCTCGCCCCGCCTGGCAGCTTCCTCCGCCGCCTTGTCCGCCGCAGTGTCGGTCAGTAGGCTGTTGGTTCGCAGCTCTCGGTCAAAGTTGATCTTGATGGAGCCCACGTTGGTCGCTCCAACGGGGACATAGCTGAAGAAACCCCATCGCCAGCGGCCCAGGAGCACAACTCGCTCGTTTAGGGTGAAGAGACCGGGGAGGGTTCGCTGGAGGTAGGGAGAGACACTGTACAGCTCGCCTGCAAAGTGACGCCGTCGGTCGACGACCCAGTTAGTCGGCGAGTGGAAGCGGTGGTAGTCGCCGGGGGCAAGGTAGATGACGGCGTAATACAAAGATGTGTTCTTGTTGGGCGAAAGCATGTCGTACCAAGGTCGGTCTCCGAGGGCTAGCTCGGCGCGGACCTCAGACTCGACTCGCGGTGAAGCAGGAGTCGAGGCGTCGGTGACTGAGGGGCCTTTGGTAGCACTGGGGTTGCCAGAGAGAAGGTCGGGGAGGGTGTAAGAGATGCCATTGACCTTAGCAAAGTCCTCGTCTTGCTTCACCAACTCCTCATCTCCTGAGAGCTCGGGGAGAATTCCGCTGGACTCGAGCGAGGACGCGCCTGAAGAGGTTCCTGACGAGGTTCCTGATGCTGTGCCAGTGACGCTGGGGGTGGGTGTGTTCTTGCCAAGGAGAGCATCGATGCTGTATGTCATTCCCTTGACCTGCTCAATGTCACCGCCTTGGATCTGGCCATATTGAAGGACCTTGCCATCCGAAGGGCATAGCAGGGTGTGATGATCGGGGTCAAGGGGTCGGGCGCCGGGCTTGAGGGTACGGTAGAAGAAGGCGGCGAGATTAGGATACACGTGAAGATCGGGTTCGGCAACCTCTTCGAGGCTGTATCGTGGTTAGTAGGTCATGATGGAGGAGAATTAAAGGGGCGAGCTCACTTGACGCCAAATACCAGGGAATAGAGCTTGAAGCCGGGAACTCGCAGATAGTACGGGATGGTCAGCTCATTGAATCTGCCCCAGACGCGAGAAATGGCCTTGAGGGGCAGAGTCGACATGACCTGGACTTGCCTGCGATCTCAATTAGCATTGGGGTCAGGGTCAGGAGAAGAAGATATGGGCCCCGGTGAGAGGAGCAATTGAGGAATGAATTGACGCACCATGGTCCATCGGGGCGGATTCTAGGACGCCTCTTGGGGGGTTTTCCGTCGTCGAAGCCACCCTGGATCTCGCGTTGCTTCTCCTGTTCCCTGGCGGAGACCTTGTAGAACTGGACGAGACCAAGGAAGCCGATGCCCAGACCGACAGGGATCTGATACCATTGGATCTTGGTGTTGCGCATGGCCTCGCCGAGGCGCTGGGAGAATCTCGGTCTCTTGCCCGAATTGGAGGCGAAGCTGCGGGTGGAGGCGGCAGAGGGCCGTGGTAGGCATCGCGATCCGGGGGTGGCCAGGACGGAGTGTCGAGAAGCGGCGGCGTAGTTTGAGCAGCGGCCGTGGATCGAGTAGCGGAACATGTGACTCCTGAGCTGGGTCGAGCCAGCGCCGAGGGTCGTGGCCATTGCGGCGGCGGGAGGGACGGGACGCGTCGGCGCGCACGCACTCACGCGCTGCGATCAATGGTAAAGAGGCGGAAGGCCGATGGAAGAGGGAGAGATTGAGCACAACTCTCCGTGGCAAGTTTTTTTTTTTTGTCTGCGACGTCGACGTCAAAGCTGCTTCGACGTTGGCAGGTGCCGCGGGCTGGATTGCGGCTGTTAGCCAGTGAGCCAGCCACTAAAAGCCTGCTGGAGGGGGAGGTGGGTGTGTGGGCAGGTGGGTGGTGTGTGGGCGGGCGGGCGGGCTGACTGGCTGCCCGCAGTTTCGGGAGTAAGAAACGCCGATATTCCGGGGGGGGGGAGGGGGGGGGGAGCAGGCGTGACCTGCGTGAGAAGGCCTGGAGAGAAGGCCTGGAGAGAACAATCGAAAACGGAAAATCAAAGGTGGATGATGCCGCAACGCTAGAGGCCCAGCGTAATGGACGGCCAATGGTAGCGGCAGAAGCCGTGGCGGAAGCCAGGCCAGGACAGGACAGGAAGCGGAACACTTCTGACGTGAAGCCTGAAGGAGCATGGGAGGGAGGGAAGAGAGTCCCAATCCCAATCTCCCCACTGTAACAGCAGCCGATGGATGGTCGATGGAGGGATTGAGGCGTCCTCCCCCAGCAAAACGGTACGTATCGATACCGCAACTTGCACTAGCGCCGCCTGGGTACCTGGCGGACCGTGACCGGCGTCGCAGGCTCACCCACTCACCCACTCACGCACCCAAAGAGGCCACTCTGACATTGTCTCGGTCTGGGTTGTGACGGGGGCCCGATCAAGCTCGTCTGTCCATCTGCTCTTCTGCGCTGCTGCTGCTCCTCCTCTCCTTCACCACCTTCTCCGCCGCTTCGCCCTCGTCAGGCGACCCAGAGAAGCACGTCGAGCCGAGGGAATCCGCTCCTTGCTTGCAGCCCATCTTTGTCTCTCTTGCTCTTCTCTTGATTTCTTCTCCCTTCTTGCGTTGAGCCACTTCAGTTCCAGCCACAGTCGCCGTACCTACCTACCTGCTCCCACCACACAGCTGTCTGTCGCAGTGTTAGTAATAAGACACTCGGTGCTTTTTCCTCAACAACGACCTCGCCGCACATCAACAACCCCGACTTCATCTCTCCCTTGAACAATCCATCGTCCCGCCTCGTCTCGACTCTCCTTTGCCCTCTTCCATGATCCCGGGCTCGCCGCTTCCTGCTTCGCCCTCTTAAACCAGCGGCGTGGCATGCCAGTAGCCTGCCCATCATGGCTTCCGAGCCCCCCAGCTCCCGCCCGGACGACAGCTCCCCCGGCTCCTCCCCCGACCAGCTCACCGTCAATCTCCAAGTCGTGTCACCGTCAGTCGGTGTCAACCGCCCCTTGATATTCCCTGGCCTTGCCGCCACCACCACTGTCCAGCAGCTCAAGCACAAGATCCGCGAGACCCTGCCGCTGCGACCTGCCGATGAGAACCAGCGACTGATCCATCGCGGCCGTGCAATCGTCCGCGAGACCGACACCCTGCTCACCATCTTTGGTGCGGATGCGGTAAGCTTCCCCTCATCGTCCAATGTCATATTATCTTTGCTGTGTGTTTTCTCCTGCTAATCGGTGTCCTTTCTATTTGTCCCCTACAGCTCCGGGCCCCCGACCAGCAGACCATCCATCTGGTCATTCGCGAAACCCAAGACTCTCAGTCTCCTGCTCCGCAAGCCGCCGCTTCGGGCCCCAACCAATCTGCCCCAGTTCAACCTGCAAGCCTTCACCAGCAGGCCCTTCGCCATGGCATCGGGCCCAGGAGACTCACACCCACCCCGTCGACCGGTCCGTACCCTCGGCCGCGCGTGCCATCACCGTCCCCACACTACACGCCCGAGCAGGCTGCTGCCTTCCAACATCAGCACCAGAACATGACGCAGTGGCTGAATCACATCCAGCGCGAAGCCATGGCTAGAGCTCAGAACCAACGTGCTCGCGCTCAGATGGGCATGCGCGGTGCTGGCGATGCTGCCGGTAACGTGATGCACAACGGCGGCGACCGCACTGGTCAGCCAGCTCACCAACTTCCCGGTCAGACTGCTGCCTACCGTGATCATTTCGGTCTTAATGGACAAACGCACAACGGCGGCGACGATGGCCAGCTAACCGAGCCTCCCACTCGCACTCTCTACCGTGATCATTATCTCGGTCCTAACGGCCAGACTTATTACCAGATCACGGCGCCCACGACCCCTAACGGCATGTCTCCGGCTGAGGTGCAGGGCATTCTTCGAGGGGCGGATGGTAACCAAGCCCCCCCTACAATGACCAGCGCCATGCAGAGAAGCACTTCCAACACCTCGCTGCATAATCGGTCTATCGCGCCGCCTGCAGGTTCTAGCTACCTGTTTTCCACGCCTTTCACCATGATTTATAACGGAAGGCCCTCCCCCGACCCTACAGGAGCTCGACAGGCCGGTGCAGGAAGCAATAACGCCACACGTCAGGGCCCTGAAGTCTACATCCTGTCTTCCCCAGATGGGCCCCGGGCATTGCTCTTCAACAACTCAAGCTCCGACACGTACTATACGCCACGGTTGAGAAGTCAGCCAAGTATTCCCCAACTCAGGCACTCTCACCCATCAGCGCTGGGTAATTTGATATATGAGACCCAAGGACAGACCCGGAGCAGGCATCATCACCATCATCATCATCACCACAGGCCTCATCCTCAGCAGCAACAACAGCAGCAACAGCAGCAGCAACAGGCTCAGCCAATGGTACAAGTGCAGCCACAACCGCCATATCAGCCATTGCAGCAGAATCTGCCACCGCCACAGCCAGAGCAAAGACTCCAGGACCCAGTGAACAATGGGGCTCAGGTTCAGGCCCAAAACCAGCCTCCCATTGCTGCGTTGATGCACCATGGCAACCCACCGGCGGCGGCGATTCCACCTTTGTTGATGCAGTTATGGCCGCAGCTCTGGTTGTTGTTCCGCCTGGCTCTATTTGTGTGGTTCTTCACCAACCCCAACGCAAGTTGGTCGAGGTGGTTTACCATTATCTGCATTGCATTCTTCATCTTTATTCTGAGCACTGGAGTGTTGAATGGCGTTCCTGAGCACATTTGGCGACCTCTGGGTCGGCACCTCGAGAACTTGATCCCTCTGGATCCGCGAGCTGCCCAAAGGGCCGACCAGAATCAAGAAAATGGTGCCCAGGGAGAGAACCGTCAGCCAAACCCGGCCGACATGGCAGCGAGACTGATTGCAGAGAATCAGGGCCACGACGGTTGGCTCATGACGCAGATAAGGCGACTTGAGAGGGCCGGTCTCCTATTTCTGGCTAGCATTGCACCGGGCGTAGCTGAGAGACACATTGCCAATCTGGAGGCAACGGCACGAATTGATCGAGAGCGCAGAGAGGCTGAGGCGGCAGCCGCCCAGGCAAATGCCGAGAATAGCGGTGAAAACAACCAGGAAGGGGAGAACAACAATAATGAGGCAGAGCAGAACAATGGGCAAGATGGGCAAGATCAACCACTGCCCCGGCCTGATCAAGCGGGACAGGATAACAACCAGGCTGATATCCCAGCGAGGGAGCAGCTCATTGCGGTCTAGATATTTGCATCTGAGCGACGGAGCTATTTTCAGGAGACAGGAAAAATGTACGGACTCGACGCGACGTGGAATGAGCTTGAAAAAGAGACGGCGACTGTGCCACGGCAAGCGTTGGATGGATGGAATTTAACGGGGAGTTGGGTGTTTTTCATTTACAGGAGACATTTATCTTTCTTGACAAGAAGCCTCCCTTAGAGGGGAGGTGGGCGCAGGCCCTTGTATTCGTTGCTGCAATGAGAGGCGACGCGGTTGTTTGCTTGCTCTTGAGACTTGGACATTGGGCTGTTCTATGAAGCCATCCTGTAGTCCATTGTTCAGCGTGTATGAAACGCTGTATAGCACATGCATGTCCCCCATACACTTAATGAGGATTGAGGAGCTGTATTCGTTGTCATGCGAGATTGGATTCCCGAGAAAATGCGCCGTGACACGATTGTCGAGTAGCGAAGGCGTGATTACACGAAGTGTCCACGAAGTGGATGTCATGCCGTACTCGTGTTGTGCACATTCGACCTTCTTCGCCCTTATCTTATCGGAATCGAAGTGGGCGGTGGCGGATGATATCAGACCGATGCTGGCCAAAGCTCTCTCTGCATGAAAGAGCTCCAAACACCAACACCATCCTCCCGCCACGTTTGAACTTCAATCGCTACACAAATAGGCCCGCGAATTGCCTCGAGCTTTGGAGTATTTACTGGCCGCGGGGCTTGTGTTTTTCGATCCAAGAATCCCTCTTTTTGAGCTGTGACTTTCGGAAATTCATCGCTGGGAACTTCTACAGCAGCCCGCCGCAACCATGAGTGGCGGATGGAATACCAGTATGGCTTCTCTCCCTTCCCAGTCCATGTCCCGTCTCGTTTCCGTTTCTAATAAAATGCCACTGCGCAGTTGAGTCCGATGCGGTATGAGCTGTCCTCTCCCACCCATAGCCCCCGTCCAAGCCTAACCTCCCGTCGCCAGGGTGTCTTCACCTCGCTCATCGAAAACCTCGGTGTCAAAGACGTCCAGTTCGAAGAGCTCCTGACCCTCGACCCCACGGAACTCCTCACCCTCCAGCCCGTCTACGGCGTCATCTTCCTCTTCAAGTACCCGACCGACCAGCCCTACGCAACGCCCGATGGCCCTCGCGACGGCTCCTTCGACCACGCCGCCGCGGAGAACATCTTCTTCGCCGCCCAGACCATCCAGAACGCCTGCGCCACCCAGGCCCTCCTCAGCGTGCTCCTCAACAAGACGCCCGATGTCGAGGTCGGCGAGCAGCTGCGCGACTTCCGCGAGTTCACCATGGTCCTGCCCCCGGAGTTCCGCGGCGAGGCCCTGAGCAACTCCGACCTCATCCGGGAGGTGCACAACAGCTTCGCCCGCAGCAGCCCCTTCGTCGACGAGACACAAAAGACGGGCGAGGCCGAGGATGCCTTCCACTTCATCGCCTACACCCACATCAACGGCACCTTGTACGAGCTCGACGGCCTGCAGCCCGCGCCCATCGCCCACGGATCCTGCGACGCCGACTCCTTTCCCGCGCGCGTCGTCGACGTTCTACAGCGTCGAGTCGCCCGCTACGACACCACCGAGATCCGCTTCAACCTGCTTGCCATGTGCCGCGACCTGCGCCAGCGCGCCCGCGAGTTTGGCGATCCTGACCTGTTGGCCCGCGAAGAGCGCAAGCGCCGCGACTGGCAGTTTGAGAACGCCCTGCGCAAGCACAACTTTGTCGGCTTTGCGGGCGAGGTGCTCAAGGGCGTCGTCAAGGAGCAACTGGCCAAGGGAGGCGATGCGGCCGTCGACACCTGGGTCAATGAGAGCCTAGAGCGGAGGAAGGTCGCCGAACAGGCACTGCGCAGAGGAGGAGGAGACGGGGATGTGGATATGGATGCATAGACGGGAGCCTTGGGTTGTCATGAGCAAATACGGCATGACGAGGATGATGTACTATCACGAGATACCTTCTACGGCCAACGACGGCATAGATAAAACTCCTTTTTGCTTTCATATTCTATTTGCTTTCTTGTTTTCTGGGTGACACTATGACGTCTTCAACCTAAATGAAGCTATCTATGGTTCTACAACTGATGTATCATGCAACGGAAAGGCATGCTACAGCCTGAAGTGTGACATGTGATAGGATACCGTCATCGTTTTGTCTTTTCCGCATCTCAAATCTTTGCAATAATTACCAACCCCCTGAAAATGCCTCCAGTCGTTACTGTTCGTTTTCTCTCTCATGTTCACCATGACAGGCATGGATATCCACGTTCTGCTTGTCACATTGAATCGCGATGTCTGTCATCCTGATTCGTCGCCACGCTGCCCAAAACAAGCTCTCAGACATCCAACAGCTAGCTGTAGTTCTTCCCAAGAAAGCGTGTAACAGCGGGAATAAACCAACTAGATTCCAAGGGATCAAATCACCCAATCCACCGACCGGGCGGTGTGGGTGAGACGGGGGGCTCGGACAAGGCGATCCCCTCCTTACCCGATGACTCACCCGAGCGCCCTGCTGAGCTGTCATGATCAGGAGAGATGGGGAAGCTACCATCGAGGCCAGAGGAGGAGGTTTGGTGCTCGTCTTCGATGTCCAGTGTGCCGCGGCGTTTGCGACGCATGGCGCGGACGAACCAGGGGGCGCGGCCGGAGCCTTTCCAGGTCCAGTACTCCTTGAGATCGTACTCGCGGGGCTCCAGGTAGCCTCCAGAGATAAAGACTACGAGACCAATGAGTCCGTTGAGGACGGCATAGATGAAGACACCCCTTGAAAATATATTAGCGGATAGACGGCTTGAGAGAAAGGGGAAAGAGCTTACGCGATGAGGCCGTAGGCAACACTGTAACTGAAAGGGATGAATGTCATGACAACAAAGGACGGCAGGACATCGCCGATGTACCGCCAATTGATTTGGGTGACTTGACGAATCATCATGCAGCCGACCTGGGAAGATTAGTTTCCACTCTCGTTCGATTCTGACAGCACAGAGCCCATTCTTACCAGAATAAGTGTACACCCTGTCGCCCAAGGTGGGACAGACGCAAAAATGGGCGCAAAGAAGATAGATATAATGAAGCATAAGCCAGTGACCATAGCTGTGAGCCCCGTCCGTCCTCCTTCGGCAATTCCAGCGCCACTCTCAATGAAGGCGGTGACTGGAGAAGAGCCAAAGAGCGCACCGATAGAGATGAAGGCTGCGTCGGTGCAGTAGGCAATGGTAGAGCGAGGAAAGTCGCCATCGCGGGGACTAACGACACCGCAGAAGCGGACCATGGAGTAAAGAGTGGCTGTGGCATCAATGATGTCGACGTAGAGGAAGGTGAAGAGGGCGAGAGCGAACTGACGCGAGTTACCTTCAAGGGTCCAGTCAAGTTGGTTGAGGGTTTTCTCCATAGGGTGCCAAACAACGACCTGTTTGAAGAACTCGAAACGAGAGTCGCCTTCGTCGGTGTGAGGGAAGTAGGTCATGGGAGTGTTGCGTCTTTCAAAACGGGGGTGGTCAGTTGAGGTGTAAGGGAGGAATAGATGGAATCGGACTTACGGCCAAGAGAGAATTGAGACCAGGGCGATGCCGAGAATGAGAGCGTACTTGATGCGAAAGGCCATGAGGAAAGCTGTTACGATACCACCACAGAATACGCCCACCCAAAGCTATACAACCATTAGAATCACGTTGCGATATTAGCTTGGGGATCTCTATCAACTCACCTTGGCACTCGACATCTGCCCGCTGCTGCACATGCCGGTTGTAGGATCGATAAGTTCTTGGGGACAACCGCCAAGAGCGAGCGGAGTGGCCGTCCAACCACCAGTGATGGCACCAATACCAGCCGAGTAGGAAAGGCCGATCTCGGTCAGGAAAAAGCCGATGCCCACACCTGTGGCAGTCTTGAGGGTCGCAGGGATTAACTTGACGAGCCATTGCCTCATACCCGTGAGGGCAAGGAAGATGAAGATCAAGCCCTCAACGAAGACAGCCGTGAGAGCCATGCGGTAAGAAATGGGACCGCTCGCATTGTAGCCGACGACCTGGAAGAGCGTGAGTGGTTAGTGGAGTTGAGATCTGGAAGCGAGCTGGGCGGATTACTTGAAATGTGAAGTAGGCGTTAAGTCCCATGCCAGGTCTGTGAAGACTGAGTGTTAGCAACCCTGTGAAGGAGAATACAAGAAAGTGACGAGAGGCTTACGCAATCGCAACTGGTAGGTTGGTTAAGAGTCCAAACATGAAGCTCGCCAGGCCCGCGATGGCCGCAGTGGCAGTGATTAGGTCGCGTCGCACGTCTGAGAGCAAGTGTCAACCATCTCTTTTCCGACACCAGTAAAGGAATGTGGGATAGTAGCGGACTAGCCTACCTTCCTTGCAAGCAACGTATGAATCAATGTTGTCGCATGCCTGCCTGTCCTCCAAGTCGCAGACGCAAGTGCCACCTGTTTGGGATAGCAAAGAAGCCTTTGGCTAGAGTTAGCAGAGGCTAAGCAAGCAGAGAAGGGTGGGATGGCGCGTACATTCACGGCGATGATGTAGGCCATGGTGGCGAAGGTTGTCAACCCGGCGCGGATTTCACGAAAGAAGGTAGAACCGGGGATTTCGTTGGGCTGAAGGAGGAGAAACAACTGTTAGCGAACGAGACGTGTCAGCGAGGTGTTGGAGATACTCACATGGCCAGTGCCAGAAAGATGAAAAAAGTGTCCGAAACGAGAGGTGGTGACGGTGGAGTTAATGCCGTCGAGAAAGTCACGGATACCGCAGAAGCGCGACCGACGGACCTCCTCAGAGGGCGAGAGGCTACCGGAACTGGCGGCATCGTGGGTGTCCATCTGGTGCGGAGGAGTGGCTGCCATTATGAACAGAAGATGGAGTGTTCACCTGAAAGGTGTCCCGAAGTGTGATGAAGTGAATGTGAAATGAGGGTGGTCAGACTAAGCGGAACGAGAGGAAGACGGGAATGGTCCATGGGCGAGCAACAAGTAAAAGAGAGAGGGACCAAGGAACCAGAGACAAGAGGCGAGGGACAAAGTGCGCGGAAAGGGGGCTGGCTACGCCAACCACGGCCAAGAGATGAGAGTAGACTTGGTCTTGGTGACACCAAACGGAGAGAGAGGTCGGGGGGTAGGGACTTTGTCTCGTCGTGGTTGTGTGGGAGCCAAGTTTCCTGGCTTGGCTCGCAATGAACAGTGAAGCACTAAGTGACTTGACGTGACGGGCTGGTGGCAGACTGGCGCAGCTGGCAGCCAGCTGGCAGAGGAGTGGCGGCGGCCGGTTTTGGAGAGAGTCTCTGTTTGCACCACCTGACCGCCTGTCGGAAGGGCCCTTGAACGGGGCTCAGGCTGGACCACTGCAACATGGAAATGGTGAGAATTATCGGCGAGAATGGCTACCGACGTGATGGTCTGGGAGGAGCCGAGTCCGGCCGAGTCGAGTCTTGGTGGTAGAGCCACGAGACGGCAGTAGCGGGAGTAACATTGAGCAGGATTTGTGTCCTCATGTCCTCGCTGTTCAGGTATTTGACTCGTGAGCACCAAACATCGACTCTTCATAGATCACATCTACGGGGGCTTCTCCAGGCCCCGAGGTCGGTGAATTTCGGAGAACAAGGACATGGCTTCCTGGTACATACAAGAACCGTTGGAATGCGTTAACTTGGAACATGAGGCTAAATGCTTAATTTCACTCAGGCTCTGCATATCCTCGTGGTGGCTCCCGCCCCCCTGGCCTGCATAGCCGCAGAGCACAAGTTCAAGCATCGCCAATCATCGCCGTCGTTCGTTCCGTCCCTTCTCGGAACTCAGATACGTGAGCTGTAATGTGGTGACTGATACCCAACTAGCCGGGCGGGATGCATCAGGGTGCACCTTCGCGAGACTGCTTCGCTGGGTCCCAACTCATCACTCGAATCCACTCCCTTTGTCTCACAAAGTCTCGCTGTCCAAAGTGAAGCGCCACCTGAACAGAGAGATCTAACCGCCGTGGCACAAATTCGTCACCTTTGTGACACAAGCTGCACGCCCTGGTTCCTGCAAGCGAGACCTTGTCTCTCCCGAGGGGAAGCACAAGTTGTGGCTGGCGGATCGATGCATTAGACATGCGGACGATCTGTAACCTGCCGAAATTGGAACATTGTCCGATGAACGAATGCGCTGTGCATTTTGTGGATGCAGTAATATTTTAGGCGTGTATCTGTGGCCTGGTAGCAAAGAGTGTTCGTTGGACATGTAGTTGGGTTAGTTGAGTTCCATGCACTGGGGTCTGATCAAAGCAGACGGCGATTTGAACAGTTTTCCATTGAGTACCTAGGTACTTAGGTACCTATTGTATTCCCACACAGTACAACCCTAGTCAGCTAAACCTCATACCTAGTATGCCAGTGAAAGGGTTTATTTTTAGGCATTCGGTCTACTTTAACTAATAGATTAAACTTAACCATACGAAGTAAATGCAATTATTAAGGCATAAATAAGAACCTACTAAATATTACTTCCTAAACTGCTAATTCGGTGATGATTATTTCGGGTTGGAGTAAATACTTGTGCGTGCAAATCGCACTGCTCTTTCTAAGAATACGATAAAGAATCATGAACAACAACTGGCTGCTCTCTCCGGTGGAGCCGTCGATTAAGATGGAACTGGGCGTCTGCACGCTAACGGCTGGGAACCGTAAGCCAATCGTCCGTTTCGGCTACCCTCACGAACCCCTAGCCTCGAGAGTCAATACAAGCCAATCATCCATCTTCAGCAAAGATTCAAGTACCTTCCTGTGCTACTCTGCTCTGCTTTGTCCCTCAGCTCTACGCGGGTTGGGCTGCCATGCTCAAAAGAGGGACCATGTCGTTGACCTGCTCGCTGCCTAAACCCGAGCTTGAGGGGTTCATGCAAAGTTGTTTGCTATGGCCGTAGTTCGCGTCAGAGTTAGGGTGCGCGTATTCGACGTGTGACGAAATGCCTGGTCAGGGTGAGGAATTTGTCAGAGAAGGGTGAGAACTGACTGAGGCCAGCAAGCGAAAGAGGCCGATAATTCTCGCACACATTTAGGTACCTAAGAAATACCTGCATCTTGGATATCCGAGTTCATGTACCTGTTTACGCCCAGTGACTCGGGAATGCTTACTTCTAGTGCCTAGACTACCACTTTGCAGCATCACGAGCAGGCTGGGAGAGAAAATTCCTGTTCTAGAATTCTTCCATCAAACTTGCCTACCTCCTTTTTTTTGTTCTTGGTTTTGTCCTAGTTAATTACTCCTACCCGTGGTAAAGGCAGCCCGCTTGGTGGTCCGTCACCCGGAACCATTCTTTGCGTGCCAGGTGACCAGGCAGTGTGTGACAGCTGGCAGCATTGACTCGCTGCCAAAGTGATGACAATTGAACCGAACGTGAAGAATTACTGACGAAACCTGACAGGCTTGGGGGCCCACAAACTCCCTGGGCTTTAAGGCGGCTTCCGTCCCTCCACGCTGCGTCATCTCTTTCTGAACCTTCACCTCACCTCACTTCCCTCCACTTCATCCCCCTTCATCTCTTTCTTTCAACCTCTACACCCACTGAGAGATCGGGAAACCCGTTCTGCCTAGATTGCCGACTTGCAAAGTCACTTTCAAATTTTGAAATCTTGTTCCTATTTGCATTTGCAGCTTTTGGTCGTCGCCATCACAATCGCCATCGCGGCGCGCCTCAGCAAGCCCCCAACACCAAGCTTCACGACATCTCGCAAACATCACTTGGCATCAAAACTCCCAGCACCGCAAATTTTGACATGTTTGACGTAATCTGGACTGACCCAGACCGGGAGCTGGTCGGCGAACATCGCGCCAAGAAAGAGAAGAAACGAGAACGTCAAGCCAAGGAAAAGGAGAAGGAAAAGTCGATTTCGTCTCGAAGCTCCTTGTCCGTACGCAGCTCGCGGTCATCCACTGACTCTCCATTTGGATTTTTGAGATCTCGCGGCCGCAAGCAATCCACCTCGGACAAGACCAACACCAAGACGACGGGCCTTCTGACCCCCAGCCTTCTCTCCTCACGGTCGCCTCTGTCTACAGATTCGGATCCCGGGAGCCACCGGCACTCCGTCCTCGTCACTGATGGCTCTTCCATCTATTCGGACCCTGTTAGAATCGTGTCCAGCAAGAGTTCTACTTCGGCACCGGATACATCCCAGGTCGTTCAAGCCCTGGGGCCTTCCTCCTTTGTCACTAAGCGCACTGAGGTTTCCTGGAACCCTCGGTCCTCGGACACGACTAAACATGACATCTTGTCTGAGATTCTGATTTCATCTGAACCCAAAGTCAAACAGACAATGACGCCGCCAAGTTCCCCGGGAAACAGGTAAGGAACCTTGGCTAGATTGCTGAGCTGTCGCTAACTACTCCCAGAAATATGCACGCACCGCTGCTTCGATCTGACTCCCCCGTCAACTTAATCCCAGGCCTCAAGTTCCCGACCCATTCGAAGAACCGTCTCGCTCTTACCTCTATGCCAAACAACCCGGACAATTGGCGCCCGCCAGAGGAGTGGGACTGCGCCTCGGTTGACCCTGAGCTCGACGTGGCAGATATTGAAAGGTCGATCAGTGAGATGTTGCAGATTACGGATAGCAACAAAAACACCGACCGGGGCTCAGACCTCGATATGCTCCAGAAAGAAGTTAGGCGAATGGCTGCTGCCAGCCCCGAAGTCACCTTGTCGCGGTTGAAAGAGGTTTGGAGCACAACAGAAGATGAAAGCCTCCGTCATGAACTCGAGATGGAAAAGAAGCGATGGATGCTGTCAACTCTGCACCACCTCGACCCTGTACCGCAGCACGATAATTCTCGATCTACGGCGTTCAAACTTCGTTTGGGAGGTGCTCAAAAGATCCTCGCTTTGTACGAGTCTCAGGGTATTCATCCTGCGGTTGCCTCTTCTGGGTGCTGCTAACTCGCTCTCAGCGACGGCCTCCTATCTCGCAGCTCTTCATCCGACGAACAAAGTCTACCACATGTCGGCCACGCCGCTTTCGCATACACAGTTTCCCAACATCCACCCGGTTCTCGTTCCTTTAGTGTCACCGTCGGTTTTCCCATTGGCGCCGCAACTTTTTGAAAATGTCTACTCGCTCTCAATGCCGGCAATCTGCTCCTCGCCTGATATTCCTGGCGTCCTAAAGAATATTTGCAAATCCTTGAAACAAGGAGGTTCCCTGCAACTGACACTAATCGACCCGCTGCCTTGTGCCAGAACCCTTGGCCAGCGCATGCGAACATGGCTGGAGGAGCATCTGCTGCTCAACCTGGAGCGTCACTTCCGATGCATGAACCCAAGCAGATTGTTTCCAGACTGGCTCGCAAAAGCGTCCCTGCGTGGACAAGGCAGCACATTGACAAGGGCCAAGTTTTTTGCGATCCCCACGAGTATACGATACTCGGACGGCGGCAGTGACCCGTTCGCGAACCGGCCGCGCAGCGAGGGGGAGGTCAAGGCGGAGCTTAGGAGCCTCGTGGGACGAATGCTTTGGATGGAGGTCTGGGGCGCTTTCGTCACGGCAGAGAAGTGGTGGTGGGAGGACGAGAAGTGCGTTGAGGAGTGCTTGGAACTGGGGACATTCTGGGAATACACGATGATCGAGGGCGTCAAACACGGCTGAGGATGGGTTACAGAGACGCAAGCCTGGGAGAGATGACGCGGTCCGACACAGTGGGCTGGTGGGGAAATCAGGGCACAAGAAGGCATTTGGGTTGGCTATTTCAAGGGAGGGAGCCGGGTTCATTTTGCTTTTCTGCCCTTTTCCGCCCTGCTCTGCCTTTTTCCGCCCTTTTCTTTCTTTTCTTTCTTTTCTCTTTTTCCTTAATTTGATCAGATGGAAGGCGTTGGGTCGTTTGCTTTTCATGAAATACCCCGGACGATATCGGGTGGATGGAGGTTGGTTGACCTTGAGTTGGCTTGAGAGCATAGCAATGAAATAGGGGCCGCCATGAATGAGTAATGATATGTACAATGCACGAGAGGACAGGCAGAGAGCTCATCGAGAGCGTGCAGGGAGCAAACTCGAAGCACCACACGTGCAAACTGGGCATAAGTCGGCGCCGAGAATCCCAAAGGAGGCACTCCGCAGGGCGGGCCCTAGTCAGAAGCGAACTGGGAGTGCCTCATGCCGAGGATGCTACTCCGGATGGCGTCATGTCAGATCCGAAGCCCTGGCCATGGCTTTCACAATGTTGGTAATAACGTCAAAGTCATATCATCCCCGGATCATCCCCAGATCATCACGACGCCCTGATCCCCGCAACTCGCAGCCCTCCTCCGCATCTGCCAACCGGGGTGAACCCTGCCCGCGTCCTGTCATGGGGCGGGCGGATCATGCCATGCGCGAAAAAGAGAGGCGGGAAGAGGAAGAAGGAATGACAAGCTTTCGTCAAGGTTAAGTCCAAGTCTAAATCAGGGCGAAGGGGAACTAGCTCTAATGCGATCCAGTGGACAGCGGGATGCGCCGTTTGCTGGTGGTGGTGCGATTTCGTCGGACTGTGAACAGGGAGGGGGGTTGCATCTATTCTGACAGCCCAGCGAGTGTGCCGGACATGGCGGAGATTGGGACACACGCCTTGCTTTGATGCTGATTTCCATTCATGACAGAGAACGCCTCTCACATGGTGATGCATAACAACGCACTTGGCCAGCCATGTTCAAGAAGCCTGATAAGAAATACAAGTGTGAAGCGCAAGTAAAGAATATAAAACGGGAAGCGTGGAAAAAGCAAGCAGACCGATCCCCCTCCCAAGCACAGACTCACACGGCATGAGACCATCGCATCTGAAATCGCATCTGATCTCATCTCATCTGCTGTTCCCACGTCGAAAAAGAAAACCAACAACGGCCCACAAAATCCCCCAGACTTTTTTCCCCAGAGTTTTCATGCCCTCGTATTCTGGGGGTTGCTTGCTTGTCCGGTGGACACCCCAGCCAACCTACCCACACATGCCCGTGATATTGACCGTCACTCAACGAGACATTTGATCCTCTACGTCCTACGCCGCAGCGCATATGCCACCTACGTAAACCTCGTCTAACCAATATCTGTGGCATTCGCTATCTTACAGTCAGATTCAACCCCTGTCTTCTCTCGGACGAGCGGGAACCCCTTCCCCTCTTCTCTGCCCCCCCGGAAACGCCATCGCCATGTGACGTCCACACCCTCTACAGGCCTCGACGACATTTCCGGGAGCATCACACCCACCGTTACGACAACCACTGCACCGTCTTCCACCGCGTGGCTTTTTTCCTTAGCAGCCCGTAATTTGCTCTCCATACGGAGACAGACGCCACCAACAGCAAGCTAAAGCAGCCGTCAGCACCCCGTCACATCAGCCCATGCCACCTTTACACGCTGATAGCGCCTTGCCTTTTCCCATTGTGTTGCGGGTATTTCGGCTACGGAAAAAATCCCACGAGGACACCGCGTGGCTGTCAGGGATGAGGAAAGAGAAAAGTGGTGGTGGAATGAAACCGAAAAAGCAACGCTCGTGGTAAGAAACATGCCCGATGTGACGAGTCGAGGCTTCCGGGAGAGGGGCGATCCGGTGCTGATCAAAAAGCAATATGCCACATGGGTCGTTTGACCCATGGAATCTTCAGTAGACATGCAGGAACGGGATTCCAACGTCAAGAAACTGCAATTCATAAAAGTCGGCGCAAATTTGACATTACACATGTGTGCTCTTCTCCGAGTCTAGGTACTTAGCAAGCCTTTGTTGGCTGTATACACGAATTACTTTTGTACAAGAATATCCCCACCCCTACTCCATAGTACCTGTAACAAAACATGTCCTCATAGACTAGCTGTCTATACCCCGACGCATGTCTGTTCCCATTCAGGTCCATATCCCTGGCCAAACACCATTCTCCTTATCCCGACCATAAAAAGAACTCAACGCTAAACTGGGGTATCCGGCGTGAAACATGATACGTATTCAAGCATGAGCCACCCCTTGCGTTGCTGTCCAAAACGCGATTTGTTCCTTCAAAATATTGCAAGGAATTCGCATCAAAAAGTGAAACAAAGTAAAAAAACATAAACCTGATATCATGATTGAGACTCTCGAAATCAAACCCCCCCTTGCCGACCATCGTCCGAGGTAGGTCGACTACCTGCTAGCTCTGTCATGCTCTCTGTCTCGTACGTCTTGTTCGACCGGGACGCTGTCCGGAACTGGGCAAGGTTATGTCGGTGGTGGTGGGTATGATGGGTGTGGTGGGGATTGTCGTTCGTCATGCCTCCCACCAGCTCCGTCACGTCGGGCCGGCGTCCCAAGCGCAAGTCCGTTGCCAGGTTCTTCACCGCACTCCACGATGTTACCATATAAATGATGGCGTTCCAGAACCCCTGCAGCGGTAGCACGAATGCACTCATGAATTCAAGCGGCACCGACGCCGTCTGAGTGTGGAAGACTGAGTACACGCGATTCGCGCTTGATGGGATCCAGGTGATGAGGATCGCTGTGAAGAACAGGATGGCGCACTTAGTATATGACCAAGCCGCGTTGTTGAGATCACGGTTGCGTCTCCTCGTGGGGTTCGCCGTCGGTGGTCGTTGCGTGGAAGTCACTTGGCTGCTACTGTGAGCAGGCTGTTGGACAGGCATGACAACGTCCCCATTGTCCCCAGAATTCGGGTTGGCTGAAATAGTTATTGAGTAGGGGCCATTCGGGTTCTGCGGCTCGTCTAGGTTAGGCGCTCGCCGGCCTATCGGTTGTAGTTGCAGGCCATTCGTCTGATCCATCACCTCCGTCGTCACAGACACCTCCGTGGTTTTAACCGTCGTGAGTGCGTCGCCGAGCGATGTCAAATCCCGATCTGTTGAGCTGAAGTTGCCCAATTCCCTTCTTTTGAGGTAAATGGTGTGACCGGCGCGGATATAGACGAAAAAAGTGAGGAAAATGACGACCCTGGCGTTGTTAATGTTGGTCTGGAATCCATCCACGCCTTGAGCAACTTACCAGATAGGCCCATAAAAGGTGGCGATGCGCCATATGTCCCACTCGGGGGCAACCCAGCACCACAGTGTGGCATCGCCGTACATTCGCTCTCCCTGGCGGTTCTTGATAAAAATGTAGACGAAAGCTGGGACGAAGGGGATGCCGTAGCAGCCGATGAGGTAGGGGATCTCCATCCTCCGCAGCCGCCGGGCGTCAAACTTGAAGTAAAATGTCAAGTACACATTGATGGCCATGGTGAGGGTCCAGAAAGCATCCGCTGGCATGAACCTGTATCCTGTTAGAGCTGCCGTAGACGGAACAGTGGAGGTGGTGAGGCGCACATCTGGATTAGAAAGGCCTGGAACTGGCAACCGACCGAATTCGGGGAGTCAATATATTGCCTGGACATCAAAGTGCCGACATTGGTCATCATGTTGCCGAAGGAAGCGTAGAAGACGAGGCGGTTGATGGGTTTGTGGAAGGACTTTGACGAGACGAAGGTCCCAATGACGAAGAGGGAGCCAAGGAGGGAGAATACCGAACAGACACGCTCGATGATGCTGAGAGCGTTCAGCTGCGACTGGGTGAGGTGCTCTGCGGACGTCATGGCGCCGGTATTGATAAGGACGGCGGTTCTCTTGGGCGAGAGCTAGAGATGATACGGATATCGGGACTCGGGGGAACCTTGAAGTCAAGGAGGGAGCGCGGTTTAGTTTCTCATCGAGATGTGGTCATTTCTCGACAGACGGTAGGATTCAAGGGGTGAGTCTCCAAAGTGGAATGTCAGACCAGTTGCGTTGGAGGCAGGCGGTTGTTGTAGATGAGGGGCGATATGTAGCAAGAGGCAGGCCCGAGTGACAGATGGACGGAAGGGGCGTCGCGATGACGTGCAGAATTGACGGGGTGGCAGAGGCTCCGTTACGTGACAGTTGAATGGCTAATGCAAAGGGCCAGAAGGAGCAGTAAGTGACGAATATGGATGGAACAGTGAGTAATGGCGATCCGCCCCAGTCAAGAAAGTGAAGAGTTGATGGCGATCAATGCATGGCAGAGAGACCATGGAGGGGGGACGATGATGGACTGAGGGGGGGACCGTCATTCAAGTACACCGTTTTGGTATGGAAGCAGCCACGATGAGTAGGAGCACGGGACCGGCACAAGGGGATATAGCCAAGAGGGTAGGCCAAGGAGACAGCGATGAGGCGGGGGAGAATGGGTCGAGCAACAACCCAAACGGGAAAAGAGACGACGGGACGGTAAACGATAACAGGGCGCATGTGCTGTGTAGTCCGTTTTGGCGCTTTCGGGGGCGAGGACGAGCAGGACGAGGCCTGGAGGCTTGGGTGCCTTCTAAGTCGAGCAGGGAACAGGCCTGGGCGGACGGGCGTGCGTCTGAGTGCGAGACTGGGGACTGACGGTGGAGGCCAGGGTGGATGACGGCTGGACGCGATGGAACGAGACGAGATCAAGGCGTTCCAACGTGGTTGGTTTCGATGATGCTCCAGGGATCTCTACTTGGTGCAAGCTCAGGATAGCGGCGCGGTGGCGTACGATGGCCCGAGAGACAGGCAGGGGAGGCAGAACTAGACGAAACCACCGAGGCAGACAATAGGCGGATGAATGGATGAATGGATGAATGAATGAATGGAAGGAAAGGAAGCATGGAAATCAATCCGTGGCGACGAGAAATATCCATTTCTTGTTAAGCTGTCGGGCCAATCTGCAGCGGATGCCGGCGGGCCCAACGACCGTACTTGCATGTCTCTTGGGGCCTCTTCTGCCACCCCGGGATCCCAGATCAGCAGCACGAGAGCAAGTTTGGGTCTGGGCCTTGGCCTTGGCCTGCTGACGGAGGGCACAGAGAGATGGGATCTGTGCTGAGCCTTCAACGGGTTGAGATGACATGGGCGGGGGTAAGGGCCTGGCCGTCAAGCATGTCCCGGAGGCCGCGATGGCAGGGATGGACGGTTGGCGAGGCGAATCATGGCTCGCAGAAAGGGTTGTAGCAGAGGTTGCAGGCATTAGCAGCAGCGTTAGCTAACGGCGAGGAGGTGGGACCCCGCTCCGGGTCAGTCCAGCTCAGTGTTGGCTCGCGGCTTGGCGGAGGCATTGGAGAAGACCGTTGGTGTTGCGGGTGTGTTGTAGAAGAGAAAGTGAGAGAGTCACCGAGTGTGGGTGTGTGGGGTTTGGGGAGCCGTGCAGGTTGGTCAGCGCCAACACCAACATCTCCATCGTCGCTATTACCGGAAATAGCCCTAGTACAGCTCCCCGACCTGGGGGACCTGGCCTTTGGGCTGGGGCTTGTCCGGGGATGGCCAAGGGATCCAGGGCCATCTCACTTTTGGAACCTCCGCTACCCCCCTGTCGATCAAAACGAGTCTTGCTCTCTTCGCTGTTTCATCAACAGCCCTCCCGAGCTGGCGTTCGGGCCTTCGATCCAGAAGCCTTCACCTTTTTAGACGGCGCGGCTCTAGGGGGTAATCGGCCCTGAATATCGCTCGGTCCGTCATTGCTCTCGGAACTCACTGCTATCGGAACAATCGGATCGTCGATGATGGCGCTCGGCCTGGGTGCTAGGACATTGCTTGAGCGGGATGGATGCGTTCATAAGGCGAACATTCTCAATAAATGTCCGATGAACCCTAGATACGCTCGAGGTTTCACCCGAGACACAGAACACTGACGACCGGCGGACACGTGCGTGATGTGATGTCGAGTCCCGTTGACAGCTGGCGAGTGGTTGCATTGACTTCAATCACTCGGCGTTAGTGAATTCCTTCTTCTTTAGCCCTTCAGAACCGCCATCGACGCCCATGTCGACTAAATGATGGTAATTCCTCCGAAAGACGACCCGTCCTGGCCAGTTCAGTCTCTGTACTCGTGATGATACGCCATGACAGTCACTAATAAGAACCGCCGCCTTCTCTCCACCGGTGTTCAGCTCTAGCTACCGCGCTCGGCCGTTGCTCTCCGCTAGGGATATCGAAAACGACCGCCTCCGTCGGGACCCTCTCTCCATTTTTGCGCTGAGGGTCTTGGCGCGTGGTTTAAATCTCTGCTCTAGCTGCAATGCAGATTCCCAGCAGCGGGCGTCGTCTGGCTCGCAGGTGGGAAGCTTTGTTGGGTACCTGACACTCCCCCTTCCTCCCACCGCCCTCCTCCGCCTTCGCTTGGGTTTGGCTTCTGGCTTGGCCGTGTCTAGATGGCCTTGGCAACCTGGGGGAGCGGCGAGCACACTGGACTGGTGGAGTGGACTGGGGAGTTGACCCGCTGCGACTGCCACTGAAAAGCGGCATAACGACGAAGGGTCCGGGGTAAACGCCCTGGGACTAACGGGAAGCGGGGAAGAGACAGCGATGCCACTCACTGCTTTACGCAGTGCTAGTTACTTGATGCTTAGCGACGTGGTCTCTCAGTTGACATGCTACGGGTCCAGAACAACCAGCCAAGGGTCAATCCGACGTCTGCTGGAAACGCTCAATCATGTTCCTGCCGACACAGCGGATTAGCGTCCAGAGATTGCCTCAAACTCCTGCAACACGCGCGTATGTCGGGAGAACCAGCTCCACTTTAGCCGTACGAGAGGTAAGGATCAAGAAGGAAGCGCAAGAGTCTCCGAAATTGTTGGCGGCGGCTGAGCTGAGATGCGCACAATAGCTGCAATAGCGCACAACAAAGGGAAACACGATGCGGGACATGTTGGACGCTGTGAGAGTGTCAGGCTGTCAATCAGACAGCACTTTACGGTGGATACGCTTCGCGCTTCATAGTTCTCGCCTCCTATCTGCCAAGATCTGACATCCTCCTAACGAGTGCAACTCTCTGTAACTCACTTGGCTCGCTCCATCTGGTGCCTCTCCGTCAGCAATCGCTTTTGTGCGGCGAGCAGACTAGCATGCGGGCGGCGCGGATAGTGACAGTGACATCGACTGCGGCAGCGTCAGACTCTAGGTGCAGAGCCGGACTAGGTCAGGGTTTGTTGGCAATTGAATCCATTGCCTCTAATCTGAGGCACTGTTGGTCCTCTGCTGCGCTGCGTCACACTCGCACTCGCAAGCCAGGCCCCGATGGAGATTTTCCAGTTCCAGGCTGTTGTCCCTTTTCTTTTCCCCTCATATTAGCTTTCGCTCTGCTCGGATCCCAAGAGCCGGGCTGTGGAGTCGCGAGAACCACCACGGAGATGCGATATGTCACACGTCGTACATCCCAATCTGCGCCTCTGGACGCCGCGATCTCGTTTTCGCCTTTAATCCTCCCTTCCCTTCCCTTAGCATACCAGCAGACTGGACCGAGGCTTGCGCCTCCAAATCAATCGCCACGTGTAGCCACAACGATCCTTTCCCGGCCGGGAATCCTTCGCCCCAGGGGTGACACGCGCTACGTCGTTGTCAACTCGAGCCAACTCGCGTGCGAGCTGCCCAAATCCTCCCGTCGCCCTACCACCCTCCTTCGCCAACGCCACAAAATCCAACCCTGACCAGCCCTCCGCCCGAAGCCCCGGGCGGCGTCGAGGCCATTGGACGGGCTTGAGATTTGAATCATTGTGATGGGCGGGATGCAAATCGCCGGCGCTACGCGAATCTTAACTTGGCTGTGAGGTGATATATGCCACGTTTGTGGCTCGCGGCCCTGCGGATTCTAGGCGTCGCGAGGAAGACGCATCCCACATCCCCGGAAAATCGACAAGAAGCGAACATCATGCCACGCTGACGCAGTGTGACGGCGCAGTCACCCCGTCCTCGCCTCGTAGGCCTGTTCTGGAGTCTGGGGGAGTTGGCGCTGCGCCAATGCCCATGACGGCTTCACTCTGGGGGTTCCCCGCAATGAGTGACCAACATTGGCTCCTCCTCAGATCCTCATGGTGATCCAGATAGTAGATCTGCAGTCTGGGCCCGTAACTCGCACTGCCCCTCTTTCCGCGGGCTGCCTCTTGGCCATTCACACTCTGTAATCGCCCCCTGGAGGCTATTTCATCAAACATCCCCCTACCAGTGCTTACATCGGACTTACCCAACCCTTCCCCGTATGCTGCATCCATCATGAAAGAGCTTCATTCTCAAAATGGGCGTTACGTCCGAGTAGTTGGGTTTCGCATGATCGCTCTAGACCCTCCACTTCTGCGCCCGCCTTGTGTCCAACCGCCTTAAACCCATGTACGACACCGCGCCAATCCTCGATGCGACTATCACTCATTGGGCACTGTAAATAACCCATCTTGCTTGATACGCATTGATGATCTTGAAGTAGTTGGAGTCATGACTAGTGTCCCGGGCCCGATGTCACCTGTCACCAGACTGGGCTGAGGACTAGTCCTTATAGCGTGACCTGCAAGGGACGCCATTGTCGACCGACACTAGACTGATTGCTGATCAACATCGGCGAAGATGAACGCAGCCGTGTATCCGTGGTGTCGCTTATCATCTCGGGCTCATTGCATCGAGATACTGAATGTCGACGTTCCTCGTGTGCCATCGAATCATCGACAGGGAGCCGACCTCAAAGCGAACGGTGGGGAAAGCAGTCTCTCACTTCAACATGCCAGGGGACCTCAACCCCCGTCTGTCACGGGCTGCGCCCCAGACTCATCCTAGCCACCCCAGATTGACGAACAGCACTCATGATCTTGCTTGCCTGCGTTATCATCACCATTCACCTCCGGAGGATCGCTGCGCCAAAATTTCACGTGAGTTGCTCATCGCGTGATTGCTGATCTCGGCCGAACAGCCTCATAAGCAAGGGATTGTCGCTCATCAACCACTTCGATATACGCAAACCATGCCTGAAGAAGCTACGAGTCCTCTACCCCTGTTTGGCAGGTCGGCAATGTCGCAGGAACGCTCTTGTTCGCGGTAAGCTAGAACGAGCCACCATCAAACGAGATCCGTGCCAACCCATACCGTATCGCGTCAGCACTTGCTCTGCCCTCGACTACTGTATGTCCCCCTGTGATGATGAGGCACGGTGCGCTTAACGAGCTGTCTCGCCCGCTAGCTGACGCCCCCCTTCAGGGTCATCTCGGCTCAAATGGACAGAGGACCTTCATTCGGATACCCTTGCCCGACTCAGCATCAGAAAGTCCCCCAAAACTATTCCCACGGATCAGTGATTCTCTTCCCTTCGTGTGTTTCTGGCATTAGAGTTGCCCCTAATTCCGGAGCCCTGTCTGCTTTGGCAAAGTTCTTAGGGCTCACTAGGAGGTTCATGATGCCGAAGGCTTATTCACGGTCCACCTCAGCTGCTCCAGTAAAACATATTTAATCTCGAATTGGACGCTGAATAGGGAAGTGATGGTCATGGGGCCACACCCACTCTCACTGTACCCCTCAGCGTGAAGCCTCGGTGTAAATGCCGTTATGGGGGCTAGTTAAAGCTCAAACGAGACCATCGTAGGACTGTGCTTGTGATTCGGCCATGCGGAAGACTCCTTGTCAACTTTGAGTTCGGTCAGAGTTACTCTAGGCGTGGATCATTTTGCAGCTGCCTTTGCCAACCTTGCGGCATAATTCGGGATTCCTCTAATGATCGAACTAAGGTGGCCATGCATTACTACGTACAAAGGCAATTGACCCCTGAGAATTGGAAATTTGGTGAATTCCCGCCAACACCAGACTGCGTCGAAGCTCGTTGATGGCTCAGTTCTTCAACCTCAACCGGAGCAAGGTAAGAGGGCGGTTGCTCCGGGAGCCGTCCAAGTCACACCGAAACCTTGTAATATCTACTGCTATCCCCAGAAGTGGCGTCAAGGCGGAAAGTGGCCTGCTAGACAATGAAAATAAGCTTAATCGTTGCGTTTCTTGGGTGTTTGAACTGGGTCTCCGATATTGAAACTGCTAGCATATTTGGTATGGTTATCCATGTCGCGATTGCACAGGTATATGTAGCATGCCCTTGATTCCGTCTGTTTTTTGAGTTTTGCAGCTGCCTTCGAGTAAGCATGGCTGGGCTCTAACTGGCGTAATTGAAGCTGAGTTTTCGGGTTGAGTTCACCCACAGGCGCGACCTCCACGATCCGGACCAAAAACGGGTCTCTTTCCACCAATGATGCAGTTAAGGTTGAAGGCAGAATATATCCCAGTCCATACAGAGACACAACTCCCCTTAAAGGTTAGTACAGTTCAGGTGGCCTACTAAGGGGAGACTGGGGGCTAAAACGTAGTTTCAACGGTGTGTCCATTGTTGATTTCTACCAGTCCATTGCGCCAAAGTTCAACTTTAGTTGACCTCCAGCTCTGATTCGTTCACCGTTTAAATTCCTGAAATTCGTCATGTTTGTTCGTGCGGGGATTGGTGGATGTCCATGGAAGATGTAGGGTAGTTGAATAGTACATTATTCACACATAAGTATAAATGCTGTGTTATTTCGAAGCCCATCCAGAAATATGATCGCACGGCCAGATAATTAGACCATGCTAACTTATAATATTCTTCTTTCACACTTTCCAAATCTTTAGGGCTGGTAGCTACGGGGGTCAGTCTAACAATTCCGAAGCAATTATTTAGGTAGACAGAGGTGACCGCAGCTCTCCTTGCCAAAATCAACCACCAACACACCCAACGCATAACAGCGAGGCTCAGCTATAACGGTCTGCTTCCATTAAACAGAAATGTCAAGAAATTGAAGACTCTAATATCAATACGGATATCTCAAGATGACTACGAATCGCTGTCGCAGGATTTGGTAAGTTTAGGCAAGGTGAGCTGCGAACAGATCCCTCACTTACAAGGGTTCAACATCGTGTTCGCCAACCACCAGTGAAGTTATACTCCACCGGAAACCTCTGTCAATACCATCTCCGATTGTCCGTTTAAAACTAAAGCAGCAGTGAGACATTATCAAGTTACTTCATCCGAGACTAGTAAACACAAGTACCTTCCGAGGAAAGTTTCCTGGCGTCACTGGATCGGGTGTATCTGCTTTGCCTTAGCGATCTTCTTTTACCACCCTTGTGAAGCCTTCCATACAAACCTGGTTCTGTCTAGACAAATAATACCCCCTCCACTGCACCGCAAGTTCCATCAGACCAAGATCGGCTCCAGCCGACTCGTGCATATTATCCCCATAGGCCTACTAGAGGTAGCTCAGAGAGGTACCGCCCCGAGTCCTCTTCCTCCTGTAGTGTTAGACATTAAGTCCTAAGTGTAGTCTTCGACCCACTCGATCTCCGACCGTGAATCATACCCGGCCTCGGGCTGCTGGGTTCCGGCCGCGATTCACGGCCCCTTGGGTACATAAATCTTCCGCTCTCCCCGCAGCTGACCCATCTTTTCTTCCTTCCTCACCACCGCCATCTGCATCTCAACAGAGCCCGAGCCTCAATAAACAGCACAACGTCCAGCTGCAGCAACAGCTACACCATGATGTCAACTCTTGATGTTAGTATCGTCCTGTGTATCGTACACCCCAAAGCGAAATTGCCAGTCACGAGGCTTATGTCCCCATCCTCCGCTATAATCTCGATTCCATATTCACGGAAGCAAGGAGAATGGGCGGTGCCCCGAAGAGATACAATTGTTCCGGCTCTTCGGGTCTCGCTTGTGCTCTTTGTTTACTGTGATTATGGAGTCGAGGTTATGGCGGTAGCTGTTGACACAAGCCCTGTTGCGAGCGATTTCCTCTTCGGCTACACAATGTACAGGCGACGCTCACAACTAGGGCTGACATCACGGCGCTTCTGTTGCTGCAGTCGGACGTTGTGCTGTCTATTAGGTTCCGCGTAGTTGGCGTTGGGCGAATTTTGCCAGATATTATCTCTGTGGAAGACGTCGGCCCTGCCAGAACAAGAAGAAGGCAAGCCAGCAGAAATTCGACATGGAACGACTTAAGAGAATTTTTAGGGACGGAGGGCAAGCGTCAAGTGCTTTCCTCCATAACCATTGTGTCAGTGAAATATTCAGCCTGCCGGGGTACAAATGGAACGTTGACATGGGAGAACTCGGGCACGGTGTTTGCGAATGTGGTTCATACTCTCATGAACATGTTGTTGTTACTCCAAACTCTTGCTGCTTTGCTCGAACGGTTTAGTTTAGGGCTGACGGTCCGGAGATGGTTGCCTGGGAACAGCGATTGGCGTACTCGAGAAGTTGCAACCGCAACCAAAACATCAAGATCTAGAATTCCGGGCAGTTGCCTCGTCGCCTCGTCGTTCCTCCCCGAAAATTCTCAAGAGCGCTCTACAAGGCCACGTGGGCTAATATCTCAACAAGTCCAGAGTCCCATTTGCCCTCAATCTCTTCTCCGTCAACTCCTACTCCCTTACTCGCCTCAATCAACACCGGCAGCATACAACCCGGCCATGCGAACGACATAGCTTCATCGCACATTAAAACAACATCCTATTCGCGAGCCTTTCAATTTTAAGCTTCTATTCATTACAATTGCACCTGTACCTCCTACACTCTGTCCTTTGTGTCATGGGATACGGTTTCGGTTACGGTTTCAGTGGCGGTAGCTGCGGCGGCTACGGAGGCCGGGGAAGACCTGGATACAGCTACTCGGCCATCACGCCATCAGGCAGCTCGGAACCTGACAGTCGGCATTCGAGGGGCCAGACGAGGTCCAATACATCTCGACGCACTTCGGACAGTTGTGATCGACACGCGCCTCAGCAGCGGCACCGCGCCGACACTGGAGGGACGACCTACGAAAGCCTGCCATCTGGATTGACCGCGCCCCGGGACATAATTCCATGCAACCTCCCGTGCTCGAATGAAAGACGAGAAGAATGTCACGTAAGGTTGCCGTCAACTTTCCAGAACTTAGGTCCACAGCATTACTCCCAGGGACCCTCAAAGACAGCCTCGAATGCGCCCTCGAATGTACATTTTGCTCCCACTGGCAAGAAAGCGCCCCCGAGAGTCAGCACCGACAGACCACCGGTGGAGAGAAAACAGTACCATCGACAAAGTCATGAAAGTATTCGATCCGTTCGATCCAAGGTGCCGCCACGGCCTCAAGTATCCCGGCCGAGCTCCATAGCCCCAGCGCAGAGGTCGGTACCGGCCAGGAGCGAGTCTAAGTCGAAGGGTGGACGCGGCTTGTGGGGATGTTTCGGTGGATAGGCATGTCTCAAGCTATGAAACCGCGGCGGAAATTATGATCCTGATGGACAGATTGTTGGATTGCCGACGGAAGTCTTGTGAGTGCTGAGGGAAGTTGCGTGTTATTGCGGATTGGGTGCAGAACCACTGGCTTTGACTACGACTGTTGCACTTTATGGACGAAGCAAAGACCTCGGCCAGGCGATAAGGCATTCCTTCTTATGAATATTCAAGTATTTCATTGATGTTCTGTGTCCTTATGGCTCGTTTTTTCCCCATCCGTTGACGCCTAACAGAAACTCATGAATTGAGGTCTCTCCAACACAACGTCAACCTTTATTACAGCCACCCCCCTGAAGGACACTGAGGTTGTTGCAATAATCTCGGAGCCTCGCCACCTTAATTCTCCGTTACTCCAAGGACGCGGTCAGCATGCAGCCTTGGCTCCAAGCGGCTGGTGAGTGCAACCAGTGACTCAAGCTTGCATCCTCGACCACAACATGACCACGAATCCAGCCCCGAAGAAGCAATTACTGCACCGGGGAACACGGACTAAATCACGGGGTGAAGGCCATGACAGCTTCTCTGGTAAGCATTGGTCGCCTGAGTCTCACCACTGTCGGTACCGAACGCCACTGCAACCTCGAAACCGAGAAATTACAATAGGGGATGCTGGTCTGAGTTGGGCTGAGCTGGGACGACTTCCCTCCTGCATGCGAATAGAGACAAAGCCACCGCCCGCTGAGCAACGGCGTCATGCAATCTGTGACAAGATAACCAGCCACACAGAAGGATCGTCAGCTCGGAGCTGGGCGCACGCATTGTGTCGTGCAGAGGTCATGTAGTGATTTCGCAGCATTGGGCAGCAGCACTCCTGCCTACCCGACTGTAATCTCCCAGACCGCCCGTGGCGTTTCGCGTTTTTGAGTGTTCAGCGCTGCCTGCTTTTGTTTTATTTCATTTTTATTTTCGTTTGTGTTGTTTCCCGGCACGCTGGGCTGGGATGGCTGCCCTCCGGCGTGCCGTCGATCCCCCCGCAGGCTCTGGGGGGCAGCAGCGTGGGTAGTAGCATGCACAGTTTATGCCAGGCCGTCTTCCTGGGGGTCAGGGTGGTTATTATTCGTACTGGATTGTACGAATACGCGTGGGGAGAAGGGATGGGAGTAGGGCCGAGGCGCATGCAGACTGGTTCTCATGACGCTGGGAAATCCTGGGATGCGCAGATAGTCTTGGGGGTTGCTGACTGCCTCTGGGACGAGGCCTGTTGCGGCTCAAGGGCTTGAGGAGACGAGGAGACGAGGAGACGAGCGGAGTAAACGACTTACCGCCAGTTTGCCCCCCCTCCCCCCACCTCGCAACAACTCGTATGGTTCTGGGCGGCACCGCGGAGCTAGCGGGTTGATGTTCTGGTGATCTGATGCTGTGCTCTGTATTCCAGGTGCCTACCTACCTTAGGTATCCAGGACACTAGGGATGCGATGACGTGAAGACACATGCTTGCATCTCATTTTCTATCGGCCACTGACGACACCCTGCTTCTCCCGGCACCGCCCACGTTCTTCACCCCCGGGACTTGCACTTTGGACTTTGGACTCAGGCTCAAGTTGATGCTGAAGAGTCCCCGCGGCTGGTAGTGTAACCACGCCATCACACCCATCCCTGGCATGGCATTTCGGAAGGGGACCACTTGCAGGAAACCACTTGCAGGAGGAAACCACTCTGCAGCAAGTCCGTCCGTCTGCCTGTGGCTCCGAGCCCATCTCGTCCTGGATGCCCGCACTTCCTGACTCAACGTAGTTCACACTCGTCTTCCACTGCATCTGGACCTGGGTACGTACTCCCGCAGGGCGCCTTTTGCTCCGCCAATCATGTCCACGGGTGCCCCTCCTTCCCAACCTGGGCCCCTCCCCCTCCTTGGTGCCCGCTGCTCTAGCATCGTCATTATTTGAAAAAGCAGCTGCTTTTTCCCACGTCGATTTGGAAATTCCCAAACATCTCCTCCAGCCTGATCGCATCATCGCCTCTCCGCCTCTTCGTACTTTATACGCCCACGCCCGGCGGGTCTCGCGCGACATTATACCACGTCCCTCTCCTGCAGCGCGCCGTCTCACGCCAGCGCTGCATCACGGCCGAAGAGCAGAGCGGACGCACGACAGGGAGCCCTAACCAAGGCACTCAAATAGCTCTCGGCCACGGGCATGGGCAGACCTTAGACAGCTCAAACAGGGGCCGGAATCATATCACATGCAGCTCGCGACGCAGCATCGTCCGTCTTCTCCCCCCTCCCCCCTCCCCCCTCCCTCTCCTCTTCCGTCATCCACCTTCCGGCGAGGAGGGTGCTGCCCACGCCCCCGAAACAACCGCATCCATGGGAGGCATGCAGCCCGACCCGCACTACTGACGCACCCGCACCCTGACCAACCGTTTCCTCCTCGCTGCTGCACAGGTCGACTTTTGGCGCCACGATGGTCCGCAGGTACCGGTACTTCCAGGCCTCCTGTCCCCGTCTAGTCGATCCCTATGGTGGGGCTGGACGAGGCTCGTCCCGGGTCCCGTGGTCGCTCGGCGGTACTGGTGCGAGCATCCCCGACGGGAGCTAGGCCGGCTAGTGGCGATTGTGTGGGGAAACCGTTGGTTTATGGATGCGTCGATCGGAACCAACTTCGACGTTCCATTGCACTTACATATGCCTCGAAGTCTCCATCACGCCCCAGTTCAAAAAGGGGCAATTCCGCCATCGGGTGCTCCCCAAAGACCAAGTATTTCATTTAAAGTCTGGCTATCAGGACGGCACCGGCCTGCCTGCTGCCCAACGTTACTCCGCCGTCTCCCAAGTAACAGAAACTCCGACGTGCTAAAACATCTGTCGACTCGAATCCAATAGACCCAAAATATCTTATACATACAGTAAAAGTATCCACCCTCGTCGAGCTTTCAGGCCAAAACAAAACTCAAGCCAGGGTATCACAATTTCCGGCCAGACTCCCATGTACAGTCCGGCACGACCAGCGAAAAAGAAAACGAAGCAAAAGAAGAAGAGAAAAAAGAATCCCCTGTTGACGAAACGTGTCGAGTCCCAGGTTCTGTTTACCAGGCTGTTTAACTGGCGGTGTCCCAATTTAGTTCCTTCGACTCCAATCCCACAAAAGAAATCCGTCCAGAATCTGGCACCATTTTGCAAAACACACAAGAATCGAGCTAACCCGCAATAAAAGACGCTTAGATAAATTCCAACAAAAAAGAAAGAACCCCCCCCCCCCCCCCCAAAAAAAAAAATTTGCGGTGATGGAGGAAAGTCGGGTGAAAGGCGAGCGCAGCCTATGCAATCGCAGTGTGGGCTTCGCTACTGTTGGTGTAATGGTGGCGCCGATTCAAATTTACGCCGATCCCATCGCTTGCCGCTCGTGAGAGTTGCGGGGTGCCGATCCGAGATGCATGCTGAGAGCTCTCACTTGTCACCATCTTGAATGAATCTTCCGCTAACGCCGTCGTGCCGTCGCGCCACCAGTAATGGAGCACATCACTCTGCCACCGCCAAAAATCATTTATCTTCAGCGACCGGCTGCTCATAAAGGTCGAGTGGAGCAACGTTGCGTTCATGGGCGACATGCGAAGCTGTTGCAAGAGCCATCGGTTCACAAAGTCGGTTTTGCCGCCGGTCTCATGATCCATGATAAGCCGGTCAATGGCGTACTCCTTGGACGCGAGCTGCATCTTGGCTTTCTTACCGGGATCGTTGTCAGGGAGTGTCGCTGCCGCCTTGAGCGCATCAAGTGATGTCTGTGGTACCATGATGTGCTCGGGCTGTGTGAGGAGCACAGGGAACTTGGAATGAGCCAGGCTAGGTCGCTGCTCAAGGATCACCTCGGTTTCCTCCAAGCCCATATCCTCAAACTCCCTTTCAGGGTAGAGTAGGTACTCGACTCGAGGAGACATGTGTTTTCGCATGACGCCCTGGGTTTCGCACTCATTTTTGAGACGGTCGACGGCTACCTCGAGCCTATTGATATTACCCACCATTCTCTCCTGTTCGGCTGGGAACTCGGCATAGAACTCGTTCACTTCATCCCCCATTTCGGTTGGCCGCTTCATCTCCAAATCATAATCGTACTGCTCTTTGATGAATAGCAAGTCTTCATGATCCTCCTTGGCATTCTCAAGGTCACCCACCGTCGACATGAGTTCCACATAGAGGGGATGGAGGTCCTCTGGAGGACCGTCAGGGGATATGCCCTTCAGATCCACGGGCATGCTCTGGAAGTAGTCAATTTGATCCAACTCAGAATCTGTGTTAGCCTGAGGTCGTTCTAGCCTCGTGCGACCGGCAGCTAACAGGCTGAAGAAGCGCGTCTCTAGGCTGTTGAGTTCCACCTCCTCCTCGTCCAACATGACTTCGAGCCCCTCGTAATTGGCCTCTAGGAAGTGGTAGTCTGTCCGTAGACTCTGCATGTCGTTGAGTCGTCGATCCAGGAGGTTAGGCGGCGTGTGCATCGCACCCCGCTGGCTAATAAGCATTGGCCGGATCACGCTCATGAAGGCATTGTCGGCGTCGTCCTTTCTCCGACGCAGATCTCTTAACTCCTTGCGTCGTTTCGCCATCTCGGTTTTCATGCGGTTCAGCTTATCTCTCTTTTCCTTGAGCTTTGTCCAGAGCATTTCTATTTCACCCTCCGAGGATACGGAGGATGCCACAGACGCGTTGGATCCTCGCGTGGTGTCCTTGATGGTATCGAATAAACCCCTGTGTGGAGTGGTGGGTTTTGGTTCCATCGGTGGTTCCGTGAGAGGGCTCTGCGCCCTTTCGTATTGGGTAACCCATGAAGTGATGTGTTTTGTGGCAGAGGCTTTGCTGTCTGTTCCTGGCGAGCCAAAAGCCGGGGCCGTTGGGAGAAGGGGTGGGAACTGCCGAGCGTTCCGGTAGACGATTGGATCTTCCTCAGATGATGAACCAGAATCAGATTGCGGAGTGAGGGACGGACGTGTTGTAGAGTACGTTGAAGAGCCAGATGAACGGTTGCTGGACCGTTTCCGGGGCCTCCCCCTCGGTCGCGTGCGCCGAGAATGAGATTTACGGCCCGATGTAGAGCCGTCATGTATTTTAGATAGCGTTGATGTCACTTGGGGTCCTTGAGCCCTGACACTCCATCCTTGGGGTTGTCGAGGAATTTCGGCGCCACCATTTCCATCTTCTGAGTCGATCGGAGAACGGGGTCGGAGGGGAGGCGGCGGTGGTGGTGGGAGAACTGGGAACATAGCTTCACTGGCTCGAGACGTATCATGGTCGGACCTGGGAGGTGGGGGAGGTGGAGGAGGTGGTAGCCCGAAGTGTGAAGGCCGAGGAGGATCGTTGCTTCGAGGGGGAGGCGGTGGAGGAGGCGGGGGTTGATATCGAGGCACGTTGGAGGTGCGCGATGGCGGAAATAGAGAAACGTTTGGAGCGTTTGGCGGTGGCGGAGGAAGTGACGGTAAGCGTTGGCGATAGTCTTGATAATCGGGTGGTGGAGGTGGCAAGGATGCTTTTATATTCGAGTCAAATGTTTGGCCATGTTTGAAGCCCGAGGGGGGTGGCGGCGGACGCGACATAGGGAGATCGGGCGTGGTGACGCTGCTGGAGCGGGCCGACTCGTCACCTTGGAGGCGCGATACGTCGCTCTCATGCTCCTCTGTATCGTCGTACGCGAGCATAGCGTCTGGGTCTGGGACGTGCCACGCATTGCCAAAGGCGCGGGGTGAGTGGCCGTCGATGCTGGCATTGGCATGGACGTGGACGGGAGAAGCATGAGGATGAGGAGGAGCATGAGAACGGGCGTGTGCGTTGGCGTGAGCGTCAGCCTGGGCGTGAGGATGAGGCTGGGGCACAGGCACAGGCACGGACACGGGCACTGGAAGCGCGAGACTGGGGTGGTGGTGAAGGAGAGTGGTGACAGTAGCGGCATCCATGGGGATGGCTAAGAGCAGGCAGAGGGAGCGTGAGGTCGGGGGGGAGGTTTGTCCATGTCTCGCGATGGCATCGATGGGCTGCGAGAGGCGGAGGTGGGATCAGATAGCCGTGCCAGGGCGACAGGTGATGGTTAATGGAGGATAGGTGATGGGTATGGACGATCGGCGATGCGGCTCTGTGGTGTGCTGTGTAATGAATTGGTTTAGATTGAAGGGAGAGCTGTGTTGGAGGTACGTTGACCTTTTCGGCTGCCAGGAGTGAGGCGAAAGGTGGAGGACGACACTAGCAAGGCGAGCTTGGGCCTGCGGCCACTAGGGCTAGCGTGCTAATAGGTGGGTGAACCTCCCAGGCGGAGCCGGCAGAGAGAGGCATGGTGGTACGGAGTGCATCAGAGGTGACTTGGAGCAGTTGATAAGATGGCCAGCGAATGGAGTAGTGCTGTGCACTCGTGCACTCCGTACTACTCAATGCAGAGCCCCAGATTTGAGCCGTCGGCAAAGGGAGGCCCATCCCAGCGGAGAGCGAGTCCACCGCGGATGGCATGACTGCTGACAGCGCCAGGGGCCTAATGGTCGCAATCCCCAGGCCCCTGCACTGAGGGACTGGGGCCGCCACTCGCTGTACTGTAACGTGCTGTGACCTGGCTCCATGGAGGACCACTGGAGCAGGCAACATCCACAGTGGTCTGGGCCACGTAGAGCAGCAGAGGACCTTTAGAGGGGCCTTAGAGGCTCGTCGAGGGAGCATTGCAATGGGGCTTGAGACGCTTGAGAGGACGAGAGGATATGATAGGGTATGATAGAATGTGTGATATGATATGATAGGACATAATACGGCTTGGCCAGCTCAGTTAGCTTTGGTAGGTTCTGGGAGGTTCTGACAGGTCTCAAGCAGTGACATCCATTCCCCACCTACCTACCTACAGTACGGAGCACAGGTGGTCCTCGCTCCCCCGCGGGCCGATGGCCGCTGTGGTTCCTACCTAGTTCTGGCAGCTCTCTGACAGCTTGCTGCATCGCGGGGTTTTAAATTGAGTATTCCAAGGTTGCTATTCGCACACGGGTATAAGCCCATTTAGCCAAACTTCAACCAAACCAATATGCCTGGCATGCATGCCCAGGGAAAGGGTACATGTAATTTTTATATTTAGGATCAGAGAAGATACTTGTGCGGGCAAATAGCTAGCTCCACGTGTGCGAATCGCAGTGCTCTCTAAATTAGCTTCCATCCCCCCGCCGTCCGCCGCCGTTTGTGCCGGGGGTTGGAAACGTGGGCCCTTTCCTCCCCCACTAACCTGCACCCGTCTGCACCCGCCGCATGCACCGGTACGTCTCGTCGCTTGTGTGGCACGCCACATGCACAGCTAGACGCAGCCTGGCAACACAGGCCACACCAGCGGGGAGAGGGAAGGAGGGACGTGGACGTGAGTGCCAGGTCGCTTGTCACTGTACCTCGTCGCCATCAGGTCGCTGTCAAGTCTCGGCCAAACGTCTCCATCAACATGCGCTTCGCCGACGCCGTCGCCATCGCCATCGCCATCAACACCACCCGGCTTTCACGTCGTTCCCCCCACTCCCTCCTCCACTTCCTCCACTCCTCTGGCCGGGGGGTGTGCGGCTTTCAATGGCAATAGCAATAGCAATGGCACCTGCCCGTCCGTCCAACCCGTCTTGCCGTCCAACTGGACCGGACGTGGGCCGTGGAAGGGTCCCTCTCTACTCCCCCTCTCAGGTCTGGTTTGCTGCTCTTCCAAATGGCCGTCCAGTCGCGGCCTAGAGTCTCCAGTCTCCGGTCTCCAGTCTCGAGGCTCCAGCGCTGGGAGTACCCTCCTTCTAGCCCATCCATCCATCATGCGAGCCCGCGGGTCGCAGTGGAACTCGTCTTTTTCTTGATGCGCGCAATAAACCTCGCTGGCTCCAGGGCCGAGGACTGATAAGCTGCGCATGCCGCTGCTCGCCCACACCCATTCTCCCGTCCGATCCCGTTCCCTACCTGTCTCTCCCTCGGCTGGCGGGATTGACTCATTGACCGATTGAATTGATTGATAGCCTTCCCTCCACCTCCGTGTTCTCCTCTGCGCTGAGTTGCTTCCACCGCTGCCGCTGCCGCTGCCGCTGCTTCAGCTGTCCTGCGGCCATGCGGACGGATGCCCACGCTGCAGCACCACCGCATCCTCCTCCTCCACCAGCGTCGCCAGCGCCACCACCACCAGCAGAGCACGAGATCCGGCTCCAGCATTTGCATCCCTTAGTCTAAGACTCTAAGCCCACCGGCAGATCTGACTTGCGCCGACCGGCGTTGGACTAGACAAAAGGAAAACCAAAGCTACCGGACGCCGCACGCCGCGACAATCCACAGCCATAGAGAAGCAGGCGACACCAGGGAATCCGGACCCAAGGCCCAGGGGAAGATACCCGACATACATACCTCCGTTCGTACATATTTGTACATACGGGCATCCCTCACGCCCACCCACCAGCACGCCGCCAACGCATCCAACAGGAGGGGCCAACGGGGAGTGCTCTCCAACTATCCCGTGCAACCAGTCCGCAGCGGCCATTGTTCGGCTCGCGCCTTTTGCGTCGCTGAGCCGCATGATCAACTGTTTCCCGGCCCAGCTGCTCGGCCTGCTCCTACAAAAACCCCACCCTCCAACCCTCTCCCCGGGTTGGTGCCTTGAAGCCTCTAGCCTTGGGTTGTGAGCCTTGACACCCGAGAGCCTTAAGCCTCGAGCCTGGTCCCAAATTCAACCTGCCACCAGGCCATCTCCAACTTCATCACCCATATCGGCTTGCTTGCTTGCCTGCTCGCTTGCCTGCTCGCCTTTCGCTTGATTCCCTGCCCTGCTTGACTGCTTGCATGCATCGTATCTGTACACATTCCCGGGGAAGATGCCACCATGCATAAGTCTAGCAAGTCACATTGGGGCGGCTGGTCAGATTGGGTCTGGAGTGAAGACTACCAAAGATACTATCGCCAGCGCCAGGATACCAATGGTTCGCTTCAATTCTCCACTTCCTCCTGGCTTCTAGGGCCATTGCATCTGATGTTAACCAAAACCACACAGGCAAACTCGACACCGAATGGCATGATGGGTCGACCAGCGCCGCTGATGAACGGACCCCGCGCGAACCCGACGTAGACGCCCTCGCCGATGAACTCAGCAACACCCATTTCCAGGACCCTTCCGCCGCGGCCTACGAGGCGCAATGTATGGCATTTTCTCCTTCTGTACCGCATCTGCCTCTGGTGATCTACAGCAATTCAAACCGAGCTAACACCCGACGCAGCACACGAATACGCCATTGACAGTGGCCAATCCAGAACTAAATCCAAATCCTCAAAGTCCAAATCTAAATCGAAGTCAAGCAGATCCAAAGGCAAGAGCCGTGCATACTCCGATGATGACGAGGACACAGAGCGGGAGGGCACAGGCGCCAGCTCCTCCATGTATCCCGCTACTGCCGATACCCAACCGCAACAATGTAAGTCCAGCGTTTCTATCCGCTTGACAGTATTGCTCATCATTTGATAGACATCGACCCCGAAACTGGCCAATACTACACCTACCCAGACCCCTCACAACAACATGCGACTTATCCTGACACCTCCACGGCCAGTATGTCAAGCACCACGCGGCATCCTTCGCGACGCTTCTATTGTTTATGAGTACTGACTTGATAAATGAAACAGGGTCTGGTGGCGCACATTATGCCCAACATGATCAAATTCCCGATGACGAAGACCCCAACATCCTGGCAGCGATCGAGGCGAGCCGAAACTATAACTACGGTGCCCACGCTGCCGGTGAGCCATCTACTGCGGCCTACGGTATGTTGTTGAGAATCGAAACCAACGCTCTGGTAACTCACTCGTCGTCTGTAGGAGAATACGACTACGAAGACGAGGGTCCACCGACGCCTCGTCCAGGGAATTCCCGAACCACCCACATAGCCGCTACCGAAGGGGAAGCAGAGCAGCTAGATCCCCGTACGTAATCAACATGCACAAAAAGGGCCACCCTGCTAATTCTATTCACAGGATATCGCGTAGAGCACTCCAATAGATTTCAGCCAGGAGAGGTACGTTCGTCTCTCGTCTTTGCGTAGTCACCGCTAATTGCGATGTAGATCTTCAAGGTGCTCTGGTCCGAACCCCAAGGAACCGGTAATGACACGGCACCGTCGGTATCCGAAAGGAAAGAATACCGAGACAGATTTGGGGGCAAGATTTTTGTGGGCTTCCGTCGATTCATCGTAATTGCCAACGATCAGGGGCATTGCACATGCGTGTAAGTGATGACTATGGCATGATCTGGAAACAGGCACTGACGGGATAGACCTATCCTCACATATGGCAGCAAAGCCTGCAATAAGAAGGGCATTAAGCCCGAGAAGCATGGTATTATCCATGAAAGGGGCAACAAGCCGCGACTCCTCTCTGGAGAGCCGAAACTCGGCTTCGCACCCGTCAAGGTTGAGATAACTCAAGAGGGTGAGAAGCTGAGCAAGGAATCCCGAGTCAACTACTCCAAGCTAGTCACGGTCGAACACAACGTCAAGGTCTTCTTCATTGGCCATATCGCAGCCGCTGACTACGATATCGTTGCGGACGCTGTCAACCGATGCTGGGATGAAAAGATTCACCGCAAGAAGAAGCACAGTCATCGGTGAGCCCGGGTCCAACCCCCACACACCCACGTTCCTGGATGCCCAAACTTGGGGCATCTTGTTCAGGCGCCTCTTCAACGGCACCCAGTTATAAATACGTTACTCGAAGGACAGAGGCTTGGCCTACAGGCACTCCTGTTAACCCTTCTCTCCACGATGTTACACGACAGCTACGGCTCCAACGAGGTTTTGGGGGAGTAGACACTGCGAGCCTGGCGGGACTAGTGCTCAGTGGGTTTTTGTTTCACAGATGTGAATGGATTGCAATGTCTACACATCTTGTCGCAGCATTTATGTGTCGGAATTCATGTTCAGCATACGGAGTAGCAGTTCCTTTTGTTTGCCTTTTTTTTTTTTTTTTCGTTTTGGATATTCTTGTTCAAGTTGATTGAGCTTTGGGCCTTAGTTCTCGGTAAACCACGGCGCGGAGTCGAGCCGGGGGGAGTCATGGAACGGACTATGATCTTTCGCATCGCCAGACTTTCTATCTAGGGATAACGGCATAGGGAAAAGAAGACAAGCGGAACAGCACTTACCGAGAGCGACTACAGCAGGTCTGCCAGGAGACAAGAACTTACCTTTTAATGTCTTTTGCGTTTCGAAACTATCGACGGATTATCACCTGTGCCGAGGTCCAAATGGTCGTTTTCTTTGCTTTTCTTGGCGAGTTGGAGGCGATTGGAAAGATGGAAGAATTTCAAGACAAAATCAGATTGTGGAATCTTTCTCTTTTGTATTTCTTATTTGATGTCGATATAGTTTCGGTATCGTCACGATCGTTCATGTTGCTTTTGTGTGATAGAATGGTGTCTCGTGAAGATGATGCATATTTGTAGTGGACAAGAGGGAGGGGCCCGGGAATTTGGAGACTGTCCCCCCTTACGCCAATGCGGCGTGACCAACCATATACTTGTACTCCATTATCAGACTTCGAAGCCGACACATTAATGAATGAAACAAAGCAACATGCGCAGGTCGCCAAACCATTCGGCTGCAACTATCAACACCAATAACTTAGTGACGCTGCCAGAGCCGAGCGTAGACCCACCCGAACGGGTCATGAGCCTCGGCATCACTTCCCCGCAACGGCCGCATCGCCTAATTCGGCCGCCCCAGTGCCCCATTCAAGGATTGTCGCCAGAGTCCGAGGGCCGAACGCCATGACGATGACGGCGACTATATAATTTGCATTTCGTCGCTGGTCTTTTTTCACATCGCGGAGAACTGTCGTCTGTTGTAGCCACTGTCTCAATCTTGGATTCTGTGAGAATACTTGCCTTGGATTGTACTGTGGTTATACTTTGCTGGCGATCCCGTCTCAATTAAGCTGCCCTCACCTCACCACCCCTTTCTCTCCCGTCTCACTCGAAAGACCGCCCTCACACGTCTTCACCATGTCTGAGGCTCACTTGGAAGATTTCCCCTCCCTCTTCTCCCTGAAGGGCAAGGTTGCCGTCGTCACCGGCGGCTCGCGAGGTCTCGGCCTCCACGCCGCATCAGCGTACGTCATTGGCTCTATCTCAGGCTTCAAGTCCCCCCTGGCGAAGCTTGCTCCTACATACAACTAACACGATCAACTGTAGCTTCCTCCAGGCCGGCGCCTCCAAGGTCTTCATCTCCTCCCGCAAGGCTTCCGCCTGTGAGGCCGCCGTCAAGGCCCTCAACGCCTTGCCCAACCTCGCGCCTGGCGCCAAGGCCATCTCGGTCCCTGCCGACTCAGCTACCGTCAAGGGCGTCGAGGCGCTCCTCGCGCAGGTGAAGCAGCACACCGACCGCGTGGACATTCTGTTCGCCAACGCGGGTGCCACTTGGGGCGAGGCTTTCGACACGCACCCCGACGAGGCGTTTGCCAAGGTCATGGACCTCAATGTCAAGGCCGTCTTCAACACGGTGCGCCTGTTCACGCCGCTGATGCAGAAGCACGCGACCCTCAAGGACCCCAACCGCGTCATCATCACGGCCTCAGTCGCCGGGCTGGGCGTCGGCACTCTCGGCGCGCAAGGCACGTACGGCTACTCGGCCAGCAAGGCGGCGGCCATCCACCTGGGCCGCAACCTGGCCCTCGAGCTGGGTCCGCGACACATCACCGTCAACTCCATCTGCCCCGGCTTCTTCCCGAGCAAGATGTCCAACGGACTTCTGGAGATTGCTGGTGGCGCCGACCAGATCGCCCAGAGCAACCCCATGGGCCGCCTGGGTCAGCCCGAGGACATTGCCGGTGTCGTCGTGTACCTGGCGAGCCGCGCCGGATCCCATGTCAATGGAGAGGCCATTGCTATCGATGGAGGAGCCATGTGGTCCAAGGGGGAGCTCGCGATGGCTGGGGGATCGAAGTTGTAGACAGTCCTGGGCATGATCTGTATGATAATGGAATGGAGTTTTGCGTCAATCTCGGTCAGTTAAAGGGGCTCCGATAGACTGTACAGGTCTATTATTCATACACGCTCTATAAAATCACAGTTCCGTGTACACCTCTACCGCCATGAATGCATCCATCTCACTCTAGCCTTTCCGTTCGTGTCATTTTTCTGCTTCTGGCTCGAGCGGCTTGCGTGCAACCCACGCACTGGCCTTGTACGTCGTCTGGAGCATGCTCTCGCGGTCCTGGATGTATGGTGCCTCGATCCCCGTCTGGCGCCACTCGACGACAAAGCCCAGCTTCTCGAGGAGGGCTATGACCTCGTCGTCAGACAGCTCAAAGCTACCCGGATCGGCAATGCCGGACGAGTTGTTGTAGTCGTGCTCGCCATCGCCATCGTCGTCGTGGCCGTGGTTCCCCGGGGCGTTGTTTTCAAAGTGCCACAGCAGAGGGCCGATGTTGATGAGGACGCCTCCGGGCCGGAGGCAGTGGAGGATGACCTCGAGGTAGCGGATCAAGTTTGGAGCAGTGTCGAGGAAGAATACGCTAGCCACGATGTCGTACTGGTCCTTGTGTTCCTCGTCGGCGTATAGGCAAAGGAAGTCGGCAGCGCACATGGACATAGACCCGGGGTTGGAGACGCTGGCCAGCGTGGTGCCTGGGTGAATGTCCGGGACGCTATAGCTCCGGAGGTGGTTTTCCCGGGTAAGGTGGTTGGAGAAGCTATGAACCCAGGGATAGATTGTGTGTTGGCCGGCGGTACGACATCCATTGAGGATGTACGAAGAGGCTAGGAGTTGGTGGTAGGAGATCTCGTTGCCCTCAGCCGTAAAGCCGCGAGCAACCAGCTCGAAGACAAGGCGGCCCAGACCAGCTCCAGGGACCAGCACTTTCAGGGGTCCCCTTTCGGGATACTTCTCCTTCTCCGCCTCGACGGCCTTCAAAACCGGGCCATAGCAGGCCTCACGCTCCGCGGCACCAGCCTCAGTCCAGTCGCGGTACAATTGACGGATGGTGCTCCGGGCCTTGTCAGTGTCAGCATGCTTAGCGACACCAGCCCATTGATGGGGCATGGCGGGCTCGGGGCCATCCGGGCTGGCGGCGATGGAGGCAAACGACTGCAGGCCGAATTTGGCGATGGTACGAGCGAGATCGGCGTTGGCATCGATGGCCTCATCGGTCTTCTCGAGAGTGTCTAGGAAGTTAAAGGGAGGCGCGGCGAGGAGCTTCCAGTGGGCCTGGGGCAGGGCGTAGAAGGACTGGCGGCGGAGGTGGGTGACGTTGAAGTGGGCAACTTTGGCATACTGGCTGTGGGCGTCTCAGCATGACAGGTCTTGATGACAGGTCCGGACCAGAATAATCCGAGGGAAGACGAAAATCAGAAGAGCATGCAACAGGCTTGTCCGGAATTCAAGAAAGGAACGCTGAAGCTGAATAGCTTTACGACCGCTCGATCCGCAAAGCCGTAAAAGTGCTTGACATGACAAGCATGGGGGTTGAGTGAAAGATGAAGCCATCCGCAAATCGCTCGCCTCGCAACAAACACATCCCCCTCTTGCACTCACAAGAATGAATCCAGCGCACAAAAGATGACGCGAACCTCTTCGGGATCATCGATGTTCTCCTCCACGCCGCCCCAGGCACTATCATCGGCGGCAACCCGGCTCCCCTGCACCTGCGCATCTTCGGGATGATCCATTGCAGCTTGGGCGGTTTCAGCACTCTCCGTCACAACGGCGTCATTACTTAGTTGGAGGGATATGGGAATGGAAGAATGGGGCGGGGCGGGTGAAATAGTTGAGAAGAGAGGAAGAAAACCCGGTGAGCCGCATCAACCGAGAATCACCCCGGAACGGCTGATTGCTTTGTGGGTTGAGTCAGGGAGCTTACTACTACATAGGTCCTGCGCGCGATAGATGCGTGGTGCGTTGAATCGTCGGGTGTTTTGTGGAGGTCGTGGCGGACTCAGCGTGGCCAATGGTAGGCGCTGTGAGACAGCGTCATCATGTGATTTGGGCTTTGTGGTGCATCCAGACGGAGCTCAACAGTTGCAACTAACAACGTCCACGTCATTTTGAAGATTCGAGCAGTTCATTCGAGCGTCTATTTTCGTCATCGGTAACCACTTTTCGTTGCTGCATTCTCGCTCTCCTCAAATAATATCAGTTGGCAATTTGGCTGTCAGCTTGTCGATTCACGCATCCACTCTCACCGTTGGATCCGAACCCCTCCCCCTCACTCTTCCTCCTAAGCTCTCTCAGCAACACCACGAGAAGACAGGGTTCTTCGCAGCATCCAACCCTCAAAACCAAACGGCACATCTTTCTAAACATTCATTCGTAACCCAGTTTCACTTCAACCGCGCACCATGGCCACCGAGACAATCCAGCTATCAGTCCCCCTCCCAATGTCACTTGACACACGCATCTACTTGCGTCTGTCCACCAAGGCCAAGGCAATCATGTTATTCCTGGCAACAGCGACACTAGATGAGCTTGCCACCCCCACATCTATGGGGTCATTCGTCTACGCCTTGCCCAACGTATGTACTCCTTGAAGCGGATATGTGTCACTTCGGAACTAACCTGCGCTGTACAGAGGCTCAACGTGGGGCAGCCGCTGTCCACCACGCTCTACTCAACTGAAGCTTCAGTCGAGTTCACAACGCGCCTGGCCAAGCTTCTGGCACGAAAGACCCAGCTACCTGTGTATGTGAGCAACTCGATGAGCTTCGCGAATGCCGGTATGGGTGGTACTGTGGAGGAAGAGATGGAGGCTTTCAAGACCATTGTCAACGTGACACTCGGAAAACTGCAGCAGGGGGGCATCGGCCCTGGAGCGGTCAACGAAGTAGCTCCCACCGTGTAGTCGCCTCGCAGACTCAGGTCGGGTTATCGTTTGCAAACGCACACAGTGCCCCTCGTTCCCCTATCGATAATCCCCTCTGCTTGGAGCCGTGGCTGGTAAGCCTCGGCGTAGCAGGAGTAGTCGGTCCTTCCCCGGGTTGTTGCAGGATAGGCAACGATAAATGTCTAAAGCCGCTACGCCTAAGGATGAATGCACCAAGTACCCGTCTTAGGCCTCAAACACGAAGAGACTGACAACGATGGGAGGGCTGGAGCTGTCAAGATGACACGGGATTACGACAGGGGGGCGCGTGCTTCCAGGAATCCCACCGTGATACGTGCGTAGGTGTGGCTCAAGTTGAATGTTTGTCACTCTTGGGCGCACAGCAGGAACTAGGTGATTCACACGCCGGCATGGTGTCGATCATGGCTCAGCGAGAGGACTATGAGACCGGCAGTGGCGGATTAGTTTCTGCCGTGGCCTGGCTTTGCGGCTGACAGACCAAAAATAGACGGCATATGCCAGTATTTGGAGAAATATATGATCTTTTGGTGAGCCAAACAAGTAGATGAAACAACCAAGGCAATCCTCAGCGGGCGGAGTTGATGATCAGACACCTGGGCAGCAGCGCAAGCGCCGAGGAAGCGAGCACCCGTTCCGAAGAAGAGGTCTGAGAGCCCCCTTGGCCGAGTGCAGGCATTTCCCACCCGATATCATTGGGGCTCCGAGCTGTTGAGAGCCTCGTGTAGGCATCGACCCGACGGCAACCTCTAACTAGTCAGGAAAGGCGAGGAATGATCTACGGCGATAGGATATGTTGTTTTCTAGCTCCAAACTCAATGCTTCTCACGTTCAATTTCACCTAGCCTAACTGGGTCGTGCCGAGTATCGTGTTACGCTTGTAGCACTTAAGGCCAAGTTGCTGTGAGACAATGCAGCGATCGGGCAGCGGCAGTGTTGGAGTGGAGGAGAGAGGGCGGGATTGTTGACGTTGTTTTTCCGGGCCACAGTGCATCACTGTCTCTCACCTCTTGTTTTGTGAATAGAAATGGAGGATGGGGTTTGTTGGCGGTCACCCTATCACGAACTTCACTCTCGCGAACAACCCTCAACAACAATTCAGCCACGGAGGTCCCTGGTTTGCCGCCACGTCAACGACCACAGGAAAAGCTGCTGAAACAAAAGCGCCCAGCCACTCGATTAAGTATAAACTGGGGCCAGAGTGACAGAGAGCAGTCTGAAACGAGACCGCTGGGGGCAGGGCGAAAAAGCCGTTAGGTCTTCGCACGTTAGCGCGGGACGCTGCAGTTTTGCGTGGGCAAAGAGCAGGCACAGCACACACCAACACAAGGGTAGTTTAAATTCCTGGGAGGCAGAAAATGCCGGGGCCTCGTCAGGGACGGCAAAGAAGAAGAAAAAATTGCTTGCCTGCCCGCAAGGTTCCCCCGCGCCCTAGGCGATCCACCCCTCTTTGGTAGGTACGTAGGTAGGTACCTAGGTATAGTAGGTTCCCGACCTGGGCTAGACGTCGGGAGCATTTGGCGCCGGGTTATCGTTATCACACCCCGCTACCGAATTTTTTTTATTTTTTTTCTGTTCCTTCCACTGGGGGCCAGATAGGTAAGTGAGGTAGCGAGACCGGGGTGGGCTGTTTTGGCACCCGCTGGGCGTTTCCGCGGAGGCTGCTTGTGCTGTTGGGTGCTGTTGGGTGCTGTTTGGTGGGCATCAGGTGGGCTTTTAGTGGGCATCGGGTGGGCGTGGGTGGTGGTCATGCTATGGATGCGCCAGGCGCCAGGTGCCAAGTTCCAGGTGCTAGGTGCTAGGTGGTGGGTGCTAGCAGCAGGGTGCTACACAGTACATGGCACACAGTACGCAAAACGCAGTACGGCCGTGTGAGTGAGTGAGTGAGTGAGTGACGGAGCATCTGGTACTCCCACCCCGCCGCCAACTAACCAGAACCCTCTTCCCTCTCTTCCATCCCTCGACGCTTTGCCTGCTAGCTCAGCCCGCCTCCTCCTCCTGCTCCCTTTCATCCATCCTTTTATTCTCCCCCAACAGCGACTCGAAATAGCTTGCGCGGGCACCCTCTCGCCCCATTACATCGTGCGGCTCCCGTCACCAACGACGCCCGCAGCTACCACCACGTCTCTCGGAACACAACTCCAGAAGCAAACGGCGATCCTGGCTGGTGAGTTGCTCTGGTTGCTCTGGTGGCCCCACGGCCCATGCCCCGTCCCCCATGCTAAATGCCCACTCCCGCACCCCTGCCTCTGAGGGGCACCTTTCGCTTCCCACCCACTATCCCGTCCATACAACCAAACCACATCCCACCGCTCGCTCGCCCTCTCTCGCACTCCCCGAGCCTCGAGTCTTGAGAGCCTCATCCTTCGCAGAGCCGCGCGCCGTCCACTAACCTCTTTGCCGTAGAAGCTGCGGAGCTTCGCCGATGTGATTAGACGTCCCGGTCTCCCCCCTCCCGACTCTCTGACCCCTCCGCGACGCTCTCACACATCCTATTCATCTCCGTCTCCGCCGTCCGCCGTCCGCCGCCCACCATGTCGTGGCAACCCGCCCCGGAGTCGCTGCAGCAGCTTGCTTCATGCCTCAAGGACTCACTCAGTGGCTTCGACAAGAATGCCCAGAAGCAGGCCGACCACGTGAGTTGCCCCGATCCTTTGAGACTCATGCGCCCGACCCGCTTGCTGACATTGTTTGCCCTCGTCTAGATGCTCCAGCAGGCCAAGAACTCGCCCGACGTCAACAACTACCTCGCCTACCTCTTCTCGAGCTCTCAGCCCCCCGATGGCCTCCAATTCACTGAGCAAGACTTCCACCTCGTGCGCTCTGCCGCCGGCATCATGCTGAAGAACAATGTCCGCTCCGACTGGAAAACCATCCCCGACACCAGCCTGCAACTCATCAAGCTTGCCGTCCCCATGTGCTTGCAGGACAAGAACTCTCAGATCCGAAACTTCGCCGGAAACATTGCGACAGAGGTCATCCGCCGTGGCGGTTTGCTGGGCTGGCCCGAGCTGCTTCCCCAGCTTCTTGACCTCATCTCCAACTCCAGCGGCCATGTCTCCAACGAGGCACAGGAGGGCGCCATGTCCGCCATGGCCAAGATCTGCGAAGACAACTTCCGCATGCTGACCAAGGAGGTCAATGGCCAGCGACCCTTGAATTACGTTCTACCCCAGCTCATTGCTGCCACCAAGAACCCCCTGCCCAAGGTCCGAGCCGGTGCCTTGACGGCCATCAACGTCTTCACCCCCCGTGAGTCGCAGGCCATGCTCAACTCCATCGACGACCTCCTCCAGCACCTCTTTATCCTGGCCAGTGACGACAACACCGATGTGCGCCGCCAAGTCTGCCGTGCCTTTGTCCAGCTTGTCGAGACCCGTCCCGATAAGCTGCTGCCGCACACCACTGGTCTCGTCGACTACATCATCAGCCAGCAAAAGTCTGATGATGAGGACCTGGCCTGTGAGGCCGCCGAGTTCTGGCTCGCTGTTGGCGAGCACGAAAACCTCTGGGCCGACCTGAAGCCCCACCTAGGCAAAATCATTCCCGTCCTACTTGAGTGTATGGTCTACAGCGGGGAGGACATTGCCCTGCTTGGAGGTCAGTCCGACGATGAGGAAGAGGAAGATCGTGAGGAGGATATCAGACCTGCCTTTGCCAAGAAGGCTGCAGCACGGACTGCCAACGGCGAAAACTCGGCATCGGCCGACCCCAACGAGAACGGCAATGCCTTCGAGAAGCTGGCCAGCATGGACGAGGACTTGGAGGAGGGAGAGCTCGACGACTATGATGACGGTGACGATTCCAACCCTGACGAGAGATGGACCATTCGCAAGTGCTCCGCTGCTGCCCTCGACGTCTTCGCCCGCGATTTCCGGGACCCTGTCTTCGAGGCCATCTTCCCCTACCTTTCGCAGAACCTGAAGCATCAAGAGTGGCCTTACCGAGAGGCGGCTGTGCTCGCATTGGGAGCTGTGGCTGAGGGCTGTATGGATGTCGTCAAGCCTCACCTGCCCGAGCTCGTACCATACCTCATCTCCCTACTGGAGGACCAGGAGCCCGTTGTGCGCCAGATTACCTGCTGGACTCTCGGCCGTTACTCGTCCTGGGCCGCTAACCTGCAGGACCAGCAGAAGGACCAGTTCTTCGTCCCCATGATGGACGGTATTCTCCAAAAGATGCTGGACAAGAACAAGAAGGTTCAGGAGGCTGGCGCCTCGGCGTTTGCCAACCTCGAAGACAAGGCGGGCAAGATCCTGGAGCCATACTGTGGGCCTATTATTTCTCAGTATGTCCGATGCTTCGCCAAGTACAAGGATCGCAACATGTACATTTTGTACGACTGCATCCAGACCCTTGCTGAGCATATTGGACCCGTCCTGGCGCGACCCGACTTGGCCAACCAGTTGATGCCCGCCTTGATCGATCGATACAACAAGGTCTCAGATCAGTCACGCGAGCTCTTTCCCCTGCTCGAGTGTCTGTCTTATGTGGCTATGGCTATGCACGATGCTTTCGCCCCGTATGCCGAGCCGATCTTCTTGCGATGCGTCAACATCATTCACGTCAACCTCGAGCAGAGCATGGCCTATGCCAGCAACCCAGCTCTGGAACAGCCTGACAAAGACTTCCTCGTCACTAGCCTGGACCTTCTTAGCGCGATTATCCAGGCCCTGGATGACGATAAGTCTGCAGCCCTCGTCAAGAGCTCGCAGCAGTCATTCTTCGAACTCCTTGGTTTGTGCATGGAGGACCCCGCCGATGAGGTCCGCCAGTCGGCGTACGCCTTGCTCGGTGACTGCGCCAAGTATGTTTACCCTCTGCTACAACAGTACCTCCCTACTATCTTCCCTATCATGCTGAAGCAGCTCGATATGGACACTGTTCTGGATGAGGAGATCGACAGTGGGTTTGGCGTCGTTAACAACGCGTGCTGGTCTGCCGGCGAGATTTCCATGCAGCACAAGTCGGGAATGTCACATTGGGTCCCTGAGCTCCTTCAGAGATTTATCGAGATCATGACCAACCCCCGTGTGCCCAAGGCGCTCAACGAGAACGCCGCCATGGCCCTCGGACGTTTGGGACTGGACAACTCGGAACAACTTGCACCTGCACTTGGCACGTTTGCCGAGGAATGGTTGAACTCGATGGAAGAGGTTGAGCCTACCGAGGAGAAGGCCACGGCATTCAAGGGATTCTCGATGATTGTCGGCCGTAATCCCCAGGCCATGGAGAAGGTTCTTCTCCAATACTTCGCGGCCATTGCTCGGTATCGCGATATCAACCTCAACAGCCCCATCAAGCAAGAGCTGCATGACGTTTTCCAGAACGTGAGTGTTGCCCATTGTACAAATGCCATTGAATAAATGCTAACATGGTTTCAGGTTCTCTCTGCTTACAAGCAGATGATCCCCCAGTTCGGCGACTTCCTAGGACAGTTGCAAGCAAAGGATCGACAAGCCCTGGAAGCCCACTACACTCTATAGGTACAGTAGTTGGTGGCGCATCTTTGGGTCCAACACATTACATTGGTATCTTGACGGCAAGGACAGGAGGAACACCAATAATTACATAGCCATAGATAGCATTGATTTTTCTCGCACTAGGTAGCATCGAGTGGGTTCGAGGGACAAGGGGTTGCATGATGAGTTTCAGGAGGTTGACGAACACAGCTGCAATGCATTGATTGATGGTGCTTTGGAGCAGCATGGGTACGACTTTTCACCAGCGAGGGCTGAAAAGCGATGACGATATGACGGCAAATATGGAAGGATAGCATGGGGAGGAAAATTATACCTTGATCATGATGGGATGAGGATGCTATGTCGTCATGGGCAGACATGAAATGAGGAAGCGAGAGAAATGATGGGAAATGGGACAACTTAGATAGATAGGGCAGTCAAGATGAGCCGAATGAGCGGGTGTTCGAAGTATTGGGCTGCACAGCTGGGTGATCTACTTGGTGTTGAGAGTCACTTAAGACCGCTCCGGCTCTGGCTTTTTACAAAGAAGGCAATATGAAGATTTACTTTAAGTCTTTAGGTTTTGTTCTTTGATAAATCAAACTGAGGGGGTTCTGGAGTGAATTTGTTTTGGATCTTTGTTGATGTGATGGTCGAACTTGGTTCATTCTAGTGAGGATTGTTATTGAATAGAACTGACGTCGGGAGATGCTTACAAGATCAACACTTATCTATCATCGACCTCCGTATAACAAAATAAGAGCATACTGTAACAAAGATACTGTGCGGTTAAGTTCTTACAATGTCGATAGATATATCAAAGCAGCGTTGTAGGTTCCACGGACGAGCACAAAGTTAAGTTACCCAGCACCGGAAAGAACAGTGGCTTTTGCGAATAGGGTTGGAGTGCGCTCAGCCTTTACCTCGGGCCTCTCTGTATCGTTCGTCCAAGTTCTAGTCTCTAACCTTCTGCATGTCTGGAAATCTTACCTGGCTGACGGAGGTTTAACAGCACGATAGAAAATTGACACGATTTAATTATTGGTCTTTTGGGATGGTTGTATCGATATTCATCCACGTTTGTTAGAGGTCCTTTGACCTGGGCGAGAGATCATGACGACAGTTATCCACGGGCTCTGTGCACCGCAGTAGAGCGTGGATAATATGTGTCCTACCGTATTCAATTGTTTATAGATACGGAGGAATATTAAGATTATGTCTACAGTCATCTGGATGTATTATTTAGGTTTGTTCATTCGTTGAGTTGGTAATGTTCGAACGAATTTAAAGTCGGATTCGATTGCTAGAGGTATAGGGTAGGTAACAGGGTCAATATCACCACGACATGAGAACACTGGCAAACCAAAAATTGAGAGGCTGGTACGTACTAGACCAGATATAATGGTAGTTTGCTGTTGACTTCTCGGCTAAAGTTCCCTTATTGTTGTCGATGTTGTTGCGGCCAAGGGGCTGTTGTGGTTTTCTATTCACGCAGAATACGGGTTGTCTGCATGGTTGCTCCTACTTGGAGGAGTCGAAGCCATATTTCGCGACAATACAAACGGCCAAGTTAACAATTTCAAACCGAAAGAATCTCATCGACGGCATTGATCGTGGATTGAAAGTAGAGAGCTGAAATTGTGATGGGGGCGAGCAACATCACAGTGACTGGAATACGAGGTCTTGCATGCTGAACTACGCTAACGTCCGGAATGCATCGTCGTTGGCGAATACCTCTGTGAGAACGCTTGGATTAGGTGAATTTCATCCTATTCTTTGTTCTTGGGACTGTAAGCAATGGGCCTTATCATGGAGTGACTTGTAGGCCTCCCAATTATCAAACCATGCCCAGCCACGACCGTTGTCATGGTGCCCAAGACGTAGCAACGTTACCCACCGTGACATGGCCTCGATGATATGACACTCCCCTTGAGAGCTCACAGTTGGTACACTGTAGTTGAGGGTCTTGGTTTCCATAGAACGCACAGCCAAGCCGGCATACCGGCACCTGTCGCCACTGTAGCCAGCAACACCACACATTGAGGCCAGCCTCCTCACCGCACATCATGGACAAACCACACCCATCGGGCAAGGCCGGCGCCCTTCGTAAAGTTTAAGATGGCATTCCCAACCTCATGCGTATCCGCTTGCTGAAAATAGGAGCCCAAACATGCCCATGCCGTCAGCCCCCTTCATTGCCCATAGCATCGTCGGTTGGGAACCACCCAAACGGATGTCGTTCCCTTCGATCTTCATCCCTACGGGGCTATCAGTGCCATATCAAAGCGTCATCAAGGGGAGATGAGTACGAGCCGCTAAACCATGAGACTTTTAGGGACTCACCCCCTTGCTTCCTGTATACGATGTTTGGATCGCATCTGTCAAATTTGTGGCTGCTGGGGACTGGTGGGCTCTTGGCGGGCAACCTAAGAGGCGGTTCTACAGAGCCAGTTCCGCACATTAGACGAAATACATTTCCGCTCTCTAGTGGTCCGTAGGGCATCGAAGAATCGTCTGTTTCGGGCCCATCATGTGTGGACTGGTGTTGATCTGACCAGTCAGTCGAGAGGGCTGATAAAGACTCGATCAAGACCAATGGGCCCGCAGCCACGAGTTCCCGCTACGGCAGACGAGTAAAAATAGCAGCACATATGCAAGCTCTCCATGGGCCGATAGCAAAGCGCACCTCGGCTCTTGTCTCTCGATGTCCCCCGTGGTACGCTACGGCAGCCCTGCCAGGCCCCCGGGGAATATCAACCGCAAGGGACCCAGCCCCTCGAGGATAACTGACTCGGAAAGGGACCCAGCCCTCTAGGGCAATGGGCTCCGAAAGGAAAGGGTCTCTTTCGTACGAGTGAGACTGACCTATCTCTGGACGGACGAGAGAAGGTTATGCGGGCCTGGGTTTCGAGACAGGGCACCTCTGCATGGTGGGCTCTGCATGGTGGGCAATGCACGGGAGCTCCTAGAATAGACGGCAGGCCTTCTTGGTCGTCCATTGGAGGCTGAAGCATTGCAAGTTATCTCGCTGGACAGGTTGATCACACTCTAAGCCCCATAGCCACGCGTAACGTAACCGCTCAGAGGCGTCTTGTCCAAACATCATGGGTGTTTGACTTGGAGTACGAAAACCCCTGAATGCAATGCAAACCGTCGCCCATAGCCCGTCACTGCCTCAGCCCCCGTACCGGCCACGCTCCCACATCCCACATCCCGCTTCCCAATGCGGGCTACCTCCTCATCTAGGCCTCTGTTCTAGAGCGGGCCCCTCTCGAGGCTACAGCAGCTACCCGGGTGGGTCGTGGACTGCGGTAGGGGGGAAGAACGAGCGAGAGCCGGGGGGGGGGCGGACGAGAGGTCAAGCAGGGTATGGGTTGGGTTAGGGACCACAAGGCCGAGAAGCAAAGAGGGTGCTACCAGGTACATAGTATCTATCTTTGCCAGGAGCTCGGACATGGCATATCCGCCGAAATCGGGACTGCGAGGGGGTTGGGTTGGGTCTCTTTCGGCGGAAGACGGTCGTTTTAGGGGAGTAGAACGCATGAGCTTCGGTGAGGCGCAAAGAGCCGGAGCCGGGGGCCGCGGCATCCGTGGGCTCGTGAGACCTCCGAAGCGGCTTCGCGACGGGAGGCGATGGAAGACGGGAGGTTGGAGATGGGAGGTTGGAGATGGGACGAAATGCATTAGTTACGGAGCACCGGAGCAGGTAGTACCGGAGCAGGTGGTACTGGAGACGGCGGATCCGAGGGGACGGAAGGCACGGCGGTGCGCAGGGCCATGGAAGGTTCGAAGATTCGATGGAAGGGGCGAACGAGTCCACCGACGCTTCATGTAAAGTGGTGGAGGGATGTTTGGTGATGCGACAGACGGCCGCTGAACAAACTTTCGGGTACAGGCGACACAATGCCGCCGTGGTAGGGGGCAAACGCCTGCTCGGTACTCCGTAAAGGAAGGGACGTTTGATAGCGCTTGATCGGCGTACCTACTCCCTACCTACCTAGGCACTTAGTGAGTTGGCGCGCATGACGTCGTGACAAATAAATCCGATCAACCCACGCCGCCTCCTTCTAACAACGGGACGGCGGGCATACCGAAGACCGCGGCTTTGTGTAGCCGCCGCCGCCGCCGTGTTCGTTGCGCGCGCGCCCTCCCCAACTCGTCAACTCCAAACCATATGCGAAAACTGCCCAGCCTGGTCCGAGCCTTGTGCTACTACGTCTTGGTACCTAGGTAAGGTATGTATGTAACCAGGCGCGGCGGCCGCGGCGGGACGGAAAAAAGCGAGCCATGGCCGAATCAGGGCACTTCTTCGCAGAGCAACAATCGCCTGTCCCGGGGCTCTGTCTGTCTGCACTAACTACCAACAACCCAACCGTCCAATACGGCGGCGGCGGAATGGATGGTGAGAGAGAAAAATCCCATCCACGCGCCGAAATGAGCAACTGCTCCATTATCCCACCGCCGGTGGGTTACTGATCGGCCCCCCACATCCCCTAATCCCCTACTCCTCCAGCGAGTGCGCCCTAGGCTCCTAAGCTGCTGGGCCGCTGGCCTCCAGGCTCCCGGGCGTCGCCATGCGCACGAACCAGAAGGCCTGGACGATCCATTCTGTCGTCGTCGCAGACAACTGGAACGACAATGCTCCATTTAAGCTTTGGCACTAGTTCTGGAGCTCTTTCGCTGTGGCCGTGGCCCCAGCCCGTCCTGTGCTACGTATATTAATTAGGTGGGCTGGGAGGGGAGGGGGCGTGTAAACGGGTCACAAATGAAGACCCAGAAGGGAACACTGATGATCAGAAGAGGACACAGATGCTCGGACGAGTGCGACCAGCGCAAAGGAAAAAAAGAAGAAGAAAAGACATGACCAGGCCGGCGAGATACCCAACAAGGCATGATATCGGCCGGCGCTCACTCACCCCATCCATCCATCCATCCATCCATCCACCGTCCGTCGTCCAGCGTGCAGCGTGCAGCGTGCAGTGACATCTCCCGCCCTAGCAGACCACTTTTCTGTCCGTCGCCATTAATAGCACACAGCCCCAAAGCCGCCGACAGCTCTCTGCGGCGCTGTGCTCTTCCACACACCCCTGAACCCGGCTTGGGTCGTCCCTTGGGAAGTTGGGACCACTCGGCACGTCGCCGAAGCAGTCACCAGAATGGCCCGTTCCAGAACCGCATCCATTCGCCGCCGCCGCCGCCGCCGCTTGTTGTATGCCCACCAGCTTGCTCGATTTTCTCGCTTTTCTCGCTTTCGCTCACCCGCTCGCCGCCCACCGGATCTCGTCGCATCAAAGTCGTGGGGTTGGTTTGGGTTTGGCCTTTTCGAGTTGGTGTGTACTACGTAGTATGTGTGTGCGTGTGCCCATCCTCCGTCTGTGTCTGTGTCCGTGTGCTTGCCAAGTAAACTAACACCCTCCCGACTTCAATGTTCCACCTTTGATATGCGGAAGAAACCCCTGCTGGGCTGCTATGGGGTAAACCAGCGCATGGACGCTCTCCGGGGGGGCAGATGCAAAAAGTCCCTTGAGACAGCAATTTGCCCTGCCCGCCCTATACCAGCCTGTTGATCCGCTAGACGTCTTCGAGTCCCAGCCCAAGCGTTATTGTCAAACTCGTGTGGGCCACCATCATGAATCGCCCCGGGCGAGAGAAAACCCGCGTATCACAGGGGGCATCGACGTATGAAGTCATGACTTCAAACCCGCCTCGTTGGGACAAACTTTGGCCCAGTGCTACGCCGTAGAACCGGCAAATGAAGGGCTGACGACTATTAGCCTCCCTCCGCCTTTCGTCCCCTATCGCCTTGTGACGATGTTCCACCTTGTCGTGCTCCACGTTCCATGAGCCATGTGCCCCTCCCATGTGCCGAGTGTAGGGTGCTGCGAGATGTCATGCTGGCCAGCTCATCCGCCATCCCTTATCCATTATCAGGACGCAGGACTCAGGCCATACCTTACTCGAGCACAACGCAGACCCGACATTCCGCAGGACCCGTAGACTGGGCCTGGAATAGCCAGATCATGGTGGTTCCGTCACCACAAGCCTGTCATGAACACCCTGTCCAGCTGTCCGACTCTAACAGTCTAGCTTGTCGTCATGCCTCGTGGCTTTGCGAAGCTTCTATTCCTTCTGCCGCAAGGGTCTTCACAACCGGACCTAACCAGTCCAGCCTGGACAAGGACTACCGGTAACTAAGTCAACTAACTAACGCTTCGTCCTAGCTTTGGTCTGGTCGCGTTGACTAAGCGGCTTCCTGCCTTCCATCGACCGGGGGTTTACCCCATCACGAACACTAATCAACGTCCGTGCATTGCCCTCTCAATCACTCAACTACCTAAGGTAACCATGGACGGGACGGAGTACGAAGTGCATACCCGTCCTATCCTCCCACCGTACCCCACCGGAATACCGTCTGTTTTACCGTCCGGTGGAGATTTTGGTGTTTGTGCGATAGGGCCAGCTGTCGGATAATTATCCTGCATAATGCAGCCCTTGATAGCGGCAGAACACCACATGGGCTGCTTGATTCGTGACTCTAAATTAAGAGATTCTTGCCTGTACAGCTGGATGACCGGTATAGTGGACGAGACTGTTATAGGCCAGCCCCAGAACACTCCTCCGTGTCGCTCCCCGCTGACACGGACCACAACGTCCCCAGTGCTCGTTCTCGGATTAGGCGATTCCCTCTGCATTCTGCCCCGGTTTAGCATCTTCAAGGGATACACAGAAACAAAAGCAAACAGCCGTCGACGGAGAGTCATGTTGCTCGCATGCCTCAGTTGTTCTGGCCCTTGGGCTCTGGCACGGTGTAATTTAGGTGCCTAGACACGTAACAGGACGAGGCTGAGTGCATCCTCCGCAAGGTCTAATGACGCGTAACTGTATCACTGGATAACTCCTTCATCAGTTAGCACTTCGGCAGGGTGAAACACGTAGATCTAGCATACCTCTGGTCATGCATACCGTCAACTCGGTAATCTGGTTTCGCAATGATCGTCATCCGTGTGGCTTGGCTGAACTTAGAGAGGCGCTTGTCACAAGCCGAGAGAGCTCTCCCACCCGGAAAATATTATTAGGGTTCTGACATATGTCATCACCGGCCTGAAATGCAGGCCTCGAAGGCATCAAAGTCTGAGGCGCAGGGTGAACGCGCAAACCTGGTACCTGCCTCATCACCACATTGTTTCTCCGAGGAAGATCGGACATTGGGAGTACAGCCCCCCCTTGTGGCGTATGAATGTGTTAGCTCTAACTAAGCCGTCCACACCTCGTGGCCAACTCTCCGAGGGCTGGAGGAATTGGCCTCCAGTTGGGAAACACGCTTGGGGTTCCCCGTAGCTAGTGTTGAGCCTA